AAAAAAAAAAAAAAAAAAAAAAAAAAAAAAAAAAAAAAAAAAAAAAAAAAAAAAAAAAAAAAAAAAAAAAAAAAAGCTGAATCAAACATCAATCAGAACATCATGAGCATAAGCCCGAACCAGGCCATAAGGCATAAGGCATAAGGCAACTCGATCATCCCCAGCCCTAAGCTGCAGGAGCCAAGTCAACCCAAAAGGATCACAGGTGAGGAAACCACCTCGTCCCATATAACCACCACAAGAGCCTCTTCAAATCGCCATGAGAATGCACCAAAACTCCAAAACCCGATGCAAACCCAACAATGCGACAGCCTTCGCAAAAGGACTCATAAGCGATCTCGATCTCGATCTCGATCTCCTCAATCTCATTCCAGATACGAGATCCACAGCCCCGGAGGTAAGAGAATCAGAATCAAACCCAACCCATCAAGTCTTAGAACAAGATCTCCCCACTATGTTCCGGCTCAAAGCCCAGAGCCTGCAGCTCATCATAGCGCTTCTTATCGCCCTTTTTCCGCTTATTCTCTTCCTGCTTCTTGAGTTCGAAAACCTCCTCGAACGGCGCCTTCGTCAAAGTAGGTGGGATATCGTCTTCGCGATCAAGATCCTATCAAGGCATTAGAAATCTGAAATAATCCGTCGCGTCCAGCAGGTGTTCATACCACTTCGCCTAGGAGGAGAACATTCTCTCCGCGGACGATGAAGATCCCGCGCGGGACATCCGCGTACAGCTGGCCCGCGTAGATGCGCTCGACGGTCTCTTGGAAAACGAGATTCGCTGGATACTGTCAGATGTGGACAATGGGATTGGATAGGGAGAGGAGCATACCGAACTGGTCCCAGCTTCGTAGGACGCCGATGAGTTTCCGTCCGTCGCGAAGGATGAGGACGAGTTTCTCTATGGATGTGTTAGTTGCTTGGATTCCGGAGCTGGAGCTGGATATGGAGGGCGCGCACTATCCGTTAAATCGAGCAGTTGGGCGGCGGTGGTGAACATCTGTGGTGGTAATTGCGGGGGACCGCCTGTTGGCTGGGGGCCAGCTGGGCCGAGGGCATTCTGGGCGAATTGGTTCTGGGGACGGGGACTGCGCGGTTGTGCATTTGCGGGGCTTTCGTTTAGGGATAGACGCTCCATTTTGGAGTTGGGAAGGGGTGTGGTTTTGGTCGCTGGAGTTGGGGGTGCGGGTGAGTTTGGGCCAGTTGAGGTTGGTGGGCGGTGAGGCGGGATTTTGATAGACAACTTTCTGCTCCGTTATCAATTGATTTTCTCTACGTGTTCGCGTTTCTTCAACTAATTCAACTAATACACCTGTTTTGGGGGAGATTTGACACCTCGAATGTCGACAATGGTACAATACAACGAAATGGGGGAATAATTCAAACACAAGAAGCACGCAAAAAAAGAAAGAAAAAAGAACACGGGGGGGAATAGGAAAATTACACAACCCCCACCCCTCTCTGCTGCTTCATCCTCTCCTCCCTCCGTTTACTATACGGCGCACAGTATGGCTCATCCGCAGACCCAATACTAGCCCTCACCCCATCCTGCGAGCGATGATAAGCCGGACTCGACGGCGCAGGCGGCAACTGCATAGCCTTGAATTGCGCATCGGTAATAACCCGCACACCATACAAATACCGCATGAGTTCGAAATCCGGCCGACTCCCCGCCAACGTCTGCCCAGTCCTGTAATGGAAGTCAGCGACGTGATCGAGCATCCGATCCCAAGCAGACGGAACATCCAAGCCGATGAGCGGCGACGGCGACTGCGGGAGCGGGATAGACGACGCATCAAAGTCGTCGATGGGCGAGGCGATGGGGCCGGGGATCCCGTCGACGAATTTGGTATTGGCGCACATGGGACAGCGGGCTGTTGGCGGGGTGGGGTGGGAGCGGAAATGGCTGGCTATGTGGGTGCGCCATTCGGATGCGTCTTCGAAGGCTTCGTGGCAGTCGAGGGTGTGGAAGAGACAGGCATAGGTGGGTGTGTGTGTTGTTGATTCCGATTCCCAGTCCCAGGGTGGGCTGGTGTATGAGGCGGAGCCGTCTTTTTGGGACAGAGATGGTTGGGAGGTTGGTGAGGTCGGCTCGGGTGGGGGTGTTGGTGAGGCCATGACGATGACTTGTTTGTGTTTTCTACCGCTTGAACTGATTATGCTGAACGAGCGGGTTCTAGGGACTGAAGGGTCGCGAGCGCCGCGCTCCGACATGCTCCGCGAACTAAGTGGGATCGCGTCAGAGCCTGGAGGGGTTTTTTGTTGGGCTTACATAGCATGGAAATGCGATAAGAGAAGACAAGAACAGAAGGGAATGAAAGAAATGAAAAGGAAAAGAGGGAAAAAAAAGGCTCGAGAGGGGAACGGAGTATAACGGGATCGGGGAAACATACAAAGATATCAAGCAACTTGTCGAGTGACCTGCATAACTCCGACTCTACAAAAGTTGTTTTCTCTAGAAAATTCCTTCAGGAGGGGGCGGGGCGTTTGGAGCTAACGGTGCAGTAGGGCCAGTCACCCTCAAGGCTCATAGGTGGGAGATGTGGACTGTCTGGGATACAACGGGCTTGTAGCACAGTGTAATAGTGTAATCGGCTAGGTCGTGCATGTTTCAAAGGGGTTGCATTTTGGTTTGTACAGACATCGACAGACTACTTATGTACAGTATACTACTGTGGAAGACTAGGCTACCTAGGCTAGGCAGTATGATACAATCTGATATTACTCCGACTCCATGTCCGGCTACGTCAGGTGCATTTCTGCAGAGTTCAGATCAGTTCTAGACCTGGACTTCTGCCTTTTCCATGTGAAGACACAATAGTACTTGGCGATGTTGCAGTTTACTTGGCCATCAGAGATATACAACATCAGATTGCGGGGATATCACGTAAGAGTGAAAATTCTTCATTTTTGGCCTCACAAGTGAGTAATTAAGAGTTAAGAGAAAGGTGGCCACAGGCCAGAGAGGAGAATCACAAGAAAAAAAAAAGGCAGGTCTTTCGACGCAGAATTTTGGACTCGAAGAGAAGAAGAAAACAAAAAAAAGGTGTCCGGGGGAGTGGAAACAGCCAGTCAAAAAACCCAATCCGTCTATTTGGAAGCGCCTCAGTGAGATAAAAAGAAAAAAACAAAGATCAAAGAAATATCCGACACCGATGATGCCCCAGAGTAAAAAATGCACAAAGTCTATATCGTTTCGTGGCGCGCATAACAAAAGGCATAAGAGAGCGGAACTAGAACCGATCCGCCAAGTCTCCACCCGCAACGGAATTGTTGGCGGACGAGTTCATGGATGGGAACCCAGAGGCCGGGTTGAGCATGTCCTGCACGGCAACCTTGGGGACCTGGGGCACAGGGAGTTTGCGCTGTGTGCCGTCGGGTTTTGACATGATGTCGGCGATGGTGGGACCCATGTGACCCTGATTGGGACTGTAGTAATTGGGACCTTCAGGTTGGGGTTCCATGGGAGCCAGGGCAGGTGTGTGCTGAAGAGAAAGGTGGCGGATGGAGGGCAGGTGGAGCTCGCTGGCGCCCAGGGGACGCAGACGAGGCGAGTGAGCCGGGGTCGCGAGCGGGGTGTGGTCGGGAGTCGGGGAAAGAGAGTCGTGGGAGAAAGTAGGAGAAGAAGGAGCAGTGGAGTTGGGCGAGTTGGGACGTGAGCGCTTGACTCGGTGGCCCCCAAAGTGGTCCTCGTCATCATTGGAGTGCGAGCGCGTCATATTTTGAGAAATGGCGTACGCAGAGAGCGAAGGGAGGCCGCGACCGGTGCCGTGGCGGGATCCGAACATCTGATGGTTGCGGGATCCGTGGAATCCCAGGTGGTCGTCGCGCTCGACTTGCGAGGCGGCTGTCGCGAGCAGGTTGATGTCCATTCCGGAGGAGGCGCGGTCGGTGTTGCGGGAGTAGGGACCCAGGTTGGAGCGCATGTGGTTGGCGTAGTTGGAGAAGGAGTGAGGAGGCGACACGTCCGGCGAGCCAACCTGGGAAACGGGGGCCGAGCGGGTGATGGGCTTGCTGGGCGGGGGCATCATGTTGGTGGGTGTCACCATGCCGGACTCCTGGCCGGCCGCGGCGGCAGCGGCGGCCGCGAGGTGCTGGGCCTTGTTACTACGGCGCGAATTGGGGTTGTTGTGAATGCGCGAGTGTCGAGTCAGCTCGTCGGAGCGACTGAATCGCTTGGTGCAGCCGGGAAATTGACAGGCGTGGGGCTTCTCGCCGGTGTGCGTCCGAATGTGTCTCGTCTGATGCTCCAGGCGGTGGAATGCACGGTCGCAAAGAGGACACTTGTAAGGCCTAGGCAAATCCTGGCGCACCTCCTCCGTGGCTGGGCGAGCACCCTTCATGAGCGGCGGCAGCAAGCTAACAGAAGACGCCATGTCTGGATTGTCGTCGTGATTGAGTAGATTGGAGAAACCCACGGAAGAAGTCGGTAGTGGCATGTGCAGAGATGGAAGAAGGAAAGAAAAAAAAGGAAGAAACCTGGAGATGACGATCTGGGGAGTCACAAATATAAAGTAGGAAGAATGGAGGGGGAAGGGAGAAATCGGAGAAGGGGGTCGGAATCGGGGGAAAAAAAGAAAGGGAAAAATTGAAAATTGAAAATTCGAATTTTTCGAAAAAAAAAAGGGAAAAAAAAGACGAAAAAAACGAAAAGGAAAAAAAAAAGGAAAAAAAAGAGGCAAAAGTCCGAATGAAGACTGTGGGGGAAACTGGGGGAGATTTCGGTGAAAAGCCAGTGGAGCTGGTTTCCTCCGTGGGAACATACTGTATACAGTCCATAGTACTATACTACTATGGAGTACGATAGTAATAGTATGCGATAGTACAGATACTAGTAACTACTGTATACTATCAGTACTCCGTACCCCGTACTCGACTCCAGTGAATACCCCAGATGAAATACCAATTGGGAAGTGCGTGTGCACACGGCCCTTATCTCTAGGTAGGTGTCCTCCAGGGCTCAGCCCGGGTGCCAGGTGCCTCCAGGGCTCCAGGGCTACTACATACAGTATGTACCCCGTCCTACAGAGTTCCAGGATATCGCGTCCAGATCCTATGTACATACTGTACACTCAATGACGCCCGCGAGGATCATCGATGTCTTGCGAGAATCGGAGGTCGCCACTCCCCCAGATTTGCCTGTAACGGGGGCCCGAATAAATCCCGACCCATGAACCTGGAGAGCGATGGTGGATGAACGCGCTGATAGGCGCAGATCGTCCAATAATTGACCCTGCTGCAGCTCTCATGCAGCAACGCGTATCTCCAGCACCGGACCGGTTGTGAATGTCAGCCCGGACATTCCTTGCGCCATCGATGATCTCACGATGCTCCATGATAACTCCATCTAATACTCCGTACTCCGTCGAGATATATTAAATAGTGATGTGAGTGTAGAGGTACTCCAAGGTTCTTTACAGGGCTGTACGGGTGAGGACTCACCCGGCCCTAGATCGGGGACAAGACCGAACCCGTGTCTCTTATCTTGAACATCGTATAGTATACTCCGTACGGAGTACGTACTACTCCAGACTCCAGCTGCATACAGCCGTGCACCAGGGGTCGACCTCCTTTAGTGGTAGATCTTAAGCATGCAAATAGCAAATTCGGCCCCCCGCAATACGGTGCTGGCGGTCCGACTTCCCATTGGACGGAAGCGTCTCGCTTGATCAGCTCACGGTGGTCTGAGACGGAGAATAAGAGATTGAGAAATTGCACGAATCCCCGATCTGTTCAGACGCGGATGTTCCGGATTCGGATTCGGCATCTCTTGTCGTTCTCCGTGCTCCATTCTCCAGTCTCCAGTCCCCAGTCTCCATTCTCCATTCTTCTGCTCCATTCTTTTTCTCCACGGGGAATGGCGCAATACGGAAACCACCGCATTCGGAGTGGGCTACTGTACAATAGGCTATTGTTACCCTGTCCTAAGCAGGCACTATTATCCGCTTTTTGCCGACTTGCAAAGGTGCCTAGTGTTTCGGTTTCAGGTGACGCATGTATTGCCCCGTACTGGCATACTATACTATAGAGACATCATTCCACCTGGCTTTGTAGAAGAGATGTGACAGAATTCGGATTCCGGCTTCCGTTCCCCAGAACTCGTCTGACTGTCTGAAGATCCGATCAACATGATCCACAGCGTGGGGGATGTGTCTTAGTTTGGGGGTCTTTCCTTTTTGCTTTTTCCATTTCCCACTTCTCTCTCTTGGCCCAAATGCCGATAACACATCCCATCCCACCTCGCCGTATAAACTCCGCCGATCCCAAAAATCAGACTGTCTTCTGTTTTTTTCCTGGCCGATATAGCCGGCCACCTCTACCCCGCAAGACCGGGCCAGTTCCCCGGGGAGAACGATCTGCAACTGACATTGTCTTCAGAAAACTCTGTCTGGATCGTCACGATCGCCAAGGGGGCGTCCGATATCGCGCCCTGACTCATCGCGTCATCTGAAACGCTCCAGTGCTCTGCACCTACAGGATACGGACACGTTATCTACGGGAATGGAGATCACAGCCTCAAAGTTGGGGCGATACGCGTACACTGCATTCCGCTGATCAAAGGGCATGTCGGACGGGTCCGTCGATCCAAACAAGAAATCCGAAAAGAAATAATAAACAAATCAGTGAGAATAGGCTGCAAGGGAAGCGGTTCCCTGTTGGGAGATCCTGATACCCGTGAAGGATCCAGTTACATTCGCGGAGCTGGTTATCTCACCCCCGCATCCCCGGGCATTAGATTTATCTATTATTCAAGTCTAGGCCCGTCAAGGGATTGGCTGCCTCGGTTTCAAACCTTGAGGGCTGGATTCGCAATCCAGGTGGGAAGCCATGACATCCAGGCATTGGGTGACATCAGGACAGTTGCAGTCAGAATCCGGGGTAGGGTTCAAAGGGCTTCGGAACGAGTTACTCCAAGAGTCTGCTGGAGCCTAGATACCATACTCCGTACTCCGTCCGGAGGACGGAGTACGGAGTACGCCATACCATAGTATAAACTAGTTAGAGATTGATATCTCCCACGTAACAATCAGCTCACTTCAAATGTTTCCTCAAGGTTGCCCAGGTGTTTACCTAAGGGATTATATAAGAGAATCCCAATTCGGCAGAGGTTGGGCGCACTCACTTCGCCTACTGCCCACGTCTACTCCGTACCCCAAACGCCAAGGCGACAGATCCACGATCCACAGCTTCTGGAACAGATATCCCCTCGCCCAATGACACTCCTCCGTCGCCTCACACTGATATCATCCCATGCGGGGCCGTCATGCCGGAGTCCGCGATCCGGCCATTGGTGGGATTCCGTGCTTTTTTCTCATATCTCACATTGAGGTTATCGCAAGAAGCCACCGTGGACACATGTGATACGATAGATCGGTGATACCGTCCACGGGTGTCCAGTTCTAACCGCGAACACCCAACACTCAAAGGGTTGGGTGTTCGGTGAAGCCTGTTTGGGGTTTTTGTTCAGCTCCACTTTGAGCGAATTTTACTATTTCTGTTACCCCATACTCACGGTGGTCTTATGGTCGGAACACACTGCCCCTATGACTCGGTAGATCGAAGGATCCACTCACCCTTGGATCATATGTACAATGCAGTCGATCAGCTAATCCGGCCAGGATGACAGAGTCTAGAACATAACGAATCTTCCGTGACTTGTGCTCTTCTGATACGAAGATGACATGGGAATCACGGACTCCAGGATGTATGTTCTATTAGGTAGGACCTTGGAGACGGATGTCCGGAGTCCCCCACTTTGCAACGCTGAGCGGGACAGTCTCTTCCCGAGCCTGCCTAACACGTGTTGCGTCCTCTCGTATGGTTTGATATTCGGCTGCTCCGTTCGCATTCGCATTTCCCTTTCACATGTTCCAGGTTTCCCAGTTCTCACCCACATGTTCCCATGCAAGTGTCATGTGGCATGGGGAAATGGCCTCGGCGAATGATCACCTTGTCTTCAAATTAATCTATTGATAAGCATATCAGACCATGACATAGCTTGGTTTCCCATCTGCAGGTACCACTGGAACGTGCAAGGTAGGGCTATCGGGTGAAGTCGGAGGCTGGGAGGTCCCTCTATGTATGCGGGGCTTAGTGCCATCGGGCCTGTCTCCACGATGATCAGGGGGCTTTTTGCAATCTTTTTTCAGTCTTTTTGGCGTCTTTCTTTTTATTATCTAACTTTTCATCTTCAGTATGAGGAAGGTATGCCTGATCACGGGATTGATGCCTGCAGCTCTCCTGCATTCTACTATACACTACTCGCCCGCCATTAGTACATACATCAACAACAGTAGCATTCTCCACTGGTCGGGCACTACGGTTAGAAACTACTTTAGAGCCGTTCAAGATCAAGGAAGTAGACTTTTTCTCTGGAGCAAATAAAGATTCAAAAAGGGGGCGTCGGTGAACGGCCATCTTCCGTTTTTTTTTTGCGCCACGTCTGTTCGGTTTGGCGTGACTCGGCGAAATCACTCGGCATCCCCGTGCCGACTCTCGGGTTCCCTTTCAAGCGGTACGCGGTATTTCGGTGGTAATTGCACCGGCCCGCCACCAAGCCCGCAGTACCTGAATACTGGTAACGGTAATCTAATCTATATTTTCAGCCGAGAATCCCCCGAGGCTGAGAGTCTGGGGTGAGCCGTCGGTGGTACTACCTACTGCAGGTAGATATCCTAGACTCGTCCAGGGAATGCTTGTCTCTACCTAATTTTTCGCATTCGGTTCACCTGCTGATATTTACACGCCCTAGTTGGGAAACGTTTTGCCGCTTGGGTGTCGCATGTAGCGGTGAGACCGGAAATTGTGCCCGGCTTTACGGTGGGGAGGCTGAGCAGCCTCCGTGATAACCGCCTGCTTTTGTCCACTATGGAGTATGGAGTATGGAGTACGGAGCACACTATTCCTCGCCCTCCGTACTAGTACTCCGTGCGTACCGCTGCTATTGCCGTGCGGAGAACGGAGTACGGAGTACTTGACTAATGCGACTCGTACGGAGTACAAGGTCCAAGAGCCATGCTGTCCAGGGACTCTGTACTGCACTGCAGAGTGCACTGCAGAGTCTTGCCCAGGTGCTCAATGCTCAACTAACTGAAACCCGCGAATTGGGGCAAACAGAAGTAAAATGTAAATCCGCCTCAGGCACTGACCCAGACCGATCTGGAAGCGGAAATGACGTTTCTGCCGAAATCTCAAGTGTCAAGTCCGAACGACTAACGGCGCTATTCAAGACGCACACCCTCTAGCAAACCCCTTTACGATCATATTTTGACCCTATCCCATCCATTGACCAATTCCCTCCCATCACACCCACGGACTCCGCAAGGATCCCCAAACCCATTCACAATGGCACCCCCGCGCCAACGCACCGCAGCAATACAAGATGACTCAAGATCCGAAGCATCCAGCGGCACAAGAGAATATCCCAAGCCCAAATCCCGAAGACCAGCAAAAGACAAATCCATCACCAGCGCCCCAGCCGAAGACGAGCCAAGAGTACGCAAACCCAGAAATCTCAAAGATCAAAGATCAAGATCACCCAATTTTTTGTAACTCCATACTAATAATCCCCAGCTCCCCTGGACCGACCTCCCCCTCGAAATCCTCCACTCATACCGCCACCTCCACAAGCTCCCCACCCCCTCCGCCTACGCAAGCGACTACTCGCGCATCGTCCTCTCCCAAGGCGTCGGCCTCCGCTCCCCAACTTCCCTAGCCGCCCGTCGCGCCCAATCTTCAAGATCAGACTCCCATTCCCTCCGCGGCCAAGACCGCGTCAGCAAGGACCAATTCGCCCTCGTCGTCCGAAGACACTTCAATAGCGCCGGGCTCTCGGAACAGGAAACTATCGCTCGCTTCTTGTATACTGTTCGTGAGGAACGGCGCGGGAGACAATTCAGATTGCGCTTCCAGCCTTGATGTTAGCGGGGTTGCGCGCATATGCGTATGCAGGTGCGTGGGATGGGGGGCTTGTTGAGTGTCGATTTTTCGTCTTTTCGATGTTGAGATACCCATTTTCGTTTGTGTTTGGTTTTGGGATTGGGATTGGGACTTGGATTGGGGTCTTGCTCCGTTCTGTCTGCGGTTTGTATTATCTGCTTCCAGGGTTGTGGGGGGTTTGAGTATAGAGTTGGCGTTTTGGGTTTTGTGGATATATAGATATTTTCTTTGGTGTGCTGAGTGTGGTAAGTGTGTACCTATTGTAAATTCTCGGGTTGCTTTTGTGCCAAGCTCAGGTATAGAGCAATTGAAAGATATGATCATGAGATACTAGGTACGTCCAGAGGTCGAGCCAAATTTTGAAGTGGATGGGTTGAGACCTCGGGAGAATATGTAGATCAACATAACTTCGAACACTGCAAATGTTCCACCTGGGCAAGTTTAAACACATTTGCAAGACAGTCATTACACTAGTCACGAATAAGATAATTTCGAGGTCTAGATCCATGGATGTCCGCTGATCCACAGAGCGTCTGGGCATGCAGGGCTCTCCCTGCAGGAATAAGCCTGAAGCCTGCGGAGTTTATATAACGGAACATCCCGAGGTCTTTAAGAACGCATGATGGTACTTGCTACCTAAATAGTATATAATTCATTGTTCATTCACATAAAAACATGGTTTCTCCGAGGAGAAGAAAAAGACAAACAACCGATCCGAACCATCATGACCTAGGGCATACCCCCAGAGATAATCCAGATCACCGAGCAAAAGAAAAAAATCAGTCGAGAGGCACCTCAGTCCTAGGTGCAAAGTCAGTGAACGCCAAAGTATGCCCCGATCCCTCCATTCTCCCCTTCCCATCCTTTTCCCGCGACATCATATCCACGATGCGGTCTGGCCTTATTTCCAAGCGTTGAGCCCGGCCCATGGGTCATTGGGATTCGGCTGTGGTGGCTGGGGCTGCGAGGGTGCCTTGTGATGCCCGTAGGGTCTGCTTTGGGAGTAACCGCCAGGTCCAGAGGGATACATGCCTCCGTTGGAAGGCGGATAGCTGGTCTGCTGTGGCCGGGGTGGGGGTGGGGGTGGGATATAGCCTTGCGGGGCCATGTAGTGAGACGGAGGAGCTGCGCCTGGGGCCGGTGTACTGGAGTTGGAGTAACCGCCGTATGGGTTCGGCGTTTGGGAGAAGTACTGTTGGTTTGGGGGCGGGGAGACGGGAGTCTGGTAGGGGTAGGCCATGGGGTTGTATCCTTCCGAGAGCGGGGCGGCGGCGCCTTGTTGGAAATGCTGCGCTGGCGGGTAAGGGGCCCCCATGTACTGTCCGTACGGTGCAGGAGAGTGCGAGGCGAGGGGAACGCCGTGGCTTGACATGGTGGGTGGGTAGCGAGGTGACATCTTCGGGGATGGGCCTGTGGTTCCATATGCCGGCGCGTGGACTGGTGGAGGCGGCGACTTGACTTTGGATGGTGCAGCACCAGATGCTGTGGAGGGCGAGGTTGATGGGTTCTTGGGATCCGTGGAAAGGCGCTCCATCAGCTGGCGTAGCTTCTCCCGCTCGCGGTCGTCTTGTTCGGACGTACCGCTAGCCTTCTCGCGCTCGATTTGACTCAGAAGCTGCGCGCCTTCGGACCGGCGGTTGTTGATAAAGGTTTCGACGTTTTTACGCAGACTGTCGACATTCTCGGTCATGTCCCTGTAGAATGTCCGTGCCTGAGTAATGCCCGACGACAGGCCGTTGAATGCTTCGTAGACCTTTTTATACCGAGCCATCACGGAGTTTCGTTGGCGTGTGATGGACTCGTACTTCGATTGCTCAGATTGAACCCTCTTATCTTGCAAAAGGTCGCCATATATCTTGGTGAGCTCTTTCATCAAAGATTGTTGTTTATGGACCGCCTGTAGAAGCCTGTTCTGATGGGGCCGGAACTTTTCCAGCTCAGCATCAAAGAGCTGCGTCTCCTGGCCGGTAATGGACTTTTTGTTTAAAATCAAGACGTTCGAAATGTCGTCGTTGTGAACCTGTATCAAGAGTTAGATAGTGGTAACACAGTTTTGAGGGAATGCGCACCTTGTCCTTTAGGTCCTTCAGTACTTGAGACCTCTCTCGCTTTACAAGATTTAGTTTTTTCAAGATTTCCTCCACTCTGGCAATCTGTTCTGCGACAGATGCACCGCCCTCATCATATACATCATCCAAAAGGCTGCCTTCTGCAGGACTAGCGACACCATTCCTGCTTTTGCTCTGTTTCGAGCCGGCTTTGATAAGGGCGCGTTGGAAGAGTACATCAGCCTCGTCGGTTTCTCCGGCAGATCGCATTTCATCAAAGTCACTTTCGTACTGTCGGAAAGTAGAAGAGAGCTGAGAATCACTCGCACTCGCCTCGTTCACAGTATCACGATAGGACCGTACATCTCCGCGGAGGGTAGTATTGAGCCGAGAGCTGGGTTGTTGACTCCAGTCTGCGCCATACTTGGATCTCATCTTCTCGCATACGCTTTCCTCCATATCAAGCTGCTTTGAACATTGGTCTAGCTGGGACAGCACTTGCGCCTTGCGATCCTGCAGCTCGTCAAAAGCACTGTGAAACGGCTTGTGGCCGGCAAGTTCCGAGCACCAGCGACGGAACTCTTCATCGACTGACATCTCTTGGTTCATTCCACCCTTCAAGATATTCAGACTGCCTGGTAATTTGAGATAATCCAGACTAGCGGCCATCTCGCCATTGGCAGTCTCAACCTTCTCGGTTTCGGCTCGAATCAACTTGGCCTTTTCTTCGTCGTACAAGCTGGCAGTTTCAGTGACAGACATGGGCACCAGTTTCTGGAAGATGTCTGGTCCGATGATCCGCTGAATGTCTTGGCCCTGATACAACTCGCTTACCGGAATTGCTTTCGCCGCAGGCAGTTTGGCAACCGCCGCGAGGCCAGCTTCGTTGGGGACTGGCTGATGGTAGATGAAATCATTATCCTTGACCATGGTAGCAAGCTGGGCTTGTACGTTGGTTTGGTTGTGTTTGATGAGATCTAAGAGGATGGGTCCTGACTCTGCGGTCATGTTAGAGGTTGCCGGGGCCGTGGAGGGGAATGTTTTCGCCCAGCTCAGAGCAGTGACGGCCTGCTTGTCGGCCATTTGTAGACGCGCAATCGCAACACCATGCGACCCACTCTCGCTGTCTGCAATGGCCTGGTAATAAGATGCAACCGACGCCATATGCGCTGCCTTGGCTTGGACCACGATGGTCCAGACCTTATCAAACACATTCTTGCCAACGAAATCTTGCATGGTTTCGGCTCCCTGTGAGTAGAGATAGGCTGACTGCGCAGCCAATTTGGCCAAGAACCCAGGCTTCTTCTGATCCGTAACCTGCTTTTCAAAGAAGACTTCCTGGGCTTGGGCTAGCGTCACATGGATCAGTGTTTTCACAGTGTCCCGGTTCAGGTCGGTTGACGGCGCATGCAAGAAGTTCTCATTTATATAGGTAAACATTCCAGCAGATGCCTGGAAGGAGTGATATGCGGTCTTGACACCGGTGTCGTCCGCCCAGTTCTGATTGGCGGCATGGCAGGAAAGGACAGCGGATATGTTGAAGATGATAGATGCCTTTTCGTAGGCCAGCGAATATTGAGAAGTAGGCTTCTGAGTAAACGCGTCGTACCTGAGAGTGACAATTTTGATTAGCGCAAGTAATATTGGAGGAGGCGCAAAACACGTACCAGGTAAAGGAAATCTTGATGTGGTTCTCGTCAACTGGGAACCTGAGGTCCAGTAGCTCCAGCTGACCATAGTACCGGTACAACAAGTCGCGACCGGTAGCGCTGTCCTTCCCTGCGCCTCTCATATCCTGGCGCAGGCGGTTGAGGGTCACGCATTCCTGGCTGTACCGTTCGGGGTCTTCGCCATAGGTCTGTCGGATGTAATCCTTAAGGGGCTGGACCCAATCGATTTCGTTTGTCTGCTTCAGCGGACACGACAACATAGGTGACTGAACCATGTTGTCTGTCAGGAGCTATATGCTCCCATGCAAAAACGCTGAACTGAAACAGGCAAGACAGGGGTTGAGAGCTCGAGATGCTGAGGGGGCCGGAGTCCAGGGCTGTGTGTGGGGTAAAGGGAGGCGGAAGGTCGGCGCCTGATGGCAGGCCAATGACGTCGGTCTAGTGGGTTCCTAAACAATTGAGGGAAATGCGGTCTGAAGCAGAGACAGTTCAAGAAGAACAGAGTTGCCTGGAGGGTTGGAGAGAAGGGAAAGTGGGATGTGTCCGTGATGACCTGCGAGGCGCCCACACCCAAAACAGAACGACTATAGATCTGCCAATTAAGAACCGCACAGGAATGTTTCTAAGTAACAAATGACATTGGAAATAAACCAAAAACAAATATACAGCCAGAGGAAGTAGAGAGCTTCGTGGTTATTTCTCACTAAAAATACAGTATCCTGCCCCTAGACCTGGGCAGAACAGGTCCCCAATATCGCCGACGCTATGACATGGGTGAGGTAAATACAAACAAATACAATACATGATTTACATTTTGGTTTAGGACTTTTTCGAGCTGTCATTGCCGGTTTGGCTGTCAGCATCCTTAGAGTCCTTGGAAGGGGTATCCTTGTCTTGACTGGGCTTAGACGATTCGCTGTTCTTCTCTGTCAGGCGATGCCAGACAGACTTGAGGAACCCTTCGTTCTTGTTGGCTTCATCAACACCGCTGGGACTGCGTTGTGGGTCAGCACATATCTCAGAATGTGTCAAGGGTTCGGAATCATACCTGTCCTTGCTGAAGTTCATTGTTCGCTTGGCAGTCTTGTCATTCATCTCATCTGCCAGAACCTCCAAGATGGTACGCTGGTTGCCGGTGAGATACTTAGGCATGGCGACCTTGAATTCGACCTTGAGATCACCGTTGGGAACACCGCGTATGCGGCCACCCAGCTTCTTCATACCCATTCCGGACAAAGTAATCTTGTCGCCAGTTCCCGTACCCGTGGACACCTTCACCTTCACCTCGGCGTCGAGGGTTGGGATGGTGACCTCACCACCAAGAATAGCAGTGGTAAGAGGGATGGTGGCCGTGTAAAGAACGTCGGATCCAGAGCGGTTGAAGCGGTGATCCGGAGCAACTCGAATGGAGACATATAGATCACCGGGCTGAGTGCGAGAGCCCGGTGGAACGGCTGCGCCGGTGGGGGGGTTGTCACCCTCGCCGGTCACTCGCAAACGCATTCCGTCCTCAACACCACCAGGGATATCGACCTTGATGGTCTTGCGCTCCCTGGTCACACCGTTTCCGTTGCAAGGACTGCACTCGGATCCACGGGGCACAGACATACCGGCACCACCACAGGCGTCACACGTAGCGGCGACTTGGAAGCCACCCTGCATGAGATGAACGCGGGTACCGGTACCGTTGCACTGGCGACATTGGGATCGCTTAGCACCGGACTTCAGACCGTCTCCCTTACAAGTTCCGCACTTGGTCAAGGGAGTGATGACAACTTCCTGGGTCGTACCCTTGGCGGCTTCCATGAACGAGATGTTGGTCTGTACTTCGATATCCTCACCGACCAGGATCTGCTCCTGGAAAGGATTGCGCCGACCCCGGGGTCCACGACGCGCACCTCCAGTGAAGGCACCGAAAAGATCCTCAAAGTTGATGTCTCCCGAGAAGCCGCCGCCAAAGCCACCACCACCGAATCCACCGCCAAAGCCGTGGAATCCTCCGGCGCCGGAGAATGGGTTTCCGCCGGCGCTGGGATCGAATCCACCATTTTGGTCGAAGGCAGCCGAGCCATACTTGTCGTAGTTCTCTCGCTTCGTTTTATCGGACAGCAATTCGTAGGCGGTTTGAGCTTCGGCAAACTTATCCTTTGCCTGTGCATCCTTATTAGTGTCTGGGTGGTACTTCTTGGCCAGACCGTAGTAGGCCTTCTTGATGTCTCCGGCGGAGGCCTTCTTGTCGACGCCCAGGACCTTATAGGGATCCGCGACTGCGGAAAGAGAAGATGTGGTGTGGAAAGTCTGTTTAAGAAAAAGCTAATTAACGAACCAGGACAACAAAGATTTGCGGTGACGACCTACCCGAGCCGACATCACCAGTGAATCTTTCCGCTTGGACGCGCCCTCCCGAAGACGCCTAGCCGGAGAAGCGGAGGCCGCATGATAAGTTCTGGTTTGGTTGGACGAAGCAATTCCGTTGCTGGAGGTACATTGTCGCTGTGTTCGCAAGAGACGCGCGGGGACGGCCGCGGCCTTGGGGAATGCCGTAGATGGATTCATGGATAGTAATTGCCGAACGACGGTTGGACAGCAGTTTGCCGATGCCCGGATGAAAAGAGGTGTGTCTCTATGAAGAGCAGAAATGAAAGAACGACAATTCCAACACAAAAAGCCACCAGTCCGGAGCACCAATGACCTTCCAATACCAATGTTGAACTCGAACTTGACTCTCCTGACGAAAGAAGCTTCCAGTGCGTCCCCCAAGATTTCCGGATAAACGTGGCTCCGTCACCCGAATTATGATGAAAGATGCTGCTTACCGAAGCAGCTCCACGGGTGCTCCGACTACGGAAACCCAGCTTCCACTCTGCCCGTTTGTGCCTATTACTTATTGCTATCTTTCTGGAGCTGTGTCACGGGCCGCCACAGTTCTTCCATCCCCTTCATTTTCATCCCCTACGTCCATTGCTCGGTTTATACCTGATAGTCAAGGAGCATGCTCCGCGGCCAGACACTCCCCTGGAGAGCTGCGCTCCACCAAACGCCTCGACCTCTCCTCCGACGGCCGTTCCTTGCATCCCCGAGATATAATGCGACCTTTCGCTCGACACTAAGCTCGGCCCGGCTTGGTAACTCAATCCCGTCGACCTCCCGGGCCTTCTCCATAAGCTCCATTCGGCGGAGAGAGAAGCCCCCACCAGAGGATCCCAAGGACGAGACAGAAGAGGCGGAAGAGACACAGACCACAGAGGAGCACAAGGACACAGAGCGGACTTCTGAATCCCGGAGAAAGGTTGCCGAGGCAGGCAAGAATATTCCTCCAGCAGATCAGCCCACGCGGAGAAAAGAGCGGTCATCCGACAAAGAGCCGCGCGGAGTAGAAGAAGAGTCTAGGAAGGACGCCAACGCACCAGATGGCAAAGGGAACAATACTCCACCAGCCATCCCGCCGAGTGATGCCCCCACGGACTCAAAACCCAGCGGCGCAAGCAGTGGCGGTAGCAGCGGAAATGATGATGGTGGGAAGAAGGGCAAGAAGGGCTCTGGAGAGAAGGCGCTTCAAAAGCCCGCTGTTCCAGATGTCTACCCTCAGGTTATGGCTATCCCCATTGCTAAGCGCCCGCTGTTCCCTGGATTCTACAAGGCGATCACCATCCGCGATCCGAATGTCGCCGTCGCGATCCAGGATATGATGAAGCGGGGACAACCTTACGTTGGAGCTTTCTTGTTCAAGGATGATAACGCCGACGGCGATGTCATCGAAAATCTGGACGATGTTTACGATACTGGTGTCTTTGCTCAAATCACCGCCGCCTACCCTCTTCGCGGAGAGGCTAGCGGAGTGACTGCAGTTCTCTACCCTCACCGCCGCATCAAGATCTCCTCCCTCCTCCCACCTAACGAGAACGTCAAGGGCGCTACTCCACCTCCCCCACCTACTTCCGAAGAAAAGACGCAGGAGAAGCGAGGCGATGTCGTGGCCAGTTTCGAAGAATCCGTCCCCGAATCAGCCCCCAAAGACACACAAGAAGTTACATCTTTCCTGAAGAAGCACCCTGTCAGCTTGGTCAACGTGGAAAATTTGATCGAAGAACCCTTCGATAAGAAGAATGCTATTATCCGTGCAGTGACGAGTGAGATCGTGAATGTGTGCAAGGAAATTGCCACCTTGAACCCATTGTTCCGCGATCAAATTTCTGCCTTCTACACGGATCAGTTCCCAGGCAACCTCAGTGATGAGCCGGCTAAATTGGCTGACTTTGCCGCCGCGGTCTCTGCCGGCGAGCTTCATGAAATGCAGGAAGTCCTCGAGACAATGAACATCGAAGAGCGTCTTCCTAAAGCTCTTGTCGTTCTGAAGAAAGAGCTGATGAACGCCCAACTGCAATCCAAGATCACCAAAGATGTCGAGGCCAAGATTCAGAAGCGCCAACGCGAATACTGGCTCATGGAACAAATGAAGGGCATCAAGAGAGAGCTTGGTATTGAGTCCGATGGTAAGGACAAGCTGGTTGAGAAATTCAAGGAGAAGGCCGAAAAGCTTGCTATGCCAGAGGTTGTCAAGAAGGTCTTCGATGAAGAGATCAACAAGCTCGCCCACCTCGAACCTGCTGCATCTGAGTTCAACGTTACCCGCAACTACCTGGACTGGCTGACCCAAATTCCATGGGGTCAGAAGAGCGTGGAAAACTTCGGTATCAAACATGCTGTGGGTGTCTTGAATGAAGATCACTACGGACTGAAGGATGTCAAAGATCGCATTCTTGAGTTCATTGCAGTTGGCAAGCTTCGTGGAACTGTCGAAGGAAAGATTCTCTGCCTTGTTGGACCTCCTGGTGTCGGAAAGACCAGTATTGGAAAGTCGGTGGCTCGCGCTTTGAATAGGCAGTACTACCGCTTCTCTGTCGGTGGTCTGACCGACGTTGCAGAGATCAAGGGCCACCGACGTACCTACGTTGGTGCCTTGCCGGGACGTATCATCCAGGCTCTCAAGAAATGTCAAACCGAGAACCCTCTCATTCTCATTGACGAAGTAGACAAGATTGGCCGTGGACACCAGGGTGATCCGTCATCTGCCTTGCTTGAACTTCTCGACCCGGAGCAGAATGGCTCCTTCTTGGATCACTACATGGATGTCCCCGTGGATCTGTCTAAGGTCCTCTTCGTTTGCACTGCCAACGTGACTGACACCATCCCTCGGCCGCTTCTGGACCGCATGGAGCTTATTGAGCTTTCCGGCTACGTGGCGGACGAGAAGATGGCGATTGCCGAGAGATACCTGGCACCCGCTGCCCGGGAGCTCACAGGCCTGAAGGATGTTGACGTACAGCTGGAGAAGGATGCCATCGAGGAGTTGATCAAGTCTTACTGCCGCGAGAGTGGTGTTCGTAACTTGAAGAAACAAATCGAGAAGGTTTACCGCAAGGCCGCTTTCAACATCGTTCAGGACCTGGGCGAGGAAGCGTTGCCAGAAGAGGCGGCTTTGACTGAAGAGGGCAAAGCTGCCCAGGAAGAGTCCAAGGAGCATGAGTCCGCCGATCCTGCCCAAGTTCCCATTGAGCCAGAGAAGTCAACCACAGAAACTCCCCGGTTGGCCCTGAAGGTTCCTGAGAATGTGCACCTCAGCATCGGCAAATCAACTCTGAAGGATTACGTCGGACCTCCGGTCTTCACTGCCGACCGTTTGTACGACCAGTTCCCTCCTGGTGTCACCATGGGTCTTGCATGGACCAGCATGGGTGGCGCCGCCCTGTACGTCGAATGTATCTTGGAGAACGCCCTGAGTCATGACTCTCGGCCTGGTCTCGAGGTCACCGGAAACCTGCAGAATGTCATGAAGGAGTCCACCCACATCTCATACTCCTTTGCCAAGTCTGTCATGGCCCGTCAATTCCCCGAGAACCGATTCTTTGAGAAGGCTAAGGTCCACCTTCATTGCCCCGAGGGTGCCGTCCCCAAGGATGGTATGTCGACTAACCACTTCATTCTCTCTTGAGCCCAGCGACTAACTCTTCTACCTAGGTCCCTCTGCTGGTATCACCATGGCCAGTGCTCTGCTGTCTTTGGCCCTCAACCACTCCCTCGAGCCCACCGTTTCCATGACTGGTGAGCTCACCGTAACCGGAAAGGTGCTGCGGATTGGAGGGTTGCGAGAGAAGACAGTGGCGGCTCGTCGGGCCGGTGCCACCAAAATCCTCTTCCCTGCCGATAACACATCTGACTGGCTCGAGCTTCCCGAGGTGAGTCATTCAATGACTGTCGACTGAACATTGCTAACTCTTTCCCAGAACATCAAGCAGGGTATCGAAGGTCATCCCGTGAACTGGTACTCCGAGGTTTTTGATATCCTCTTCCCCGGTCTCGACCAAGAGGCTGCCCGGACGGTCTGGCAGAAGGCCCTCGCCAAGCCGGAGAAGGGTAGCGCGGACGCTGAATGATTTGTTTTCGTATATACCTGTTGTTTTCTGTATAGCTGTTTGATTTGTGTACATGGCGTCTTCTACATGGGATGCATTGGTCTGGAGTTGTCAGGACAAGAGTAGGCCTTTTCTGTACTAAAGCCAAAAGAAGATTACTCCACTCTCCACGCTTGCTCGAGATCAAAATAGCATATAGCATGGCATATCGCATATGCATGGAAGGAGTCTGTAGTTGACGCCAAAATAGCAGGGCGTGTATGGAGCCCCCAATCAGGCATGAGTTGTCAGGCCGCAACGCATCGAATTTTGATCTGTGCGCGTCTCGATGAATCATTTCACCTTTTTTTTCTTTTTTGCTTTTTGGCGAATATTGACTGTCTGCGATTGATTTCCTGCAAGGTATTTTTGCCTCTTGAAGCCTTGCAGCGGAAGCATCTCATCACCGCTATCACCGGCTGCATAGGGGGGGAACCCAAGAAAAAAATAATAATAAGGAAATATCAGGTTATAAACTCGATCTTGACCGACTTCTTGTCTTCCTCCTCCTTTTGCACCGCCTCTCTTCAAGCCTGGCCCTGCTGGGTTCCCCCAGCCTCGTCCATTGCAACCCGACGTTGTGCGACAAATCTCGAATCCATTTTGCTATTGCTTTATTTTTTTCCCCCGGGGCTTCCTATCTATTTTTTTTGCTCGGGGCGAGAATACAACTCATTTGGACCTGGCCATTTGTGCCAAACGTGAGTGTTCTCCCCTGACCCTGTTTCAAAACCTATGGACGGAGTCTCGGCCGTGTTGGAGTCGTTCTTTGCACGACTAAGCGTGCCGTATGGCCATCGCCGTTCCCAACTGTAGCCAGACGCCTTCGGCTCTCGACAAGCAAAAGCAGAGCATGTGGCAGCGATTGGGTTGGCGGAAATTGCTAGGCCGCGACGATCGAGAATCCGACAGTCAAGATGAAACTTCTGACTCGCGCGCCAAACATGACAACTTGACACGTCGAATCTCGCGAAAGGTTGGTGTCGGACTTCCCAAGAACCCCAAGCGACAAAGTTCCGATCTCGAACGACTGGCGCCTCGGGAGCCAGATCATCGTCGAGCCCTATCCGCCGACCGCCGTCCGATGAGCGCACAACGAACCCGGACTCGGTCTCCACCGCCAACCGACCCCAGACAATCCGCACCCGAGATTCAGTGGCTCGGCCCGCCCACAACCACGGTCGACGATATCGAGAACGATGGAATGGACGATTGGGACGCCTATCACCCCTATCCTGACCCTGACCCGGAACTCGACCCGGAACTCGACACGGACATGGAGATGGAGGATGTCTCGAAAGAAGACCCAATCGATTTAGAGATGGAGTTGGAACAACGATGGATTTTGAATCTCAGCATGCACTTCCGAGATCGCTCGGAGCGCGAGAAGTTCTTCGTGACGTACGCGGAGACTCCCAATCGATGGCGACGAGTCACAGTCTCCTGCGACTACCGTGATCCACCGCCCGGCTCGTTGGAGGAGGAATTAAGGGGGCTCCGATACCAACGCGACAAATGCAGCCGGATCTACGAATCCATCCGGGAGTCCCTGTTGGGAATTCGATTCTACGATGGAGTTACAAACTTGAAGCTTGAGACGAGTGATGGTCAACTGCACGTCTTTGTGACCGAAGATGTAAACGAGGCCATTCCCTACCCTCCAATTTCCAGCATTGGACATTTGGTCGGGGCCCCGATGATTCCGGAACACATGCTACACTTCGAGTCCCATCTGTCCGGATTTGTTTACAAGGTGAATTTTGGTGGCCGTTACTATATAAAGAAAGAAATCCCAGGTCCGGATACTGTGGATGAATTCCTTTACGAAATCAACGCTCTGCATGCCTTGAACGGCATACCGAGCGTGATCCAAACGGAGGGAATCGTGATCGACGAGGAAAGATGTGTCGTGAAAGGACTGCTGATCAGCTATGCTGAACAGGGTGCTTTGGTTGACATCCTGTATGAGAACCACGGAAACACGGAGTTCGTGCGACGCGAACGATGGGCGAAACAGATCGTCCAGGGACTCTGTGAGATCCACGAGTCTGGCTATGTGCAGGGTGACTTCACCCTGGCGAACATCGTAGTGGATGCGGCGGACAATGCCAAAATCATCGATATCAACCGGCGAGGCTGCCCAGTCGGATGGGAGCCGCCAGAAATTGCCGCCAAGATCGAGAGCAACCAGCGCATTTCCATGTATATTGGCGTCAAGACAGATCTCTTTCAACTGGGAATGACCTTGTGGGCACTGGCCATGGAGGATGACGAGCCAGAACGACAACCACGACCCCTTTACCTTAGCGAGGATGCGAAGGTGCCTGACTACTATCGTCGCATTGTACAGATCTGTCTGAGTCCCAATCCACGACATAGGTTGTCTGCCAAGGAACTTCTCGCCATGTTCCCCCAAAGTGTCCACGCAGTATGCATACCGGCAGACCGGCCATTGCACAACATTCCCAACCATACCGGATACTTCCCTGAACAAGACTACAAGTGGTCCCAACAGCCTCCCCCGGGGATCAGGATGGCTGATCCTCAGGGTATGATGCGTCAAGACGACCAATTTTACCCCAAGAACGAATTCTTGGACGCCGCATACCGTGACCTGCAGCAACCAGTTTTTGACAAACATGGCCTCCAAAAATCATCGACCATCACGCTCGCTGAAGCAAATGGTGAAACGGCTTTTTCGTCCAAGCCTTCTTCTTCTTCCACTTTGAATCACCATGATACCCCCAACAACGAAGAATATATCGACTACTCCCGCTATTCCGACAAACCTCCCTATCACACCCCTCAGAAACAGGAGAACGAAGCTATTCCAGCCTCGCACGAAGCCTCAGGAGAAAACCTCCGCGCTCAGCCAGCGGAGCCACTAGCTGCTTTAGATGAACCAGCCAGTGCCAATGCTCTCACCAGGGGCCAGCAGCCCCCCGCCACTCGAAACATGTCGACTGGATCGACAAGTCAACGCCCTCAAGAATTGCCTACTCCTGCGAACGCTACCGGTTCTGCCACCACGGCTTCCAAGCTTACATCCAAACCGCAAGGCGCAAATCAACCAGATCAAAAGGAAACCAAAGAAGAGGATAACCTCAAGCTGTCTTGTTTATCTATCAACCCTGCCCTCGCCTCCCTTCAGACTCCCCAGGGCTCCCAAAGTGCCCCTACAACAACGATCCCGCCTTCCACGCCAACTGAGCGAGATGGGTCACACCAACCGTTTGCAAAATCGACCAACACTAAATCAGCCTTCACTGGGAATTCAACCGCAAGATCTTTGATTGGCTCGAGCTCCTCAGTCAGCCCCAAGGCTGGCATCACTGGCGCTTCACTTGGACTTGGCACCAAGTTCCCAGCGGCGTCCCCTTTCACCAATATGCTAAGGCAGTCTGGAGCGCAGCCGCCTTTCAAATCGGCGGGCGTGAAGCCCTCCACAACCCCATATACTGCAGCCCCATCCGCTCAACCCTCACCACCTATCTCTGCCCTCAATTTCACAAAATCTTGTCTCGTTGATCCAAGCCCCTCCACCGTCGACGCGCGATCAAACAACGAAGCTTCAACTCAAGCCCGGGCAATGGTGATTGACACCAAGTCACCCCAGGCCCCCGATCTAGACTCCTCGTCTCTTCATGGCTCGAGTTTACCCATTAGCCCTGCTTCGCTAGACTCATTGGATCTCAAGCCAGCTGTCAAGGCTACGGCAGGGTCTGCAACGAGAACAAGGGACCTCGATGTCGTTGACGCTAAACCAACACAAACGACTCCCTCGAACTCTACTCCCTCCCTCCGTGAATCAGAACTGCCAATGAGCCCTAATTCCACAAGCCACAAGGCTCGGGCGACGGCTGCCAACGGGTCTCATGTTAAGCCTGGCGCTCATCCCACGCTTCTAAGATCACCGGACTCAACAGCTTCTCTGATTGACTCTCGGCTGCCTATCAGCCCTGCGACTGTGAACTCCAAATCTATCGCAGAGGCCGTCAATCAACCGTTTACGCCGCCCGTGGATGCAAAGCATACACTCCCAAGGCCATCGGATTCAGCGCTATCTCTACTCAGCTCCAGATTGCCCATCAGTCCTGCATCGACAAACTCAGTTCCTGGAACAAGAACTGTGGAGCAAATGCCTCCGAAGCCTACCAACACTGCGCCACCCTCGGTCAGGCCGTCAGGGTCTGTCTCTTTACTCAGTTCGCAGTTGCCGATCAGTGCTGCTTCCACAGAAGCGATTGCTCCCACGAATGCGACGAGCCAGTCACCATGCACACAGTCAACAAGCTCACCGACACTTCTCGATTCCAGCCTGCCAATCAGCCCTGCTTCAGTGAACTCATATATCCCTGCACAGGTCGCAAGCCAGCGACTTTCCAAGCTCATGACCAGATCCGCCCCAGCCGAATCATCAGACTCACCTCTGCTCCTGGGTTCAAGCCTGCCGATCAGCCCAGCATCACTGGATTCGAACCCCGTAGTGACGAATGGCGCATTCCTCCCCAAACCCGTCGATCAAGCTACACTAGCCCAACCCTCCGACCAACCAACTCTCCTCAGCTCGAGTTTACCCATTAGCCCTGCTTTCGTGAACCCGGTCAGCCCGGCTACCGCGGCAGTACCTGCTGCCCATCGGGCACCCTCGAGCCAGGCACCTCATCCGATTCGACACCGGCCCGCAACCTACTTTTCTCGGGCAGCCTCATAGAATCAGGCACTGGAGCCTCCGAAAGCAAAAACATCATTAATATTTGTTATCTCAATCTTTGCCGAATTGGCCTCCAACGACGCCACGAACCCATTTTCTCCGAACGAGCCCCATATTGGGGGCCGAGCACTCGATACCCTTTTGATTTGCTCTGCTTGTACAGTTTATGCCTCGTCGTTTGCCTCGTGTTCATCCAGCTTTCGGATCAATTTACACCGACGGTGGGCGAAACCCCTGGAGTCTAAAAAGTCTTTTTTTTTCCCTCTCTTTCTTTGTTATCTCCTGTTTGCATTTTGGCGGATTTTAATTGGATTTTTATTTTGTTGTTTTGGTAGCTTTGTGTTTTTCATTTCCTTTGTCTTTTGCCATTCTGGATCGTTTGCTTTTTTATCTTATGTTTTTTAGCTTCTCAGCGGAGGCCCTCGTTCTGCGTTCTGGTGTTTTCACCCGGAAGTTGATGTACATTGATGGGATCTTTTCATACCTCTTCTTGTCTGACAGGGCTGTATTATTTTATTTTATTTTCTACGTGACAATGCAGTTTCTTTGGCTATACTTGACTTTCGTGTTAGGATGTGATCCTAGGTCGTATATAGGCAGCCATATGTACGATTCCCGTTGAGCAAGGGTCTCTTGGACTTGGGTATCAATTGATGCCATTCTTAGCGATATCACATCAGTGGAAGATAGGCCTGCAAGAGGTCTGCACAGCCTCGCCGTATTTTTGCGCTACGTCATACTCAGCCTCAGTATCAAGTGAAGCTTAATCAATAGCGAACTAGCGAGCACGACAATTCAGTGTTGCTGTAAGCTACCTAGGTATAGGCATCCCCGGAAACCCCGTATATACAGTTGTCATTCCCATATCACTACGTGTTTTTCATCCCACTTCCCTGTATTGGCGAAGCGCATAGTTCGATGTGCAATTAAAGCTACCCAAAGCATCGTGGCTCTCAACCAACATGCTGCCCTTTTGTCCCACGTAGTCAGAGCATCATCAAGAGCCAGCATCTGACCTGAGCAGGTGGGCATACCCAGTTTCTTCCAAGCGAAGACTTTTATTCCATGTCAAAATGAAGGGGCAACGCCGGGTACTGGTAAAAGGAATCAGGTGCATGTGACTCGTCTCTTTGCATTATTTGTTGAATATGATTCTCTGGACACAGCGCATTTTCTCATTTCGCCAGGCAAGCTTCAAAGCTTTCCCGCCAGGGTTCTACGGATGAGCCCAATCCGCGTCCAATCAGTACAATCTTGCACTGGAGTGGCTTGGACTTGTCCTCTGTATCTATGGGTTCGGCGTCCCTAATTTCAAAGACATCTCGCACTGCCTGAATGATCCTGCTAGTTCCATCACTGAGGATCAGAATACCTTTCAGCCGGTGAATCTCAAAGTTGTCTGGGTGTGGCTCGGCCGAGATCGAAGTCGGAGGAGCTGGAAACTTTGTATCCCACAAAACAGAGCGCAGCCATTCATCCACGCAGTTGACTTTATCTGCTGGAATTGGAGGTGTGACGATGGCAGTCGTAGAAATTGCCTAGCACTGGTTTAGCCCAAAGACACACGACGCAGGATGGTAAATATATGTACTCACCGGATCCATATGGCTGTGACCCTTCTTACTGAAATCGAGATCCGCCAAATGATCATAAGCATGCAAATCCAGCACGACGCCTTCGATCTGCGGCGTGCGGCTATGGTCAGTGACATGGATCTTAGCCACGCTGTTGATGGATGCGACACGATCCCGAACAGCCTCCAGCTCTTGCTCAGTGACAAGATCGGTCTTATTCAAGATAACCACGTCTGCATGCGAGATCTGCATATGCGCCATTGACAAAACGGGTCCACTGCCGTGATCGTGGTGCTGATCGTGAGACTCGGCCTTCTCTTCGGGGGCGGGCTCGTCCAGCAGACGGGTGATATTCTTTGCGTCGACGAGAGTAACAATTCCATCAAGGTAGATAGAGCTTCCGAGCCCTTCGTCCATCCAGAAAATTGGGGCGATGTTACCTGGGTCTGCTAGTCCGGTGGTCTCTAGCAAGATGTAATCGAATGTGCCACGACGCTCCATCAAGGACTCGATGGCCATTACGCCAGTGTCTTTGACTGAGCAGCAGATGCAGCCGTTACCAACTTCCATCCACTCAGTGACTTCTCTGCCATCCTCATTGACGGTCATTGGTTTTTCAATGTCGGTGGCTTTATGAGATGTAAGTGATGGTTCGGTTCCCAAGCGCTAAGGCTTCAAACTCACAGTCACCAAATTCTGTAATAATGAGTCAGTCTTTCGAGCCATTTGCGGACAGTCGGGCTCACGAACCATTCATGATCACGGCGATTTTCTTGCCGTGTTTCTCCGTTAAAATGTAATTCAACAAGGTCGTTTTCCCTGCGCCCAGATACCCTGTTTCAGAAGTTAGCTTTATAGCCCTTATTTCAGACAGATACATTTGCCAGATCATACCAGTAACTAGCGTGATGGGCACTCGAGCTGCAGGTGGTTCTTCAGCCGGCTCTGCTGGCATGGCAGACACATCAATGAGCTCCGGAGGGGCTTCCTCGTCATCAAACTCAGCAGACATGGTGTATTTGATGTAGTGTGATGTGCCCTTTGAGACAGAATCCTAGAAAATGCGGATTCAAAGCTTCGAAACTGTGAGTTTGTAGATGCGGAGAATGACGTTACCAAAATAGAAATTCGGCGCGGGATGGGGGATTTTTTTGCTGGCAGAACTACGGGCTGCAATTCGATGCCAACGTTCTTGAGCAATTTTGTAAATTATATATTGTTACAGGTCCTGGATTCAATCTGGAAGCTCATACCATGAGATTCTAGGCCGTTTTCCTGATCAGTGTTTATGATGATGCGCACGAAGCTATTGGCAATGACAAGCGAAATGGGTGAGGAGAGAATGATCCGTAGTCCATATGTCAAGCTATTTTCTTGATGTAGCTATATACACACGAGTATCTCTTCTACTGACATTCAGGCTCTGATATTCTACAGCTGCAACACAGCACTGGACTATAGAAAGGCGGTGGCTGCAAGAGATGCAGTTAGGGCCCAACGACCCAGGGCGGTCTGGCTTGTTATTATGCTGGCTGCAGGCCTAGACATCTCTCCTTCACTTTTGTTTCATTCTTCTTTCTTTTGGACATTTAGGCACCATTCGCTCCTTATCTACCTCGGTACCTTTTAGTTCCAAATAGCGCCCCTCGTTATTCTACCATGACCGCGGCGGGAGTCTCTCCGTCCAGCTCCCCGCGGCTTCCTAGCCCTCCTCCTTTAACTGAGGTCCAGATTGGGCCTCAGTCGCCATCGATCGGCGAGCCCTTTGGAACGGATGCAGAGCTGCTAGTGGGAGGAGCGGGTGACGATGGCTCGACACGCAGAATTCGGCCCGGTACTCGAGCCGCCGACATGGCTTTTGGCCCGCCGCTGATTCCCCTGTCGCAGGTGAGCTGCGCTCTTCTTATCGTTGGGCTGGAAATTACTGACACGAGCAGCTCGATTCTCCGTTCCAGCTTCAAGAGCACCTCAAAGCTCTATATCACCATTTTACGAAACCCGAAGGATCTGACACGGTGGTCCCAATCAATCGCCAGGTTGCGGTACAGCTAGCGGAGCCCCCCGAGGGAGTCGACCGATCGCTTTGGCTTTATGAGCTGTGTCGCTTCCTGACTATGAAGGTTAATAATCTTATCATCGCCTTTTTCGCCGAAAGCCCGCCCTGCTCGTCGCAAACCTGTCCCGAGATGCGAGCATCCGAATGGCAGTATCTTTGCGCAGTCCACGATCCACCCAAATCATGCTGTGCGATTGACTACTGCTGCCACACGTTGGACTGGGCGACAAATACCCTGACGTCGCCGAAATACTTCCCAAGCCGACTCACCCTGGGCGCCGAGGGCGCCGGGGGCCCCCAGGCCAGCATGAGACATTTGACGAACATCTTCCGCCGCCTCTATCGCATTTTCGCACACGCCTGGTTCCAGCACCGCGATGTATTCTGGGAAGTGGAAGGCCATGATGGCCTCTATGTGTTCTTCAAAACGGTTTGCGACATGTACAACCTCATCCCGCAAGACAACTACACTATTCCTCCCGAGGCCGAGGGCCCTGATGCAGTCCAGCCAGCTGAACAGGAAGAAGTCGAGAGCAAGCGTTTGACTATCTTGCGTAAGGATGAAGATCCGTTCGCCGATCCAACCCTGGGCACTGGCGCAACTACTCGCCGTCACAAGCACAGTCCTTCAACTGGATCCCGGGTCACGACCATTGCCGAAGGTGCGGAAGATTTGGAAGACAGTCCGGAGGACCCCTCGCCCTTGCGCGAAGCTCTTGCACAATCCCCTGGACCACGCCCTATCTCCGTTCTTGAGGTTCCAGCTCCGGTCGACACTGCTTCTGTCGCGGAAGAAGCCGCTGCCCAGGAAGGTGAACCTTCCGAGGAGCCAATTGTGGACTCTGAAGAGCAGCCTTCTGAGCAGCCTGAAGGACAGACCCAGCTAGAGTCTCAAGAGCAGCCATCCGAGGCGCCAGAGGAGCCAGAATCCACGGAACAGCCTGAAACAGAGCAGCCCGAGGCCACGGAACCCGAGGCTGAGAAGCTAGACAACAGCGAGACTGAGAAGCTGCCCGAGAATGTTGACACCGAAAGCGAACAAGTGGCAGCGCCACCTGACGAGCCTGAAACGAAGAATGAACCCGTGTCAGAAGGTACTACTGCATCGGACACCAAGCTTGAACCCGAGAAGGAGTCTTGAGTCCGAGCTAGCCTTGATCCTTCCTGGCCCCCATGCGACTATGTGATGAACCTGCACTGTTTCCGCGCTTTATCTTTCAAATTTCCCTCCCTGGCTTCAGGGATCTGTTGCAATAACTTCTTGAATACACTTTATGTAATATAGCTCAGGATATTGTTTATGGCCAATGTCAATGATACCCATTCCTCAATGTAAGAAGACCTGACGTACGGAGTAGTTCCTTTGACCTGAAGCTAAGCCAAAATATCTGAGCCGCTCGAGCCATACAATCAAGATCTACAGTCCGTGTCCAAGAAGCTTTCGATCAGGAAGGTCTCCCAAGTGCCGCCGACGGAGATCCCGACACGTCGGATAAGGGCTTATCAGTCGAACGACATCATCAACACCTGGCCAAGTTTCTGTCTAAACAACTACACCCGAGATCCAAATTCCCCATGTCAGCCCTCAAAGGCGCCTCGGCGCCGATTCACTTCGGCTCATTTATTGTAACACCGCAGGTACATTCTACATGAACTTTGCCCCAACATCGGGGCATCAGGCCACAAAATCTAAGCAACCCAACAGGTCTTCCTCACAACACCTCTCTCATTTGCTCTCGTGAATCTGAAACCGATCCTTCCCGGCCATGTCCTCGTCTCACCGCGCCGCGTCGTCCCCCGAGTAACAGACCTGACGCCAGCAGAAACAAGCGACTTATTCCTTACCGTGCGTCGAGTCGGCCGAATGGTCGAGCGCGTCTACGGTGCCTCGAGCTTAAACATTGCTGTGCAGGACGGTGTGTATGCCGGACAGAGCGTGCCTCATGTCCATGCGCATATTATCCCGCGCAAGGCAGCTGATTTAGATCATCGTGGTGGCACGGACGCGGTGTACGATTTACTGGATGGTGAAGAAGGGGATTTAGCTAAGGCATACAAGGATGCAAAGGCTGGAGATGCGGACAAGACTGGCGATGAGCCCGCGAATGGGACGGACGCGCAGACCAGGAGATCTAAGTTCCCCGCTGTCGATAATGAACAGAGACGTCCTAGAGGCGAGGCTGAAATGAAGGCCGAAGCTGAGATGCTGGCGCGGGAAATGGAGAATGAACCTCTGGATTAAATCAAGTGATTTCGGTTGTGTGATAGAGGTCGTGCATTTTCGTAACTCGTTCTCTATGGTATCTAGGTCACCTGGAAATATGCAATTGAAACAGTAATAATAGTGAGGAAACGAACGCCGAAAACGCAAATGATTCCCAACTGACGAGTCGAGAGTATGAGCCTGCTGCTCATTTACCTTCCCGCCATGGATATGCAATCTTAGGCTTGCTTGCGTCTCTCAGCAATGACCTCAGCAGCCCAAGCTTGGATCTCCGGCAAACGAATGCGGGATGCAACATGGGTGAACTCAGTAAGATCGACCTCGTTGGAACGCTCGTACTCAACCATCTGCAAGAGCAGCTCCATCTTGTCAATGTCGTGGACGTAGTGAGCTTCCAAAGTCTCGTCGTCCTCGTATTCCTGGAAAACGCTCTTGATCTCCGCGCCGGACAGAGTCCCTCCGGGAACCTTGCCGAGAAGGGTTTGAGTGATGTAGTCCATGACGGCGCCTTCGCGGCGAGCCTTCTCAGCCTTGGTGATGTGCAGGTCGACGGGAGTGATATCACCGACAAGAGCCTCAGCCATGTCATGAATGAGCGCCATCTTTGTGCAGTGAGGGATGTTGATCTTGGTGGCCAGGGACGGCGGGGCCATCATCGTCATGATCGACATGCGGTACATATGATCGGAGATAGATTCGCCATTGATTCCGAAGCGGCGCCAGCCTTCGCGCTTGGTGGTCTTGAGGCGCTCAATCAAGTGGAAGAAGGGAACGGGTGACGTCGAGTTCTCCTCTGGGGGGTGGGGGAGAGTAGCAAGGACTGCGCTGATTAGCTTGGGCTTCATGAGAGGTCTGTCTGAGGCTTACCGGACTCGGGGGTCCACGACGATTCTTCAGAGCCCATGACTGGAGAGGTTGAAGGAAATGAGTGACTGAAAGAAGGAAACAACCCAAGCCCAAGAGAAGAGGGGGAAAAAACAAGAGAGAACAATCGCGGGACTGATAAGACAGTGCAAACAGTGCAAACTCCCGTTATCTGTGTTTACTCGCCGTCCGTTTAGTAAAGTCCCCCTCGACACAGGATGGCTACGTCAAGGCCTGTACGGCCAAAACCCCTGGATTGGCCAGCTCCCTCGCATCTTGGGCTTTTTGTCAAAAATCTAAGACTTCTCCGTCTAGATCAACTTGAGGACTGGCCCGGTATTTCTCTGCGCGCATTGTCCCCGTCGTCGCAAAACCAACGACAACGGATCCGCCTAGTAGAATGGGCTCTGTATCAACTCTACGTCCTTTGGGACCTGGAAGGCGCCCATAATGTATAGATGCCCAACTCTCAGCTTTGGAAGTCTGCTGACCCTCTACGCAGAAACTCCGGCCCTTCTTTCCACCGCTAGAACCCCTACAATCCGTTAACCTCCGCGCGGCTTTATTCCGATGCCTAGGCGAGCTGAAAAAGAATGGCGATCTGGGACGAGAGATTATCGTCCGTAAAACCATGCTGGATGATTGCAGGGGCGAGAAATTCGAAGAGCTTCTTGCTGGCTTCTCGACCGCTGTGCTCCGTAAACTTGTGACGGAATCTGTCGACGACAAGCTACACAACCCTGCTATCAAGCTGGCGACTGCCACTGCTATTACACCGACGGACTATCAGAATCTATTGCCCCTCATTCTCGCCCACCAGACATCCCTGGGTTCGGCAAGTGAGCGCCACACTCGCGTTCGGGATGTTCACGCCCAGTTCTCACAACTACTGGATGAGAGAAAGATTGATCTGACCGGCCGTGCTGGTAAAAATTTGAATGGTCTTGATGCTTCACACGGTGATCCGCAACGTCTCGTCCACGAGGTACAAACGAATTGGCTGGGAAGCCAGAAATGGGCCTCAGCGATCCTAGAGGGCGGGTCGGAAACCAGCACCGAGGCTTTTTTGGAGCTTCCCTTTAAGGAGGCATTAGCACGAGCAGGCGGCACGTCTAGTGCCAATCTCAGCGCAGGGCTGAAGAAAGACCTGATCCTTGATCTGGAGGCTCGGGTTTTGTTGCAGCGCAGCCGGCTCCACAAGTGGCACGAATATAACAAGTCGTTTTCTGGCCGGGATACTCTTGATGGAGCTACTGACAGTTCCAAAGAGCCTCGTGTGACGTTCCGTGATCATCAGTCCCTCACAGTTGCTAGTATTGCCAAGACTGTTCGCCAGCCCGGGGATCGCGGTCGGGGTTTGAAAGGTGCAGACAAATATCTCCTATCCTCTGTGTATGAGACACTTGCTCGTGTCAATGGCAAACCATCTGGAAACCCCACAAGATCAACACCTGCGGCAAGAACGGTCACTCAGCGCGCGTACAGGCGCGCACCGGATGTTGTCCACTCGCCAAACATAGAGACAGACGAGGATCTCAGCACTCCAAGCCCTCCGCCAGACATCGCAGAGTCAAGTCCAGACTTGAGCTCTCCCTCAGAGCCGCTGCAAATAGAACCTGAGCTTGAGCCTGAGCCTGAGCCCGCGGCAGAACCTGAGCTAGAAGCCGAGCCAGAAACAAACACGCTCCAGTCATCCACTCCAATTGTCCGGCTCTCTCCCGACCTCCCGACCGCATCCCCGTCGGATGAAGAACCCCATCAAGAGCCTGTCAAAAACACCAGAACCTTGGCCGAGCGTACTCGAAGATCGATGTCCCTTCTTCCACCTCAGCACCATGACCCACCCCGTCCACGCAGAGGGCCACGACCTTCTTTCCCGGTCAATCAATTCGTGACACCTCGAAAAGCGTCCGGTCGTTCGAGCAAAGAGATTTCTCGCGCTTCGACCCCGCAAGATCAGCTCTTCGAGGAAGACGCCGAGTATGCGAGTGTCTTCAAATCCAGACCTCGCGTGGCTCTAAGTCCAATCTCTTCTCCGGCCGTCCATGTCAGTCCCTCGTACGAGGACGAGAATTTTGTTCTAGATGAGGGCGATAGCGCCGAGTGGGATGTTACTGATTCTCCCTCGGCTGCTCCTCGGTTCAGATGATGGTGAACAAGCGAGACAAAATGTAAACTCTTAGCCCTACGCTGGTTATAAATACGAGCCTGAGCATCCTGTACTTAATTTCGGGTAATATAGTAAATAATTGTTAAGTTATGATAGCATTTGGCATTTGCAAAAAATAAAGATGGTGTCCTACGGACGTTATGGCGGTGGTTTTGGGCCGAGCTACCTAGGATCATGTACGGAGTATCTGGGATGGAATCAGTGAACCGGTGGAGAGCTTCCCACTTGGGTCCAGCGAGTGCATTGCTACTTGCAAAAGAACCACCCTCGTCCAACCAAGTTGTGTAAGCGGTAGCAGCAATTGAAGTGAGGCTTGAAATGTAACTCATCTACCTACCTAGGTACCTAGGTAGGTATGCGGATATCTTGAATGAGATGTGTATACTCCACTATCCCCAAGGAAGTAAGTTTCCCCGGTCGCGAGACCCACATTACCCGCAGAGAGCACGCTGATTGGTCCAGTGACCACACAACAGAGCGCAGAGTAGTAGATAACAAAGAGAAGGTCTATACCAGAATGTAAATCCCCCGCTGTAGGAAAGACCGGCGTTGCCGTAATGATCCCAATAAGGGACTCCAGACGGTGGCGCAGGTCTGCCACAGTGGGTAGCGGGGGAGCTGGGAGCCAGGGGTTCGAACCCGCCGACCGGCAGGTCTGGCGGGATCGGCCCTAGAGTTCCCAGCCATAATGTTTTTTTTCTTTACTTTCGTTTTGTACCCTTTTTTTCCCCATGATATTGAGCGCTCATAACGGAGAATCTATCCAGAGTGGGCTGTGTGGGTCTGCGGGAGATCTGCACCCGCCATACAAATTGCGGCGAAAAATGCTCTTTCGGGATCCGAGGACCTCCCAGAATTTGGAGTGGACCATACCATTTGCGTAAAATATGAACTTCCCCGTTCTAAGAGCCCTGGATGGTGTTCAAATCTAGGTCGGCGTTCATGGATGTAGGATCTCCAAGTTCCAGAAAATATATTCCTACCTAGGTAGTATGAGACTCAAATCTACAATATACTCTACCAGTTGCATAGGTATTCTGACGAGGTAGCTCCGACTCGCGAGGTCTTGGTTTTCAAGGTTTCTCAACAGCTTATCTAGCAAAGTTATCATCCATGATAGTTCAAGGTTGTTGAGCAAGCCATAACCTTGAAACATTGGAAATTGACTGCTTCTGGACTGGAATAGTATGTTTGAATTGATCCTCCGTACATTGAATATCTATAAGAAAAGCAAGGGCCCAGGCAACTCAGAATCCACCATTAGTGGGAGGCTGGTTTTCCTCAGACAAGCATCTACACTACTTCTAGGTAAGATTCGCACAATGTTCGTGAGTCGAATGTCAATAAATTAACATTTTCCGGTATTAATCTACAAGGAAAGGCTGCTTCATATTTCCCAAGCAATTACCGAGCTTCAAGCAGAACATATTTCAGTAAAAGCCCTCACATCATCTCCCCTCTCTTTCGTGACCACAGATCATCACTGGTGACCATGTAAGACCGATTGGTCTGAATACCCCCCGTAGAAGCCAAGAACCGCTTAATAGTTCGTCGCTGGTCCTGTCGGACTATATTTGTGACCGGGGAAGTCATTGAACAGACTTTGATCAAACTTGCCAAGCTCCGGGCAATTGAGCTTATCAAGAAGTGGCGAGAGGAAAGGCGTCAAGAATGAAGTCGCGTTGTTGATTTCCTCCAATGGTCCCTTGAGGAAATGGGGGATACCTTGTTGAAGAAGAACAAACGCGAAACACGCAAAGTTGTCGCCTTCAAACAGGTTTTTGGCATTCAGTACGCCATTCGTGAGATCTTCAACATTGACACCAGTGAAAGAGTTGACCTTTCCGGTGTTTCCGCCAATCTTGAGGGTGTTCGGGTATGCCAGGTATCCGATGCCAACATCCACGAAGACATCGGCCAAGTTGTATGGTGAGATCGTGGGGCGTTTGTACCAATTCTCAGGAATACGTTCCTGGCCCCTGTTCCACTTGAATGAGCCTGGGGAGCCAGTCACACCAAAGAATTGCTTGAAGTTGTAGCCATCCTGTCTCATGTTAGATGCGTGACACCTGTTTTGGGACAAGACAATTTACCAGATATCCGGAGGGATGTTCCTCGGAGTGATTGGACATGAAGTTGATGACGAAGTTGTACGCTGCAGGTACAACCACTACCGTGGAGAATGCGCCGGTGAAGTAGTATGGGTTGGTGTCAATGGAGTGCTGCTGAACCTCCTCGAACCGACTGCGGAATTTGTCGATAGTGTAACGCTGGTCATAGCCCTCTTCCGAGGTATCGTTTCCACCAACGGCATAGACAGCCTCGAACTTCTCGATGGAAAGCGAGTGAGCATCTCCGTTGTTAGTGAAGGCATCGAGGCGTCCAATCGAGCTGTCTCCCTCGTAGCTATTGTGTGAGTAAGAAAGACCTTGACCATTTCCGAGGATGGGCACAAGAGGATCAGACTGCTGAGGACCACCGATGGACCAAGTTCCACCGAGCAGGTCACCATCAATCACAATTGCATATGCTGCGAGAGCGGCGGCTAGATCGATTCCCATGTTGTACACTGATCATATTAGCCCAATCAGGGTGGCTGTGGCACTTCAATGTTATCTTACATTTGTTCATGCCACGCACAGTCTCTTCGATTGAAGCAACTCCAGAGCGAGGCAAGTAGCCATGGTTGGCAGCGGCATTGAGTCCGGGGCAGGGACCGCGGATTTCGTCTTCCCCAGGAGCTGCGTAGGCATGTTCACCCTCGATGGACACATATTGATCCTTGGCATCGAATGCAGGGCATGGTATGGTTGGTCCGCAGTTGGTCTCTGCTCCGCTGATGCCCAGGGCATCTTGTGGAAGAGGCAACGAGCGTCGCACATTTTGAGCGGCTCTAGCGGCCTGGGAATCCTCTGCTTCCAGGATCTTGACGGTTCGCGCAGCAAGCTTAGCAGCCTTCAACAGCGCAGCTTCATTGACGGTATCAATGGCTGGGAAGGCTGAGGCTACCGCTGCTAAGGTAGTGAGAGTGAATGAAAGCTTCATGGTGTGTACCAGAGCAAGTTGGAATGTATTATGGGATAATTTGAAAAGTCTTTGCGCGCTTTCACCCTTAAATACCTTGCGATGCGTCCGCAAAGGACTCAAGATTCAAATCCTGCAGGTATGAGCATTTGGAAATTGATATTGCATCAGAATCCAATCTTCCGGATTTCCCACCATCTCCACCCGTTCGCTTGCCCCTGTTCCTGACGAAGAAACTCAAATTCCACGGACGAAGAGTACCCCAAGCATTGCCTAGAGACTAATTCTTACCTGCATTCCGGTGATGAGAGCACAAGAGAAGGCTGTATTGCGCAATAAGTCTGGCCATCAAACTAGTAAAGTGACATCTGACGGCGAGCAGTCTTGATTGGACGCCTCAGGGCAGATCTCGACAGATTTGTCTGTGACCCAAGCCATTGAACAAGATGCTTTCGGTCGAGAAAGAAATCAGGATCACCGATGATATGCGCTTTGGGTCCCAAATGATCATTGTCTGGTATTAGGGCTGTGAGAGTTGACTGGCGAATTAACTTTTCTAGGATTGACCTGTTAAGGAAGAGATATACAAGATGACTGCGAGCGATAGTGGCTAGAACAACACATCATCAAGGTTTTTGCGATTATTGTAGATAGATCTTCAGCATGAATTCCACATACTCTTAGTGGTGGAATGCTTAGCATCGTGATTGTAGAGCCAGAAGGCGTGCATAACCAACCCTTGAAACTAGTTCGAGCGGAGGAGGATGATGTATAGGCATTGGGGTAAAACTCAGGATAGAAGTATCAAAATCCTACTTTCAATCCTCAAACAGCCATGAGCCTATACACATGGAGTTGCTTCCGAATGTTTGTATATCCCAGGATACTGGTGCACAGATGCGAGTGACACAGCACGTTACTTCCATACCTATCTCTTAATGTCAGGGGGTTGACAGTATCAAACTCAATTAGCTCTCTGCATTACCTCCGGTCCTGTGCCTTTTTCCGCGGCTCTGTGTCAGGACTAGATCGGCGAATCAAGACCACCCGATTACTGTGGCTTGCCTCTGTGATCTCATCAACTAAATCTCGGATTTATACGAGATAATCGATATGGGCTTGCCAAGCCATGCTTATATGCATTGAAGTGGGCCTGGAAAATCAAATTGATATAAAATCAGGTACATTTAGTGGCGTTCAATCCACTAGGGTGGACGGGGTGCTCTAGCGTATGCATCCCCGGCTCCAGGTGCACGTCACGGGTACAATTAAGCCCCAATACAACCCAATCTCCTGAACCAGAATATACCTAATTGAGAATCCAATCATGCTGTATCCATGGACTATGTAGCGCATTCTTAATCGCCTACTGTTATCAGTACATACAAGCCATCTCTTCGATGCATGCTTTTAGCCCTTGACCACGCTGGCAAGGATTGGGATGCTTTGACCACCAAGTATCTAACGGTCGTGTGATTGGCGAGCGTCAACTTTGATAATTGTGGGATTGTGGCTGCATATTGCGAACAGATTGATCGACGGTGTAAGTCTGCGCCCCTAGGTGAAAACCGTCGACGAAAATGTTCATCTTCTACTAGTTGTAAATTTTGATCTACACAAATAGACTAGAGCAATCTAATGGAGGATTCGAGGGGAGAATTCCTCTCGGTGAGATTAATGGGCGATCGTTAAACGTCAGCGATGCCCATGAAGGCGTGACTCTATATCCAAGCGCACTGACCACTTGTGATACTCCACAGTGGAGGCAGAACATCGGGCCAAGAATGCTTCTCTGGTTGTTGAACGAGTTAAAAGCTCCCTTTTACACAGCAGAGGTAGGGCCCCAGATGCTAGATCGTCGGGTTGAGCTCGCTCTCGCTCTCGCTTTCTGGTTAACCGCGAGTCAAACATCCACAGATGATAAGCTTGCAAATCGAGTTTCTGTCACATCATCGAGTGAACTATGCTTGAATTCCAATAGGGGTAAACAGTCACACAACTTCTGCTTACATTTGCCTGAAAGAGGCCCAGAAAATGCATACATGTCCTGGGTTCTAGTCGATTGCTGAATCCCACTGAGATCAAATTCCGAACTGCTTGAGCCCACAGCAGTACTTTTCCTCATACCTCCTTGACCAAGACACTTCTCGAATTTTTCAAGATGAAGTTAACGCAATTGGTCCTTCTCTTTACCACCGTTGGTCTATCCCTCGCATCCGGCTGCCCCTTTGCCAAATTTGCGAAAGCTGGCAGTGACGGAGCCCCAGAGGTTGACCATGACAAACTGGGCGAGCTCCTCGCCAAGATGAAAGAATACATCCAGCACGATGATGCTTCCTTGGATGTGGAAGATTTTGCCTCTCGGCATCCCGATCTCAAGGCTGAACTGTAAATACAATTTACTGGCCCCGAAACACATGCGGAATGCGACAAACAACAACCTCTTGTCTTTGATTGATAGTAGCTCTTTGGAAGCTACTCATACAGATCTTGGGATGAAAATTTCAGAATTCAAAGGATTGAACTTGGGCTCATGTATATAAGGTGTATTGTGTTGTTATTTTTGGTTTTATTATTCCAAGGTTTATGTGAAATGATTCTCTCGCTCTGGTATTGCATAATGATTTACCTCTGGAGTACCCTGTCCACCTGGGCATTTCTCTAACACCGACTGCCTCCATATACTAGGTACCGAGCTATTAATTACATGTCCTCCAACCCAAATAAGTCCCCCCAAGGTCGAAAGATCATTCCAAGGTTTGAGAATTTCAAATCTCGCTGCGAACAACCCCTACCTACTTAGGTACACAGCTTCCAAAGTGGCTCTTGACATCTATTCTGTTTGCTTTTTCTTTCCAAAGACTCGGGAGGTATCTCCCAGCGGTAAATCCACGAGAGACTCCTTCAACAGCAAATGGAAAACAATATACCACCCAATCAAGCCTGCCAGAAAACAGAAAACTCCACCTGACTTTTTCAAAGCAACAGCTGAAGCTGCATGTCCATCAGCTAGGGCAAAATAACTCGCCGCCACGGTCAAGAATCCAAGATCCACAAACAAAAAGACCAAGATATAAGCAACGTTGCTCGGGATCGACGCAATCAGAAAAGTGAACACGAACACAGTCCACAATATCATGAAGAACCCGACCGCATTATTGTATTCAGGAGTTGAAGCGCCACCATACGCCTGTGCAACCCCGAAGGCGGGTGTCAGAATCGCGCCATAGCCGGCATAGAAAAGGCCTGATTTTGATGTTAGTGGTAAACGCAGATGAAGCTCAAAAGAAAACTCACCAAAAGCGCTGAAAACGGTGTAGGCAAAGCCATTACCAACGGACAGCTCCCATTGTGCAGTCACAACCAGGCCAAAGGCGGCAATGAAGAAGAAGTTCCCAACGAAGACATTTGCTGTTGTTACTCCTCGCCATTCCATCAAACTGAGGGAGAGAGTCGTGAGAGTTGTGCCGAATGCCCCCAGAGCCAGAGCAGACTAGCATATAATATCAGTGATCTGAAATCAAAGCTCAGGGAAGCGACACTTACGCCCGCACCGAGGGATTTGGGAAGCTCTGACACTAATGCACTCTCTCTTTGTTGCTCGGTATCAAACACTTTGCTGGTGCTGTGTTCTCCATTCTGTAAGTCTTGGGTGAAGGAAGAGGTCATGATACACGACAGAAAAGTTGGTGGGCTTTAGATCGAAGTAGAATGAACAGGTGGAGCTAGATCTGGGGGAAGGGTTTAGATCTTGAGCTTTTTTAAATTAAATCATTCACCCCGGGGCCCCTTTTCAAAATTTTCTACCAGCAGACCAGATTGATCGAATATCACCTAATGATAGACTTTAATTGCGACCGGAAAGACCCAAGTATGGAGGTGAGTAGCCTGAAAAGTATCGTATCCCAACGTTGATCATTTCTAGGCAAAGAATAAGAAATTGAGACTCAAATGATGAAAGCCTTGGCCCAGAAGTCTAGAAATACCAGTATTGCCCTAAATTCCAAGACTCGGGGGGTGATCAACATTTCGGGTGACCGAGCAAAGATCATCTCACATTGAAGTCCGATGGTGTGCTGCCCGGGTGCCCAGTGAGATCGAAGTCGCAACAACGCAACATTCAGCCTCGCGTAAACTTTGAAAAATGTGGAAATTGGCTTAAGTAATTCCCATGGATGAACATCTGAAAATAAATTGAACCTATTTCGTTATCTGTAAAGGAACCATCAAAGATATATGTGCTGGGACTCGCAGCGGTCCATGTTGACAATAAGAAAGACGAATTTCGAGCAGGTAGACACGAGAAATAAAGCAGGAATGGAAGGTAGGGACAAGACTGTGTGTATCTGGGAGGGTGATGGGGACCGCAATCGAGGATATGTGTTTGGAGAGTTGGGGCAAAGAGTCATTCTCGTGGGATGCATTCGGCAGACTTTCATGGTCGGATAACAAGATGTCCTGCTTTTGCCATTTGACAGAATCGATGCCTAGCTTTGACAATGAAATGACATCGCTACATACATCTCGATTGCCATTGCCCAAAGATGACAATGTCATCGCATTGGGGTGGTTTTCCCAAGGCGTAGCACCATATATTGTGAGCACTTTGAGGGTGCTTGAGATTGTCCGAAGCTTTGGTGGCAATTTTGTTCCCAGAAATTCCAGATCGATTGCCACTGTGGTGCCAATGTTCTCGTGTATCGCTGTTTTGAGATCGGGTAGACGGATAGCTCGAGGTTGCAAAGCTTTGATAGATAAACGACCAGAGTTATTGCAGAATGGTACAGTGTTCAGGCTTTTTACTCTTTGAGTGAGGTAGAGCTCATTCCCCATAGTCTCAAGAGGTGGTTCTTCAAAGGAGTGTGGAAGGACTCGAATGCATTTCATGTTGGTCAACACGGAATTGTCATCTAGGGGATTCGAAATCTTCACCCGGATGCGATACGACACGTAGGCTTTGTCGGATGAAGAGTCGTTTATGTATGTTTGGCAGCCGGGGTCTCCCACTGTGGCGGGAAGGTTCATGTGTGAATCCGCGATTTGTTCGCTTTTTGTAAAGTGGTTGCAGGACCGGGAGGGCAATTTTTCGGGTAAAACAAAGTAAAATGGGATGCGGTATTCGTGACCTTTGCTAGTGATGACTGGCATTGGTATCTTCATCTCATCCTGGGGATGACGTAGAGACAGAAAAGTGTGCTGGGTCTTGGCTCGTCCATGCTGTAAGGCTCGATGAAATCTGATTTTCGATATTCCTGTGGCTAGTTTAGAATGAACATAGTGGTAGAGAGGTGAGAGAAGATACCTTGGAGGTAGATTTGGACAATACCCAGCGGCAAGTCATTTGGCACTGTAATGGAAACAATGCCCTCTACAGCATCGCCAGTTGTGTAGTACTCGGCGGCACTTTGGTTTTGCTTCAGTTGGATATCAATCTTTGGCGGTGTTCGCAGGAGGCCACGGCTGGGGTTTGCCATAATTCTGACTAGTGTCATTCAAAGAGAAAAAAACTCTTGGGATTTTATCAAGATGACAGGGCCATGAAATCCGGAGCTCAATAGTATTAAGCTACACGGACCGTACACGGACCGTTGGGCATTTGCCGGAATCCGTGGATGTGGGGACGGGCCGCATTTTTGCTCTGCAGCCGCATCTCGTGATTGGCTGCATCGCACTTCGACTCCTCCAGCCAATCAAAAGAAGATTAAAAGTGCAACAGGCCCCACTTTTATACTTAAGCTCCGATGACATATTCCACGCACGTGATATGAGGCCTCTTGGGTTGGGTTATTTCTTCTTGCTTCTCAATTACAGCTCTTTGTCGAATTGAAAATCTTCGAAATGCGCCGGTCTTTTAGGATTGCGACTGCTGCGGAGACAGAAGGTGCTGTCGAGCTTGAGGCTGTTCCTGAGAACCCGGATGCCGAAGTGAGTTGGGCCTTCCCCGAAGGCGGCCGGGAGGCATGGATATGTCTGGCAGGGTCGGTCTTGATGATGTTTCCGTCATTTGGATTTCAGACTGCAGGTAAGATATAACACGGATATCCATTGACCAGGTACGGAAGTCAATAATTCCCTTCTTGCATCCAGTCGGGTCTGTCCAGGACTATATCAGCACGCATCAGCTGGCCGCATACGGAGATCGCGACGTTGGTTGGATCACAGCAGTGCTTGTTTTCTTGACCTTGTTTCTTGGTGTTCAATTCGGACCCATGTTTGATCGGTACGGACCCAGAATTCTACTGGTCTGCGGATGTCTTGGCAATTTCCTCTGCTACATATTACTCGCAGAGTGCACGAAATATTGGCACTTCATGCTCTGTCTTGGTATCCTTGGTGGTATATCTTCCGCTGTCATCACCACAGTCTCTGTCGCCGTGCTCAGTCATTGGTTCAATCGAAGACGCGCTCTGGCCTCTGGAATATGCATGGGTGGCTCGTCGGCCGGCGGTGCCATCATTCCCTTGATGCTTCGAACATTGTTTGGGAAATATGGCTGGAGCTGGGCTATTCGTGTGGTAGCTTTCACGGCTCTCGGCTGTTACGCGGTGGGCATCTTACTTGTTAGAGGACGCTTACCAGCGGGCACTAAGAGCAGGGCGACCATCGATTTTGCAGCTTTCAAATCCCCTCGTCTCTGTTTTCTCGCTGGGGCTGTGTTCTCTTTTGAATTTATCATCTTCGGCTGCGCCGCTCTTCTCCCGTCTTACGTTCGATACAGCGGGTTTTCGTTGGATGTGCAGTTTTATTCCCTTACTGTGTTGAACAGCATGAGCCTCCTTGGCAGGGTCCTTCCAGGCTTTGCTGCAGACATGGTCGGAAGATTCAACATTCTGTTGATCCTAGTCGTGATCACGGTGATCATTCTGGCTGGAGTCTGGTTGCCTTACGGATCTCATGACGAGGTCACGCTCTATGTCGTTGTTGCAATCTTCGGATTCGGCTCTGGTGGGTGGCTCTCCCTGGCTCCAGTCTGTGCAGGGCAGCTCTGTGACACCAAAGACTATGGCCGTTTTTATGGCACCGTATACAGTGTTGCTTCTTTCGGAGTGCTACTCACAGTGCCAATTGGAGGCCAGTTGTTGCAGTCGACTACCCCACAGGTTCTCATTGGATTTTACTCTGCCGTATTGCTCGTGGGATTGTGCTGTGTTGCCTTGTCTCGCTGGGCCATTCTGGACTGGAAATGGAAATGGAAAGTGAAGGTGTAAACCTGTTTTTGTTTGGTGTTGATTAAACAGGACAAGCTCATGAGACTCCGAATCTTAGGATAGAAATGATTCTTGCTTCGCTTTATATCTTCAATGGCTTTTGTTCGCCAAATACTGAAGTAGATGTCTCCGAGGTCGGTCCGTCGATCCGATTGCGGGGAGATCGCGGAACCGATGGGGAAAGTCATTCCCCTCACATCGACATCTCCAGGGCTTTCCCAGGTGGACCTATTCTAGATCTCACACTTCAGCAAAATCAGACATCGTTCAATTCGAATCAAAAGATCCAACTCCACGTTCCAGTCAGAAAGACATTGTGCAACCGAATACAAGGATATCTTCAATTCAACTTTCCACTCAAGCTATCATCGCGGAACTTGCCACGATGTCAATCAAAGGCCAGACCATCGCCTTTGTCGGATGCGGTAATTCATCAATCACTCAAGGCCGTGACCAAAACTAAGAAGGGATAGGAAATATGGGCACTGCTATCCTCGAGGGTCTGCTTGACGCGACTGCAAATGACTCATCACCACGCATTTCTCGCTTCCTGGTCAGCACAAAAAGCGCGTCGTCTGCCAGCTCAATCAAAGCCAAGTTCCAGAGTGATGAACACAGAGTATCTGTCGCACATGATCAAAACCAGCAGATCATGAAAGAAGCAGACATCGTCATTTTGGGCTTCAAGCCTCATATGGCAGAGGTGATCCTGGGCCAGGCCGGGGTGCGAGAAGCACTCGCTGGAAAGTTCGTGATCAGTGTTCTAGGTGGCAAGACTACACAGGTTCTTGGAGAATACATCTCGCAGGGCTCTGAGAGCTCAACTAAACCATATGTTGTTCGAGCGATGCCAAATATGGCAGCTCGTATTCGAAAGTCGATGACTATCATCGAGAAGAATCCGGAGCTGCCGTCTGAACTGCAAGATATCCTGGTATGGATATTTGAAACGATTGGGGGTGTGAAAATGCTCGAAGCAGATCTCTTTGACGTGGGATCTATGCTTGTTGGGTCGTCAATGGCAATTCTTTCGGTTGGGCTGGATGGTATTCTTGATGGGTCCGTCATGGAGGGCATCAAAAGATCAGATGCTCTGGAAATGGCGGCTCAAAGCATGCTCGGAATGGCTGAGCTGTTCCGCCAAGGTGAAGATCCATCTCACTTCAGAGAAAGTGTTGCATCGCCACGGGGCTCTACCATCCACGGCATTGTGACTGCAGAGATGGCTGGGGTCAGAGGTACATATGCACAGGCAATGTTGAACGGCGTGAAGAAGCTGAAGTCGTAATCCCATACCGACAAGCTGTGTCAGGGGTCTCGAGTGTGGTTTCATCAAAATAATCTATAGAAATTTATTTGGGGTAAATGCATAGAGTCGCTCCGGTCGTGATGGCCTTCTTCCGATGTTTCTTTTCTTTCCGTAGCAGGATAGTACATATTTTGGACCACATATGTTGTTTCACAAATTCGTTCGCTCAAGACATTTCTTTTATCACTGACCCCGTGGCCTTCTTCGCGTTGGACGAGGTGCAAACTCAGGCTCTTCCTCTTCCTCTTCGTCCTCGCCAGCTTCCCCCTCGTCATCAGATTCTGACTTGATAGATGTGGGTGGTGATTTCTCAGCAGGAGATTCAGGATCTGATTCCTCGGCACCGGAACGAGCATGGATTGGGGCTGGATGGGTTTCTTGATCTTGATGCTCAATGATCAATCCATCATCCACGTCCTCATGACCAGGCAGAAGGAAGCCTCCCCCGTGATCAACAGGGTTGTAAGGCTCCGCATCGTCCATTTCGTCATCCTCTTCAGGCTCGTCGTCTGCATTTTTCTTCTGCGCAGCGAAAGGATTATGTGAGTCCCGCTCGCGATCAGCAACCGGGTCCCGACCCCCATATTCATCTCTCACGCGTTCCATAATCCGCAGCCCGAACAAGAATTTCCGCCAAGTTTGCAAGATTTTTTTCTCGGCCTTGAGTTCTTCTCTCTTCCGCTTCTCAGCGGCATCGGCTCGCCAGGCATCTCGGAGTAAGTCCTCATTCTCAGCGGCGACAACCACACCCTGGATCACCGGGACCGCCATCTTTGACCCGAACTCAAAACCAGTCACGGCTTCGGCATAGTCGATTCCAAGTTTCTTGCAAACTCGCACGCTCCCCGGCAATGGAACATGCGTAGCACCTGCGGGAACCATGCTTGGCACGAAACAGTCGATGTTTCCGTACTCGTTTTTCGGAATTCGGCCATCTTGAATAGGCGGCGGGATGATGTATTCAGTTTGGTCACGAGAATATAGACCCTGAAGCGGTTTCTCGCCAGTCTGGCGCTGTAGCTCCTCGACCTCGCGTTTTCGAATGAGTGTGACTGCGCGGATGGGCACACGCTTGAGTGGCCTGGCACCCGGAACGGTCTGACGACCTTCTTTGTGCCAGCTTTCGGCGGAGAGGCATTTCAGCACATCTTCGCGCCGGAATACGGGCTCTTCTTTGGCGCGGGCGCCTTTCCCGGCGACGAATGTACGGACAGGCTCGGCTCCGGGGCGGAGGGCTTCTTCGCGGCGGAGAAAGCGCTCGAGTACGAATTCGGTTGACGTGCGTAAACTTTGAAGTGTGTCGTTTTCTTGGGTTGCTTTCTTCTTCTCTGGCTGGTTGGGTTGGAGATCTCGATCTTCCTCGAGCTTGTCAACGGCTGTCTTGCTCTTTCGCGCTCGTTGGTAGCCACGCATGACCATTCCAAACCAGTCAAATGTGATGTAATGGCCTTTTCGGCCGATGGGGACTTTTTCCAAGGGCATTCGAAACCCCTTGGTTTTGCCGGGCCATGTCCGCCGTCGAAGATACCGCGTCGTAACTTCCTTTGCAGTACCATCTGCCGAATGAGCCACAACATAGCAGATGACTTGTTTGGCTCGGTCGGCTTTGGCACCTCGTGGCTCGAAGTTTGCTAGGAGGTCTGTGTTTGCAAATGGCGCCACGTAGTTGGGAAGTACGAGCGGATCAATAGCTATTATCTCGTTCGTGACAGGCGATGCAACTTCAGTCCAGTAGATTGGGAATGGTAAATCCTTGTCAAACTGTTTACCAGTCTTCTTCGTTGATGGTTTCACCTCTACCACGTCAGTCTCCGATTCGGATTCTTCGGGTGTCTCTTCGGCCTCTTGGCTCTTTTCATGAGATTCCTTATCGGGCGGTGGTGTATAGGTCTCTCCCTTGGTCCATCCAAAGCCGAGTGGCTGTAGACTAGCCACGAGTCTAGCCTCAATGCCTAAAGCTCGCACGAGAGCAGTGAACAGCTGTGCCCCGACGTCTCGCGAGCCTTCCATAGCTTCGGCAGTTTCACGAAACTCTTTCAGATTAGCAATACGCTCTCCGTGGCGCTCTGAGTCGTGCGACTCCTCCCGAAAATCTTTAATCGCAGATTCAAGCGCAGACACTGGCCGGTAGCCAGACTTTCGCAGTCCCGGCGCCGTTATACGGAATTGCTTTCTCCAGTAGGCCACCAGGACTTTCATCAAAGTGAGAATTGGGTCTCCCCTGCTCATATCAGGAGTTCCTGGCTCCAGCCTGTCAGAGTCGGCACTCCAATCCTTATTCTTTTGTGCCTTTTTGCCCTTCTTCTTGCTCTTGGGTGGTTCGGGTTTGGGCTCCGGGAGCTCCAGGCCAGAAGCAATGCGCCATTTCTTGACCTCTTTGTTAAGCCCCTCGGGTAGCTTGTTCTTCAGAATAGTATGGACCTGGGTGTCATTGCACCAAGCATTGCGAATGGCGTTGTGGAAAAGCAAGCATTGAACATGCATGCAGTGTGTCTGGATCCGAATCTGGCGTTCGATCTTACTAGGCCCCTTCTTGCCTTCCAGCAAGTCCGATACGTGTGTCTCATTGTGATCTAGAGTCAACTCTAGATCCTGGAGCTCTGGGGCTGGGGCCGTTGGCGTAGTGGCACTTGTGGTCTTGGTGTCGATTGCGTCCTCCCAGTCGATGTCGTCATCCTCTTCTGAATCCTCCGCCGGCGTCGTGTTCTCCTTGCTCAGGAGCCCATTCGGCGCCTCGCTTAGAGACGATTCCGAGTCCGATTCGGAATCAGAGAGGTGGAACGGGGCTGGCGCAGGCGCCGGCGTTGGAGCTGGAGCTGGAGCTGGAGCTTGGGCATCGGGCCGAGCCTGACGCTTGGCCGGGGGCGGGTCCTCGGAAGAGACGCGCTTGCGGGGGAGAAAAGGCGGCATACGTGTGAAGAAGTGGAAACGATGGAGGTCGCCGAATGTCCGAATGTCGGAGGTGGGAGGTTTGCGAAAGAAGGGGAGTTCAGTCGTCATCGGCCGGTGCCGAGGTTCGCGATCGCGATCGTATCAGATCTCTGCATTCCTCTTGATCCTACACTTTTATCTATACTACACCGCAGTATTTGCAATCGAAATATTATACGAAATTCAAAATGGCGGCAGTCAAGCGCTTCTTCAGCTCCCCTCGCTTCGCCGTGGCGGGTGCCAGCAACGACACTCACAAGTTCGGCTACAAGAGTAAATGCGCCCCTCCACGTATCGCCCAGCCAAACTAATATCTGCTCAGTCCTCGCCTGGTATCATCAGCACTCACTGCCGGTGACACCACTTAACCCCCGAGCAGCGCAGATCACCCTGCCCTCGCGTGCTTACGATACGGTCCCCTCCCCGGTCGCTTTGCCATCCCCCAAGCAGACTTCCCTGTCAGTCGTGACTCCACCGGCAGTAACCCTTCAGGTTCTGCAAGAAGCACATTCAGTGGGGATTCCTGCCGTCTGGCTGCAGCCGGGTACTTTTGACGATGCCGTGCTGGAGTTTGCTCACAGTCACTTTGAGGCGGTGATCGCTGGCGATGGCGGACAAGGGGGCGAGGGATGGTGTGTCCTGGTGGACGGTGACGAGGGACTGGAAGCTGCTGGGGTTCAATGGACCAGTCAGAGACTGTAGGACCGGAAGATATTCAGACGTACTCCGTACGCAGTAACTAGTGTAGTTAACAAGGGGCGTCGGAAATAAAGAGCTGCTTATGCGCAACCAGCCACTCGCTTTTTCTTGTCTTTTCTTTTTTTTTTCCTCCTTGCACCTCAACCCTTTTTGGGAGAAGGACTTCTGCTTTTGTTTATTTCCTTTCCTCTCTAATCTCCCTTCCATCCAATATGCATGCCATATTCAAAGCCCCGGCGAAGCTCGACCTCTCAAATGCGTCGCAACTGTTCCAGGTCCCCACGGCCTCCGAATCGCTGTACTCTCTTTCAGTCCCTCGCAAACGACCTCGTCGGAATACCGAAAAGCTGTCGTCTCAGTTTGACGATTTCACTCCAATGATCCCGGGCTGCCGAGCTACGAGCGGCGGTAACGACTTCACATCCGCCGAGTTGGACTACCGTCCCAACCGATACCGCGAATCGTTCCTCCCACCGTCCTTCGACTCCGACGACGACTCAAACACAGCTGATATTGGAAGTCGCAAACGCACTCGTCGCGACTCTTGCATCGTGTCTCCAAGCGCGGACGGTCCTAGCCTCTCTACCCCGACAGGATGGGGTCGATCGGTGATTAAGGCTGTGGGCAAAGTCCTCGATCTGTGTTGGACGGGGGCATTCCGCGGGTTCTATGCTGGCGGTGGACAGGGCTATGACATGCCTGCAGCATCAGCGACTTGCGAGCCAAGCTGGCAGTCACCAACCATCCCATCCGAGAAAGAGACCTACGCCAACACATACTGCTCGACTCCTGTGCCCGGCCAATATCCCGATGAAGAGGTCGATCGGACCTGGGTGGTGGTTTCTCCCCAACCCTCCGATCCATTCGTCGGCAACGACTTGCCAAGCCCATCACTGCGGTCTCGACGAGCTTACCAGGCCTCCAGTCCCCGCCGACGATCAGCCGTCATGCCCCGACATGCGAAGAAGTTGTCCTTCTCCGGTGCGCGCTCGCCCACCAAGAGTCAGGAATTGTCTTCTCCCATGTCGGCAGATATGCAAAAGCAGGCCGCCAAGATGCGTCGCAAGGAACGGGAAGAGGATGCCAGTATCCAACGCTTGAATAAACAGCTGCAAGCGATGATTCGGGAGGGGAAAGAGGCATTGGGAACCACTGTGGAAGTGGACGATTATGACATGTACGACTCCGACTAGTTTCGACTTTGGAGCACTTTGCACCTAGACTGTTTGGTCTGGGTTTGGCTTTTGCGCGTAACGACCTGATACCCCAAGGACGCTCTTTTGCTTGGTCCGAACCGGAACTTCCAGCCGGCTTTATCTGATTTTACGATTTATGATTGCTCTGATATCTTTGATTCTGCTTAACATTTGCAGCCGTCTGTCCCACTAGCGAGTCTTCCGGAACCCGTTCATTTACAAAATTTGTCTGTCATCTATGCATGCACGAGCTCGTTCTCATTTTCGGGTCTAATCATGGTGTGGCATTTGCGCCGTTCGATAGGAATTGTTCACAATCTCACAAATATCAACTGAAATATCCTATCTGCTCTATCAACTCACGCGGTTGTCGTAACATTCTGTCTAACCAAATAGAAGCCTTCATTCAATGTGTGGGCGCATCGTTTATTGGGGAGTGGAGCCCTGGGGCGACGATCCCTGTGGAGAGGAGCCTTGAGAGGAACCCTTGGAGCCCTTAGCGGAGGCCGCATTTTGAGCCTGCTCAGCATCAAATCCGGGGCCGGAGTGAGGACCAGCACCAGAGGCGGGGTCAGGAGGACCAGAGGTGCTACCATCACCGACCTGGTAGGAGTCGCTCTGGCCAGGCTTGTGCTTAGGCTGACCAGGAGTGAGGGTGTCACTGAGCTTTCCGAGAGCACCTCCAGAGAAGAGAACATCGGTCAGGGTCGAACCCTGAATGGGAGCTGTGCGAGCCTCAAGCTGCTCGACATCACGGCGTGACTTTGAATGGTTAGCTTCGATACTAGCTGTGCATGATCAAGAACTTACAGGAAGCAATCCAACGCCGTGTCCGTTGGAGTTACCCTTAAGTTGACCGAGGCCTTCGGGGCCCATCAGTGTGGAGAAGAGAGTGTCAGGCTTCTTGCTTTCCTTGCTATCCTTGCTCTTGTCGCCCTTGGACCCCCCAATCGGGTTGCCGTTACCGTCCTCGATGGTGGTGTCATCGGGGGTGAAGGAGCGCTGGTGGTGCTGGATCTGGGGCTGTTGACAATGTCAGTATCAGTACTTGGGTATATGGGCTCAGCTCTTAAACACTTACGCCACCGCTAGTGATTGATTCCAAGACACCGAAGAGTCCTTTGGCGTGGCCGGGGGTGTCACGAGTGATGACCTTCTTAGCGGGGGCATCAGTCTCTTGGTGTGAGGGCTTAGCCTTATCATCGTTCTGCTAGTCTGTCAGCTTGATGCTCGATGGTTTCCTGGCGCGGATCATGGTACGCACCTTTCCGAACAACTCCCCAACGAGGGGCAAGCTGCTCAGCGAGCTCAGATTACTGAGATCGCGCTTGGAGTTCTGTCCAGCATTTTGACCTTCGTTTTGGCCATCATTCTGACCGTCATTTTGACCATTGTTCTGGCCGTCATTCTGACCATCATTCTGACCGGCGTTTTGGCCACCATTCTGACCTGCGTTTTGACCACCATTCTGGCCGATGTTTTGGTCGACGCTCCTACGGGTTCCAGGCAACCCGTTGTCACCTCCGGTGTGTTGATGCTGTTCCTCAATCAGCCAACGCTCTCCAGGAATTTTGCTCCTCGAATTGTTGTTCTTACCCCGCCAAATGCACCACCAATAATGGGCAAGTCGCTCAATCCACCGCCACCCAAGCCACGGCGTTGGCTACCCTTCTTCTGTCCACGGCTTTAGGTTAGTCTGCATTCCTGGTGCCAACGGGTTTTGGTGAAACGTACGCTACCCAAGAGCTCCCCAACGATAGGTAGCTCATCAATCAGGTTCTTGTGCTCTGCGCGCTTGGAGCTTTGTTTCTATCAGTGACGTTATGGTCAGCTAGTTCGGGAAAACAACTGGAGCATGAAAAAGCTTACGTTTCCAAGCATTTTTCCAAGGATTGGAATCTCCTCAATCAGGTTCTTGTGTTGGTTCGAGCCTTGCTTGTTGTCACGAGCGCCAAGCTCGCCCGTCAATTGCTCGACGGCACCAGTGAGGGCGCTATCAGCGCCAGCGCCGATCAGGTTTCCACTTCCATCCGGGTTGGGGACGGGAGCAGCCAAGCTGACGGCTGCGAAGAGCGTCAGAGCGTAGGTAGTCTTGACCATGATGTAAGCTGTAAGAACTCTTCACTCTTCAGCGAGGGTATATCCTTGAACGAAAGAAGGTGTCGGCGAGCGACGAAGGTAGGTAGATGCTCTGAATAAATTGGAATGCAAGACCAAAGTTCAAACCCTCTCGGAATGCGAGGGAATCATGACTCTTTTATGATTCCCATACCAAATCTCCTTGGTGGCATTCCACTGTAACGGGGATGAAGGGATGTTGACGGCTCACGCCCTCTGGCTGCCCGTGCGGCGATATAAACATCCCTACGAAGGAATGTGGTTGGTTCCTCTGGCTTCTCTGACAGGGTGGCTTCCCTTTTTCCTTCCGAGGGGAATGTCCCGAAGCTTGATTCTGACTCGTCGCCTTGTCGATCATGGTTATGCCTCCCTGTTGCGCAAGGGATGACTGTCCTGCAGGGCCTCAGGAACGAGATGGTCAATGTCTCTTACCCTGCGGCTTTTGCTCCGCGGAGCAATGAGCTGTATACTCCGTACTTTCCCAAGCTTGGTGAAGTGACTGGTCTGTCCTCTCCAGGGTTGTGTCCGGGCGTGGAGGATGGTGAGAGTCGAGACCTACTTCCACTCCCGCATATAACAATAATCTCTGAATCAAGAGATTTCCCAAGTCATGGACAGTGATGGTGTACATCTTATCATTGGTATCAACGTCCAGTCTCTTGGAACCCTGATTGCATTTCTTCCTCCGGAGGATGGACCTCTACTACTCCGCCCTACCTACTCCGTACATAGTGTACACTAGACTGCTTGTTGCGAGCAGATGTCTTGTCCGTTACAAGTTACGACGTTACGTCGTTTTTAAGTTCGTTGGTTTCCACACAGGCGGCCAATTGGCCTAGTGGTAAGGCATCCGTTTCCGGTGCGGGAGATCGTAGGTTCGAATCCTGCATTGGTCGTTTCTTTTTTTGTTCTTTTTGCTTTTTTTTCACATTCACCCACCCATCAGAATAATTATTAATTCATTGCTACTGTAGTTTTCTCCATCTAAACATAATGTAGCTGCTGTCCAAGTGGTCAGATACCTAGTAGGGAGGAGTAAAGTCATAATTATCCTGGGAATGTGAAAAGTGCACACACCCAGCCATAATATATAGCAGGTACAACCTCGGAGTTATCAACACTCACATACTTCCAAGTTCGTATAATTCTGCAAATCTCTGAAAGAAAGTACCCAGGTGAGCAAGAAAGAACACTTGAAGGTAAGTGAATAGGTGAAATCAATCTGCAAGAAACCGAAGTGGAAAACAATCCATGGATACAAGTGAAGATTCTGTTTGGAGGCACCAAAGAAAGGGAAGAAGCCAGACAATGAGAAAGCAAGAGAATTACTGCCCATATGAGGGTACCTAGATGGCTAGCACCCTTAGTGGTAGAGTTAGATAAAGAAGAACGAATGTCATCACTTTAGCTTGCATATATGGGTGTAGATACAGGTGTGACTAAGATACATGGTTCAAGGTTGCACCTAATACATCACGTAGTGTTGGAGAAGCTACCTAGGTCACCGGTACACGCTTATTTAGGCAACAAAAGAGAGCAGATTGATTCATTCGCCAAGAGAGAAGAAGAAGAAAGAAGAAAGCTACCTAGACAACAACTGAGACAGAGCTGAGAGCTACCCTACGAACATGGGATTCATAGCACATGACATGATCCCCGACACGTAGTACCTAGGTACTGTGTTTCAAACCGCAGAGAAATGAAGACACCCAGATTCAAGACAGTACCAACAGCCCTCCTAGTCTTCCCACTTCCCCAAAAGAGCAGGTGGTAAGACCTTGTTGACTATTCCAACTTGTTCCCTCAGATTCAACACATCTCCACCTTCCTCATGCTCAATTTCAATCCTTCCCTCCACTGCACTACGAGCAAAGGCAACAATCATATGCAGTAGGTTGGCGAACCTCATCAAAGCTGGCTGCTGGGAATCTTCCCAGTCCTTCAGGTCCTTAGTCACGTCTTGAACCTGAATGTCATTGAATGTTCCTCGCAAGTGGTATGCGACAATGAAATTCGGAACTTGTCTGATCCACAGGCGAGGGATCTCCGCCTCGAGGATGTCGAAATCCCTCTTTTTGATGGATCGCGTCTTCAAGTCAAAAATACCACATTGCGGGATATGGTGTCCTTTCTTCAGGATCTCGATATTGCTTGATTCGGCGCCCGTCGTGGTTGGCGCCATACTCGAGATTGTCGCCCCCTGCATAGCTGACTGAAGGTCTTCGATTGAGTTGCTATCTTCATGGGCATCATCTTCTTGGGATACCAAGTCTTTGGGTACCAGGTCGGGTAGGAAGCCATCGGCCTCGTAACGCACCAAGCAGCTCATACCGGCGAGTTTGTAACTCATGATCCGCTGGTGGGACTGCGAGCCCTGAGATTCCTGACTCCAGGTGGTGTATGCATCTGGAAATGTATGTCCATACCCCCAAACTTCGGGGATCTTTTCAGTGGGCGAATTAAGTCTCCTGACGAAGAAGACTGTGTCGCCGACGACCTCGACAAGCATGCGGAAAGGCGCATCTTGATGACGCGCGAAACGCAGTAAATTGTTCATCGTAGCTCCACAAGCAATGATATCCACATCTCGCAGAGAGAAATCTGGTTTCTCGAGTATAATGGCTTGGACCATTGGCTCAAGTGGATAGGAAGGATGTCGTGCAGTGTTCAAATCCCGATAATATTCATCGGAGTCTTGTCGTAGCTCAGTAGGCTCGGAGAGAGGCGTCCATTTTGGGGGTTCACCTGGAAAGATATATAGATTAGCCATCATATACAGCATAACCATGCATGACCTCTGGAGGTTTCCCGAGTCTCACCTGGCACTATGATCCGATGTCCTTCATTGAGCCAGTTATAGGAAGCCAGGTATTTAGCCTCGGTGATTCGAGTTGAGCTGAGATCTTCATCTCTAGAGTCATCAAGATCATCATGCTGAATAGTTGCAAGGATATTCCCAAGGGGTGGAGCTGGCACTGGAGATATCTTTGGTCTCTCAATTCCTGGGTTGTATCGCCCCTTGCCAGTTCCCCAATATCCAGATGATTTTCTTCCCCAGAGGACCATGGCTTGCCTCAAGTAGATGATAATAGAAGAGAGCTGAAATGCTTGTATATTTGTTGGAGTAAGAAGAATGAAAAGTAGATGGCGAGGAATTTATAGGAGGAGGGAGAGGGTTTACCAAATTTCCACACCCAACATATAGCAGGCTCATACCCTAGAGATACAGGTTAACACGTCACACACTAGTTATGTTGGTTGGTTCAGACTGTTGTTTGCCTTGAGTTAGCGCTGGGGCGCAGGCGCCGCAGGTGGCGCAGGTACCTTTGTAGTTGTCCTACGCCAGCTAAACCAACATGAAATCAGAGAGCAAATAATGATGGAGCATACTTGAAACCCATCTGTACCTATTGAATCCACTGTTTGCCTCACTGCCCACTCTGCATGAGAGTAAGGCAGATTGGAGTAGCTGCGAGCTGTGCTGCTGCTTTGCCCCGCCCATTTAAGATCCCACAGGCCCAACCTGTTTCTAACATTTTCATAATCTTCTGCTCAGCCATCTACTTGAATACTTTGAAATGTCCGAAAAGATCCGATCTGAAAGACTGGCCAAATACCTCGGAGCCGTGCTCCATGGTAGGCAGGAAGTCAAAGACCTCCCCAACTTCAAGAGACTGATACAAGCCATTTTGAACCACGACAACCACTGTGCCATCATTGAACGACTTATAGCTAGTCCAAACGCCATGGAAGCTCTTCGAAATGGCTTGAGATTCAACATCACGCCAGTATTTATCAACGACTTCACGGCAAAGTTCGTTCAGTTCTTAAACGACCCAGCAGTAAAGCTTCTTGGCAACGGCCTAATTCTTCAACAACTCCTCTTGATTATATTGGAGCCCCGCACTCTCTGGAATTCACTCATGAGAGCCTTTTGCGCCCGAGAGCTGGATGACAACGCAACCCACGCTCTATGTTGGCTGACCACGGAGTTGCTGTCTTTGCCCAGCTCACTCGGGGTGAATATCAGGGCAGATGCTCAAACCATCGTCAATCAAGACCACCTTTTCTCATCTCCGCTCGCCCGCCTACGGAACTTGGGGCACAAGATAAAATATCTTCTCGAAATGAAATCCTCCGCAACCGCGTCGTCCTCCGAGATCACAGCAGGTGGCCGTCATGATAACGACTTCGCTGATTTCCGTTTGACAGCCATATTGCCCACCGCAGATGAGATAAGTTGTACCGAGAAGCCGTTCTACCGTGGGGCGGAGGAAATCGCGCAGCTATGTGGCAGCCAACGCATCGCGGGCCATGTGGACAATCAATTCCGCCTCTTGAGAGAAGACATGCTTTCGGGCCTTCGCGATGATTTCCAAATTGCACGTGGCGCCAAAAGAGGGCGTCGATCTGCTTTCCACATTCGTGGCCTTTCATTGTCATCCTTCAGCTGTTCTTCAAAAGACGAAAAATACTTTCGGCCATGCACCCTAGGCGTGACTTCAAAATCGGGCCTGGAAAGGATGAAAGGCATGCCAAAGGATGCCAGAACGAAATTTTTGAAGGACACTCCGCAATTTGTCAAGCATCGCTCATTTGGATGTTTGCTCAAAGACATGGAGATTGTGGCTTTCGCCGTGATTGATCGAGATATCGATGCACTAGCTTCAGACCCACCGGTGGTGATGCTGCGCGTCGAGGGCGAGGATGCTTTGAACAAGGCCCTCCTTTACCTCAAGCTTTACGACGATGTGGAATTTCTAGTGGTGAACACAGCAACGTTTGCATACGAGCCGATATTGAAATGCTTACAAGAGAGAGTCGATTTTCCTCTCACAGGGGAGTTGTTTCTTTATGAAAAAGGGCAACCAGCAAAGACATCAGACCTTGCTCCCTGGAGCATTATCAACGGGTTGAAAGGAGAGTACAGACGTGACATCCAGGATATTCTCAACACATCCCAGCGTGTAACACTGGACGCCTCGCAGACTGAGTCTCTGCTCGTGGGCTTGACCCAAGAAGTCAGCCTGATCCAAGGACCTCCAGGTAAGAAGATATGAAGCCCCGAGAAATTTTGCCCGAGATTTACAAAGCAAATAATAGGAACGGGAAAGTCATTCATAGGATCTCTTCTTTCCAAAGCTCTTCATGACCACACCCAGGAGAAGATACTCGTCATGTGCTACACCAATCATGCTTTGGACCAGTTCTTAGAGGATTTGTTGGACATTGGAATCGATTCATCTGCCATCGTTCGACTGGGATCCAAGTCCACACCGAAAACATCGCAGCTCAGTCTCAAGATGCAACACGTGGCACGCAAAAGATCCCAAGCATCCTGGGATATCATCAATGCATTACGCGATGAGGCAAGGAAACAAAAAGAAGAGTTTACCAAGACTTTCCAAGCATACAAGGGGCTATCGGCCGATGCACTCTCAATTCTAAGCTATCTCGAGTTTGAAGAGCCAACCTTTTTTGAAGCCTTCAGCATCCCTGAAGATGGAAGCGGAATGAAAGTGGTTGGTAAGACCGGAAAAGCGATTCAGGAGGACTATCTGTTTGACCAATGGGCGACGGGGAAAGACCCAAAGCACCTGACAAAATTGCTTCCTGACCGATGTCACAGCATTTGGACAATGGAGCAGAAGCAGCGACAAGAAAAGATCGAATCCTGGAGCCGTGCATTATTGAAGGAACAGGCCACGTCCCTGGGCTTGCAGATCACAATGTTTGACAAGTGCGAGAAAAGGCTAAGCGCGGTACTTGGTGAAAAGACGAGAGACATCTTGAAAGGAAAGCGAATCATCGGCTGTACAACCACAGCTGCCGCGATGTACTCAGATGACTTGCGATGTGCATCCCCCGGAATCGTGCTTCTCGAAGAAGCGGGCGAGATTCTGGAGTCTCATGTCCTCACAGCTATTTCACCCGATACCAAGCATCTGATTATGATCGGAGATCACTTGCAGCTAAGGCCCAAGATCAATAGCTACAGCCTCAGCGCAGAAAAGGGAGACGGTTATGATTTGAATGTATCTTTGTTCGAAAGACTCATACATGCTGGTTACCCACACACAACGCTGCTCAAACAACACCGAATGTGTCCGGAAATCTCCAAGCTTGTGCGAAGTCTCACGTACCCTGGATTAGAGGACGACGAGAAAACAAAGACCCGTCCTATGCCGAGGGGTCTTTGCGATCGAGTCATATTCTTCAATCATGTGAACACCGAAGACGAATTCACAGAGATCTCTGATAGACGAGACGAGGGATCAAAGCAATCGAAGAAGAACATTTTTGAGGCAAAGGTTGTCTTAAAGATTGTCAAGTATCTTGGACAGCAGGGCTACGGAACCGACCAACTGGTCGTCCTAACACCATATCTAGGTCAACTATCGCTTCTGAGGGAAGTATTGAGCAAACAGAATGACCCAGTTCTCAATGATCTCGATTCTCACGATTTGGTACAAGCGGGTCTTTTATCGAAAGCGAGCGCTACGCACTCTAAGAGACAGATCAAGATTTCTACCATCGGTAAGCAAACAGCGTACTCAGCTAAAGTCTACATGCGGAAGCCTAATCATTGGAAATAGACAACTACCAAGGAGAAGAAAGCGAGATCGTCATAGCCTCTCTCACCCGCAGCAATAAAAAAGGCGACATAGGATTCATGGCTGCCCCCGAACGATTGAATGTTTTACTGTCCCGAGCCAGAAACGTTCTAATTATGGTCGGAAATTCAGAAACATTTGTCTGCAGTCGAAGGGGACAGAAAACATGGAAGCCTCTTGTTGACCAGCTCAAGTCCAATGGAAATTTGTATGATGGACTGCCTGTCAAGTGTGAAAAGCATCCCCAGAAGACTGTTCTGCTTCAAAAGCCGGAAGATTTTGACCGGGAAGTCCCAGATGGGGGATGTTCTGCCCCTTGGTAGGTGTACCTTGATGTTTTCTCGAACCTCTTTTTCTAAGGAGAGCTACTGATGTAAAATTTGATTGACGCTGACACTTTTATAGTGGAGTGAAACTCAACTGTGGAATTCACGAGTGCAAGTCTAAATGCCACCAGATTGTCGACCACTCCAAGATGACATGCACAAAAATAACAAAGAAAGAATGTCCACGAGGCCATGTGATGTCGCTCCCATGCTCTCAAATCCAAAGAGCATGCCGCTTCTGCATCAAAGAAGACGAAATAAAGGCGCGGAAGCATGAGCGTGATGTCAATTTGGAGAAAATCCGACAAAAGAAGCAAGCTCTTTACGCCCAAGAAATTGCAGAAGCCCAAGATGAAGCTTCTTACTTGAGGCGTTTGCGCAGAGACGAATTTGATGATGCGGAACGAGCTAAAGTCCTTCAGCAGCATCGACAAGAGATCCAGAACTTGAAGACTGGTTCAAAACCACAGAATGCTAGCCCAGAGCGCAAAGACAAGAGAGTGAGCTCTCTCAATCGAGACTCTGTTGAGAAAGATCCCGAGACGCCTTCTACCAAAGATTCCAAGAGCCAAGATGAGGTGACCCCGAGCATCACGACTCGCCAAACCATGCCGAATAAAAAACCATCGGGCGCCAAAGATGATTGGATCCATCAGAAGACCACGTACCTGGCCCAAAGTCAGGAAATTGATCAGCTGATGGATATGGTGGGCTTGGAGGCAGTGAAAGTGAAATTCCTGGCCATCAAGTCCAAAGTCGACACTTCTATTCGCCAAGGTGTGAGTTTAGATCGCGAAAGATTTGGATCTGTTCTACTCGGTAATCCAGGGACTGGCAAGACGACTGTTGCCCGTCTCTATTCTAAGTTCTTGGCAGCTATGGGAATCATTCCGGGGCAGCATTTCACCGAAACGACTGGTTCCAGGCTTGCCAATGACGGTATCTCTGGGTGTCAGAAAATCATCGACACAACACTGAAAGAGGGTGGAGGAGTCATATTCATTGATGAGGCTTATCAGCTTGTGTCCGGGAACAGCTCTGGCGAGAGAGTTCTTGATTTTCTTCTGGCAGAGGTGGAGAGTCAGACCGGGAAGATTGTCTTCATTCTTGCTGGATACGATCGTCCAATGGAAACCTTCTTCAGTCATAACCAAGGGCTCCCGAGCCGTTTCCCCCATCAGCTGAAGTTTGAGGACTTTGATGACACCGAATTGATGGAAATCATGCAATCCTGGATTGAAAAGACCTACAAAAAGCAGATGAAAGTCGATGGTGGGCTTGGAGGGCTCTACTGTCGTATTGTAGCCCGACGAATTGGACGCGGGCGAGGCCGTGAAGGATTCGCGAATGCAAGAGCTGTGGAGAATGCCATGTCAAAAGTTGCCGAGCGACAGTCCGAAAGACTCAGTCAACAGAGACGGCAAAAAGGATCACAAGTTGACGACTTCTTTCTTGAGAGACACGACTTGATTGGCCCAGACCCATCTCGAGCACTAAAAACATCCAAAGCATGGGAGAGGCTACAGGCTATGATTGGACTGAGCGCCGTGAAAAAGACCGTCGAGGCTCTTATGGACACCATGAGCTACAACTTCCAACGTGAGCTCGATGAACAACCTTTACTGGAGTATAGCCTCAATCAAGTCTTCCTCGGAAATCCGGGAACCGGAAAGACAACGATAGCAAAGATATATGGCCAAATACTCGTGGACATTGGATTCTTGTCAAATGGCGAAGGTAAGCTGCAGTTCCCCCAGAGTCCACGGGTTGGATCCTCATTGACTAATGCGCATGCTAGTGATCGTGAAGAATCCATCCGACTTCGTTGGCAGCGTGATAGGAGAATCCGAGAAAACAACAAAGGGAATTCTTGCTGCCACACTCGGAAAGGTCCTGGTGATCGACGAAGCGTACGGCCTCTTCGCCGGGGGAACCTCGGATGGCATGGGGGCCAGAAGCGACCCATACAGGGCTGCTGTGGTAGACACCATTGTTGCGGAAGTCCAGAGTACACCCGGTGAAGACAGATGTGTTCTTCTTCTGGGCTACGAAGACAAGATGCAGTCAATGTTCCAAAACGTTAACCCAGGCTTGAGCCGCCGCTTTCCCATGGATCAAGCTTTTGTCTTTGAGGATTTCACCGAGAAAGAGTTGAGCTGTATCCTTGATTTGAAGTTGGGAGAGCAAGGATACGGAGTCACTGACCGGGCTCGTCGAGTGGTTTTGGAAATGCTCGAGCGATCTCGAAATCGACCTCATTTTGGCAATGCGGGCGAAGTTGATATCCTGCTCAACGCGGCAAAGATGCACCATCAGAAACGACTCTCCTCCAACAGATCCACCAATCGGACCAGTGATGCTCTGCTGGATGCCATTGACTTTGATGAGAATTTTGATCGCGCAGACAACTCTGACTCTAGTATCTCAAAGATGTTTGAAGGGGTGGTAGGATGCGAAGACATCATTTCGAAGTTGAAGGGGTACCAGAAAATTGTGAAAGAACTCAGGCAGCTGAAAATGGAGCCTCGAGAACATATACCCTTCAACTTTGTTTTCAGAGGCCCACCAGGTAAGCACAATGTCTGTTCAGGCAAAGGGGCTGTGCACTCTGCTGACATGAAGAATCCATACAGGAACTGGGAAGACAAGTACGGCCAGAAAGATGGGCCAGGTCTACTACGACATGAACATGTTGACTTCGAACGAGGTGATTGAAACCTCCGCAACAGACTTGATCGGCCAATATATCGGACAAACTGGCCCTAAGACCCAAGCAGTCTTGGAACGTGGTCTTGGGAAAGTTCTCTTCATTGATGAAGCATATCGTCTGGCAGATGGCCACTTTGCCAAGGAAGCAATGGATGAGCTTGTGGACTGCCTAACCAAGCCTAAGTTCTTCCAGAGAATGATCATCATCCTTGCCGGCTATGATGCAGATATCAACCGGCTAATGTCCATCAACACTGGCATGACTAGTCGATTCCCGGAGTCGCTTCAATTCGACCCTTTGTCTTCGCAAGACTGTATCAGCCTGCTTTTACAGAGACTTTTGAAGATGAAGAATGATATGTCTCCCAATTCGAGCGTGGTATTTGACATCAATTGCCTGCAAAGCCCAGATGCCGGGTTTGAGAAAGAGATGACACAGCATTTTGAAACTCTGTCCCGAACTGCAAGCTGGGCAAATGCACGAGACATCGAAACTCTGGCAAAGTCTATCTTTGGAAAGACCCTACGGTCAATCTCGATGGAAAATGGAAATAAGCTTCTCCTCACAAGAGAGGCTGTGATTGAGCAACTGATTTCCATGATAGATGAGCGTCGCAAACGCGAAGATCATTCCAACCAGAGCCTCATAAATCCGAATGGAGGGCAAATCCTACCTCTTCGTCCACGAGCCTTGGATCAGCCACCACCCCAGCTTGACAGCCAAGATTCCATGCAGACAAACCAGAAAACAGGCACTAAAACCAAAGTGCTGATCAATTCTGACACAGAAAATCAGGCCAGTCTTTCTGAACGTGATGCTGATGTGACGGACGAAGTCTGGAACCAGCTGGAGAAAGACAAGGCTGCAGCTAAGGCAACGGAAGAGGAGTATGAGCGTTCAAGGAGCGACTTGAAAGAGCAAGAGAAGAGGATCACAATGTTGAAAGAGGAAGAGGAAAATGTCAAGAGAAAACTCGAAAAGGCCAAGATTGAAGCAGATGAACAATCGAGAAGAGAACACGAACAAGCTCGATTGAGGCACGAAATGAAGCGCAGAGAGGAAGAAGAGGTTGCAAGAGAGCTTGAAAGGAAGCGACAGATTATGGAAGAGGCTCGACGAAAGGAACAAGCCAATCAGATGAAGCTCAAGACAATGGGCGTCTGTGTTATGGGGTACCGATGGATCAAACAGAGTGGTGGATATCGATGTGCCGGTGGCAGCCATTGGGTTTCGGATGCCCAGCTACAATGATTTACTATATCGCGAAAAGCCTAGTGTGATACTAGTGTACAATTCTCGATACCGAGACAAAATTTGCATTCTGTTCATTTGACCTAGTTAATTGTAGCATCTTGCAAAGCCGGTTTCTTATCCCGCGACCTCGGAAGTGATGTTTCAAGTTTATGTTTATGTTTATTCTTTTTACAATCCCTCCTTCAACCTGTAGTACTCTACACCGACGATTTCCGAGAGCTCCTCATCCAGAGACTTTCCGATAGGCTGCCACCGCAGCAAAGACCGAGCCCTGCTAGCCCGACAGCGCATGTTATTTCCCCAGCTCGTGGCTTCGAATCCCGCCAGTTCAAAAGCAGCTGCCTTGTCGAGGAAAATTCCAGTCGGAGTGGATGGCAAAAAGCCCTTCTCAAAAGCTATTTTCCCAATCGAGTCTGCCACTGCACCCCAACAGTGCTCATCTTGTTCCACAAGATAGTACGCATCCGGACCCCAAAGACTTTCATCCTGCCGTTCTAGAGCTGCCTCGAAAAGCTGAATAAACAAGGCTGTTAGGCTGTAGACATGGATGTTCGATCCGATCGCCTCCCCGTTCCCAATTTTCGGAATTTTGTTCTGCGCAAGAATGAAATTTGCCATTTCATAGATTTGCCGGCTTCGCTGGGAGCACGGGCCTCTGCCCTTCCCTGTCAAGAAAGTTAGAACAGGTCTGTATCTCTTCGTATGCGGATAAAGAATACCATAGACTGTTGTTGGAGAGATGATTGCCACTTTCAATGAATCAGGCGACGAGGAAGCCGCATCAAGGACAGTCTTGTCCACGGTGCGATGCATTGCGTGGTCCGGAAGCGATGTGATTTTCCGGATATGTTTGAGATCATCCCAAATAGCCTCGCTTCTTTGCCCGTATGTGTTATCCTCGTCATCAAAAGAGGAGAAAATACCAGCTCCACTTGTATGCAACCAAAAGGCTGGCCTGTCGGGGGTGTGTCCCTCTACCGCGCCTTTGGCAATAGCCTGCGCAGCACGAAGGTGATCTGCCGCATCTGCAGTGTCTGAAAGTGCATGGCACATCAGTTTTTGGGCCTACCTAGTCGACCAAGTCACAAGGATGCTTACGAATAATAACGTCCGCGTTGCTCGATTCATGTCTGATCAGCTCGGTATCATCAAGGCCCCCCGGAACGATGATAGCCGATGGATATAGGACCGAGATCTGTTGTTGGCTCTGCTGGCTACGCACCAGTAATCGGTAAGTGTTCTCTGGGTGCTTTGCAATCAAAGCTGATAGGATGTCTCCTCCAATGTAGCCACTGGCACCTGTACTATGGAATTGTCAGCCTGCAAGGAAAAATAGACAAGTATCGAAAGCGTGATCGTACATGAATATTGTTTGCATTGTGTGAAGGACTTCCGTGGTGGTTGGTGATAGAAGCAGGATTGTGAGGGGGGCATAAGCCCCCGGGGTGCGGGGGCGGCCCCCCCGCCTGCTGGATTTCTAATCAGCGGGAGGCGCGGGCGCGGGCGCCCAAGTGCTTGTGGATCCGCGCAGGTACCTGATTTCGTTGAGCCACTTGCAATCTGGATTCCAAGGTTGTATTTAATTGGGAAAGATATCCTTCACTTGAATTCAATCTGGTGCCGGAACCATGTGCCCCCGGCAAAAAAGACGTCTACTGTATGCAAAAATGCAATCAGGGTTGACTTCATTCGGGAGTGGATCATGATTTGACAAGTCAAAAAATCAAGGAGCAAAAAAGAGACGACCAATGCAGGATTCGAACCTACGATCTCCCGCACCGGAAACGGATGCCTTACCACTAGGCCAATTGGCCAACCAGAAAGTTGGATTGATATTGCGGATTCCCCGAAGAGTGTATTATAAACAGCAGTGTCAATATCCATGGATCCTAAATGGTAAATGTAGATGGAGGTCCACATGAGTTGTTCTTTCAAGCCCTGCTTAGGGGCTAGTCAATCTCAAGTGATAAGATCCTACGATAGTATTCTATTATCATTAGAAAAGGGTTGATTCCGAACTGAGTTATCTCACTTCGAGCTATTTGACATTACTAAATTTCAAAAAAATCTCAGCTCACATCCGCTGCATGGGTGGTCTTTCTATCCTCGCCGAGCCCCGCGACGAATGAATCTCCCAGTCAGAAGTTATCCGGATATGACCAGGGGCAAGATAGCCTGCCTTAGCCATGACATGCGGATGAACAGTAACAAGAGGCATCTCCGGTTCGTCCAATTGCATGCCTTCAAGGACCCTGGTGTTCCAATACCTGGAGCCTGGGTCTGGGCTCAAAGTTTGCGTGGAAAATGAACGAGATGGAACTCCACACATCTTTTGAATGGCAGGCGCGGTAATTGGAAGGCAAGCGGCTATGATACCCAGGATGGGCGCAATGCATGCCAGGGCTGACTTGCTGGCGGATATTTTGGTTTGGTTCGTTGGTTCGGAATCGAACTCGAGTTTCGTGCGGACTGAGATGAGAATGATGACACTAATAAATTGATCAGTATGATGTATCTTTTGGATTGTGGCTTATAGCCAAGATGAGCCAAGAGTCACTTACATGAGGCCTAGGGCTTGGACGCCCACGAGTCCGAATTTCCTTGGCCTTGATAATGGCATTCTCCACGTGAAAGGGACAGCAAGAGCTAAGATGAAGAAGTTCAAAATAATTTCGCATGCAAGAACACCGGTATGAAGCATCTGGCGATTACCGCAATGACCTGCGGTATTTTCGTGCCATATCTTCCTTGGTGGGTTGCAGAGGAATGCAGTGACAAAGAACCCGATAGACCACAGGGCTAGACACAGACTCATTGTAATGTATGAGAGCAGAGTGATAGTCCGCTGACTGAAGTTGCGAACATAATAGTCAAGAATTGACAACTGGGTTAAGCAGACCACCGTGAGCCAGAGAAGATCACCGGCATATTTAGTCTAAGAAGGTCAGTTCTGAATTAATAGCCGTGATCCTCAGTAGAGATGGATGAAGGTCTTACCGCAAGGAATTTGACTGTAACCTCGTTTCCTCCAACTCGGATTATCTCAGTGGGATGCAAGCCCATGCCACACAGCACGACTAGAATGATTTCCACCACATAGCGCCCGACCATTAAGAACTGAATGTATGATTGTCAGTCAATGAAGTTAACAACATGATTGAAGAGCAATGTATGAGATCATGTTCCCCAAAAGATAAGAATCATCAATAGACTTACCGTGGAGCTTAGAATCAAACAGTCATTTACTTGAAGCGAAAGCCATTGTAATCTCCGGGACCACAACCTTAACGCTACCACGATTAAACAGATTCCCAGAAAGATGGTCTGAACAACAATATCGGCTTTGCCCAAGGTATTGTGCCCAAGGGAGTGGACGAGTGTACCCGATGAAAACGCCATGAGTCCATGCAGAAAAACATCTCAGAAAACATCGAACATGCCAAAGACATTCATAAGTACAAAACCTGAGACGCAGAATACGAGAATAGTCGGATCAGAACCGGGCGGGGGCAATTGGCGCAAGACCAATGCCGACGAGGGATTACAGCATTATACATCTACAAATAGTAAGATCACCCCGTTACAAGCAGGGACCCCCCAGAGACACGATCTCTGCCACACTGGCCAAACATGGAAAATTTTCAAGTTGTCCGTCTTATCACCCTTGCAGACTGCACGAGGTGCAGTTGTTTTCGATACTACTGATCAAATCATGTACAAGAAGCATTGAATATTGCATACAAACCCTCGAATCCAGTATGATTCTAGTAGTAAACCATGCGCGTAATTCGCAAAGCCTAAAATGTGCCGGATTCTCGAAACTGAGGTCCCAATTAATCTCAGACGACCGCGTTTCAGATCCCGAAGCTAACACAGCCAACGCATCATAAAACCTCCACTTGCCGAGCGGGTCGATCTTCACCGTCTGTTTTTTGTGTTTCGAGAGATTCTCACAGGGTCTTCCTGGTGCTCAGATCTCCACTAGTCTCTTGGTGCTTATTTCTAGACCGTTCCACTGAATTTTGAGGTGCTCGGATCGCCTGTTCGCTTGTTTTACCTGTTCAGTAGGCGACTTGCCCCTGGGGCGGGAAGCTTAGTCGCCAAATCCTGACATTTTCAGCCCTACGTAGATGATACGAGATATACGAGTGGTTGACCCCTTGGTTTTTTCCCTCCGAGCTCCACTCTATAGAGACTTGATACAACTAGTGACTATTTTTGATTTTTGGAGTTCCTGATCGACCTGATGTCAGGTCTTCTTACCAGGGCACGTACCTAGGCAATATGAATACGCTGGAGCTCCGGGGATAGCGCGCAGGTGGAGCCCGTCGCCGAAAGATTCTATGTTTCCGTCAATGAGGTTTCGCGAGAATTCTTGGATGAGACTTAGCCCCGGAAGTCTTGAAGTCCACTTTTGTAGACCATACTGAGGCTGTGTCACCGAGGTCCTTCCAAGTTGTTAGTAGCCTGATCCACGGACACCACCAATTCTCATTATGCGGGCTTAGGCCCCCTTACGGTTAATGGGTGCAAGCCATAGGTTCTCCCCGGGCCGTGTTTGAGAATATACACTAGGGGCTCGAGCTAGCTTCAGTCGGCGATCGTATCTACACATTTTAAGGTTCAGTAGGAAGAGCTAATCCTTCATTGGCGCACTCTATCGAACGAGGATGCTGAGTTCGAGCTTTAGTGCAGGGGTCCGCACAGCCGCTCCTGTCACAACGCGGGCTTCTCCAATGTCTCCAAACCCTAATCTCCAACACCCAGGGGCACGAGAAGTACCAGGCCAACCTAAATCCAATCCATGATGCAGGGCATGCAGAGCGAGAACCGTGCTTACTTTTCGGAAGTAAACCGAGCCCAATTAGAGACGACGATGCCGATCCCAGTCCGCGTTAGGCCAGTCTGTGTTTCCGAGATCCCGTGTGAAGCTGATCTGGAAAGTATGTGCTCTTACTGTGGAGACTTTGAGGTGCTCAGAAGAGGGGGTATTTCCGTCCTTGCGGGGCCAGTCTGAAAAGCTTGACCCGGCTTCAGAAAAGAATGTCTGCAGCCATCGGCCTGGGTCCTTATGTGGGCAGATGGATGGAAACTTTGTCGCCGATGAGGTACCATGGGGCACAAGTTGGAAGACACAAGAGCTTGAAACAAGTATGTTTTGATATGCTCCGACGCTGAAAGAGGTTGCGATTTTGACCGCCGGGCCATAGGGATGCTTGAAAGTACAATTATGCTAGAGGGATTTTAATCCGTCAACAGGTGAATTGACCCAATGGTCGAAAAAACGATAGGACTTGTGGTCTGCATATGCCCATACTTTCCTTAAGTCTTTAATCAGCGGTAACTTATCACGAAAGGTCAAGATAAGACATGGGCAAACTTCCACATAGCCAGTGTACGGCATGCAAAATTTGTGCCCCGAGCAGTCCCCTCCGTGCAGAGTCAGACAGTCACCGCAGGAAGGCTGCCGCTGAGCGTTCTCACTAGAGGTTATATAAAACATCCAATTCATAAGAATACTGCCAATGCTTTTCTTGGAATCGGCGTAGTATCTTATTCCGCGGTAAATTCGCAATCTCGGAAGATAGATACAGGCTTTTTTCGGGAGGCAGAAGCAATGAAAGGCTATTGGTCCCCAATAACGAGAGAAAGCAGGCGAAGTAGTGTTTTGAAGTAAGTGAAAAGCAAATTTGATCTTCCATTGGCAAGAGGGAGAAGATCTGGATCACCAACTCCAGGGGGAGTCGGAGTAGAAACGGGGCCGACATGAAGCTGTCAAGTCGAAGGGTGGCCCTTCGGGATATTCCAAGGTTGTAGGGCGCTAACTTGGTTGAGAATCCGACGAGACTGTGGATCTGCGATATGGAAGGGTCAGCGGGTTAAGCCAGGAAGAACACTTTGAGGGGGGACAGAGTATATTTAAGCTGGATGGGCCCCTCAGAGGGGCGAGCAAACCGTTATCGTTTGGATGTTTGTCTGCATAAGTTGCATTGCAATGCAAAGGTGAACGTCAATGATATGCGTGCAAAGAGACAGAGTGGATGATGTGAGATCATGTTAAAAATTCCATTGCATTATGTATCGGCATTCATTGTGCATTTCATAAGATATAAGGGACACAAGGAGGGAATATGCCTCTGTACCAACGTTCTTTTATTGCATCATATCCAATATGAGCAGCAATTAAGTGCTCTTCTTAGCAGCCTCACGCTCAGCCTTACGGAGAGCACGCTTGCGAATGCTTTCATGCATAGATTTGTTCTGACCAAGGACAAAACCACCCATGGTTCCAGTAACGGTAGTCAGGAACCAAGCCATGATGCCATGGCTCCAGTAAGGCGAGGAGCTGTAAGCATAGCTAGGCGAACCACCACTGCGACCAATCTTGCCAAGGACAGAGCGAACAAAAGTGCGCGGGTTAGGAATGGAAGCAGAAGCACGACGGATCTTGGACATGGCAGAGGTGATCAAGTAAGCCTGGACAAGCTCGACATCAATGCCGTAGGGAGCCAGTTCACTGCCGAGAGAAGTGGACCAGTGCTGCAGGAAAGCCTTGCTGCCGGAGTAAGTGGCCAAGAAGGGTGTAGGGAGCAGACCACCGAAGGAGCCCATGGTGAGAATCAGACCGCGGCGACGCTGCATCATGCCAGGGACGACGAGCTGGGTGACGCGCAGGGTTCCGGTGCAGTTGATCGTGACGATATCGGCCATCTCGGCGGCGGGGGTCTGGGCGAAGGGAACGGGGATCGAGTGGCTGAGACCGACGTTGTTGACAAGGACAGAGACGTCCAGACCGTTGACCAGCTGGTTCAGGGCTTCGTAGTCGGCATCGGCGTTGCGCGAGAAGTCCATCGCCAGGGTCTTGGTCTGGACTTGTGGGAATTGCTTGGTGATGTCCTCGGAGAGGGTCTCGAGCTTCGAGGCTGTGCGGGAGACGAGCACGATGTTGAACTTCGCCTTGGCTAGCTGCAGGGCAAATTCTTTGCCGAGGCCATCGGAGGCACCTGTCACGACAGCCCAGCTACCGGGGGGACCGAATGAGCGCAGCTATTAAATCTCCGAATTAGTTTCCTCTTCCCAATTGAGTGTCATCTACTAATCGAGTTTCATACCGGTTTACCCGGAAGCACGAACAGGCTGAGAAGCACCCGCACGAACGTCCAGACGTGGCAGGCAACGTGCAACCCACCTGCCGCCAGAAGGAACAAGGCTCCAAAGGCCGGCAAGCCCGGTGTGATATGCGCAGGCCATTGGGAAAGGCACTCAGTGTATTTTGAGAAATCCATGGCTATACTGGAAACTTGAGACAGAAGTGGAAGAAGAAGAAAAGTTGAGGCGAGCTTGTTGGGAAGATCCGCGCCAAGAATCCCAAACATCGAACATCCTCGGCCTCTCACAAACAACTTCCCCCCAGACCAACAATTCAGTCCAAAATGTCCCAATTTCTCACCTACCTGCCCCCTTTTGAGGGCATCCTTCCCAAATGGCTCGTTTTTGTAAGTCTTGCCCTCTCAAGTTGCATCCCCTAAATACCCCGGTCTAACACTCCCCACAGGTCTCCGTTGTCTCCGCCCTTAACAGCCTGCAAGCCTACTGCTCAACCCAATATACCTCTCAACTCTACAGTAATGGCCAAGTCCCTGCTAGCCCTCTGTCTGGTCGCGTTTTTGGAACCTGGACTTTCCTGTCCGCGGTCATTCGCATGACGGCCGCTTACAACATTGACAACCCTGTTGCGTACAACCTCGCGATGTGGACCTACGGAATCGCGCTGACACACTTTGTCGGAGAGCTCATTGTCGGAAACGCTTCTCTGAAGGGTCGCTTCCTGAGCCCCTTGATTGTTGCCTCAGCTTCGCTCGCTTGGATGATCACCCAGCGCGAGGCATACCTCGCTTAAGCTTGATTGCTTGGGTCGGTCTGTTCGAACCTCGGAGCTCGCTGAACCCTTCTGTGCACCAACAGAAACTAAAAAACCCCATCGCAGCCTTTACCGCATATTTTAGGTGCAACGCAAAAGCCGGGTGTTAACAAAACGGAATAATTGATATGCATGTATTTTAAAAATCGCTACACCATCTGCCCAACAGCCAGACTCCAAAGTGCTACTCGTTACAATTTGCTTCAAGAATCCAACTTCTTCCTGTAGAGCTCACCACCACAAGCGCGCAGCTTAGCAGCAGCCTGCTCAGGCGTGATATCACGCTGAGGCTCCGCCATCAACTCATACCCAACCAAGAACTTGCGCACAGTCGCACTACGCAGCAAAGGCGGGTAGAAGTGCAAATGCAAGTACGAAGCCTCGATCTCCTCCGCAGTGCCATCCAACGGCGCCTGGTGAATACCCATACTGTAAGGGAAATGCGTTTCGAAGAGATTATCGTAGCGACGAGTAATCTCCGCAATAGCTTCGGCAAGGAGCATCTTATCCGCATCTGAGAGATCGACGAGCGCGCGCTTGTGCGTGCGACTGACGATCATTGTTTCGAAGGGCCAGGTCGCCCACCACGGACAGACGACTAGGAAGGCTTCGTTCTCGAAAACCACGCGCTCCTGCTTGCGGCTTTCCAGAGTGGCGTAGTCTTCTAGAAGGTGGCTGCCGCCGTGCTGCTGTCGGTACTTGCGTAGCTGGTCCATTTCGGCGGCTGGCTCTTCGGGCATGGAGCTGGTGGTCCAGACTTGGCCGTGGGGGTGGGGGTTGGAGCATCCCATGGCTGCGCCTTTGTTTTCGAAGATCTGCATGTACCTGTACTGCTCCTTGGGTTTGGTGGTGTTTGTAGATGGGGGCAGGGTTGTTGCGGGGGCGATCTGGGCGAGTGGGGAGGTGGGCGAGAGATGGGCTGTGTAGATCTCTGTCCAGGCGTCGATCACGGGAATGATCTCGCGAGGGCTCAGATCCGCAAGGGTGAGGTTGTGAGCAGATGAGAAGGTCAGGACGTAGCATTTTCCAGTTACGGGTTCGGCTTTGAGGAAGCGCGATTCCAACTCTGTGGTCTGTGAGTATGATGTTGGCCAGGGATTGGGATTGTCTTACCATCTTCGTTGGAAGGCTCGTAGTGCGCTTGCTCTTCCTTCACGGCGCTGTAGTCGTTCACAAACACAAAGGTGCTGTCATAGTTGGGGTTGGTGTCGCCCTGCGCGCGCTTGTTTCCGGGACACAGGTAACATTCGGGATCGTGGGCTGGGAGAGTGGTCTTGGAGGCGCTTTCCTGCGCTCCTCTTCGAACTGTTAGCTCTTATACTCAGTTTTGTCGTATGACGACACTTACTGCCAGGGACGCTTGGTGCGGTGGGGAGAGACCAAGATGGAGGATCCCCGGAGAGGGTTGTATCTCCGGTGCGAAATATCGTCCAGTACGTTCTCCATTGTGTCAGACTTCAAGGTACCTTGGAGGAATAAAAAGAGAAGAAGGAAATTTCGCGCAGAAACAGTCCAGGGTCGCCGCTGGGCTCCGGTGGGGAGGCGGGGTCCGGAGCAACAACGTCTAAGCGAGGTCGCCTACGGTAGGATCTATACCATTACGCTAATACCGGAAGAAAGCGCATCCATATTGAATGTGTTCTCCAAGGCTAGCCTGTAGGGAGTATACTGCTGTCACCGTTCGGTGAGCCGTAGGGGTATGGCTCGGGATCCCGCACTCGGTTTGTCTGGGGAAATCAATGCACTTCTTTTCCGGGGAGCCCTGTGCGTCGCCCAAAGAGGCAGTTTTGTGCCGCGGCCCCGTGGTGAAGTTTCAACAGGCTGACCCGATTGGTTACCGCAATACAATACGGGTCCGTTGGTGGGGTTAGTGACGCATCGGGGAATTTACCCCCGCGGTGACGTCAGTCAACCAGTCCACAGGAGCTGCTCAGGGCGGAAGAACACTCTCGAGCAACTACATACACGTTAGTAGGGTGATCTCATTGGAAGAGATCTCGATCAAGGCAAGCCTATGAGGCAAATTGATACCCCTGATATCCCAATTGGGCATTGAAGCTATATCCATGGATTCCGAGGTCATGAATAGCCCCGCGGTGACCCTGGACTTCCTCCCAAACGAGGTAAGCCTACTAGGAGAGCACAGGACACGAGCTAAAACAGTCAGGTATACATTGAAATATTGTCTGACTTCTCCACCCGGGATCTTCTCCCCCTGGCCCTTGTCAATCGTCGATTCCACGCGCTAGTGTTGCGGATTCTTCACTATCGCCTTTTACTCCATAACCCACCCAAAGATTATAAATTGATACTCGAATGCTTCCACCCCAGCTCAAAACTCACTGAGCCACATGTCTTCTGCAAGTACCTTGGCACAGACGGTCTGAGTGAGCACCATGCAGATCCACTCGAAGACGCCGACCCAGCACAGCAACTGGGAAGGGTGACTGCATTATATTCCCGCTTCCATCCTAAAGCAAGAAGCGAAGAAGAGGAGCAGAATCTCGCGACGCGTTTTGCTCTTTTCCCAGGTAGGATGTTTCTCTCGGGGGTGTTCGTGCGGGCTGACATGGATGGGGACGAAGATAAGAAAGATGATAAAGTGGTGCGAGAAGTCACCATAGATGGGTATGAGGATTTCTCTCAATTATGTGTGGTGGTCAGTCTTGTTCAGGTTCGGCCTGGGACGTCCTTGCTGCTCAGTGCATCGACTATTGAGGATGGGTTTGTTCGATTATGGAGAGACTGGTTGTATCGACAGAGTAGGAAGTTGAAGAAAGCTTCTGATGCTGCGAGAGAGGAAGGTCTGGATGAAGTTCAGATAACATCCGATCCCGATGATATGCTGTGGGTGGATTTGGCCCGGACTGTGGGATTGAAGCTGCGTGTGCGGCCGAAATCCTGGAACCCGTCTTTCCCGGTGCTGATGCATCAGGATGACCGGGATGACGATGCTTGGGTTGGCTACGAGGTTATCTTGGAGGGTGAGCTGGCATTCCTCATGAAAATTGACCCTTGCTGACTGGATAGAATTGCATATTCGGGCAACTCGCCTTCTTTTGGCCATTGAGCGCTCAAAGGAAGAGCAGAAGTTTCACTCCAACAATGCCATTGTTATTGGAGCTCCAGCTCCTGCATAGAACATTCGACTCATATCAGTCTCTGCATCGAAAACCATGGCCGTACATAGAAAACTGTACATGTCTCAATCTTGGACACAATGCAACACCCATCTAACTTTGTGCATCAATTGCTTCATCAAAGTCCCGGAGAAAGGCCCAAAGAGTTTTCGCCCGCCAACCCTTCTGTTTCCAATCATTCGCCGACAAAGGGAACAGATCGGCAATTCCCAATAAGCTAGGATCGTGCGCAGAAACAAACCAGATATTACTATCTGCATCCGCCTCCTGTGCTTTCTCGATTGTACCTATAGTCCCCTCGATATCAGTCCCAACCATAGTCGCCGGGGCAAAGAACGGTTTCTCCAACGTGCTTCTCCGCTCGAAAAGCAATTTTTCATAATTCTCAGCCCCAGGACATGGCAGCAGCATAGCGGGCATTGCAGCTGAAAGATCGGAAGGGAGAGACATGTGCTCAGAGGGCCTAAGCTCGCCTGCATGGTGGCACAGATCACCTCCCATGAAAATGAAAGTGTCTGGATTAGTGGTTGTTCGAGCCAGTGCACCCAGATGGCCCACGGCATGGCCGGGGGTATCAACTAGATAGAACGAGCCATCCCCGAAGAAGTCAAAGGCGCGGAAGCGGCCTGCTTTCGTGTCGTCGGAAAAGTCGATCTCCCGCAGATTTCTTCCACTGTGTCACTAGTCAATATTGTGTCTGAAAGAGATCCCATAGTCACAGCTTACGCTAGATCAATCTCACGAATAGGAGAGTCGGGCGAAGCTGGATACGCAGGAAGGAAAGCTTCTTTGAATCCCGGACCGACAATCAAATCAGTCGATGGTGGAAATAAATATGGATTCCCGACGTGATCGAAATGCCAATGGCTGCATATACCAATGAGCTTGTGCGCAATAAGAGTGGATTCAACAAGGGTCCTTAAGCCGGAAAAAGTACATACCTCCAGATGATCCCTGAAATCTGATCTGGCGCGATCTCTTCCTTCAAAATATCAATCACATCATCCTTGACAGATATATCTGTTTTCATGCTCTCAATAATTCGCTGGATGAAAGGCGAAAGTGACCGGAAGGCTTTTGCAACACCGAGATCAAAGAGTAGTTTCTGACCGGATGCATGCTCAATTAGGAATGACCATACAGGCATCTCGGGCATATATTGCATCCCCTTCATGGCGGGCTCCATCAGAAAAGCTACTGGGAGTTTGCCCATTCGCGTGGTTGTATCAATTATCCTGACACGGACTGTTTCGGTGCCTGGAGGCACGGGAAAAAGAGTATTCTCCATGATCAGTTCGGTACAGTATTTGTCGCAGTTTGGGATTCTTTCTGGGGGGCGCCTGGAATAGACACTTAGGTATGGCAATGATCACATCTAGGTGAGGGGCTGCGGGGCTTCCCAGGAGCAAGCACATCATTTGAGTTTAATTTCCTTACTCGAGACCATATCTATCATATTTACTGCCAAGACTGACTGCCTTGATTCAAGGTTTACCTGTATTGAATCTCCATGTGCTCACTGCAGAAAAATTTATTGAGACACTGACACACCGAATTCCAAGGTTTTTCGTAAATGGACCAGTACTAACTAAATATTTGAGGAGCGGCAAAGTTATACTATAGTCATCGATCAGATACAAACTGATCACATCATGTATATGAATTCGCTAGCAATGCAGCAATGTTTCAACACACGAAACAAAGATTGAACCCATAGTCCCAAGACCTGACAGGACTTTCTTCAAAAGTTCCCTGGGCCAGTCCCTCAATGCTTGGACAATCAATTATGAGCCCACGGCTGAATAGCCTCCAGCAAATCCAAATGAGGCTTAGCATCCCCACTCCTCTTCAATGCCTCATCCAAGATTTCAGGACCAAGAATCTTGTGGAAAAGAAGAAGACTCCCCCACACCAAATCCGCATAACTAGGAGTCTCCCCAAGGAAGAACGGCCCCTCATTCTCCTTCAGCAAATCCGTAACCTGACGAATAGCCGGCTCCACCTGACCCCAAGCCTTGTCCCCACCTCGCTCCTTGTCCAGCTGATCCATGGACATGCCCATGAACTTCTCGCGAGTCGTATACCAGTACTCCAAGCTTTCCTCGTTGAGGAGCCTCTTCGGGACCATGGGCAGGAAGATGGGCACGAAGGCGCCCATGTACTGGGATACTAGGTCTTCGACTTTTTTGAGATAGGGGGAGTCCAGGTGGAGTGAGGGGGTAGGGGCCTGGGTCTCGATGTAGTCTGCTATCTTGCGCGAGTCCATCACGTAGGTTCCATCGGGGCTGATGATGGTGGGGATGGAGTATGGGAACATTGCCTCGAGATTGGCTGTCACACTAGAGCCATTGGGTTAGTTTGTACACTGAGGAGATTGTCGTGTCACGCACTGGTTCTCTAGTGTGGGTTTGATGTCTGGGTACTCGACCTGCGCGTTTCATTAGTTCGAGCTTCAGGGTAGCGTTAGAAAGTATGTGTCTCACCCATTGGGTCTGATGGTCAAGTCCTTTGAAGTTGAGCAGCAGGCGCGCTGGAATCGGTTAACTCATGCCCGGTCGTCTGCCGAGGTGACTCACTCTTCCATGGGTTCGGGGTCCATGTCACGGAGGGAGCCTTGCCGGAGGGAATGTCGAAAAGGGTGTATTGAGAACTCATTTTGATGTTGTTATGTTTCTATCAGAAAGGGGATGTCTCTTAATGTATTCCCCGCTGATGTCCCGATGCTTAGGTGGGGCCCTGAAGATTACCAATCCGGTGCTTTCGCCGCCCGAAATTTTACGAGTTTTGTCATTGCTGATCGCGGGGTTGTTGATAACGCGAGGTTCTCTAACATCGTCCAAGGTGGCCTTTTCTAATCTTTGTTTTTTGCATTTCTCTTTCCGGGTCATCTTTTTCACTGTTCGTGCCCATTCTTCAGTCAATTGATACCTCTCAATGGCATTGGAAATCTACCCCTGACTTGCTCGGGGTTAAGTTGAAGGTTACCCTACCACACATGCAGGTTTACGTTGTACCGGCCCTGATGCGTCTATAGTGTTATCGGAAGCTGCACTGCATGAGGCTTGGCAGCAGCTGTGCTCGCCTTATCTGATCTCGGAACTCCGAGTTCAAATAGTCGTATTTTTTCTTATTTTCCCTATCTTCTTTGTTTTGTATTTGGGTCCGTCATCGATCGTATCAACCTTGGAATAGATCTGGGGGTTCCTGACCAGCATTAGTGGCGAAGACGAAGAGACGCCTCTGCGGAGTATTCCTATTTCACCTGGGCACCTAGGCATAATTTTAGTTTGCCCGAGCTGATACCCTTCCAAGGCTGATTGGGGTGCAAAGTTTCCCTTTGTCTTCATTCCAGAAACGACCTTAAGATTGTAACTGTAAGGCCATTGTTTCTCGAGATCAAACGGTGGAAATCCCCAGCAACGTCTCACAGCGAGGAGTTTCAACCTCGCCGAGACCTCTAGCCCTACAGCAGACCGAAAATACTACAGCATGTATCCTGTACTCTACTGTAGTATTCAACTCGAGGCCAAAAGCCAAGTCAAGCTTTCGGGCCGTGAAGGAAAAGTCACCAAGGCCGAAGCCCCACCGCGACTCGGCAACATCCAGCCGATGCAAAACAGGGACCCGACACTCTTCTGCCGGTTGTGATTCGCCGGAATTCAGCCGAGACAAGCCTCGGCTGCTTTCAAAGTGGAGATTCTTTTGGGGGCTACGTTTCTCAAATTCTGACGGCCAATTTTCACGATTAGATCGATTTCTGCATTGTCACACGCAGTAGCAGCCGTCAATACCTGATCTAAATCACATAGTCGGGCTCGGCCCAAAATGGCCGTCACGAAAAATGCAGATGGCGAAGCCACTCTACCCTCTACAATCCCATTCTGGCGCATGGTCTTCGACCAAAAAGTCGTCACGGAGGAAGTCATGCGATTCCCATATACTGGATCAGGAACTGAAGAGGATCCCTATGCGGTGATTTGGATTCCTGCCGATCCACGAAACCCCATGAATTTCCCGCAAATGAGGAAGTGGGCTATCACGCTGCTCGTCTCGTTCGTGACTCTGGCTGTCTCCTTGGTGTCATCTGCGTTTTCAGGCGGCATGGCTCAAATGATGGAGGAGTTTGATGTGGAGGAGGAAGTTGTGATTCTGGGTGTTTCGCTCTTCGTGCTCGGTTTCGCTATTGGGCCTTTGATCTGGGCGCCTCTTAGTGAAATCTTTGGTCGGCGACATATCTTCACTATCTCGTTCATGTTCCTGACGGCATTCAATGCGGGAACTGCGGGGGCAACGAATATTCAGACTCTGATTATTCTGCGTTTCCTGGCTGGATCCTTCGGTTCTTCGCCATTTGGAAATGCTGGCGGCACTATTGCTGATATGTTCCCTGCTTCCCAGCGCGGTATTGCTATTAGTCTATTCGCTGCTGCACCGTTTTTGGGGCCCACTATTGGGCCGGTGATCGGTGGGTTTTTGGCTACGGGGGCGGGTTGGAGATGGGTGGAAGGGTTCCTTGCTGCTTTCTCCGGTGTGCTTTGGCTGTGTATTATCTTCCTGCTGCCGGAGACGTATGCACCGGTTCTTCTGCGCCGTCGTGCAGAGAAGCTGTCGGCTTTGACTGGGAAAGTGTATCGCAGTCAACTCGACATTGATCGTGGTCCTATTCCCATGGGGAAGACTTTGAAAACAGCTCTCTCCCGCCCGTGGGTTTTGCTTTTCCGTGAGCCCATCGTGCTTCTCTTTTCCGTTTACATGTCCATCATCTATGGGACACTGTACATGTTGTTTGCGGCATACCCTATCGTCTTCCAACAAGTCCGTGGGTGGAGCGAAGGTATCGGCGGCCTTGCTTTCTTAGGCATCCTCGTCGGCATGGTCGCTGCCGTCGCCTATACCTTCCCGGAGAATTTCCGCTATGCCAGAAAGTGCAGCGAAACAACCGACCGACTAGCACCCGAGCTTCGTCTCCCACCAAGCATGGTCGGCGGCGTGGCACTGCCAATCGGACTCTTCTGGTTCGCCTGGACCAACTCACCCAGTATCCACTGGATGGCCTCAGTGGCAGCAGGTGCACCCTTTGGTTTTGGCATGGTCCTCGTCTTCCTCAGTGTCTTCAACTACCTCATCGACTCATATACCATCTTCGCTGCCTCCGTGCTAGCCGCCAACTCCGCCCTTCGCTCTCTGTTCGGCATGGCCTTCCCCCTCTTCACCACATACATGTATCAGAACCTCGGCATCCACTGGGCATCATCAATCCCCGCCTTCCTGTCACTTGCATGTGTTCCCTTCCCGTTTATCTTCTACAAGTACGGCGCCCGCATCAGACAGCGATGCACCTACGCCGCCGAGGCCGATGCCTTCATGCGTCGTCTTGCTGAGAAAAACCAGGCTGCCCGCCCAGAGCCGGAGAAGGACCAATCGGCAGATGGCCCGGAAAGCGGTAGCGACAGTGATTCCGATGCTCTCTCGAGTGTTCCTTCGCGGGCAACTATCGCGCGCTATGCTTCCCGCGCATCTCGCGCGTCTCGTCAATCCGGTCGCTCGATGCATCGCACTGCGACTGCGACGCAGTACGAGGAGAACCCGTACGATCTGGACTTGGTGAATACTCGACAGTCTGCGATCAGTCGCAAGGAGTGAGTGGCAAGCCACAATTACACTCACAACATCCTACAGCCTGTCTGGTGTGACGCGCAAAGTGTCTCCGGCTTGGCGTCTCGCGCTCAAGCGCTGAGAACGCGTGACAACACGTCGGTAGAGGCAGAGAAGTCAGAGTATATTTAGGGGCGTATGTCTCTAAAAGCGCGAAGCAAACTTATGTTTGCTTTTTTCGCGCGTGGATGGGATCGCGTGTCAATCTGCCTTTATTTTGGCGCATCCCCATCATATTTCATATTCATAAAAGTATTAGCGTTTTGCTTCACAATTCTATATACCAAATCTCAATACTATCGATACATAATGTTTGCATACGTGCTCACTATCCGATGGTCAACTGGTCAACTCGTTAATCGGCAGTGATCACTCATCATCCCTCGGCCCATCTCCACCTCGGTCCCGACTTCGAACCCCGAATATACACAGAATACAGAGAACAGATAAACTAATCCTCTCTCATCTTGCGTGCTAATCCAAGCCAATTCATCAAAACTCTTTCGACATGCCAGGCAAGATCGATGCCTACGTGGACTGCGGTAAGTCACCCCAACCCCTACCTAGGTATGATCGGACCCCACTGACTCCCCAGTGTCCCCATACTCCTACTATGCAACGGTATATCTAAGAAAGAATCGCCAAGCACTCCAATCCCACGGTATAGAGGTTGAGTATGTGCAGCTGTAGCCTTGTATTACGTGCACGACATGCACTAACTGCAAACCAGGTTCCATCCCGTGTTCCTAGGCGGCATCAATGTGGGCTCAGGTATACAATGTTTACCACTGGAGAAAACAATGACTCACCAAGATAGGAAACAAACCACCCTGGACACTGCCCGCCAAGGCAGATTACTCCAAATTCGACTCCGAACGAGCATGTCAATACTTCGGTGTCCCGCCAATCAAAACACCGGAGTTCTTCCCAATCCTCTCGATCATGGTGCGTGGCCACCAATTACGTATGCAACCTGTGTACTGACGAAAGATTAGCCCCAAAGATGCATGATCTACATCAAGAAGAATTTCCCGCAGGAGAAATTCGAAACCACTTTCCTCGCGTTGTGGGAATGGATGTTCTATAAGGGCATTGACATTAGCAAGCCAGAGCAACTGGCTAAGCTGTTCCAGAGCAATGAATTCTCCGATGAGGAGATTAAGCAGATCTTTGCTGCGGCCTCGAGTCCGGAATTCAAGCAGGCTCTTACTGCTAATACGCAGGCGGCGCTTGATAAGGGCGCTTACGGGGCGCCGTGGTTCTGGGTGCGCAATTCGGAGGGTAAAGAGGAGCCTTTCTTTGGAAGTGATCGGTATGATATGTTGAAGTATGCTTCGACATTGTGTTTGCTAACTTGGATTAGGTTTGCTTTTATGTGGCAGTATCTGGGATTGCCTTTCCAGGATGTTACGATAGTTGAGAAGTCTAAGCTGTAGGTTTGACGAAATTGGACTTTTGCATCAAAAGTACCTTGATCATGTATTTCACATATGTACTACCGTTTCTCTGAGTCTTTCTTCCTGTCTCGCCTGTTTCTCTTTCCCTCTCCAGGGCTTTCTATTCCTTCGGGTATATTCTGTCTTTGATACTTGTCCTTGTTTACCTGTGCAACCTTGGAAGATGGATTCTCGAATCATCCTGATGATGACAAACGCGGAGTACGGCCAGTTCAACGTTCACCTGGCCGTTGCTCAGGAGTTTCTTCAACGCGAGAACTACCGTGTGCACATTGCCTCATTCCCCTTTCTAGAAGCAAAAGTCAAGGAACTAAACCTGAATGCTTGGAAAAACGCCACTCGACCACCATCAAGAGCCAGATTCCACGCCCTCGACGGACCTACATTCGTTCAAGCCGCCACGCAGTATGTCAAGCTCACCGATGTCATTACCAGAGAGCGAGGGTACGGCGTTCGCGCCGCAGTCGATATCTACACAAATGAGATACCGACTCTCCTATCAGCATGGAGCCCAGCCGACTACCTCACCATCTATGACAGCTGCATGAGGGTGATAGACGCAATCAAACCCGATCTAGTCGTACTAGACTGGCTCCTATTCCCAGCCATCGACGCCTGCAACGTCATCCAAGCAAAATACTGCTTCCTAACCCCAAACACAGCCTTCGACCACATCCCCAGCCTCAGACTAAGCAAGCCATGGAAATATCCCCAGTACATCTCCCAACCCAACACCTTTCTTGAACTAACAAACCCAGAATAAACTCCGGCTTCGCCTACCCCCTCCCCTGGTCCCAAATCCTACCAAACATCTACCTAGCCATCCGCCTAATCCTCAGCCTAGCATTCTCCCCCCGTCTCAAAGCCCTCCAGCAAGCCCGCAACGCACACGGTATCCCGGGCCCAAATCCACCGATCGGAATATCCGCCCAGACAATAATACCCTCACACCCAGATACAGACTACCCCTGCAGCATCCCATCAAACATAACATGCTGCGGACCGATTCTGCGAGCCTGTCCGAGTCTATCCGAGCAAGACCCAGATCTGGCGTCGTGGCTGGCCAGCAGACCCACCGTCCTCGTTAATATGGGCTCCGGTGTGGTGTGGGATACACGGCGGACGAAGAACTTCGCGGAGGGTATTCGGGTACTACTTGAGCGGAGGGGGTGGGTGCAGGTACTTTGGAAAATGCAGACTGTTTCTTTGATGGGGGAGGCGGAGCAGGATGGGGTGGCTTTGGAGTGTATTCGGGAGTATGTTGATTCAGGGCAGGTGAGGGTTATGGCTTGGTTGCCGGATCCGATTGCCATTTTGAAGAGTGGGAATGTTCTTTGTATGGTGCATCATGGGGGAGCGAATTCGTTTCATGAGGCTGTTCAGTGAGCTTTTCTCCCTCTTTTTTCTCTTTTTTCTATTTGTTGTGTTCGTAGATGCTTGCTAATTATGGTTCTAGAGCCGGTGTCCCTCACGTCGTTCTCCCGGTCTGGTATGATACTTATGATTTTGCAACTCGTGTTGAGTGGTTGGGTATCGGGGTTTGGGGCAACAAAACAGCCGCGCCTAGTATTGATGGCGCAGAATTGGGTGCCGCCCTGGTAAGAGTGGTTACAGGGGCTGAAGCGATGTGCATGTTTTTGAAAGCCTTGGATCTTACTGATAACCTGAGGGAAGGACGTTTTGTTGCTTGCGAGAAAATCATTGAGCTTCTGCGGGCTGGTGAAAAGATTTAAGAGTGTCCAGCTGCACTGAGATGTCCTGGAGCATCTTCTGTCAATTTAGTTGCCACTCTTCTTTTGCCCTGAGGACATTGAGCACAGTGAAGGGCATCACCTTGTGGCAGCAATGACGGAGGAATTGAGCACTGGCTAGAGGCGTGGGCGCTGCACGTCCCAAGTTGAACGTTTTCACTGGAGTCCAGTATCTGATCATGCTCTCATTCTCGATTGATTGTTTTATTTGGCCATTGGCTTCCAAAGCTGTGGGTGGAATGAAGCCATAGGAATCAGATTAGTATGCAATAATTCATCTCCCTTGGAGAAGGCGTAGGTCTTCGTGTGTAAGTAGATGTGAGCAGGTCGGAATGTCCGAAGTAGCGCGAGTGCAGGTGGGGACATCGGGATGCACGTCGGACTTCGGCCTCAATGACTCACTGCTTATTGATCGCGCTTTCATAAGGCCGAGCCTATGACAGCATTGATACTCACACGTCAACAAGACAGAAAGATAGAACTGGTATATAAAGTCAGCGATCTCCCCGAACACTCCTGGCCAAGCGGATAAGAATTCAACCTCCCCACGTCTACCCCACAGTGTGACTTCACCTACCCCCCGAAGGTCCCGCATTCACTCTCTCCTCCATTACACTCAATTGAGCATTCTACAACCAACCAAACCTCTCCCAAGAAATCTCAATTCAAAATGTCCGGACAACGCGTTGCATGGATCGGTCTCGGCAACATCGGCCGAGTAAGCTCAACCACCCAATATTGAACCTACGACAAACTAACACGCACAGGGTATGACAAGCAACATTGCGCAAAAAGGCCCCCAAAAAAGTCCTCTCCTCCTGCACAACCGCAGCATTGCACGAGCAACAGCCCACGCCGCAGCACTAGCACCCAACGCAGAAGCCGTCGACCTTCCCACAGCACTCAGCGCAGAACTAATCTTCATCTGCGTCGGAGACGACACAGCCCTCGACGCAGTAGTTTCCAATATCCTATCTCAACCAACAGATCTAAGCAACAAGACATTCATCGATTGCTCGACCGTTCATCCAGACACATCACGAAAGACCGAGAAAGCGTTCGCAGCACGCGGAGCGGACTTCGTCGCTTGTCCCGTCTTCGGAGCGCCGAATATGGCAGACGCAGGACAATTGATTGTTGTTCCGGCCGGGAAGCGAAGTGCGATAGAGAAGGTTCGGCCGTTCTTCGACGGAGTCGTCGCGAAGAAGACGCTTGATTTGTCTGCTGGGTCTGGGGCTGATATTGATGTTGGAAGGGCGGGGATGTTGAAGGTATTGGGGAATACGTTTATTTTGAATACGGTTGGAGTGTTGGCTGAGTCGTTGTGTGCGGCTGAGGCTTCTGGGTTGGGGGTTGAGCCGTTCAAGGAGTGGCTTGGATTGTTTGCGCCTGGGCCTTTTGCGAATTATGCGGAGAGAATGGATAGTGGGGATTATTATAAGCGGGAGGAGCCGTTGTTTGCGGTTGACTTGGCGCGGAAGGATCTGAGACATGCGGCGGCTGTTGCTGGGGAGGGGGGATTGAGGATGCGGAATGTTGAGGTGACGGATTCGTTGTTGCAGGAGGTTAAGGCTGAGCGTGGGGAGAAAGGTGATTTGGCTGCTGTTTATGGTGCTGTGAGGAAGGGGGCGGGTATGAAGTTTGAGAATGAGTAGCTCGCCTTCGTTTGGGCGTATGTTGTACAGCGTGGTCGTTTGTTAAGATGAAGAGGAGGATAAAGATAGAGCAATGCTTTCATTGATATTGCTAATTAAAATCAAAGTCTCCCCAGGGATATAATGGAGACTGGACAAAGGCTTCTGATAAGAGTAGAGTCATAATTATGCATACAAATTTTGAGAGGTAAAAATAAAAGAACAAGAAGCGATCCGTCGGTGGTATCATTTCAGCAAGCACAGCTTACTCCTCGCGGATCTCGGCAGTGTTGTCGTGGTGCTGGTGCTCACCAGCGCCAGCCTCACCCTGCTTGGGACCATCGAGGGGGTTGGGGCCGTGGAGATCGGCAACGATACCCTCGGGGGCAACCCAGCTGGAGGACTTCCAGGGCTTGACGTGGAGGACGTACATGGTGTCGACCTCCTCGAGAGTGCGACCCTGGGTCTCGTTGACGAAGAAGAAGACAACGAGGACGGACAGGAAACAGCAGGCAGCGAAGACGTAACCGTAACGGAAGTCAATGTCGCTGTTGATGAAGGGGGTGAAGAAGGAGATGAGGAAGTTCCAGGTCCAGTTGGCGGCAGTGGCAACACCCATGCAGACAGCGCGGTACTTGAAGGGGTACATCTCACCACAGATAGCCCAGACGATAGGACCCCAGGTGGTGGCGAAGCCGACAATGAACAGACAGGTGAAGAGAATCATGACAATACCGGCGGCGTGGTTGGAGGGGTCGGAGTGAAGGATCTCGTGACCGACAGAGGCCCAGATCAGGAAGCAGATGAACATCCAGGCGCCACCGTACATGAGACACTTGCGACGACCGAAGTGCTCAACGATGTAGAGACCGGGGAGGGTCATACCGAAGTTGACGGCACCGAGAATGATGGAGGTGACGTAGGAGTTGCTGAGGCCGATACCGTTGAAGATGGAGGTTCCGTAGTAGAAGATGAAGTTGGCACCGGTAAGCTGCTGCAGGGACTGCAGGGCGATACCCAGCATGATACGGTAGAACATGCGAGGACCGGTGAAGACCTCTTGCCAGGGAGCGTTGCCGTTGGCGAGCTCCTCCTCCAGCTTGTTCTTCATGTCGGCCATCTCCTGGGCGACAACGCGGTGGTTGGAGGGCACACCGTAGAGCTTGCACATAACGTCACGGGCCTCCTCAGTGCGTCCGTGGCTGTAGGCGTAACGGGGGGACTCGGGAAGGAACAGAGTACCGACACCGAGGATCAGGGGCCAGGCAAATCCGATACCCATGGTGATGCGCCATGTGGCAGGGTCGTCACCCATGGTGGAGGTACCGTAGTTGACGATGTAGGAGATGAAGATACCGAAGGCGACGAACAGCTGGAAAGCACTGACCATGGCACCACGGACCTGGCGGGGGGCAGACTCAGACTGGTACATGGGGACGACGCTGGAGAGCGCACCGACACCCAGACCGGCAACCCAACGGCCGAGAGCGATTTGGTACCACTTGTCAGTGGTGGCGATCTGGACCACGATACCGACGATGTGGAGCAGAGCCCAGAAGGAGATGGAGAGCTTGCGGCCAATGCGGTCCGCGATGGGGGCGGCCACCAGGGCACCAATCATAGTACCGATACAGAGCTGCAACAAGGTTAGTCGATGTAGGACGACATGTGGACTCCCCGGGGTGAACGTACCAGACCGACAATGAGACCGTTGCGAACGTTACTGAACTCATATTCACCGGAAGAGTGGTTTAACTCGCCGAAGCGTCTCTTGAAGTCCGGCATGGTAGTGAAACCCGAGATTTGACCTGGACGAATTAGCGTTGCAGTGATCGATGGCGGTGACACCACATACCAGTAGAGTATCCGAAGATGAAACCACCCATGGAGACACACAGGCCGAGGATGAAGGAGCGCCATGTGAGATACTTGACGGGGCTGTCATCGAGGGTCAGAGCATCCTTCTCGGCGGTGGTTGAGTCGGCACGAGCAGGAGTCGCAGCCTGGGAAGAGAACTGAGATTCCGCCTTGGTAGGCTTAATCTTGTCCATAAAAGTAGAGACACCCATGATGACCCACTATAATAGATGAGTGTGAGTGAAGACAAGAGAAATATGATGGAAAAAAAGAAAGAGAAGGCAGGCGAGGAGGGGGACCTAAATAGTCCCAGGTTCTGCGAGACCTGGGGGGCCCGGATCTAGTGTCCCACAATAGCCGAAATGGGGTATGGGAAATTTACGGGACTCCATGGGCACAGAATTTTAGCGTAATGTACTCCGTGTTTGGAGGGTTCGCTTTTGGTGGAGAAGAATGGGGAATATGTCCACGTGAGCCGGAAACGGTGTTCTCTTTCTCTCCCTTGATCGACTGTTGATCCGTTGCCTTCTGGAAACATTCTGAAGAGTGACTTCTCACGTTCTCGTGAATCAAGGGATATGCCCGTCTGCGTGTAGGTACTATGTAAACAGTGGACTCTGTGAAGGTCACCAGACCTTCTTGCCACTTTCTAGAAGGTTGGTCTCCACGAATAAGAAGCCGGTGCCTGGCCAAGAGAGTCCATGGTCGATGGATCGGTTGGGGCTTGACGGGTAAACGGATGGGAACGTAACAATGACCCTCATACTGTACGATAATCACTCATACAAACCATACACCTGGTGATGGGAACTGCCGATGTATTTTCGTGGTTTAGCGTATCTTTGACACATACGATCCCCATGGGCAGCGACAATGGGCAATGGCAACTGAAACCGGGTGGACTCCTAGAAAAGAAGGTGAAAACATGAAATCAAAATCAAAATAAAAATAAAAATAAACCTAGACTATACTCAAGTGGGTCATCGGTCCTTCTCAGCCCGCTCGCAGCTCTAATTACGCCTGGGAAGTTGGGGGATATTACATTCCTACAGCATAAGGATTTCCTAGCATCATCGTCATGCCTCGGGAGTCCATCTTCTTTATACGTGCGCCCAAACCCAACGAGTCGCAACGGTGAGGATGTTGATAAAAAGCAAGAGACCCACTGTCCGGTGAGGCTTCGGTCGAGTCCCGAGCAGAGATTTCCGATCTGTTGGTCTTGTCCGAGATCCACTTTGCTGAATCGGCACACCGATATGCAGCTAATTTGCGCTCTTTGTCCCGACCCTTGGCGACATTTGGCCGAGCCGAAGTGACATCCCGACCCGGGATCGCCGTGTCGGCAACTCAACAATCCCGATACTACCTCTACTCATTGAACTGTGCCTCATTGCTGGCCCTGGTGGACGTCCGTAAACTCACATTAAAATCGTAAATAGCCACTGTTTATTTTCGACTGCCCTGCTAATTTCCAGCACATGTTTGTTGCTTCCAGCTATCCCTTGTTACGGAAACGTCGCACCCCTTGATCTGCGCGAAAACTCTGTCCGGCCGCTAATGCCATCAGACCACATTATTCGTACGGAAGAGAAAAAGAAAACAGAAAAAATCTGAATGTGGATCACAGTGCGCTTCACTAACCTCCCTTGGGCGAACTGGAAAAACAGACAGAAAATAACCTTCCAATTGACTTTCTCTTGGCACCGGCCTCTATGCTGAATTTTCATCGGACTTACTTCTGCAGTACTAGACACGGATAATAACCGGACGTTTAGACAATCCTTTTTTTGCTTATTCCAAGCCACCGTATTGCCTCCGAGCAGTACTCGTACTGTAGAGTGCTCAGATAGAAATTCATGCAGTACTTATGTATTAGTCTACCAGGTGATCACAGCACCTCGGCCCTGGCACTCCATTTCAGTCAACTCTGGACAATCAATTTTAATCAATATAAAATTAATTATCGGGTTCAATTGCGGACTACGGACTATGGAGCAGGAGTTATGACTTAATATCAGCCCAAATAGTGATCCTGCAGACACTGACGTGTGTCTTTTTCCAAGTCCCAATTAGGAAACCCCATCTTCCACTCTCCACGAAACCAACTGCCCCATGGCACGGGAATTCAGGGTTTCTCTTCACAATGAAACCTTGCTGATCACTTAATTGATGCCGTCATGCTGTGTCCCGCCGGTCGTGACCCGGCACATGGTGTGTTGTCCCACCTCACCTGGAGACAGTGTTGGGGATCTGGCCTAGTCTGAATTGGGTTTGAGACTTGGTCTTTTCCTAGAAGGGATGTCTGTGGCTTCGTATGCAGTGGCACTTCACTGACGTGCGGGTTGTGCTGTCCAAAGTTATTCCAGGGTTGTGCTCAAGCGCTGGAGGTCTGAGCTTGATAAGATTCCCCCAAGGCGGGTTGGGTACAATTCATTCGTTGCGAACTTGTTGCTGCTTCCCCTCATTCGGCTGTTTGTCTAAGGTTGTGTTACATCTACGCGGTGTTCGGTGCAGGTATCCTGGGCTCAACGTGTGACCGTGACGGCCCCGGGGGCAGGTAGAGGCGATGTTTCATCATGTGATGAATGGCGATGTTGACTCTGCGGGTGCTACTCGTAAGTTTTTATCATGATCTAGGGACGTTGGTCCATGCGTTTGACTGGTGCAATCTTTCGTCTGGGCAGGACAAAGTACAATGTCGGTGCCGGATCCCGATGGTTCAACTTGCCATCTGGGCACCTCACATGCCCGTACTTTGGGATGGGATACATTTTTGAAAGTTCAAAGATCTTATGAGCTTTGAAGGCATTCCAAGGTTGACGGTCCAAGCTTTCACGATTTCAGACACCTGGGTAGGTGTTGCCGGTGTACGAAGTGAGCCCACAAAAATATACCTTTGACCAAATCAAGGTTCAACCTTGGAATTAAACTACCTAGGTCCACGGTAGAGTGATCATCAAAACCTTACTAGGTAGACAGTCATAGATATTAGCTCCAGGGGTCAACCTGGAACCACACCAGGTCTTACCTACTACTAGGTAGATAGGTATTTCCAATATTGAGAACCGTTCCCAGGTGTGCAGCCGAAGGCTCACGGCAAGCCTTTCCAAGGTTCCAAGTTGGAATTTGTAAGCTTTGTACGAAACACCGACTTCTGGACCTCGGATGGTTGTCACTGTATTCCACCCGGGCAAGGTTCGACATCAAAGCCTTGAAATCATTGCCCAGGTCACGGGTCCACGGAGAAATTTAAATAGACATTCAACCACCTGGGCATGAAAGGTTCTATGTAGGTAGGTTACCTAGTATGGGAACTACCAAGGGCCGAGACGGATTCTTCATGTCTGGGTGCACCTTCATAATCAATACACGTATTGCAAGGTTCTGGGATTCAAGGCTCCTACGTTACAGCCCAGGGTGACCAAGACGTGAGTTTCGCACGCACCACCAACGATCCCCGACAAGCCACCGGTGAGAACACCCCGGATCCACCCGTCTTAGGGCGAGAGAAGAACGGCTGCTGGAACAAACACCTGGGCATCTGGGGCACGGCACTTGCACCTGGCATGGGGCAGTGCTTAATAATATGCTGAAGATCAAAGGTACTGTAGAAAGGTGGACCCAATATATCATCTGAATTGGTATATGCGAGATCATGTCAGGAACTTTTCTGTCCTATTGACGAGAACAACCACAAATCGTTACTGGAGAATATCCACGGCAAACAGTCGTGGCAACCAGAAATGCGCGTCAAACATTGGAACGAGACTCGAAAACAAGAAAATAAACGCCCAACACCATTTTGCACCCGGTATCGAAACCAATGGACTATGATTAAGAATGGGTCTCGTTGCATCCGCGTCGACTGCCTGAGCGGTCGACTTTTTAACGACGGTCTGTCTTACCCATACCACGCTTTCCGGAGAACTGGAGAGAATTGTTAGCAGTGAAAGACGAAAGAGAGATAAGGTGAGACATACCAAGTGCTTGGCGAGAGAAGCGGTGGTGTGACGATCAGCCTCACCAGCACGGGCCTGGCGTTGCATCTTCTTCTGGCCGAGCTTGAGCATACGCTCAGCCTTGTCACGGTTGGTGAAGCTGGTGACACCGTGAGAGCCGTTGGTGATACCGTCGTTGAGACGATCAGTGACGGGGTGGTTACGGGCGCGGCTCTTAGCACGAGCAAGGGCCTTGTGTGGGTTGTCGTCGACGTCCATGGCGTCGGCATCGGCCGTAGGCTCACGGGTGATGGGGCGGCTGCTGCGGGCCTGGGTCTGCTTACGGACACGGGAACCAGCAGCATCGTTGTCGTAACCAGCGGAGTCCAAACCACGAGTCATCTCGGAGAGCTTCTTGGCCTTGGCGCTGCGGGGGATTTGGGCGCGGTTCTTGAGAGACTTGCGCATCTTGGCGTCGTTGCGCATGAGGACACGCTTCTCGCGGATCAGATCCGCCTTCATGCGGTTGTCCGCATCCTCGGCGTCTTCCACGCTCTCGTCGGAATCGTAGTATCCGTCTGCCTCGAGCTTCTCCTCTTCCTCCTCGAGAGCAGCAAGCTTGGTCTCGATGTCCGGGTCCACGAAGTCGTAGATGTTCTTGCCGTTCCACACCTCGGGGATCTTGTCGTGGTTCCAGTCCTTGTCGGCGAGATCGTAGTCGCGCTGCATGTCGAAGCTGTACACACCAGCACCACCGTTCTCCTCCTCGAGGTCGCGCTCCAATTTCCGGCGGTTGGGGTCGTTCTTGTCGTACTTGGTGAGGTTCTTGACGGCCTCGGGGATGAAGGTCTCGCGGACACCGCCCATGGGCTGGGCGACGTGGATACGGGACAGGACGTCACCGAGACGGCCACTGGGGGTGGCGGAAGCAGAGCCAGACTTGAGCTTCTGGGCAACACGCTCAGCGAGGAGCTTGTCGCAAGCGGCGTTCTTGACGGCGCTCACACCCTCAGTGGTGGTGCAAGAAGTCTGCAGCATCTCGACATCCTCGGCCTTGAGGATCTCGTTAAGCTGCTCTTGGTACTCAGGCTCTAAGTCCTCGGGACGGCGCACATCGATCTTGTTGACGACAATGAACACAATCTTGTTGGCGAACAGGGGCTTGATGCTGTGGAAAAGCTTGATCTGGTCACCCACGGAGTATCCACACTGCTCGGAAAGATCCATGAAGTAGAGGATAGCGGACCGAAGATGGGCAACAGCGGTGATGGACTGCATTTCAATGGTGTTCATCTCCTCAAGGGGGTGGTCCAAAATTCCGGGGGTATCAATGGCCTGGAAACGAAGGTACTTGTAGTCGAAGTGACCGACGAACAGACTCTTAGTGGTGAAAGCGTAGGGCTGAACATCGACATCCGCGCGGGTGATGTTGCGCAGGAAACTCGACTTTCCGACATTGGGGTATCCACAGATCAGGAGAGTACGAGTGTTGGGGTCGATGGAGGGCAGACGACCCAAGTGCTGGCGGACCTGCTCCAGGTAGACAAGGGGGTCCTTCAGACGGCGGGTGATGGTGGCCATACGACCAAGAGCGGCCTTCTTGAGCTGCTTGCACTGGAACAGAGATTGCGCATACTTGATCAAACGGACGTAATCGCGGGAAACGGTTTCAATCAAGTGCTTGGCGGTCGAAACTTGACCAAGGGCGATGCGGAAGTGGTCGGCATCGTAGAGGGTGTTCATCAAATCCTTGTCTGGTAGACGGTTAGACCCCACTCGAGCGACCATGATCGCCACGGCAAAACTTACGGAAAGGATGGATATCGACCAAACGAGGGAATCCATCGAGAATGTGCTGGAACTTCTCACAGAAAGTCTCCTGGGTGTACTTGACCTTTCTGGTGTAGAAACCTGGTGAGAAATTTCAATCAGCGATTGTGCTTTATCGATAACCGCGATAACTTTTTTTTTCCCATGCGGTTTTCCTCCTCGACTTCGAGACCAAAAGAACGGAGATCGTACCTCTGATACGGCTGATCTTGAAACCAGCGCGGATCTGCGTAGGCAGCTGACGCTGAGTTCGGCTCAGCACAATATCCAGGAATTCCTGGTGTGTGGGCACAGGCGCAATCTGTGAAGCGGTGAAAACAAGTCAGTGATCGGTCTCAAGGATATAGACCGTTGGAGGCTCGAGGGGTACATACATCCTTCCACGTAGTCTTCATTTTGGGCACTGTCACGAGTCAAACGAACACTGACTCTTCAAGTAATCCCGGGTTGTGAAGTGTTGATAGAGTGGGTTTTTCTCCGCGAAAAAATTGTTGCCGTCGTTTTTTTCTGCCGGGCGGGATACGGATGCGGGGACGGGGATTGGCCGGCCTAAGATGGGCAGGCGAATCACGTGATTACGATGGAGTCAAGGATCGCCAGCACAAATTCGAGACTTCTTGTTTTTATATTTCATATGTTGGTATCCTATATTCCGAATATACTTGCCGTCGTAATTCAACACCATTCGTGGCATTGTCATCAAGTATGGTACACAAACCGTCATGCGGGATGCGCGGCCGTTTCCGCTCAAGTGTAAAAAAACGAACAACCTTTGGCCACGATCCAACCCGAAGAAACTCCGTTGCTTTTCTCAAACCCATGTAGGAGACACCAGACGAGGGAAGACGTGAACGTGCGTAATGGGTATAGAACCCATGGTGGATTAACGTGGTCCACGCCGTGAAACAATGCGAAAGAAACACATAAAGTCTTGTTTTAATCATCCATGGGCTCGGGGCCAAACTCCAAAATCTGAATTCCGGTTAGTTTATGTAACGCTTGGCAAGTAAATTGCAATGACATACCAGATCAACCCAGCCGCCGCCGCCAAACTGACACTTGCTGGGACCACGAGACTCGAACCCGAAGGACTCGTAGAAAGGCACCAGGTGGTCGTGAGCAATGATGGCGATGCGGTCGGCGATTTGTGCCTCCCGAATGCGGTGGATGTATGATTTCATGAGAGTGCTGCCGACCTGCTTGCCCTGGTGCTCGGGCTCCACGGCGAGGGAGTGAATAGCAATTGTGCTACCTCCTTCTTCGTGACCGACCGCCTGTCCATCCTCGAAGGACCAGCGCTCATTTTCCCAGTTGGTCGGAAGGCGCATGGAGCGATCTGTCACCGAAGGCTCTGAGGTTCGAGTGGCAATGATGTGTCCGACGAGAATTGGACGAGGCTTGGTCTCGCCCTCTGCGAGGAGAGGGAGAGTGAACAGGCCCAGACTCAATTCGGGGCATCTAGTGAGACGATAGACGAACTATCAGATATATCAAGATTAGCAATCTCGCCTGATGTTCCCCATTTTCGATTGTCCAGCTTGATCAATTGTTATAGCCCTGGTTCACACGATTCGCAAAAGCATACCTTATCATACGAGCAGCGTTCTGGCTCTGGGAAAGCGTTCTCCACCTTCACACAGTCATCAACATTGGACGCGGACAACAGTTGGACGAAAGGATGCAGCTCATCCAGCTTTGTGCGGTTTTGGGTGTGCGGGCGGCGGAACCAGTATGGGTAGTCCTGACCATCATCCTGATCAATTGCGACATAATCCTCATCCACCTCCTCATCGTCATCGTCATCATCCAGCGGGAAGCCATTGGGCAGTGCGATACCCGCACGGTTCATGATGCGGGCAAGATCGCTGTTGCTCCCGAGAGACAAATCCTCCACATTGGAAAGTGGGCGGAGACCGTTATCTTGGCCGGGCATGGACTCGGACGGGTACTCGCTTTGATCGGACATGATTGATAGGTGAGAGGTAGGCCCAGGAGAAGTCAAAAGCGGGAATCAAAGACGGTGAAAAGAGAGAACCCGCGATCGGAGTGTAGGGGACCCAGAATTGGTGGCGTGGAGAAGAGATGTGAATCTAGAACAGTGGGGGTTAGCCTCATGCAAGTAATGAACGAACACAGCCAGGCCGAGCAAACAACTTTTCAAGGTCAATTCGTCTAGGTTTCTGAGTTTGAAGGAGGGTGTGGTTTCGAGGCCATGGGCAATTCACAGATAGAATTTGCGACAGTGTGTGCGCAAGGGTGCGACCGGTGAAGGGATCGAAGGGGGCAACGCTGTACGAGGACACTTACCTGAGGAAAACCTGTTTCTCAAGAATCAAACAACCGTTTTCAAGATCTTATACTCGTTCTGGCGACGTGAAGACACAGAAGTGGGAGGAGGAACTTTTGAGTGGCGGGGAACTCTGCCGATAAAGGACAGGATACCTATCAGTACCGCAATCTTGCCCATCGTCCCCCTAGTGTAGCATGTACCCTCCGGTACCGCCATCTGGCGCCCAAAGCGGCCTACAAAGTCGAAGAAGTCAAAATTCGAGCATCTGCAAGGGACACGCGACATAGTCAGAAATATAGGCTAATAATGATAGATTAAATGTACTCTGTGCTTTGTTCGCCCATGCAATATATATAGTCCGTAGTCCCCAGGGCTGCAGTTGACCAAAGTCCCGGATCCACTAAGACCCTTGTCGTTTTAGTCGATTCTTCAGAAGCGATCCCTTAAACCTGCCCAGATGATATGTCAATGCTGTCTCCAGTGCTTTTAAGGTTGCACATGTACCTAGGTAGCTGACTCCGTGGACGGCTTGGCGAGTGCTGAAAATGCAGCAAAGCAGTCATGGTGCATAGCCCCAAGGTACATAGCAATATCCAGTCACAGTCATCGGCAAACATGCACATCATCGTGTAACATACTGCTAGAGTCATACTTTGTCAACAATATATTGACAAGCTCCGAGAAAACCCGAACAGAGACAGAACAGTCAGTGGACACTTAATATGCCTCTTATCAATCTCGGGGATCGACAGGCGGTGAACCACCGCGTCATTATTTTCTTTTTCAGTGGTTCCTGACTCACTCTCTGACTGCCATTGTGTTTCTCGAGGATTGGGTAGTCGCCATGAGCCGATCATTGAGCTGGTCTCGAACGGCCAAATCCTCACTGGCAAAGGTGAGTGCCGCCCAAGGCCCGTCTGCACACCTACTGACTCGGCACAGCAACATGTCTCTCGTCCCAGTGACCCCACTACGGTGCGCCCGGCACAGTCTCTCAATCGCCGAGCGCAGCAGATTGCCGAATTTTCAGGGAGTAGCGAAAGTCAGGATCGTCTGGGCCACCGAGCAAAAGAGAAGCTACTTGACCGGGTGAGTGGCAGAAAGCGAGACTACAAAGAACAGACACTGATTGAGATTTTTGAGGGATAGGAATTTTTCTTGAGCTTGCTGAGTTCTGCCTCGACAAAGCGCGAGGCCAAGTCGTACCTAGCTCGGCTTAAAGCCAGCCCTGGTAAAGCAGCCCGAGACTCCACATCCGAAGCTCCGAAAGAATCCGCACCAGAACCTCCGCCATTAGGTGTGAACCTGGGCTCCTTTTATGGTGCCTCAAGGGCTGTTTATGATAGCCCTGTATTTCGACAACAGACCACGCCCGCGCCCAAAGCACAGGACCTGCCTGAAAGGCTACACCTGGCTCTGATCAAAATCACCACACCCCAATTGCTCGATGATGCCGTGATCAGCGGCGTAGCGAAGACCCTGTCGCAGCTTGTGCGGCTGGGCATGGCATGCTGTGTCGTGGTTGATCCTGGAAACCTGGATGGCGTAGCCATGCGCCAAACGGCCATTGAGCAGGCAAACCGGATATCCGCAGCGGTGGATGAGCTGCCCGACTCGAAGTCATTCCGTCTGGACTCAGCCTTGTCCATCTCTGAGCGAGGATCGGGCCAGCCCACGGTACTCTCGCGCAAGGTGCTGTTGAGCGCACTTCGGGATGGCCATGTGGTTCTCGTCCCTCCCATTGCCTACAATGAAGACAACCCGCGAGCTGTCCCTGTTTCTGCCAATGATGCTGCACTTGCACTCACGAAGGAGTTTGCTGGGCTGTCCCTTCATCCAGACCCAGACGAGGATCCATCGGTTACGGTAGAGAGAATCACTGCTCTGCAGAAGGAGGTTTCATTGGACCGTGTCATTGTTCTCGATGCACTTGGCGGTATCCCGGCCTTCAAAGGTCCTCAATCATCCCATGTCTTCATCAACATGGAGCAGGAGTTTGATCAAATCAAAGAAGAACTTCTTCAAGCCCGATCGTCCATAATTGACAAGGGTGATCTCACAAATCAGGTCAACCTAGAAGCCAGTCTTCCGATCCTAGAAAGCAACCCTATCTCCAAGTTCGTCAACCAGGAGGTAGCTTCACCCATTCAGCCTGCACAGAATGAGCAACTGCCCGGCGCAGACATGACGGATAAGGGAATAGATGGTCATCTAGACAATCTTCGATTCACACAGCAGGCCCTGGCCATGCTTCCATCAGCTTCTTCGGGTATCATCACCTCCCCCCAAGAAGTGTCTCACTCAGCGCGAGCACCCCAAGTCGCCGTATCAGATGTATCTGCCGTTGGGACACGACGACAACGCAATCCCCTCATCCACAATCTACTGACCGACAAACCCCTCCTCTCATCATCGTTGCCCCCAGGCCGGCGCAGCACATCAAGGAACGGCATATCCAACAACTTGAGCCCTGTCACATCTCATACGACCTTCGTCAAGCGTGGAATGCCTCTTACCATACTACCAAACCCCTACACAAAGCCATGGATGGCCCACATCCAACCAAGACTAGGCCTCAACGACCCCTCCATTGACCTCCCTCGCCTCGTCACCCTCATTGAGGATTCCTTCGACCGCAAACTAGATGTCCAAGATTACCTCGACCGAGTGAACGATCGCATCGCCGGCGTCATCGTAGCTGGCGAGTACGAAGGCGGCGCAATCTTGACCTGGGAGACGCCGCCCGGAGTTCCAGACGACGGGAGCGAAGCTAGCACTGCCCGCATGGTCCCCTATCTGGATAAATTCGCCGTGCTTAAACGCAGCCAGGGCGCAGGCGGTGTCGCCGACGTGGTTTTCAATGCGATGGTGCGCACATGCTTCCCTGAGGGGGTTTGCTGGCGCAGTCGCATGGATAATCCTGTCAATAAGTGGTATTTCGAGCGCTCTTCGGGGACTTGGAAATTGGCGGATAGTAATTGGACCATGTTTTGGACAACTCCTGGCTTGGTCGAGAACTCCCAGCGCTTCCAGGATTACGAGGCTGTGTGCCGGACTATTCAGCCGAGCTGGGCGGACAACAAAAGCGTCATCGATTGATTTATGATGTATCTAGTGTATTTTAGAGGCGCTTCTCAGGAGTTGAGTAAATATGGAGTTCCCCTTGGTCTTGGCTCGGCCACATGCGAGATGATTTGTAAAGAAGTTCGCCTTGAGAATCGCTCGAGGGCTACGCAAGACGGGACAAGTACAAATGTCTTGATACATGTCATATTTTCCTCCTTTTCATTTTGATTCACAGGCAAGGGGTCGTTCTGGTAAGCCACCTCACCTGCCCGGGTGCTGGACAGGTACCAACCACCAATGCCGAAACCGAGCACTCCGTAGGAGTAGCGCTGAAAAACTTGAGCGGACGCACCTTATCCGGAGACATTGTCTCTCCTTTGCTGTGCTAGGTGGGTTGACTCACATTGACAACCAGTGGTGTTTCTTGATTTCAAGGCGCGGATGCAGGTCCGATGCAAGGGGAGACAACAATATGCAATTTGCTGGGAACTATTGACCGCTGTGCATGGACGTTGGAAATTACCAACGCGACATATGGGGTATGGGGTACAATGAAACAAACAGGAGAACCATAATTGTCCAGACCAAAATTCCTGACAAGCGAAGTCTTAATCACCAACATCCACAGCCATGTTGTGGAGAAAGAGAGAGACCGATGCCGAAGCAATGGAGCTAACCACAATGCACCAAGACGAAGAGAAGCAAGATGCCCTGATCACCATCAGCGAAGTCAGTGCCAGTGAAGAAGCGCACACTCTTTCAAAAGAAGAGAAATTGATACTCCTGGCTCTCGCTTCTTTGAGTTTGATGGCTGCTCTCGATGGCACATCGATCTCAGTAGCCTTACCGGTATGACCGCCCCCAGAATATACAGCAACAATCGACGAACTCATCTCTTTCGCAGACCATGTCACAAGAGTTGGGTGGCTCCGCAACTGAAGCGTTCTGGACTGGGACTTCATTTACACTGTGCTCTGCGGGTATGTACCACAAAGCCCGAGGTCGAGATATAATCTGACGCGACATTAGTCTTTCAGCCGGTCTTTTCATCGTTTTCGGACTTATTCGGAAGAAAGCCACTGATTCTGGTCGCTATCTTCTGGTTTTTCATCGGCGCTATCGTGGCGGGAGTTGCAAATGATTACGCGCACATGCTCATCGGCCGTTCATTACAAGGTGTCGGGGGAGGTGGAATCATCACTCTTACCAGTATCGTGATTGCCGACATTGTGCCGTTGAAGAATCGCGCGAAGTACTTCGGGATGCTCAGCGCAATTTGGAGCTTGGGTACCGTGACCGGGCCTGTGATCGGAGGATGTTTCGCTGAAAAGTCAACATGGGTATGTGATACTTCTCGCAATCGAGATATAACGTGCTGACATGCTTCTAGCGTTGGATATTCTATCTGAACTTCCCATTGATCGCTGTCGGGACGGCCCTAGTTGTGTGGTCTTGGAAGTTCAAGTCCGAAGCAATCTCATACCGCGACCAATGGCGAAAGATCGACTATTTAGGAATCCTCCTCTTCATCCCGAGCACGGCATCTTTCCTCATCCCTCTCACGTGGGGAGGTGTTCTCTACAATTGGGATTCCTGGCACACAGTGGTCCCCTTGGCTGTCGGCGCTGTTGGATTGATCATATTCTCGATTTATGAGTACATGTTCGCAAAGAACCCAATGATCCCACCTGCCATCTTCCGAAACAGAACATCATTGATCGCATTCGCAGGCTACATGGTAGTCGGCTTGGTTGTTTGGTGCATTCTATACTTCCTGCCAATCTACTATGAAGCCGTCAAAGGATTCAAGCCCATTATGGCTGGAGTTGCTTTATTCCCCGAGACCTTCACACTCGCCCCCAGTGCCGTCGTGGTCGGCCTGCTAATTAGCAGACTAGGGGACTACTATTGGGCCATGTGCATTGGATGGATTGTATCCACCATCGGAACAGGTTTGATGTACTTCCTGAGTGCAGACGCCTCAACTGCCACATGGGTATGCGTGAACCTCATTCCTGGTGTCGGTGTCGGCATGGTTCTTCCCGCCGTTCCATTGGCGGTCCAAGCAGCGGCAACGCCGCAAAATCTGGCCATTGCGGTTGCCATGTCAACATTCTTCAGAGGGTTCGGTCAATCAATTGGTGTCGCGATTGGCGGTGTGATTTTCCAGAATCGCATGAAGAGCAATCTCCTGGGGTATGCGGAGCTGCGGCCTAATGCGGATAAGTTCAGCGGTGAGGCGGCGAGTGCAGTGCAGATGATTCGGGAGATGGCCGATAGTCCGATGAAAGATCATCTCAGAGAGGCTTATGCGGACAGCTTGAAAGTTGTTTGGGCATTTTGCTGTGGTATTTGCGGTCTAATCTTCGTGGTCAGTCTTTTCGCAAAGTCTTATAGCCTGAATCGGGTTATGACCACACAAAAGGGTCCTCGAAACTAAACCCAAGAGCAAGCCAGCGAGGCTCGCGAAAAGTGATAATATTTGGAAAGCTTTATATATGGCGTTTTGGTCTCTTTCGCTTTAGGAGGCTGTACTATATTCTATTTGCAGATACACGAACAGATTGGAACATAACCCATGAAATGGTAGCTTCTAAGATAAAGTCGGTATATAGTCGGACTTAGCTCTATACTCACACACAGAATATACAGCTATGGTGCACCAGTCTATGAATCACTAAGAATCTACACGAGGAGATAAGCAATTGTGACATACCCCGCCTGGGACATTCCCCTCTGGGAGTCCATAAGGCTGATCCTGTCCGAGCGCCTGGTTCTCTAGGAATGTTGCTGCAAGACTTCCCGCAAATAATCTGAAATCCTTCAGCTCGCAATCGGATCCTTTCTCTCTCTCATCCTTTCGGATTCACCTTCCAACTCCATCATCTTCAACTCTCGATCGGGTCTCCGGATTTTCCTCATCTCACTACAGTTTCACATTACAATGGCAAATAGAGCTGAAGACCCAGAGCACAATGAAGAAATCAGCACCCGTGAACATGAACAGGGGAGCCACCCCAAACTCCCCCCACTGGGCGAGCAGAATGCCAAGACCCAAGCAGTCATTTCAGAGCTGGACAACAGGAAAAGAGGTCTCAAGCAGAGACATATTCAAATGATAGCTCTGGCCGGAACAATCGGCACTGGTCTTTTCCTTGCGACAGGGAAGTCGTTGGCAAGGGGTGGACCCCTCAGCATGTTGATAGCGTATCTGATTGTGGGAATACTCATCTGTTTCGTGGTCTTCTCCGTGGCTGAGCTGAGTGCTCTGGCACCACTTTCAGGTGGAATCATCCGACACGCGGAATGGTTCGTGGACCCCGCGCTGTCATTTGCACAGGGGTGGAATAGTGTGTATGCGAATGCCATCTTGTTACCGGCGGAAATGGTGGCTTGTGCTGTTATCATTGATTTTTGGTCGCATATCAATCATGCTGTATGGATCAGTGTGTTGGGTGGACTTTTGATTGGTACCAATATGCTGCTGGTCAGTATATATGGTGAGTTGGAATTCATCTTTGCCATGATGAAGATTGCATTGATTGTTGGTGTCAATATCCTGGTGGGTATCTCTTGCACATCCAAAGCCTCGATTATATTCTGATATTCTCCACAGAGCATTTGCATTACATCTGGCGCAGGCCCAAAAGGCTACCCCATCGGGTTCCGGTTTTGGAGAGACCCCGGTCCCTTCGTCCAATTTCTTGGAATACCCGGCTCATGGGGGCAATTTCTTGGATTCTGGCGTGTTCTGAGCAGTGCAGCATATGCATTTTCAAACGTGGAAAACATTTCAGTCGCAGCTGCTGAGACACAAAACCCACGATATAACATTCCGAAAGCTGCCAAAAGAGTGTTTCTGAGAATTTTGATATTCTACTTGATCACCATTTTCATGATGGGCTTGGTCGTTGCGTCCAATGACCCGGGCTTGTTGGCAGACTCTGGAGATGCAGGAGCCTCCCCATTCGCAATTGCGGCTACCAACGTAGGAATAAAAGCGGTACCATCGATCATCAATGCTGTTGTTGTGACAAGTGCATGGAGTGCTGCGAATTCCGGTAAGTAGGCATTGCCCGCAATGTTAAGCTCCAAACTTTCTGACAGATGCCTAGCAATGCTTGTCGGGACCAGGACGCTATACGGTCTCGCACAAGAGGGCCACGCCCCGAGAATCTTGACTCGCCTTAATCGATTCGAGGTCCCTTGGCTGTCAGTTGCCGCCGTTGGATCTTTCCTCGCCCTGGGTTATATGACCCTCTCGTCAGCAGCTTCAGTTGTTTTCGACTGGCTTCAGCAGTTGGTTTCTGCCGCTTCCTTGGTGCATTGGATAAACATTGAGATCATCTACCTTCGTTTCTATTATGGCTGTAAGAAGCAAAACATCGACCGCAATGAGCTACCTTGGCAATCCCCATTCCAACCATACGCAGGCTGGATTTCTTTGATTGGGTTCGCGATTATCCTGATCACTGGCGGATTCTACGTTTTCATAGACGGGAACTGGAGTCCTCAAACCTTTGTGTCATCTTACTTCAACATCCCGTTGATCTTCGTTTTGTACTTCGGCTACAAGTTCTGGCAGAAGACTCGACTTGTTCCCTTGAACGAAATCCCGATTCGGGGATTCCTGCAACTTGCAGATGATACTCCGGAGGATATACCGCCTCCAACTACTGGGTGGAGGAAGTTAAATATTCTTTGGGGGTGATCATGAACGGGCTACCGAGTAATTGCGAAGACTACTAAGCTGTCAATTACCAAAACTTGAAGACGAACTATACCCATATACTTGTTGTTGGCAGCCTGACATCGCATTTTCTTCCATTCGACCGACGCCAAGATTGATAGTTCCCGAGGTCCCCTAGAAGCGACTATTATTGTTCATCGCGAATGAGGCTGCACTATAATCAGGGATTTCTTTTATACAAATTCCTTGGTATACAAACGATGTCGACCAGAAGACCAATGAAACAAAGTCTACGCCAGTCAAACATGGTATTTCCCAGGTGGTCGAAAACCGCGGGGTAAGCTGACAACTTAGGGCTGTAGATGTGGTCTACCGGAACCACCGGAGCAAGGAAGAAACAGCAACGAACTGAAGGTACTGACCGGGTATTCATGTCTAGTGGGCCATGGAGCATTACAGAGCTTACCAAAGGAGGCCTTAAAAGATTTAATTAGGACTTGTGCTTCGATCCGTCATAGTCGCTCTATGAAGAACTGTGTCAAAAGGTTAACTGACCGAGCTTGAGAAGGACCTCGGAGGATCAAAACCTTCTTTGATAAGCAAAACTGGTGACTGGAATCCATGTTACACCTATTCAAGGAATGTGAAGTGAAATGTTTGACCTGTAGCGAATGAAGGCGCGATCATATCAGCATCGCTCACATCTTCACTTCATGAATGGCGCAACTTTATTGGCGGTGATGAAAGACTCTTGGCCTTCTGCTTGCTACTTTCAAGATTTTCCTCCGATTGTACGATGTATAGAATAATACTTTCCTATATGAAGAAACCACAGACCTGAATTGAATCGAGCACAACTTTTCCTCATTTCATTTCATCACTCACGTACTTTAACCATGAAGTTTTTCACAGGAGCATGCGGCATTCTGGCCCTGGTTGGTCTTTCATGCGCTCAGAGAACATGCACTGTAGACGATGTCGTCCTCTCGTTGTCGGCAGTCGAGTACCTGGCCGATAAGATGCAATTCTTGGTTGATGCCACCAACAACACCATTGACCCATCTGGCGTGAGATACCTAGAGGCCTTGTGAAGGGTGAAGAAGCAAGCTGACTCAATTGTTTCCAGCCTGCCTACCAAAATTACCTCAAACAAACCAATCATCTCACTCAGGATCTTCAGTGCAATGCCAACATCACCTCGCTAGACCAGCGAATTATTTGTGGAGCTTATGAGAGAGTAAGTCCAACCAGGCTGACAATCGATACCGATGAAGCATCTGGCTGACATCTCTATCCTTTGATATGATCAGTTTTCCCAGGCACAGTTGAGATACCTCCATGTGAGCGACGGATTGAAATTCTACCAGGCAAACGGACACGGAGAAAACGCTGTCAAGATGCACGGAATTGTTCTGGTAGCAGGACGGGCTTTGATGGTATTCGAATCCCACAATTTTGCAATTACCTCACTGACTTTTCTCCTAGTCCTACACAGCCCGAGTCAAAGAGATATCGCCTGAATGTGCCGACCACGTCGATGGAGCTTACGCGCCTCTCGGTGCTCAGCTTCTCAGTTTACAAGCGACTTACCCCGGTACAGGTCAATGAAGTGAGCGTCGGGGTTGTAGGAGGCTGGAAGCACGGATGGGAAATTGTGATCAATAGTCAATGCTTCGTTTTGAGCCAAATTGTACTTTATGATACCGAGCTATTGGCTAGGCAAAGTTTGATCTAAAATGCTCGCCCGTTGTTTGTGTTTGAGTAGAGTGCCCAGGTGTCTGCTGTAAGGACTTGATCAGAGATCCGCCTATCACCGCTGGTATCATTGCTGGATCGTTGTGGGTCGATACAAAGAGAGTCCGTCTCCATCTCATTTTGCTATGGATAGTATGAAGGTCGCCCGGATATATGGGAGCCCACGGGAATCAAGAATTTCGGTTCGACTGGAGCTCCGAGACCCCATAATTGTTGGCTAGGTCACAGGTGTGTCGAACAGGGCACGTCTGTAACAAGCTCACCCCATGCCATACCAGTGTTGACTCGAGCTTTGTGTATTGTGCAGTGTTCCAAATGTCCGACTGGCTCCTTTTGGCAGCATCCGAGGTGCCCCACGGTTCGCCACAGCTGTCAATCTCGCTTCGCCCAGGGGTTTAGTGCCTGATCAAATCGCGCTGGCGCAAAGCGGCAAGCAGATGGAAGATCCCGAGCTCCTGCTCCTCAAGAGCTTAAAGATCGGCGCAGAAAAGTGGACCATTCTTCATCAGGCGCTGTCTGTGTGGTCAGATGTATAGGACCGAGGGCGCTAAGATCGTGTTTTTCCCCTGGGCCCCACACCGCAGAGACACCCAGTCACGAGACATTATTGGTCAGCAGCACCGTTACATAATATTTATGTGTCACGTGGAAGCGACAGCGAACCAACGGCTCCACAGAGAGGCAAAAGCGGGTTCCTGGCCAGACTCGACATGAAATCTCTGCAGAGTTGTATGAGTCTTATTCTCGGAGACCCTCCCCTCTGGATGGATCACTGGGATTCCACAGCAATCAATTCGCGATCTCAAACCCCAAACAAACAAGGCTTGATGCTATGTCGTCCACTTTAAAACCATAATCTTCTGGAAAAGTCTATACTTATGGAGCTCAGGAGGTGATGTCCCACTTGGTGTCCCACTTAATTGATCAAAAGGTTGCTAGCTGGCAAATTCACGTCCTATTTCCGTGTTGTTATCCCGCGGTCCACTTTGATTAAAACTCGAGAGATCTCACAACCTTCCAATCTCTCCTCACCACCACCCACCATGCTCAAGCAAGCTCAGCCAGAGACCCAGGTCGCGGGGGGCGAGGACCCTGAACGTCGACTGCCGCCGTATGATGTCGAATTCAATGACTCAGACCCGCAGAATGCAGGCGAGGCGAAGAAGTCCGCAAGCAATGATCCATTTGGGTCTGAAGATGTTGCGGAAGTAAAGTATCGCACAATGACGTGGTGGTACGTTTGATATCCAATTCATGCACTAAAAAGTAGTGTGAGGCTAACTCAGTTGCAACAGGCAGTGTGGAATGCGTACGATGATCCTCTGCAACTATGACGATCACTACTAACTTGACCTTCTAGTCATGATTGCGGAGAATGTCTCTCTGGGAATCCTCTCCATCCCCTCCACTATGGCAGTTCTAGGAATGGTCCCGTATGTGATGCACTGCAAGCTCAACTATTCATTGGTCCATGGCTTACCTGATATCCCAGTGCCGCCATCCTTATTGTCTTTCTATCAGCCATCTCATGGTATACTGGCTATATCATCGGACAGTTCAAAGTTCGCTACCCACATGTCCACAGTATGGGTGATGCCGGAGAAATCATCTTCGGCCCCGCTGGACGTGTCTTGTTGGAGCTTGCACAGCTTCTTCTTTTGATCTTCGTGATGGCAAGCCATATCCTCACAGGCACGATTTTGTTGAGCACCATCACTAAAAGCGCAGTTTGTGGCATCGTCTTTGGCGTTGTCTCACTAATTATCTGCTTCCTCGGTGCTCTTCCTCGTACCATGGCACGAGTCTATTGGCTATCGACTATCTGTAAGTACAATCTCATCTGGAAGCCACGGATATTTCATACTTGACACAAAGTGAGAGGTTCTAATTTTCCGTCAGCTTTTGCAAGTATCATCATTACGACTATCGTGACCATGGTCAGTATCGGAGTTCAATCCGAGGATCCCGTGGAGTACCATGCTTTCCGCCAGATTAGCTTTTATGAAGGGTTTTTGGCATTCACCAACATCATGTTTGGTTTCAGTACGTCCTCTCTTAGGCCCTTTGCAGATTCCGGTTTAACATTGAATTTGCAGTTGTCCATGTTACCTTCTTTGGTCTGATCTCGGAAACGCAAAGCCCAGAGCAGTTCCCTAAGTCTTTGGCCATGCTTCAAATCACAGATACTGTTCTGTATCTTGTGGCAGGTCTTGTGATTTATCGATACTCTGGTCAAGACGTCAAGTCTCCTGCTCCCTCTTCCGCAGGCCCTTTGATGAAGAGAATTTGCTTCGGCCTCGCTATTCCAACAGTACGTCTTGTCTTTCCATTCTTAAACCCCCGCCCACATGTCTAACCCTGGTATAGGTCTACATCGCTGGAATTGTTGTTGGTCATGTTGCCTGCAAGTATGTCTACGTTCGAATTCTGCGCGGCTCAAGCCACATGCACAGAAACAGCTTCGTTGGTATTGGAACTTGGGTTGGCATTGCAGGCCTTCTTTGGACCATCGCCTGGATCATCGCTGAGTCGATCCCTGGATTCAACGATCTCCTGAGTTTCATCGTGAGTTTTGCATATTTCTGTAACATGTTATTTTACTAACCATCTCCCAGAGTGCACTTTTCGGAAGTATTCTGAGTTGTGAGTTTCTCCGAAATTCCCCACATGCTTCTCACGAGGATACTAATTGTCTGTTCAGATGCAATCCCTGCCATCTTCTGGCTCTACATGAACAAAGGCCGCTACACCTCCACGATCTCAAAGACTTGTCTTACTGTTCTCAATCTCGTTATCTTCGGCATCGGATGCTTCATGGTTCGTCCCCTTCCTTTCCCTAGACTCACCAGACAGCTAATTTTTCCCTAGTGTGGAGCTGGATTGTACGTTTCAGGCAGGGCTCTCAAAGAGAATTCCGCTCACAGTAGTTGGTCGTGTGCTGTGAGCACCTGATTAAAATGAAGTCTACGCTATGACTTTCAGCTCTCAGATCCGGTATTATACCCCGGACTTTTTGCTCTGATAAAGAGAGCTCAGAGATTGCGAACCATTGATCGCATACCCTATATTGTATAGTATAATTTTTTAGCAATTTGTCGGTTTAGGCGAGTGTAAATACAGCATTCATGCACACATACATTCAACTCGGATTGCTCCTTAACTTAGTCTTCTTAAAGACGATCTCCAGGGCTGTATCTGATGTATTCGCCGCGTGAGGACGCCCGAGAGCCTTTACCTGGAGAGGGCTTTCTTCCCCTTCGTCTTCTATCTCTTTTCCCTCTTCCCTTCTTTCCTCTCTCCCCTTTCTACCTTCTCTCCCAATCTCTCTTTCTTTTCGTTTTCTTTTCCTCTTTTCCTCTTCTTTCCTAATCTTTTCATCTCTCTATTACCTTTCTCTTTTCCCTTCTTTTTACTTTCCCTTCTCTCATTTTGTCTCTTTTAATTCTTCTCCCTTCCTTTCTCTTTTCTTTCCATCTCTCTCTCTCTCTATCTCTCTTTCTATATCCTTCCATCTATCTTCTATCCTTCATCTCTTTTCCTTTCTCTGTTCTAGTTTCCTTTCCTTTCCTTTCCAAGGTTCCTTTCTCTCTCTTCTTTCCATCTCTCTCTCTCTATCCTCCCAATCCACCTCTTTCCTGTATCTCATTTTCCTTCTCTTCTCTTCCGTTTCTTTTCCTTTCATTTCCGGGGTGAATGCAACACCGGTGCTACCCCCAATATCTACAGCTGTGGCACCGACACAGTCCCTTACTATAATGCAGCCAATATCCGACGTTCCACGTTCCCAAATTTCCACACAGTTCCAGACTGCCACTGGGATCATCGCGATATAAGGCGGACCTGCGTTCCCAGAGCTACACTAAGTTGTCGCCCGCTTGGAAGCACGATGGGCAGTCATCCGTAACAACGATTCCGCACTCGCGACTGTCGCTTTAGGCCAGCAATCCACAGCAGTCATTGACTACTATCTCGCCTGGCTCGCAAACCTTAACGCCCTACCGAATCCCGCCATGCGCAGTGTCCTACATTCGATCCACACGACTACTGACGCGAACGCCGTCTCCGAAACGCTTATATGGCATCAGCAAGTTGGGCTCCTGCGGGACATGGTCGCAGCTCATACCGGCGACTCCGAGGTCCTCTCTCTTCTTTCTAAGGTTCTATCTATCTAACTTCTCCTCTCTGTCCATCCTTCCACCCCCCTTCTTTCTCTCTTTCTTCTCATCTCTCTTCCGATATTTACCCATCTCATTTTAATTCAGTCTTCATAAGCCCTACTAGTGTCATAAGCTTCACAGGTTTATTAACCCAGGACAATGCCCATGGACTATATTAAATAAATTGAGGTCTTCCTATGCAGCTGGTCCCTGCCCTCATCATTTCGACTAATCCATGTATGAATCCTCTCTTGTTCAGCTTTCATATCTGATGTGACTGCATCCAAATGCACCTTGCCAAAGTATTTGTCGAATCCGAGCAAAGCCTTAGGGCCGTAATCACACAAGTGACGATAACGCGCCTTGTCGAGAAAGCTAGTCTCTTCCATCCTTAACTTGGAGGCTAGCCAAAGCGGAGTTCCGGAATCTTCGGCTTTCTTGCTATACAGGCCATCATCTCCGAGTAGAGACTGACCAAAGGACACCAATCTTTGGTACGCAGTCAAAGCAATATCTGCCCCTTCAAAGATATGTTCGTGCCCCCTGAGATGGTCGAGAGCAATACTGAAGATTCCAATTCTCGTGAAGGAATTTTCGGAGCCAGAACATGGTCGGAGGACCAAGGCATTGATAACAGCTCCTCCGTCGCGCAGGTCTCCTAGGGAGGCCGTTAGTGGGAGGACGAAAAGCTTTTCGCCCGTTTGTACTTGGTTTGGTCCGTCTCCAAACCAAGGATAGTCACGCTCTGGTATGTGTTGCACTCGGGGATGGTGCTCAATAACTAAGCCTCCGGGTCTCATTTCGGCCGCCAGGAGATAGCCCGAAAGAATAGCATGGCCGGAGTCAACGCCAACCAGCGGATCAGCTGAGCCCAGAAAGGAGCATTCAGCATTATCCAGCTGACAAAGATACACGAGAGCTTTCTGTCGACCGTATTTTTTTGGCCAGTCACTGTGAGCCCAGGACCAAGATGGAACGCCAGAGTTGATCCGTGGAAGTCGGACTTTTTGGTGAGAAGATACTTCCCAGAGCATGTCGTCGATAAATGTCTCTTTCCAAAGACCGGCAAAATACCGATTTGGCTCTGATCCCTCAGAGCGTTGAAGAAACCTGGAGGCAAATCCCGCCATGGCAGCTAATGTGTCTTTTTCGAAAGAAAGTCGAAGTTGGGTGAAATTTTCCACCAAACGACGCCACATGAGAACCACCTGATCTTGGGGTGTCGAATTGATATAGATGTTACTGAAGGTAAGCTTGGGCTCGGAGTTCATCCAAGAATAGCCAGTTTCAGTTACATTACCCTCCCTGCATTCGAAGACCAACTCCAGCGGGGTGAAAAAAACAGTCCGGCGAGAGAGCATGCGCTCTTGGAAAACCCAAGCTCGCGAAAATAGTGGAGATTGGGCACTTGCTCCTGACTTCGCCCTTTTTGGTGCTGGTTGATCGTATTCAAAAAATTCACGATGGCACAGTTGACGAAGTGCTGCTTTCGGTTCATCCCACTGCGGATCCTCAAGGCAAATATGAGGAGTTGATTTTCGAAAGAGGCCACCTCCACTATGTGCTGATGATGCAGCTGCCAGAGTAAGAACCGCACTTTCGTAGATGTTTGCCATTTGTGCTGCCTCATCCGCCCAATCTTGTGCATCGTCCTGAACAATGCAAAGCGAGTCAATCCATAGGAAGCGATAGCCTAGCTTCCGTGTGAAAACAACTGCGTCCTGGAATGTTGCAGGGAGAAGGTCGTAAGGTATGCATTGCTCGAAATTCTGCAATGTTTGAGTTGTGGTTTCGAGTGGCCGTAAACCCTTATTCGTACCCCAGCAGTGGCTAAGGCAGACATAATTTTCTTGCTCTTTTTCAGTCACATACAACTTAATGTCGGATTTTAGCCCCGTGCTTTTGTCTCCAAGATCGAGGACTCTTGTGGGAAGCCCCCAACTGGACTCGACCCGGTTGCATTCAGGATGATTTGAGCGACAGTCCTCAATATTTTCTCGGGTCAGGATGCAAGCCTCATCACTACCCGTATCGCCACATCTAGATGGCTGCGGAAGAAGGCCGCTCCAGACACTATCTGCTGTTGGGGCTATTGTTTAGCTCGTAGGACCAAATAACTGCATCGTTGGAGACTGGCTTGTTTCAAGACTTACATTCCTCTTCATTTTTCTGTGTGTACCGAAAAAGCTCAAATGCTGGGGAGGAGATTCGATGAACCCATTCCCGATCTGGGAAAGCTTCACTTGGTCCAGTATGAACCTCCACCTTCATTGATTGAGTTGACTGGGCTTTCTCCAAGTCGCCAGACTCTGTGTCCCACGGATGAATCCCCATCAGGGTGAGTGAGAGCGCTTGTTGATGCTCCTCATCCACAAATTCGAGCTCAACATTTTTCAACCCGAGTCCCAATTTTTTGCTTATCTCCTGGGCTGCGTCATATATGAGTTTACAGCCATTGCAGCCTGTCAGCGATATTTGGTCGGATAAGCGTTTTAGAGTGAAGGAATACGGGGCTTCCATGGGGAAGAGACGTCCGAATTGTCGCCATTGACGGCGTAGGTTCTCCTTTTTCAAGTCAAGACAGACTGGACAGAGAGCTTGACTCTCTAGAAACGGGTCTTCACGTGAGCCCGACATGGTGACAGATGTATGGATTTTGAGTTTTGTAAGTATGGGGGTGGGGACTTCATGCAAAAGGGCAATCAAGAAATTTGGCAGATTTGAGATGTGATGTCGAAGTGAATCGAATTAGATCAAGTTTAGCGGGGTAACGCAACTAGGCAGTCATGCCACGTCACAGTCGATCCAAAACATATCCATATCTCGCTCAAATACAGGCTGGCCTGCTTGAATAAATCCCCGTGCGAGAAAGAGTTCCCCGGCTTGAGTCTGCTATTCTCGGACTTTTCTATCACCTGCCTCAAGCCGTCAGCTCGAAGCTCACATTTCAACCTTCTGGCAATGTCAAGCAGCGAAACCCCTTCAGTGGGGCCGTTCACGGCAGAGGAACACTTAGCCCAAGCCGTGGAATCGCTCAAGAAGTTCCAAATCACCTCTCGCCCCAACGACATTGACAACGCTATCGCATCTGCACGATCATCTGCCGAGAAGGCATCTAAAAGCCAAGCAGAGAGACAAATTAATGCACTCACAATACTCTCTGCCTGCCTTCAGAAGCGTTATCAAAATGCCTCATCAAATGGAGCAGGGTTGCTTGGTGACATTGATGAGATGGTGGAGGCGTCAAAAACGACTTTGGAGCAAGTCATTCTCAATCGTCATGAAAAGCCGAGCGAAAATTTGAGCGAAGAATTAATCTACCTCGAAAACATGGGACGGGCACTCTTGTTTCGACAAAGTCAGACGAAAACAACAGAGGAAATTGTCACGCAGCTGGACCGTGGTGTCCAAATAGTGACCCAGATCATCGCCCTCGTATCCCAGCAAAATTGCAGTGACGACGCGATATATCATGCTTACGCCGTGAGAACATTGTCTTCCCTATACAACCATGTCTATGAGCGAACTAAGGATGAAAAATACCTGGAAATGGCGATCGGCAAGGTCGAGAATGGGCTCTGTCTTGTCGGTGCGGAAAGGCCCAGCCCTTCTAGGGCCCTTCTATTAGAAACACTATCGGACCTGTTCGACGAAAAATCAGAACGAACGCAAAGTCTTCCTGATTTGGATAGCTTTATCAAAGTATGTGAAGAGCTTGTCCAAGGCATTTCCCCAAAGGGAAGTTTGAAACATTCGATGGTCACTCAAAATCTTGCTGCTGCTTTCACACGGCGTCACTCTCTCACGGGAGACTCGGTAGATCTCGCCACAGCGGTTGAATATGGTCAAAGTGCCGTTGAATCAATACCAGCAACCGCAGCGGCTCGAAAAGGACCTGTTACACCAAGACAGATCGCGCTTTACAAATTGCGGATGAACGTCCAAGCTTATTTCAAACTCACCGAGAAGATTCCAAAGCTCAACGAAGAAATTCTCGACAGTATCAATATTGAAGGGATTGCTAGGACGCCCGATGATATCCCTTCATCGGTATCGGTCTTAAAGAAACTGGCCGACGCTTTCCACGTCCTCTATGAAAGTACGCGCCGTGTCGTCGACATTGAATACGCAATCATGATCACAGCACACGTGATGCAGTTAATGAAAGAGTCTGATGAGGAGTGGGACTTAGTTGCAGATATTTTTAGAACTCGCCTTCGATTATGGTCAAAGGAAACGGGGAGGATGCCCGGTACTGAGATTTCCATTTTGGGATTTGGGGGGAGCGGAGGCACCTGGCTCCCGGCGGAATTGGCAGAAGGCTTAGGGCTCAAAATTCCCTATTTTATCTTCGGGGGTGAGATCAATTCAGATACACAGGGTGACTGAAGCCCATGGTGCTCGGACTGGCTTTGCTTTCAAAGGTTTGGCCCAATCGAGCTTTCTGAAGCGCGAGATAACATTGCAGAAACATTGGTTTCTACTAGATAGTTTGGCGGCGAATATATATGTCAAACAGTGATACCTAGGTACTTTCCTCCTCCCGAGGTCTGATGTTTGCTACCTGGTACGGAGTAGACTCAAGAGATCTACCTATGTACCTATGTAGGTACTGGGCAGTCAGCCCCCAAGACCACCTGGGCAAGAAGAGCAAGCCCCCACCAAAGACCGCCTCTGATATTCTGCGTAAGTAAACTTTGGAACTAGAAAACGAAAATGTAATTCTTACAAGCCCTGAGTTCGTCCAGTGTCCCGAGGTCCCCGGGACTAATCTGAGTATGTATCGAGTACAGATACACTGCCTTCTGCCCCTGTATAACCGCATATCAACAATGTCGACCCCGCTGCTCAAAAATGGACATTATTTGAGGATGTACTATGCACGGTGAAAACACATTGTCACATAAACGCTCATTCAATCGGGCGGGGCGCGCACCGCAATCGCTTTTCGCGCGCGCGTACAGCGTATCCATACTCCGCACGCTCATTGGGGCCACGACACAACCTGAGCTGCGCATGCATGCATCGCCACGATTTCTGCCTTGCGGTGCCTCTTCTTTCGACTTCTCTCAAGTCCTCCTCTCTTGTCTATCACAACAACCCAAACAATGTCCGACCCTCTTGCCGTCGCCGGATCCGCGGTGGGAATCATCTCTCTGGGTCTGCAGGTCTGCGGTGAAATCGTCTCTTACTGCCAAGCCTGGCGTGGGTTTGACGAGGATATTCAGAGAATCACTGAGAAGGCAGATGGGCTTTGCATGCCACTAAAGGGGCTACGAGAGATCATAGAGTATGCCCAAAGAAACAGCCATGCCGAGGCAAGTGACCTCGAATCGAAAACCCAGAGTCTCCAAAAAGCGATTTTGAGGCTCAAATCGGCTACTGATCGATGTGCCTCTACGGGCTCAATCACACCCAACGGATTTCGCTATCAGCTTAAGAAGGCGACATATTCATTCAAGAAAGACGGGATGCGCGAGATATCCACCGACTTGGATAGTATCCAGATGCTACTACATACAGCTCTTCACATGTAAGCTTCAGGCCCCTTTTGGTGTTTCCAGAACTGACCAATCCTCAGCTACTCTATCCAAAATCTCCGAAATATGCAAGAGACAATCAGTCAGCAGATGCAGGACATTGTATGTTGATCTACGTTTAATACCTACCTTTGATATTAAAACTTTCCAGAATTCGAAAATCATGGGTCAATCTATACCATTCATGGCCCCGAGTCGACTTCGACAATTGTGTGACCAACAGAGTATACAGCAGGCAATAGAACCATGCCTGCGTGTCACTGAGCAAGATAACTCCCTAAAAAGTACCAGATACCCTCCATCATTAGATAATATAACATGAACCATTTTGCTCACTTCAGGATTACTAGGCTTGACTTCTGCGCCATCGAGGATCTATCAAAGTCACGACAGACAAGACTGTATCTACAGATACGGACCACGTTTCGCCTCGAAGAGCGAACCCAAATCCTCCAAGGAATACCGCTACTCTATGTCTCTGCTGGGTTTCATTTTCCAAGCGTCAGTCAGATTTGACAGAGGGGCTGGAGGAATTTCCATTGCACCGCTACTGCACATGCAGCCTCTGTTAAGTATGGAATCTAGTGTTGGATGTAAGATTCTGCAAAGGGACAAATTTCTCTTTTATCTCGACACGGGCCTTGATAACTATGAGAATTCCATCGATTTGATCATGAGACAGCTGCAAGAAGCATTTGATCGACGAGAGGCGTCTCCGTTTGATATAGTCTGGATTCAGTCGGAAGTTTCGATATTTGACGTAAGTCTCTTTCCGTATATAAACATCAGTCTGTCCACTGGTTAACCCACTCGAACAGATAGCTTTTAAGTTGATTTCAACTCATATGCCCAAACGTGATCCGATCTGGTTTAGTCGCGCATCTCGACTTCTCAACTTTCTCCTCGACTGTGGAAGTTGGACACAGGGTAAGAACAGTCGAGTGGAGAACGTGATGTCCTTGAGTCCGAACACCAGTTTTGGAAAAGAGGGATCACTAGGTCTCCGCCTATTGGAGCTTGGTTATCCTTTTCAACTCAGAGATCCCCAGTCACTGATTGAGAAAAGAGAGCTGCGGTACCTCATAATTCACCATTATGACTGTGTGTGCTTCTTGAATCTTGAAAAGAACGATCCATTGCATAATGCTGACCTCATACAAAGTGGTTGATATACCAGATGTTGCAAGGATGATCCTCCTCGAGTCAGAATCCGAGCTTCGATACATGATGGAATCAGGGCTCATTTCACCTAACTACCGCGAAGGCGAGTGGTCCTTACTTGGGCTTTCGTTTGGCTGGCCGCAGGGGTTGCAAATTCTACTTCAGGCAGGTGCGGACGCTTCCGATTCTTACATTCGATTTGTCGAAGATACCCCAAGGGGAGAGACCTTTGAGTCAGTGAAGCTGATGCTTGAAGCCGGATGTCGCATTGAGTATGATGAAATTTGGCAATGCCAGGAAGTGAAAAACGGTGGCAGAATTCAATCACTTCTTATCCAGGAACTGGCCACTCGAATCAGAAAGTTGTGGGATCTCGCTCAGATCCACCTTCCGTTACACGAGCTTCCCAATCTCATTACGTATGAGACAGTCACTGACAAAAGTTATATCTTTGATGTTCATGTCCAAGAAACGCTCGCCAAATTGGAGGCTCACGGCACAGAAATATGCCCTCGGATCGCGATACCGCACTGGTATGATATTTTCGGATATTCAACTTGTTTTTCTCAGGAAATGTTCTCGGCTGAGACGTTAGAGAACTTTTATCTTCACGGATTCAGAGGTCTTAATGAGTTCGACAAGAGCGGGATTTCACCCCTCCAGAGTTCATTTGATTTTCTCTTTGCGAAAGAAACAAGTGATTGGAAGCGAAAACTGTATCGATCAAGGTGGCTTGTATCAAGAGGAGCTCTTGTACATCTAACGGTGCCAGGGACCAATGCATCCATTGCCCATCATCTCGGAGTGGACGCTGCTGAAATTCTAATTCAAACGGTGTTGCAGCATCTACGGTGGAACCCGAACAACCGTTTTCGAATCTGGAAACAAGCTCTTTTACAGGCTGGAGAAGGATGGTTTCTAGTACCTTCTATTACGGATCAATGCAGGTGCCCATGCTCTCCACGTGGGTGCACCACACTGTCTGTCGTTTTACGGCGCATACTTCGCAAATCCAAGCGCCGTGACTTTAAAGCTGCATTCTCGGGTACAGATGGCCGAGAATTGATACAGTTCCTCATAGAGTCCAGCAAAATGACTCCGGCGGCACATGAAGAATTCATCAGGTGTTTAACTTTTGATGCTTTGGATCTAAAACACGCGTGTTGTCGCATCAAAATACGGTCTCGCCTTAGCTCCAAACTCAAAAGCAAAGAAGAAGAGGAAATCGAAGAAATCATCGACGAACAGAAGCTAAGGCTGATTGACTTTGAAAAGCTTGTCATCGAATTCCAAGCCAAATTAGATGAGCTTGCGCTACCTATAATTGAGTTTCTCGGGGGATACTGGTACAATCGCATGGTTGAGTACCTCCGTCAGCGCGATCGGTATGACGAGAAGCATTTCATCGGGTCAAAAAGTATCGGTGTCAATCTCATACAGGATGAAGAATTCTCCCCCAGTGGGATGCTTTCACTCATTGGATCATTCAACAGGGTCGTCGATAATGAGGTGCCATCGATGATCGAATAGAGTTGAGATATTGGGAACTTGCGGTTCAAATTGTGTATTATCGCGCGTTGTGTACACCTTGAAATGGAAATATCGCAATAGCCATCTGACACTGCAGACAGAAGTATTGTTAGTGACATCAGGAAAAATGAATATTCAGTCAAAATGTACTAGGTAGATCTAGAGCCTGCCAAGATTGCATTCATGTCATTTACGAAGACCGGGCAACCTGCAGACTGGAGAGGCCTGCATGGGCAGGTGAGACTCGATCTAACTATTACAGGCAAGCTCAGAACCCGGGCAGAACCCTTGAGATGCGGCAAATTACTACCTGCTGCTAAGATCGATCAATCCTTGGTTTGCTACTAAATATAGAGCTTCTGTCAAATGAGGGTGCTCTTTAACCGCCAGCATGCACGATGAAAGCCTCGGCGGCTAATTACCTGGGGTCGTAAATGGACCCAGAATTCTTCAATTGTTATATCGATTGTATCTGGCAAGATAAATACCGAGCATCTTTCACTTGGATCCCGCTTTTCCAATCTTAACTCCATCTGGTTGGACAAGACCAACGATCGACTTTCAACATGAGCTTCAAGACAATTCCGACATCAACATCAATACCTCCATATGAGCACAAGTTACATCGAATATCGGGATGGAGACCCAGCTATCTTCGAAGACGAGTCTTGTTGGCCTTTCTTATTGTCTTTTGCATGATCATCGCGGCTCTAGAGGCACTCAACCGACTATCCGAAAGGCACAATGGCATCGCCCCTTCCATCGAAAGCCGCCACTATTTCTGGACCTACGGACCTACCGCAATCCTCAAAGTTGTCGCCTCTTTTTGGTCACGCGTTGAGTTTCAAGCAAAGCAGAGTGCAACATGGCACTCTTTGCAACAGGGCCCCCAAATCGCAGAGAAAGGTGTGCTTTTGGACTACATATCGCCCATACAACCCGTCGCTAAATGGAGAGCATTGAGGAAAAAGCATTTCGTGGTTGCTGCTGGCGTCACCTCGTCGATACTTTATTGCCTGCCGATCGTTTTCTCCACTGGTCTTTTCTCGCTGCAGCAGGTTCATGTTCTGAATTCCGACGTCCCAATCCAGATACACAACAACTTTGATGCGAAAAATTCCAGCTTCAATGATCTAGCCTCAGAAGCGTACGACGTGCTCAACGGTTTTCTCTTTGAAAACTTCACTTACCCCGCTAGCTCAAATGTGAACTTTGCGTTTCAGCAGTTCTCTGCTCCATCACTTTTTTCCAGTGCAATAATCTGAGCCTATATTGACAGCTTAATGCCAGATTTGGATTGCAAGATAGCGGAGGTGATCACCAAAGGGTCGTGCACTGTTGACTTCAGGACCCCATCATGTAACATTTCGGATACTTCACAGAAATGGTTTTTTTACAAAGACGACCAATGTCTCACCAGGGTCCATTGGCTCATATGGAAAAGTATCAATGCACAAACACAAACACCTCTGATGGGGTGCGCGTCGCCGCGACTGTACTGTTATTTGACACCAGCGGCATTGGGAATATCGAAGCTGCCCAAAATGTAGAGCCTAACCAGCCCCAAATGCTCAACAATGCATTGATTCGCTTAGTTGCTGTCGTTTGCAAGCCCTCGCTGGTCTCATTACGCCTCAAAGCATTAAAAAAGCAGCTGGGCCTATGTCTGATGCGCATTTCGAAATCCTCGAATCTAAAAATGCAACTCTGCCCGACCTAGTCGCGGCCGACATGACCACTCAAACTATGTACATTTCTAATACTGTTCACTCAAACCGAGACGTTGGGATACATCACCTGGAGAGGCCTACCAGAGAGGACTGTGTACTGTGGTTAGTATATTTGATTCAGATATCATCAGACTCGTTTTAGGATGCTGCGACATTCATGCCTCACGGCACTGATTATTTCCAAGATTGGTTTCAAGGGCAGGCCCCCGGCCGGGTCAGTAGCTGACTCATATTCGATACCATCCATCCATGTGACTGAACTTCTTCGACCTGATTGTTCTTGCCTTCCACTCCGTCGGTTTTCCAGCGATACAGACGCCCCGTGCTAACATCGAATCAATCATGTTGGGCAAAATGCGTCGTTTCGAACGCATCCATGATGTTGTCGAACCTGTCGAAGAGTATCGTGCTGGAGGCTACCACCCAGTTCACCTCGAGGACACTTTCCACCACAGGTATCGGATTGTTGCAAAGTGGGCATTTGGTCAGTTTTCCACAGTTTGGATTGCCGAAGATACAAGGTTGTATCCACGTCATCTCGTTCGCCCGCGACTATCAAACTTACTCCTTCCTGTACCCTAGGCTTGGAAGATATGTCACGTTAAAGATTCTCAAAGCGGATATCTCAAGCAACAGCCGAGAATGTTCTATACTCCTTCACTTATCGAAAGTGGATACATATCATCCAGGCAAAAACCACGTTTTGCAATTATTGGATCAATTTGAGCATAAAGGGCCTAATGGCTTACATCTTTGTCTCGTGTTCCCAGTCATGATGTCAGATGGTCAAGCAATGACTATTCGGGAAAAACCACGCTGCCCAGGTTATGTTCGCGAGATTTCGAAACAAATATTACTCGGGTTGGATTATCTTCACGATCAGGGCCTTGTTCATGGCGGTATGTATCTATGTATCTTCGGAACTGAATGCCTAAGATGATAATATTGATTTGTGAATAGACCTCCAACCAGCCAACATACTATTCACCCTGAACTGCGACTTGTCAGGCGGAATGATAACTGAACCCGAATTTAGTCCTGTCAATTGGCTTCCAGGAGTTGAAGTTGATAACAGCGCTCCGCGGTATCTTATGAGTTCGCAGCGGCCCCGCGGATTCCTAGACAATGCAGCCTTCTCGACACTTCTGGTCAAGATTGGTGATTTGGGCGGAGGTTTGAACCCTTTTGGTGATGCGAGAATGTGGATTATTGACTATTACCATAGCTATGTGGAACACACAAGATGATTTTCTTCCTGTCACGCCAATGGCGTTGAGGGCACCCGAGTTACTCCAGCCCCATCCAGGGAATGAGAAGGTGGACATATGGGCTCTAGGGTGTTTGGTATTTCCCCAATCCTTCAAGGTTAATCCCTAACATGATCTAACATCAAGTACAGATATTTCAACTTGCTACAAACGAGCCACTCTTCCCGGTAGAATCTTTTGGATGCACGATTGACGAGGTTCATGAGATTTTGCGATCTCTCATGCACGAGCTATTTGAGCATGGCAATCAAAAATTTGCCATCTACATTAGCGAGAGATTACCGACTGATTTTGGCAAAGAGAACACTGAGAAGCTTGCAAATTTTCTTTGGTCAGCGTTGCAGGAACGTCCCGAAGATTGAGAATCCACCACTGGACTTCTCAATCATCCCTTTTTAGTTGGATGAAGAGGTGGAGCGGCAAATATAGCATCGCTTGCCTTTTTGGAGTCAATGTATACTTCTGATATGACTGTTAGTGAGTAGATCATTCCTTTATCAGTCTCATGCTCAATTCTCGAAACCAACATTTCGGGATTGTTAACTTCTTCGGTCAAAACACCTAAGATGAATGCATCCGGGTGGTCTGGGTATAGCCGCCAGTCTTGGTGGATGTTAAAGCCGTGGAGAAAGTATGGGCCTGGTGGAAGATCAAGCGAGGTAGAGGTGTACACCACTAAAGCATATTGTGGCTCTAATGTGGTCTTGCCAAAATTGACCTCTTCGGTATGTAGTACCAGTGAGTACTGTAGAACCTAAGAACCCTCCATAGACATCACCTGGGCATCTACTCGATGAAAGTCCTCGAGGTGCTGCCAAAAGTCTCGAGCTGTGCTTTTGCATTATTTCTGCTCGAAGAACCACAGGCGTGATTTGCTGATCCGGTATATTCTCATCAATGGTGCCCTGGAGAAGAAAAGTCAATGGCGCTCTCATTAGAGCAGATATTTCAGCTCACCAAGTTTTGTGGATGGACAACATATCTGTTTCTCCCGACTGTATGCCTTATAACCTGATCAGATCTCATGCTAGCTATGATGCACCTATGTGCGAAAGATTGTGACGCTCAGTTAGGAGCCACCAAAATGGTATTTGAGACAGAGCCAAATGCACGCGATGTGAAGTGATGTAGACCTCGGGGCTACCTAGGTAAGTAGCTGGAAAGTGGGAGAGATGAGTTGAGTCTGCCCAATGCCCAGGTGAGCCCCATGACAGGATGTTTTGATTCGGATACTGTCGCAATTTTTTGTGATCATAGAAGTAGGCCAGCAAAGACTTAAGAGTATAGAGAGCAAATATAGCGATGAAAAGCTTTAAAAGTTCCATTTTGATCGTCGAATTTGTCTTGGGGGCAATGAAGGGTGAACTCAGATGAGGAGTTGACCAGGCGCTAAACATGCACCATGTTTATCGAATCTCATTTCGTCCGATCTGGCGTCAGGAATGCCTCCAGCTACCGATATTGTTTGTGCTCTGTCAGTCAGGAAAAGAGGGTCCTTGACGACTTGGGGCTAGAATGGTATCCAAATACCTGAGCCTCTCCTGGTTGGACAATTGTAGTCACGCAGCGAATGGCGCCTGAAGCCAATGCCAACAAGACCCATGCCCTGTTGTATGTATAATTTCAATGATATCGGTAGGCTAGTTCCTCTAGCCCCATCCACCCATGGTGAGGGGCCAACGCTGACCACGGGCATACTTGCAATGGTGGCAAGCTACCTAGGTATGAGTATTGCTCTAGTGAGGCAGTCAGCGACGTAGAACAGGTATCCGAACTACACATTCCAAGGAAGAGTATAAGTAATGCAAAGTCAATGCCGTCAGATTCAATGAAGTCTTTGTATTGTACAGACAAATGTCCAAATAGACAGTCCACGCCATGCCACCACCTCAGCCGCGTACATCACAGCCCTGTCCAGCGCATGAAAATCGCCAAGGACAAGAGAATAGACATAACCAACAACCAGGCAAGGTGGCACCAGGGGGACAATCTACCAAGACGGACCCATTCAGCGGATAGGTCGTTGAGTAACTCTTTCGCAACGCAAATAAAACACCACACATCAAAAAGAAAACAGAATCACGCCAGTTATTTCGGTATGGATGTGGTTTGATTCCGGTGCCATCAACGGAATGGCCGAAAGGTCATGGGGTATAGGAGGTGAAGGGGAGGAAGTCGAGGTCGGGGTCGAAGTCGGGTCGCGTGACCAACGTCCAGAGATAATGCTATAAGCTATCGAAGGTACTCGGTAGTTGAAGCGCGATTATACGTGATCCAGCTCTTAAGCGGAGAACTTGCGGGTGATCTTGGCGATGACTGAGAAGATAATTAGTGATGAACATTCGATTAGACGTGGATTTGAAGCTTACCGTGGAGACCGACAACGGAGAAGATGAAGCCCAGACTCAGGACCAGGACAACGACGGGGTCGACGCGGAGACCGGGGCTCTCGTCAGTGTAGAGCTTGAGCATGGTGCCGGAGGAGCCACCGGCGCCGGCGGAGCGGGTGGAGCTAGGGCGAGCATTGCGCAGAGTCTCCTTGTGGTCGGCAGCGGCGCGGCGACGCATGGCAGCGCGAGGACCGCCGGGGGTCGAGGGAGAAGAGGGACGGCTGACGGAAGAGCCAGAGGCAGCGGCGCCGGCGCCGGACTTCTCAGCGCCGGACTCGGCGCCTGAGGTCAAGGGAGATGCGGGACGGGGAGAGGCCTGATGCATTGTGTTAGTTTTGGGCTGTTTCGGTTGTTGATGTGGTCGTTGGAGACGGATTGGTGGATGATGGGGGCAAGCTGGTTTGATCGTCGGATTGCTCGTTGATGGGCTTCGATTCTGGCATTGGACCACTTACCATTGTGATTAAAGGTGGGAGGTGAGAAAGAGAATGTAAGTTGATTAGAAGAGAGGTGAATTGAAGTCCAAGGAGAAAGATAGGAAACTTGGAGGAGGGTCTAAACGAAAAGGGAGGTTTGCGGAGATGAGGCCACGATCGCGGTTTCTTGGGTAATACTGTATCCACTGTGTTACTTTCGGTATTGTGGGGGTTAAACATGCGTATTTTGGTGTATGATTATTACAAATGTCCCACCAATGAGGTGCCTCGGTACATACTGCTCTTGCGACACTTTAGTACGAGTACACTGCCTAAGTACGCACCACTGCAATTGATTCATTCGGTGGAACTCTGCTAATGAAAAAAAAGACAGGGCGACAGAAATAGTCTTCTGCCTGCGCTAATTTGATTTCAATTCCAAGATATCAGCTTGCAAGGCAACACTGTCCTTGAAATAACTGACCGTTGAGTAAATCGCATTGCACCGAGAATAATCACATTGACTCAAGACTTAATTTCCAAAATGAGTAATTATTATATAGGTACATGCATATGTAGAGATTACGCCCGGGATGAAAGACCAAGTTGTCTAGCGTTCACGAAAATGACGAGCTCACATTCAATTGCAGAGAAATGCATTCAGACTGTCGTAAGACATGAAGAGCACGTCCGGGATATCAAATCCTGATAACGCCGTCGGTGCACTCGTGGAGGGGGTGAAATGGGGTATGAACAGATAAGGAAAAAAAAGGATAGTAGAATCACAAGAATATTTTGTAGCTCCAGAGCCAGACGGCGGAACATGGGGGTAGAAGAGATTGACGCAAAATGAGGTATCATGCCGAGCCCAGGGAGCCCGGGAACAGAAAGCAAAAATCAGAGAGGCGAAGCTTCGGCCGTCCGGATGGACGCGAAACTCACACATGAGAAGAAAAGACGCTTCAAACCAACGCCCAGGAAATCAATATTGGAAACATGACCCTTTGGATCGGATCAGTCGATCATCATCCGTGATGGTACTTGGGTGAGGTTGGAATTAAGCTCGGTGTTCTTTTCTTCGTCCTTGTTCCGCTTCTTGTTGATATGTGGCTTCAAGCCGCGGTGGAAATTGTGCACGCACAGGCAGGCGTTGATGATGGTCACCGTGATCAGAACAAGGGTAATGACGGCGAAGAAGGTCATCGGGTTGAGAGCGGGGAGATAAAGGGGCATCGTTTCGGGGTCGTACATGCGATACAGCTTGAAGCAGAAGTATGCCATGGCAGCGAAGAAAAGAAGCTAATTGAGCTCGTTAGAATCAGAAACAAGACGTGGAACGTTCTGCGACTTACAATGATAGCAATCATTCCCGCGGTGGTTTCGCGACGGACGAACCAGGCACCGCATAGAAGAATGATAATGGTCACCGGAATGGCAGTCACTGTGAGCGCGAACTCGGCAGTTCCTCCAGCCGAGACCAACACCAGGAACTGGACGGTGAAGCCCAGGAAGAAGAAGAAATCGAACTTCAGCAGTGCGATGTAGATCTGTTTCGCGACCGGTCAATAAACATTCCAGGGAGGTGTGATCAAGACACGAACCTGGTAAGTGAGATAACGACGCTTCATCTGCAGATCCGCGCTGATATGCTTGTAGATTGTCCAGGCGAATTCATCGTAAAGTTTCCACGCAACGAATGTCATCAAGAGTGTCCCCAGCCCCACAATACACGGAATGATAATCAGGAACGGCTCAGACTGGTCCCAGACGTACAGCTTGATCTTGTTCATATAGTACAAGGTCGTCACTGCCTCTCGGATCTGCTTCACCTGGACTGCGCCATAGATCAGAAGACCGATATTGCAAATACACAGTCCAATAACTTGAATGGTGTTCTTCATTCGAAGCGCGTCGTATACCAGCACCAGCTCGTAGAGGAAACCGAAGCCATAGAGGGCAAGGAACGTGGGAATTGTTTTGGAGGCGGGACTATCGTTGGGGAGTTCTTGAATCTGGAAATTCGCGAAGATGTAACTGCCACGGGGTTAGTGATGATCTCACGGCGGTCGGGGTCGGGAGTTGCCTACGATTCGAGGCCCAGTGTCACGATGGTTTGAATGAGTGTGACGATCGCAAAGGACCACGTCCAGGTGGTATTCGGCAAATACATTCTGGGGCTGCGAGTCGGAGGCGTGAGATTGGCGTATCCTTCTCTAGCACGGAAACCCCCAGTTGCTCGTCTAAAGGCGGGATCAAAGGCCCCTCCTAAGAGAGAACTTCGTGGGCCGCGTGAAGCAATCGTGCCGGGAGGCTCCGTTAAGGAGCTCGGGTCGTTGAAATGGGAAGACACGGTGATAGTGCGACCACCTGACGGTGGTTTTTGGCGGTTTATAAGTCAGGTGAGAGCGACCTGACGGCTCGTGTGTTGGCCTTGGCGGATTGTCGCCAGGGGTTCAGCTGCTTTCTCCTCAGGAACATCCGAGGTTCCAACAGACCAGTCCTCCACAATAGATCTTGCTTTCTCTCTCTCTGGCTGTATCGGTTGCGTCTCTAATATCTGTAATTTTTTGTTTTGTTTTTTTTTCTCTCTCTCTCCCGCGGCGTTCCGAGGAGGGGAAGGTGGTTGAGTAACGATCGAATGAGTAAGGGCGATATGCAGGGACCCCAAAGAGAAAGGGTTCGAGAAAAAAAAAGAGTGACGAAGAGTGAAACAAGAGAGAAGAGAAAGGAGAAGAAGCCTAGGGGCCACATCTGGGGTTGTCCACATACCCATATGGGGCGGGTCGTCAGTACGCCTAAACCGCGAGAGCCCAGACTCTCTCAGCCCTGCTTTCTGCTGTCGGCGTACTAGCACTCCGTAATACTGTTTTCTCCGATTAAAACGTCTTATTTGGCCCGGTGGAGTAGCCCCATCGACTTGCGCCAGGTACACTTCGAGTCCAGATCCTCGATTTTCCTCTCTTGCGTAATCATTGTTGATCCGAAATCCCACACAAACACGGCTGCCTGATTTTTTTCTCCTGAGCTTCTACCATTATAAAGTCTACAGTACCCCGTACTACGAAGTAGAATACTGTAACTCGAACTAGGGCGAGAATGTGGCTGTGAAACAGAAGAATGCGACTCTGTGCACTTTATCTGTGGCTGGTAGCTCCGTGGCTGTGTCCCGTGGCTTGAGTGGTTGGACCCACGGCTCACTGGGGTCGCATCCATGGCTCGAATACAAAGTTCGAGCTCTCCAGGGCTGTCTTTAACCTTGAAATCCTCGGGACTGCACTTGCATCTTTATGTTTACTGCAGAGATCTGGACCGAACTCTTTTCACCGCACTTGACCCCTTGCGCCGGTTCTAGCCAACGCTCCAAACCTTGGAACACCCCAAGGGTTTGACATCAGGCCCAACGGCCTGAAGAGCAGTGGAGGTAATATTCCAGGCGCCCGGGTCAGACTCTGACATCTGTCATGGCAACGGTCTTCTCCGGCACACGAGGTGCCGAAACCTCAACGTGAATCCACTTCGACAGCAACATGAAACATGATCAATCACGCCTCCGGGCGGAGCAATAACAAACACAAAACAGCCCTGGAGAGCAATTTAGATACGAACACGGTCGATTATCTACATTGTGCATAGCCCTGGACTCGGCACGAGTCGGTTTTGATCAGCCGCTCTCACACAGGTGGAAGCCGAGAGAACATCCTCTAACGGATTCGCCCCACTGATGTTTTCCCTGCGTGACCCTGATATCTTAATTTGAGCCTTGGTTTCAGCGCTTCACTCCTTTGCCAGGCTTCCTCGATATCTACTTCAAGGGACTTGGACTACTACTAGTCGTGGTCTGCTCGGTCTCTCCAGAGGTGATATACTAGGTCCCATTCACTAATGACCTTTCTCGGCTGCTGCGCACACATAGCTAAGCACACATAGCTAATTTACCGGAACACATTCCAGGATAGAGTGATAGGGGTGCCTGTAAGTCCAGACATTCTGGATCTTGAGGCCTGCCTTCTCCATCAAATTGTTCCACTGCTCCTCCGTGCGCTCCTGTGCCGCCAGGCCCGACATCATAGTCATATCGAGCACAGTTCCATACCAGTGCACGCCAGCGTTGGGAAGCACTCTATCATCAATGAGAATGACAGAGTCCGGGCCAAGTGCATCCATGGTATTTTTGAGAATCTCAACGGCTTTTTCATCTGGCCAGTCGTGAATAATGCTGCGCATGTAATAAATCCGAGCACCTATTGACAGGATTTAGTAACGGCAAGGGATCCACCTTCCCTTCAACATACCTTTGACGGGCTGAGGCTGGAAGAAATCATAAGCCATTGCTTTGACGCCTTCTTGCTGAATGGCATGGGGAATGACGACTTCCTGGTCTTGGACGATGATTTGGTTCGTAATCTGCGGGATCCATTGCTTCACACCGACAGCTTGGTGGCCAATTCCACCGCCGATGTCTACGAAGAAGATTTGCTCTGGTTCCAGATCGTGCGACTTTTCTTCAATCGGGTAGGTTTCCATCCAGGATTGGAGTCCCTGTTGCTCGGCTTGCATGTAGCGATTGAAATGGCTGTAGTGCTCCGGCTCGGACTGGAGCCAGAGGAAGGCAGGAAGCTCTGTGTTGTACGCTAGTTGGAACGCGGTGGTGGTTGGACTGGTGATGTCCTGGTATTTGTGCTTTTTCAAGAACTCGGGAAAGGCCAAGGCAATGGGGCCTACGTTCCATGAGCTGATTTTTCGGTCAGTATCATCTTTTGACTATGATGGATTATAGAAATGAAGCACTCACTTGTGGTATATAGCACCTCGAACTCCAGGGTCGCTGAGAGAGCGTGTGATGTTGTTGGCTTCAAAATGGTCTTTTGAAGTCTCGCCAATTGCTCTCACCGAATTCAGATATCGGAGGATACGCCCTTTGAGGGAAATTAGTTGTTTAATACAGAAATGTGAAGTAGTTCATTCAAACTCACCGGTCAGCGTAGGTGCAGCACCTACTTTGGCAGCTATTTCAGCCACACTCAAAGGTCCGCCCGCTTGACTGAGAATATTGAAAAGATCCAAATCCAATCCTATTCTGACCATGATAGGCTCCCATTGCTACATGATCATTTGTTAGTAATGAAATTTGTCCAAGGCATTGATTGGGATCTTGGATGCCTCACCGCGTAGGACAATCTCTGCATCGTGTCTGGCATCTCCTCCAGTGATTTAGCAAGATCATGAATCTGATCTAGTATTTCCATTCGCTGGGTCGCATCGGCGTCTTTGACTAGCGCCTTGACTTGTTGCGAAATTGCATCCATGCTGAGAGTAGGGTCAAGAAGTGCGTTGATGAATAGTCGGCGAGAGCTTTCTCATTGAGCTACACTGCGGATAACACTGAACTTATATATGCTTGATCCCCATAGCTTTTGGGAGGGGCTCGTCTTACTTCATTCCAAGGTTCTCAGTCTCGGTTTTCGTAGGTCCGTCCACAAGCCACTCATCCGCGAAGGCTTGGATGTCAGATCTTCAGAACATAGATTGACCACTTAGATGCGTAGCTGTGCAAGTCTACCTAGGTATACCGGTCAGATATGCAGTGATTCATACTCCCCGTCATTGCTTGTGCAAGTAATTCCGCTTTGCGGCATATGAGCACGATTTGGACCGTTTTCCCTGAAGAACAATGCAAGGTAGTATTTTAAAGTGCTATTAAGCAGATGCTTCATACAGGAAATCATGTATATAGGAATGTCACTATCACTCTATCACGTAGACAGATGTTTGTCCACTTTTTTCGGTGATGTCCGAGTGAGCGAGATTCGCACGGTTCCCAAGTCTAGTGCTGATGAATACGTGTAATTCTCCCAGGCCAGGTACTGTCGGTGACTCATGGCTTTGTAACTCCGTGGATGTGTGTTTACTTGCGGGAGCTCCAGGTTAAGCCTCCACCGAATTTAGCCGCCTCTGGGCCTGGAGGCTGAGAGACACATGCATAGCTGGCATGACTGGGGGACAAATTGCCCAAGTGCCAAGCATGCCTAGTATTTCGAGCTCCGCAATCTCACTTTCTTGAGAGCTGGTTATAAATCATTTATAAGCAGTATGTTTGTAAGCGAAATATCTATGCAAGGTTGCAAGGTTGTCTCCCTTCAAACCCTCAAATGCTCGCTTGGGGGTTTGGGCTGAGCGTCAAAGTGCTTTACTTTCACACACGGACTTCGTGGATCGCGCATGCAAGTTTGCACCAATTAAGATAATCATATTTTCGAACATGATTACTTTCGGTCTCTTGAATGAACGGGTATCATGATTATGCTAAGAAATATACGGCTCGACACATCTGCAGTGGACATAGAAATGACCTTGCCCTGGTAAGTCAATCCGCGCAGGATCGCGATAAGCGAGACGAGAACGGTTCCTTCAGATGCGAAGTAGCAAATCAAGAGGTCTGTCGTCTCCTACAGTTTCCTTTTAGGGTCTAAGCTTCCACCGGGGCAGCTATCAACAGTCGAATTTCCCCGCACTCCGATAGCGAAGATAGCGGCTAAGGTTGGTCGCGTTGCATTGACAAAGATCATTCAATCAGATTTCTGATATAAATAATACAATACCACTCTTGCTGGCAATTGCTTCTTGAAACCATATTTGATATCTTCAACATGTTGTCATTGTGGATTGGAGCCGTTTTACTTTGCGGATACCTCGTCGCTCATGGACTCTTTTCTCCCTTGTCCGCAATTCCAGGACCGTGGTATACCCGATTCACCAGTATTTGGATCAAGTATCAGGAATTTACTGCAAATCGACGTGAATCAGTCCACCGTATGCACAAGGTCTACGGTCCTGTAGTCCGTCTCAGTCCCAATGAAATCTCATTCACTAGCCTAGAGGCAATCAAAGAGATCTATGCTTCTAGTGGTAGTGGATACGACAAGACCGAATATTATGATCTCTTCAGACAGTTCAAAATCAAGTAAGTCGCAAGTATCGGGGCAGGAACATATCGAGGATCTGACGTGGGGAATAGAACTATGTTTTCTACTCTTTTGAAAGATGAAGTGAGTGTTTTCGATGCCACATGGTGAACTTGGAAGCCCGAAATTTATACTCAAATTCTGACACCTTGCAGCACAGCAAGAGAAAACGCTTGTTTGCCGAGAGATATGCCATGACCAACATCATGAAGGAGAAGCCGATAGCCGCAATCGCCGAGAGGGCCTCGATGTTTGTATCGAAATGTGCCAAGGCAGGAAGGCAAAGTGTTGATGTATATGTACGGCAATACTTGAAATACCCGAAGTCAACCTACATACTGACCACCCATACACAGTCCCTGCTCCACTGCTATGCATTGGACTGTGTAACTCATTTCATGTTCAGTCCTGGTGGGCTCAAGTCCCTGGACAATGCCAAAGACTATGAGATCATGCACGAATTGACATATCACCAAAGTCTCCAGAGTAAGCACCCATCGAAGATTCATCGCATCGCACGCTGATTCAAAGTCTAGAAAATCTGCTGGAATATTACCTTCCCGCGCTGGCACCGTATTTCCCCAAATTCCTGCACGCCCGGAGTGCCCCAAAGGCAAACCAATACGTCCTCGACATGGCAGCGCAAACCGAACTCGACAACCATTCCCTCATGGAAAAGCTCAAGCGGAAAGAATCCTCTCTTGAGCTCATCCAAGCTGCGGCAGAATGCAAAGATCACATGGCGGCTGGTATCGACACAACCGGCGACGGATTGTGTTTCCTGATGTGGGAGTTATCACAGCCGCAGAATCTTGGGTTCCAGCGCCGGCTTCAAGAAGAGTTGAGAGCAGCCCCGTCAGATGCGCCTTTGGATAGCTATATTTATCTTGATGCTGTGATCAAGGAAGCACTGCGGTGCGCACCGCCTATTCCGATGTCGTTGCCTCGGTATGTGCCTAATGGTGGACGGAAAATTGATGGGTTTTTCATTCCTGAGCATACGATCGTGAGCTGCCAGCCGTATTCGGTGCACCGAGTTAATGAACGGGTGTTCCCTGAGCCTGATTGCTTTAACCCTGATCGGTGGCTTTTGGAGGAAGGCGCAGCTGAGAGGAATAGACTCTTCTTTTCCTTTGCGACTGGCGGCAGAGGATGTACAGGCAAAAAGTAAGTGCACCGTTCGTCCTGATTGTTGATGGCTCTTGCTAACTTCTATCTTGTCGTAGTCTTGCCCTCGTTGAGATGAAGATGCTCCTGCGTGAAGTATATGCACGTTACTGGACAACGGTTGCATCGGATATGACCGCTTCTATGAAATTGGATGATCAGATCATCTCTTCCAGGCCGGAGGGACAGAGCTGCAGGCTGGTATTCAGTGAGATTGCATGATTTTGCCCGCGGGCTATCACTATTTCCATAAGATTGCAAATGAATAGTCCGTATTTCGAATTCACAAACCTGTACGTAAAATAAGTCCACCTGATAGAGATTCGCGTCAATTCCCGACCGCGGGGGGTCGGACGTTGAGGGTTTGGCCGATGCGGGGGAAGATACGCGATAGGCTTCTCTTCGACATTCCTAATTCATCTCAGATCTCCAGCGTCGCATCGCCTCTGTTAAACTGCATTTGTTGAAGGGATCTCCTCACTTCTGTCACACACTCTTGGATCAAAACACAATTCTCATTCTGATCACAACCAACATGGCCAATGAAAATCCAGCCCAATCTGCATGCAGATTCTCCACTCGCATCTCGATCCGATGGCTCCCAGAGTCCCCTCAAGAGACCACGGATACAATTGTCATGTCCGTGAAGGACTGGTATCTGGATCTTCGCATGGAAAGGGAAACTGGGAAAATCGATTGGGCAATTGCCGGGCAGCGCATCGTCGAGAGTCGAGAACCCTGTACGTTGACGATCAATTCCCCAAATGCTTCAATCTGGTTTTAATAGATCTTCAGTGCGTGTTTCGTTTTCTCATGAGCTTGATTCTCATAACGCTTTTGAGAGTATTGACTGTGGGACGTTTGTCTCGTTGCCAAATGGAGATGATCTTGAAACGGGGACGATGCCTCGTCCTGATCTTCCTGGCACACCTGAAACCGAGTACGAGGAGGTATGGCGGGAGTTGCCTTTCAGGGCGGGACCTGAGGGTTCTGGAAAGGGTCTCTCTTGGGTTCTTGAGTCGGATGATGAGAATGTCGAGAAAGAGGGAGAGGTCACAATCACTAAGACCTTCATCGGTCGCATCTGGGGAACATATTTAGCACTGCAACAGGTCCAAACTCACACAAGAGAGACGGACCCGGAGGGAAATCTCGTTATCAAGAAGTCAGGGACAGAGGTTAGTGCACGAAGAGAAGAGTGGAACTCGGGGTGGAAAGAAAAGTATGCAGTCGGTGCATCAGTGAATGATCTACCTTCAATGGCGGGTGGTCTTGGAGGAGAAGTGAGCTGGAGCGTTGGAGATAAGGTCGTGGTTCAAGGCAAGACGTACGTGGTCCGAGCCTTTGAAGAGATCTCATGAGGCCTTATACCTCTTTCGCGACTTGCTAGACCCATGTGTCGTCGGCTCTCATCGACAGACCTCCGCGTAGATGAATGTACTGCAATACGATAAGAAAATGCATATGTTGATGTCATTGAGCATTCCGTCCGAGATCTCATGTGTAGATGCTCAAACAGTAGCGCCGATCCTCGAGCCCCCGAGCTGCAGACGACGTGCATAAGACAAGCAGTATGCAGGGAAGCGGTAGCGAGAGTAAGTAGTACAGAACAAGTTGATAAATTGAGTGTCAAGCTGTTCCAGCCCGAGATTCCTGGGAGATTTGCTATCCAAATCAGTTCTCTTTCTCCGCCTTGTTGCTTCTGTCACAGGATGGGCATTTCCATCAGGATTCACATTCATCTCATTCTTTGGACGATTTGGTCTTCCTGGGTGGCACTGGGGGCCACTGCGAGTAAATTTGAGTGCTTTCAATCAGTGAGTCCTCTTCAACAAAATCACTGGGCTTTCAGCTAACTCATTTCGATAGCGACCAGATATATGTGCCCCAATCTTAAACATCACCCTCTACGAGCACAATCATGTAACCCCAGGGTATCTCTTCATTACTCCATATTATATGACAACGTGCAACGATGGCCCTTACGTTTACAATCACATTGGAGTAAGTAGGATTCTGGTTGGGATTGAAACATGCACCACAGTTGAAGCTAACTCCCTCATCTAGGAGCTAGTCTGGTATGGCGCCGTCGGCAAAGAGTTTGTGCACAACCTCTACCCGTGTCACATTGCGGGCAAGGATAAATTATGCATGTTGAAGATGCGCCATGGCGAAGGAATCACATCATCGGGACCAGTCATTCTCTTCGATTTAGGTCTCTACACCCCGAATGGAGAAAGAGACTTTACCGAAATCAACGTCGGCCTGGAACCAGACATGCATGAGCTGAGGATAGTGAACAATGGCACAGCAATCATCACAACATGGCTGGCTACCCGGCCTTGGGATTTAACCTCCGTTGGAGGACCACCGAATGGATATCTCCGGACTGCAGGCTTCCAGGAAATCGACGTTCAGACACAGACCGTGACTTTCATGTGGGATCCCGTAGATCACATCGAAATCGCGGCTTCGCAGATGGAGCTTGGGCGAAAATGGGGAGATGGAATTCGTCCTGAGACAGATTGGGATTATTTGTGAGTCTCTTCACGCCACTCTTCCTTGGGTTTCGGCTAAAATCCGAGTAGCCATATCAATTCAGTAGACAAGACCCGAAATGGTGATTATTTGATTTCTTCCCGCCACACAAGCACCATCTACATGATCTCTGGGCAGAATGGGACAGTCTTGTGGAGACTGGGAGGATACAGATCCGATTTCACATTTGAGACCGGATTGAACTTCAGCTCTCAGCATCATGCTCGGGTGTGTGAAGAGAATGAAAGCAGCGAGAGTATGCAGATCTCGCTATTTGACAATGCATCCGATGAGTGGCATCGATCAGCCTCATCTTCTTCCGGTCTCACACTGCATCTAGATCTAAAAGCAATGCATGCTTCTCTGATCAACCGTTACAAGACACCCCAAGAAATTGCGACAACCAGAGAGGGAAACGTCCAGTTTTTGGATAATGGCAACGTGTTGGTATATTGGGGTGGAACTCCATATATCAGCGAGCATGAGCATACCCCGAATGGCCCGAGGACTGTTTTTCAAGCACAGCTGGCAGATCCAACGGGATATTGGTATCGAACTTGGAAGGCCAACTTTACCACCAACCCTGCAACAAGCCCAGATCTCTACGCTATGGCAGAGCACGGCTCTGGGCCGACCGTTTGGTTTGTTTCCTGGAATGGAGCTACCGAGGTTCAAGGATGGAGGGTCTATGCTTCACAGAAGCAGTGGACTGGATATGAATTGATTGGATATTTTGAGAAGAGCGGATTTGAGACGAGGATCGAGCGTGATGAGTTCTTTGAGTGGACAATCATTGAGGCTGTTGGTCGGAATGGATCTGTGATGTCCAGTTCATTCATCCCATTGCGTACTTCTGTCAAGTTCCCCCTTCAAGACACGACAGAACAAAGTGTTCTGGGTGCATAGACATACCAGACCCTTTTACCAACATATTCAACGATAAATACTCAACGAAAGAGCAATGAACAACAAAATCTCAAGTAAAACCAAGCGAACCACCTAATCGGGACAAGCGCGAACCAAAGCGGTGACTCACACACGTGACCGCAGTATAAAAAAGCGCACTGCACAAAACTTTCCCTCTCCAAGCGCCATCCCCACCAATGCTGCGTTTCTTTGCTACACACGGCGGCTCGTCCGTCCTCGTGTTCTGGGTTCCGCCCAGACCGAGACCCCTTGCAAATGAGAAATTCGGAGGAATCTTCAACTCACAACCCGCGTCGTCGTTCGTTTTCGCGCGTCGGCGCCGGTTCTGCCCGTGAGGGCCTGGTGTGATCTTGGATCACTTCTGCCACACCTGCATTCGGCATCAGAAACATCGGGGCTGGGGCTCGTGGCTTGCTGCGGTTCCAGTTCTCCCCTTGGGAGAGTCGGTGCGGAGATTGTGTGTGATGACACTTTAGTGCAATACGCAGCATACTTGTTCTGCTTCTCTTCGGAGAGTGGATGGTATCATTCGATTCCGATCATTCTGGTGGGGATGGCGCTTCATCTTTTTTTCACAGGTCAGTTCTTGCTCTTCACCCCGCTGCTTTTTTGGGGTGCCTGGAAAGAGTGATTTTTTTTTGTCAACCTTGCTAATTGGTGGGGTTGTGGACCTTCAGTTTTGAGGGTCCTGCTTGCAGGCTTCTGGGGGTTCGGTTTTGATGACCGTTGATGGCTCGAATTACGTGGGAGTATTCGTGGCTCTGGGGATCTTGGATATCTTCCGTATGTGAAGTAGATATTCGAAATGTAACATTTCTTTATACTGGATGAACAAACATTGTAAACCGCATAACAGAACGGGTATTGCCGTCTTGGAGATGGAGATATTGAGCTGGGATTTTGAAATCGATTTGGAAAAGGTTGCGACGTCGAAGTCGACCGCTGAATATGTAAATTATCGTGAACATCTTGTAATCCCCTGTCGGAGATGCAGTGAAAGAGTTTTCCCACCGTTGGGATCCCCCCATTATCATAAGGCCTTATTTTTAACCATGCCTCTATCCCCTCAACGCCCCATAAAAGTCGTTTACTCGTCTTCACCGAGCTGTGTTGACACCTGTTAGCTCGGATTCGGGAAGGGCGGGGGTACTTTGGAGGGTGATTGCTTACCTTGGGGGCCAGGTAGAAGCGCAGGTGGCCACTTCCAAGACCGTACTCAACAAGCAGTGGGACCTCCTGGGAAAGGTGCAGGACGACAGATGAAGAAAGGTTAGAAGCCTTGCAGAAGTTGACAAGGTACTTGAGGGAGAAGGTCAGGGCGACGGGTTCGGAAATGTTGACGGTGACATTTTGCTCGGGCTTGTCAACGTTGGTGTGCTGGCGGATGGTGACAGATCCGTTACCGATGTCACCGCTGCAGGAGAACTTGACACCCTCCTTGTTGGCCTCGATCACGACTAAGAACGAATCAGCAAGATGCAAACAGACGACAAGCCGCATGACTGTCAAACGGATGTGGGGTACTCACCGGACTCGGAGAGCTGGTTAAGATCTCTGCAGATACGCTGGAACTCGGCAGAGGGCATCTCCACGGTGGCAGCGTACTCGGTCTCAGGAATAGCCAGGTGCTCCTGGTCAATGTCCATGAGCTTGATATCATACTCGCTCAGACGATCGGTCTCAGCGCTCTCGAACATGAGGTTAACGGCATCGGGTGAGTCCTCGGCCTTCAGGGTGAGGATATCTTCATTCTGGGCGGCGCGGAGCACCTTGGTGAGAGAGAGAAGGTTGATACCGAGGGCAATGTTGCGGTCGCAACGGTAGGGGGAGAAGCCCTCGGCGCGGAGCAGCATGGAGACCAGGGCAACGTGGGAGTTGTCCATGGCCTGCAGGGCGATTCCGGAGTCATTGCAGTCGAAGTTGCAGTCTTGGACGAGATCCTTGATAGCGTCGACAACCTAGATCACGTTAGTGTTGCGTGGCGTGTGCGAATCGGCCATCACGTACGCGCTTCAGAAGACTGGCCTGTTCCAAACGTGCTTCCAACACTGAAAAAACGGTCAGTTGATCAATTCCTCGTAGGTAGAGATAAGGGCGTAGACAGCCAACTTACTCTTGATAATTGATTTAATTAAGTCGTAAAAAAGAGAAACTGAAGTGGCGGGTATCAAATTTGAAGGGGAGAAGTGAAAGGAAAGAGGCAGCGGCCTAATAAATGAACCGCGTTGAAGGGTGGGGAAAAGACGCGGTCGCGTTTGGTTTGGCGATATGTCCTGTTTGGGCTTAGCGTTGATGCCCGAGGCCACCGAGTCCTCTAGTACTTCCTGCAAGCATCAACTATAGTTCATAACCTTGGTCAACTGGTAGAGAAGTGGCTTAAAGAGAACTAAAGATGCCTAGGTATTACTGCCCGGTGGAAAAAATGGTTATTGTAACATGTTTCATTTACACTGCCGGAATATACAGCCTGGCAGCCATCACAATCTCGTGTTAAGCACCCTCGCCTCACTGTACAGGTAAACAACAATAAAAATACAAGCAAAAAATGCAGAAGAGGGCCACCAAAAAGCCCATACCAAACGCCGCTGTCGCCAGTCCCCGTCTATACAAATGGTGGGTATCAATGTATGACATCCTGCTGCTAGCGCTGGGAAGTCAAACCTGTGCCCAGAGGCAAAGGTAGAAAAGTAGGATCCTACCGAAGGGATCTTGAGACAAGGATCCCAGCCTTGTCTTGGATACAAGGGTCCTAGATACTGGTGACTCGCTTGGAAGAGTGGTTCCCGGGCCTTTGTTTAATGACCATCTCCAGTTCCTTGAGCATGTTGTTGCTGGCGTCTGCCTTTTCGCGAGCAGTAGCTTGTCGGACACGATCTTCGCGAACACGGGCCAGACGTTCGTCACGGGTCAAGGACATCCTCTTGTTCCTGGAGCCTGGAAGAACGATGGCTTCAAAGACCTCCTCATCTTCGTAAGTATGAGCCAAATCAGGTCGGTTCTCGCCATTCAAGGCCTTCAGCGCATCAGTTGGGCTACCTTCCACTGCCGTGGAGCCTCCGAGGCTCGGAGTGGGTGACATAGGCATCAATAGGGTGCTGGAAGGTCTCGACCGATCTCCAACACTAAGCCGGTCGTGTTGGTTGACCAGCGCGGTCTTACCAGATTCCCATTCCTGGAGCAGAGCCCGGAGATCGCTTCCAACTGAGTCATATTGCGCAAGGAGTGTGGCTTCGAAGTCATCCGCATCTGCACGCTCGAGATTTGCATGTGACTCCTCGCTGACGATATGCATTTTCGCATGCAAGGCACGGACCCCTTGTGACAGAGAGCTGAGGCGTCGGTATTGAGCCCGCAGATGATCCTTGTTTGACGAAGCTGAAGGCAACGGGGATGGAGGGATGGTATTCTCGCCTGCAAAAGTCAGTTTTGGTCGATTAAAAGTGGGAAGGGCCACATACGATCTTCCTCGTTCAGAATCGCAGTCATTTTCGACATGCTAGCACCAGTCACAGCAGCGAGGTCACGCATCTCCTCGACAGCAGAGCTCCATCTCGTGATGTCAGATCCTCCACCATCGGCACTCAATGCCAACAAGCAGCATAGAACGCTTTTCCGTATGCTGTAAAGTTTGCCAAAAAGATCCCGCAGATATCGTAGAGAGTATTGGTCTTCGTGTGTTTTCTGGGACAATGAGAGTTCAATAACCTCGAGTTCTTCCAGTCCAATGTCGTAAATGTCGTAGTATTTGGCAAGATTGCCCTCCTCGGTTAGTGGGCGTAAAGTGTTTTGGGATTGAATATATCGCTCGAGCATTGAAGAGAAGCATTCTGACACTGCTCGACGCAGTCTCAGGCAGCGGCGTGTCTGCACCACTTCTTCAAGTCGGCTGATAGGCGGCAGAGGGGTGCTTCTGTGATGATTTGTCAGTTCGGCTGTGGCAGTCAATGCAGACTTTGCGCAATCTTACATCCGATAGCCTCGTGACACCAGCTCCACCTCCTGAATGAAGACCACAGAAGCCGACGCAGCATGATCGAAGCCCTGGGCGTTGCCAATAAATGTCCCCGCGGCCTCGACCGCCTGATGTCGAAGGTACTTCAACCATTGTCGTTTCGCGAAAACGTAGAACAAAATCCCAACAGCCGGAACAAGCACCAAAAGCAGCCCAATCTTCTTTAGACTGACTCCTGATCCGGTCTTTGACCGACTCCAATGTAATAACCAAGCGATAGAAAAGGATGTACAGGCGGTGACAATAGCGCCTTGGATTCCAAAGGTTGTAGATAGGGACGGGAGCGCTGCGGGCTGTTTCGCGGAGTGGACATCGGAGGCGGAGGTGTAGGAGGGGGCACTGTGCTCATTCAAGAGCTGGGAGGCGACAATCACGTAGCCAAATTGTTCCAAAAACCGTTCGTTGTCGCTGCGCGTTAATCGTGCGTTCAGAGCGGACTGGAGAGAAGCGTGTCAGCGCGAGTCCGGGCCGTTGAGAACGAGGGGTCATACCGAGCACGCCTCATAGAGTTTCCCGACCAACTGGCCCTGGGGTGTACCGAGATCTAAAGGCTTTGGGAGTTTGTTTCGTACGCGGTCCTGGAATTTGGAAGACCCTCGGGGGGCAAAGTTGAGGGAGGTGGTATGATCATCGTCACTTTGGTTCTCTTCCACGGGCCAGCTCTCCTCGTTTCCACCTTCTCCTGCGATCGAAGTCAGATTTACATTCCTCGGGTGGCTCGGATGTCACCAACCTTCGAGGTATTCGGCCAGAGGCGAGTTCTCATACACGAGTGACTCCATAATGCGGGATCATGCCGCGGCGGAGACGGCAGAAGATGGGGGGTAATCGGCGCTCACAGCAGGGCCATGTCGCGACACACGATATCACAGTATACAGGATCAGGGGCACGGAGAATGTGAAATGTCAAAGGTGCTGGGGCCACGTTGAAGGTATGTCCGGGGAAAGGAGGTCTCTCAGTCACGAGAACCTAATTTAGACATGACCCACCTACCGGTTCCTGGCTTTGGATATTCTAGACGCATGGGGCGTCGCCGAGATTAAAGTGGGAGCCTGTTCATTTTACATTGTCATGTTGATGCCTCCAAGCTGAGACATGCATCTACTTACTCCATCGGAGTACTCCGTACACACCTGGGCGCTTGGTACAAAGTACATACCTGGTTTTTATGCGCACAAGTTGCTTTATGTTTGTTACCTCTAGCCTCGGAACGTACATTGATAAGGTAATACAGTGACTAAGCTGGGTCAACCAATCAAAGACCGGATATGTTGCATAATTTACACCATACCCCCTGCCTTTACAGTACAGAACTGGAATCCCTGAAGTATACTCCGTACACCGAGTTGGGAAGGACTTTACTTCAGGGCGAGAGAAGCCACTCCTCTGATCATCATGAGAATTGGCTGTGTATACTTGGACAATATGGTGTTCCAAGGAGTGAATATTCTCGACAGACACGGCATGTCTGACTATAACCCACTAGTCCCCCGTATTCGTACTGCATACAGTCTGACCTCGGGAACACAGCAGCGAAGCCACCCACAACGGGTAAGGTCCTCTTCGTTGATCGGATACTAACTAGTATTACTTTCATAAACGCGCAGTTCTCAAGGTTGATTTCGAATGCAGCTCAAATGGATAAATCGGCAAGATAAGAAGTCAAACAATCCCTCCGCCAACCTTGAACTGGTTGAACCTTGAATCTTTTGAGGGAAAAAACATCATCATAGCAACAGCTGTGTTCCAGGTTTGATGTCTTCCAAGTTTTGTTTTGGGATAGCTATTTTGATTATTGTGACTGTATAGCAGGTTTGGCCGCTAACGTTAAAAGGGCCAATATAGCCCTGGAGATGATAGAGCGATCGGCGACGTGGATTATATATTCTATAGATCCCAAGACCTTCGATCCTTGGAGACCACTTGAGAACGATTCATTCCGAAGGCTTCGGTGATAATTGACCCAATTGGCATACACCTCGAGAAAGAATAAGTCACTTATCCCAAATTTTGGAGATGTTGGAGAAATCTTGGAAGAGTTACCGAAACATGGCGATGTGGCAAGTTGTGGGTGTTTGGTTGCGATTCAACGTCATAAAGTTACAACAGTCGTGACAGATAGAAAGCGACCCCGAAACTAGAGAACCCGATATTTGAGTGGGCCAAAGGTACAATCGTACCGAGCTCAACTATTGGTATATGCATTGTGATTGACTTGATAGACAAAAAGACCTTGGGACTAATATCAGCCCAAGCTCCTCCAGGCCCGCATTGATCGGGGTTGTACAGTGGAGCGATCAAAGGCGTCGAAGTACGGAGTAATCAATACAAACTTCCATGGGACGCGTAGAATCGGCTCAAAACGGTCTGTCATTTTGCTGACAAGCATCAATTCCACAGGGTTCACGCAGAAATTGAAGTTATCATGTCCATTGGGACCTATACACAGCGCGGAATGGCCGCCCGTTACCCCACTTGATCTTCGGCCAGCGTCTAGGCGCCATAAGCCCGCCGGCTTAGCTCCGGTAGCCCCGGACGCGGAAATAGAGACTCCTAGGTCAGTTCAAACCCGCCATTTGTAATCTTGCGCAATGTGATATCTCCGGGCCGATGCGGGATGGCGGGGAGATAAAGCTCAAGGTCCTCCCAACTCTTCCCCTCCATTTCCCTCTTTCGCAATTTCCGAGATCATACATATCATATTCCCTTCTCATCGCCCAAAATGGTTAAAGTGCTCTTGACTGGAGGCAGCGGTTTCATCGCCGCCCACATTGTAGACATTCTACTACAGCATGGGTATGCATTTCACTCACATGCCCCACATACCTAGTAGCATCACTGACGATTGCACGGCCATATAGCTTTGATACAGTTGTGACGGTCCGATCCGAGGAAAAGGGCGACCAAATCCTCAAGGCGCACCCGAACACAAAGCAGAAGCTATCCTATGTGATCGTAAAAGATGTCGCTCAGGATGGTGCATTTGATGAGGTCAGTGACCACCGTCACATCAATCAAGCCCTGGAGATACATGTAACTGACGAAGCAGTAGGCTGTCAAATCAGACCCGCCGTTCGATTACGTTTTGCATACTGCATCACCTTTCCACTTTAACGTTCAAGACCCCGTGAAGGACTTCCTTGACCCTGCTATCAAGGGAACCACTGGGATCTTGAAGGCCATCAAAGCCTTTGCCCCGACAGTGAAGCGAGTGGTGATCACGTCATCTTTTGCTGCTATTGTCAACCCCAAGAAAGCCCCCGCAGTATACGACGAGAAGGCGTGGAACCCAGTGACATGGGAGGAGGCGATGGATCACTCGCAGGTCTATCGAGCTAGCAAGGTAAGCCATCCTCCCGAGGTCTTGCGGCCTCATGCCATCGGTGACGCAGAAACCTAACCATCGGGCATTCAGACTTTTGCAGAGAAAGCTGCCTGGGATTTTGTCGAGAAGGAGAAGCCAAACTTCGACCTTGCTACCATTAACCCACCCTTGGTGTTTGGACCGGTTGTTCACTACTTGAACACTTTGGAGGCTATCAACACATCGAACCAGCGGTTCCGAAGTCTTGTCCAGGGCGAGATGAAGGAGAAACTAGCTCCAACCGGAAACTTCCTCTGGGTGGATGTACGGGATGTTGCTCTTGCTCACGTGAAAGCAATTGAGGTCAGCGAGGCCGGCGGAGAGAGATTCTTCGTTACCGCGGGCTACTTTTCCAATAAGAAGATCGCAGACGCCGCCCGTGAATCCAATCCCGATTTGGAGGCCAAGCTGCCACCAACTGACGCGACTGATGATTTCCCGGCGAACATTTATGGATTTGACAACAGCAAGTCTCAGAAGGTTTTGGGGCTGGAATACCGACCTCTGAAACAGACAGTAAAGGATACCATAGACTCGCTTCTGGTGATTGGTGTTTAGATTTAAGCATAGATACTTGACAATTGAGATGAAGAATAATTGACAAACAGTCCATGTGTGCTTAAGACCTCGAGATTCTGTGCCGAGAAGTATATAGAGAATTGCGTCTTAGGTTGCTGTGGCCACCGTATGGGTTGCCCGTGTTCTCCGGTCAACTTTTCTCGCAACACCCTAAGTCAAATCAATTGAACAACATGGCGTCCGCCAGGCTATCGCCAACGGCGAACTTATTGCGGAACTCGCGCCTATTTGCTCTTCCTAAAACCCTCAAGGGTCCTCAAACCCAGGCATCTTCGCGAACCGTCAGTGAATCCGACTCTGCAACTCTGCCTCACCCCATTCGAGCCGCCATCGCTACTCCATCATCATCACTAGCCCGAGGCGATTGGGGCCTGAAACGCCCTCTTCCTGCTAAGTCGACATCGGAGAAATCGTCTAGGCCAGTCGTTAGGGTTCATGCTCTCGACACGTACGAACATGTCACCGACTTTGAATCCGCGGCGGACCACACCATGACCCTTGAAAAGTTCCAGGAGCTCCACATGCCTATGTCTCTCCCGTCCAAGGTCAACTACTCGACAACTATCGTCCCAAGACACTCGAGTCCATTCGAAACAGACCTCGACAACACCGAGACCAGCGAAGGTCTTCGGGAACCCGGCGCCAAGCAGTTCAGACACACTGGTCCTTGGCTTGCTGGACAAACGGAGTCGGAGTTCCTTGCTTACTTGAAGAAGGTGGCCGTGCAGAAGCCCGAGCTTCTGCAGAAGCTGCGCGAGCAATTGACTGTCAAGCGCAATGCCGAACTTCGCAAACAAGCACAGGACAACGGAGAGGACATTGCAGCCGAGGCGGTCACAATCAGCGACGCGGAGTTCGAGTCCTACATCAAGACTTTGCGCAACGATCCATTCGCTCTCGGCCCCGTCGTCTTCGAGCTGCTTGACCTCGCCTCGCCTCCTGCCGTTCCCAGCGAGCGCGTCGGACGCAAGTACTTCCAACCTCCCCCCACCAACCTTTCCTCGCCCGAATACGCCGTCTCAGGACCTCCCAAGACACACCCATCTGCCGGTCTGTCATACACCCGATCACACGCCCTGATCTACAATCACCCCAAGTTTGGCCCGCAGACCCACCAGCGCCCCGTCGAGGCCCGTATCCTGCGACCCAAGGGCAAGTTCAAGGGCAGGATGTCCCGTGCTACCGCGGGTATCGGTGGTATTGCCGTGGAGGACTTGAATGCCATGAGCTTCGTTGCGTCAGGCGCACCTCCTGGTCTCACCTACTTCGATGCGACCATCAAGGGTGGTGGTAAATACTGGGTCACTCCCATCCGCGCCGCCATGGACAACCAGGGTCGTCTTAACCTTGCATCCTTCCGCGCCAGTGCGACTGCTAAGGCGCCCTACGGATTGGAAGATCACAAGAAGGAGAGTACCCTGACCATCTCGGATGTGGCCGACTTCAATGCCCAGTCAGTGCCTCAGATGGACAGACGGTCGTTCGGCCAACCCAGGTTCACGCCTCGTGAGCGGAAGCCGCTTTGGGGAGCAGCCAAGGACAAGGAGGAGGTTGCCCGCAGTCTTCTCAACACCCTCAACCCCAGGTGAGGAGCCTGCAATAATTGTACAATGTATGATAGTTCTAGTGTAAAGCCAATTTCTCTGTTTTCTATATAAGTTGGATATGTAAAACAAAATTCTTAGCGAGCATCTTCCCAACGTTCAGTGGTCGTGTTGAATCTTATACTCCGTACATACGAATTCCAAGGTTCCGATAGGTCGGCGATGCCCAGGTGCCTGAAACCGACTCACGTGATCATCGAGTGCTGCTTATGTCAGATCACATTGTGTCTAACCTAATCGGTCAGCGGTCAAGCAGATGTCCAGTAGCCCTAAGCTCAGGACGGGCAAAACACTGAAAAGCGGTGTGTAAGCGAATTAGGTAATCTGCGGCACACAAGCGAGCCCGCTCAAGTCAATTCAAAACCAGCATCACTACTCGTCCTTCGAACATCCATCCCGCCAGCCAACAACCGCCAAAATGGGTCGCGTCCGTACCAAGACAGTCAAGCGCTCCGCTAAGGTCATCATCGAGCGTTACTACCCCAAGTTGACCCTCGACTTCGAGACCAACAAGCGTATCTGCGATGAGATCGCCATTATCGCTTCCAAGCGTCTTCGCAACAAGGTATGATCTTTGCGCCAACCCCAGTGCGCTCCACAACAGATGCTAACTTGCAATCTTCAGATCGCTGGTTACACCACCCACCTCATGAAGCGCATTCAGCGTGGTCCCGTCCGCGGTATCTCCTTCAAGCTTCAGGAGGAGGAGCGTGAGCGCAAGGACCAGTACGTCCCCGAGGTCTCCGCTCTCGATGTCTCCCAGACCGAGTCCGGCCAGCTCGACGTTGACGCCGACACCAAGGACCTCCTCAAGTCCATGGGCGTAAGTTTTTCTCCGACATGTATTGAAGAATCTTTTCTAACAATACACAGTTCGACAACCTCAAGGTCAACGTCGTTCCCGTTTCTCAGCAGCAGCAGGCTGAGCGCCCCCGCCGCTTCGGTCCCCGCTAAATTTAGCGCCCGGAATGGTAACAAAAGTTCATGTCTGGTCGGTCGGCTCTTGTCTTTGACTACCCCTGTCTGGCTGGCTTTTCGTCCCGCTAGCATGGTTTAGCTTAGTGGAAGGCTATTCCTGGATGAGGAATGAATACAAATGATTCTCTTTGAGAAAGGTGTCGCCGATTCTCTTCACGGAGATGACGCTTGATTGCCAAATTTCCCTCGTGTCTACCTGGATTTTTCCAGGCTAGGCTACGTAGGAGTTCTTGAACTTTGGGTTCAAGAGACTCATGACCATTGGTCTGAGTCGTGGATATCTTCCTTGATTGGTCGTGTCCGCTGCCAGTGGTCCGTAGATTTTTCTCCAATTATGAACTTTGGGTATAAATTCGTAGAACGCCCTAAAAATGCCGTCGCAGTCTCGCTATACCAAGCAGTCTTGCCATATCAGATCTGATCAAAAAGATCAATATCACCATCTTGGTCTACAGATCTGTCCTGCCTGGGAACATAACCCTCAATGGACCCTCCGGTCACATCATCTGGACGCATCTGCGGAGCGCCTGAACGATGATTCCCGGACGCATTCTCCTGCAATGTAATGGGCAACCGGCCATTGCGATTCACAGAACTTGTATCGCCGCGTTCCATCGCAAGCTCACGAGACCGATCCCCGTTCGCAAGCATTAGATTATTCATCTCATCCACCACCCCAGAAACCGTGCCCGTAGCCGCCGGTGCCAGAAGACGTTTCGCGCGCGCTTCTTCCAAAAGCAAAATATTTGTGCCGCGTGTATTGTCGCCCCGTCGCTCCCAGACCGGCTCTTCAGATAACTGGACTCTGATCCAAAGAGCGCGCTCCGCACATGCGTCTGAACACCACTTCTCGACCTGGTCTTGCGGTACGATGTCCACGCTGCGCCCTCGACCGCCGGGACCGCTCCCCTTGGGCCCGTATTTGAATTGGAAGCCGCCTCCAGGGGCGTGGTTCTGCTTGCGGTGTTTGCGCGGGCATAGCGTATACCCGCAAAGATCTCCGTAGTTGCGTTCGAGAATGAGGTTATCGTAGTCGCTTGGTCGAAAGGGGATTAGGGAGAATTTAAATTTGTTGGCGTCTTCTTGGGTGGGCGTGGCAGGGTTGGCGGAGGGGGAGGAGGGGAGGTCGAGGAGGTCGAGAATGTGGTTCAAGATTACATCTTCGGCGTCCTTTTGAGTTTGAATCTGTTGCGCATGCTGTAGGGCAATTTCCAGGTGCTGCTGAGTCGCACCGGGGCGGCCTTGTAGATATTTGTCTTGTTGTTCTTGTGATGGGTGTTCATATGAAGGTGGGGGTTGTTGAGCGTTCATGGCTGCGAATGTTTCGGGGAGGGAGGTCTTGAGGGCATGTGGCCCTTGTTGCGCTGCCATCCTATGTATAGAAGGACGAGATTGGTATCTGCGGTAGGTATTATGAGAGGAAGGGAATGGGGGAATATATAGCTGAAGGCGAAGAAAAATAGTGCCGAAATTACTCAAAGCGGAGGCAAAAAAACCCCAGATTTTGTCGAGGCCCTAAGTCCTTACTTGCTACGTACGCGTTTCGTGTTTATTGTGTTTGATATTAACGGAATGCAAGTCCACTTCTACTCTGCAGGGCTGTCCCTTTATTCTTATTGGCACTGCATGTCGACTAGGGAATTCTTGCCTAAGGCAGTCTGTCTATACAACTGACATTGTCATTTCTCTTCTTTCTTTCTAACTCCCAAGTTTACTCTTAAACCCTTCTTTTGGAGACAATTGAAAATACCCGAGGAATTGGCTTTGAGACGTGAATACCTCAAATATTTTGTACAAATCTTGGAAGACTGAAGTAGATTCGCAGTTGGTCTCAAGTCGATACGAATATACCCCATCTGTTGCCATGATAGTTCCCACTAGTACCATGACGAAAGCGGTTGTTTCATAATGAAGACATGTAACTAATAGTAGAAATTTCTAGCACAGAAGCATGGTAAATTATTTAGCCTTTCAAGGTTGTAGGTGCCGTTTCAGTCCTCTCGAGGTTCTGATCAGGGCGGACTTCGCTTTGGGCATCGTTTGAAATTAAAGGATCGAGTGACGCCCCAAGCCTCAGCTGCATCAGATCTCCTAAATTGCCAAGCAAGCCTTGCTGATACAAAGCCTGGAGAAGGTCCAGTATGTGAGAATGGTTCTTGGATTAGACAGTCCGGAAAATGGTGGAAATGATTTCCGGATTCTCTGATCGGCTCACACTTCTCTACAGTGCCGACGAGGCCACTATCAGGACAACATGCTCGATACACTACTTCTGCATTAGAGCAAAAATCTCATGTGCGTTTTCGGAAGTATTGCGTTGATTGCTGGTTGGTTGAAATGAAAGAAAAAGACTAAATCTACTTGTGGACAAGAACGGAAGAGAGCAAGTCCTTCAAAAAATCACAAAAGTTTCCCAATACAAAAGCCAATGGCGCCAGAATATTGAACAGTGAGGAACTTCTTCTCATACCATCTCAGTTGGGACACGCCTATTTCCAACTGGTCAATTTGATCTATGCTTTGGATTCGGTTTGCATGCCGCCGATGCCCACGGGAGCGAGCTCGGCGCAGATGGCTTGTTGCTACACTATAACAGCAACTGCTGTGTGATCCATCTCAACATCTATAAGCTTCGCATTTCCTTTGAACTCTGATATATGGGAATTTACTCTTAGAATCCCGAAGAGATAATTGATCCACACCTAGTATACAGTGGACGAACCTGCATCTTCTGGGTCCATGAAGCCCTCACCATTTGCACACAGAGTAGAAAGGTCCCATTTGTAGTATTTCGATGATAGCCCATGTGAATACATGGGTATGAGCTTGCAACAAGATCATTTGATTCGCTGATATCTACTTGTTCCTTGTTTCTGTTCTGTTGATTGTTCGCTTCGTCTTTTCAGGTTTACAAAGCCTTTGCCTCGATGGATTCTTTCTTTCTTTGTTAGACCAAGTCTACACAAAGTCTTATTCCCGAATGAAAGTCCTTGGCCGGGTACAATTCGATACTCGACAAATCTCGAGCCAAGCTTCCGGTGGGTATATTCTTTCACTGGCTTCCACCTCTATCTTTAGGTCCCTTTCATCCATTCAGTAGTAAAAGGCTCTTTCTAATTTTGACTCGCATTTCTTTCTTCACCTAGGTATTGCAGCGTTCTTTCACTTAGGATATGCCATCGAAGTCTACCCTTATATAAGATCTAGTAGTTCCCTAGCAAGATATCCATAACAGCAAGCACATCATTCAAAGCACATTGGAATCACAGTAACAGCAAAACAGTAACAGTCAAACCAAATCAGCAGTATCAAAATGGCACCCACGAGATCCACACGACCTGTATCGCCCGAACGACCTGCAGCACTCGGCGCAAAAGTGAAGACCGTCAAAGGCCTGGGACCTGCAAAGGGAGCTGGCGTGGTGAAGGCCGTGAAGGCCGCTGGAGGTAAGTGGAAATCTTTATCTTTTTTGGAATAAGAGCTAATCATGTACTAGGTATAGGAGACGGAGGACGCAAACTTCGATCTGGAAAGGTGACGGCGCCGCCTGCTGGGCCTCCTCCCGGGCCACCCGCGCCCCCACCCCCGGCCCCGGCCGCAGGACAAATCAATTGGGTTCAAGGCCCGAGTCAGAGTACCATTCCTCCTGCTTTACAGAGTAGGGCGATCGCCAGTTGCCATGTCGACTTCCTGGACGAACGAAATGGGGCCAAGATAAACAACACCGCCATCAGGTTCATATTTGCAAACACACAGGGAATTGCTTCCAGACATGTTCCTGGTAATACCGTGGGCGTTATAATCAGGTTCATGCGAACCCCCGATGATGATGATCTTCCGCCATATCCAGGTGTGCTCCACTGTAGACCCATCAGCTACAACAATGAGCATCGAGATGCCGCCCATACTATTGCAGTGCCCGCCGTCACCGGCAGACTCGGAGACTTTTTGCGCGTGGTAAAGGTAAGGAGAATGCTGCCTGCTGAGTTTATTCCCCTAGACAATGATACAGTCGGTTGTCGAGATTTTACGTGAGTGCCCTCCCCTTCCAAGGATCTACATTCCATTTTGAGGACATATGCTAACATATCAATAGATCCCAGTGGATTGAACACTGCATAAATGCAAGACTCGTAGCGCCGGCTCCACCGGCCTTTTGGAATCATTTCAACTTCATTTACTTACACCAAGGTCCAGGGGGCGCTGCAGCGCCCGCGCCAATTGCCTCCGCTGTCGGACACGCTAATTACACGAACCCTGCCAGGTACGTTCGCCGGCCCATTGCTGCAATCAATTATGCCACTGCTGCAGCGATGACCGAAGGACTAGCAGTAATGCAAGCAGAAGCAGAAAGGAGAGCGACAGAAGCAAAGGCAGCAAAGGCAGCAAAGGCAACCGGAGACGGCGGAGCATGATAGAACACGCAGTACTGGGCGCCACGAGGCTTTATATGAATGAAGCTTGGAATAGGGGAGTAGTAGATGATAGGGCATCGATCTTCAAGAGAGCTTCAACATTAAAATTCGAGTAAGCAATAAATAAGTCCACGGAATTTTTGATACGTTGTGTGCTCTCTTCTCTTCCATCAAAAACCCCTGTCATGATGCCAGCATGCGAATATTTGCATCAATTCATCCTATCTATCCCCCAGAGACCCTGATAGATCCACTGTACCACTCACTATACACGCGTTAAGAACAGTGAATATGGCGACTTCCAAGCTAGAACAGGTTAAAATAGCACGGATACGCCTTAAGAGTAGCTCAGTTGGCAGAAAAAGCAGCCCTAAGATGGTGAAATTGTATGATTTTCTTTTCTTTTATTTTTTTGAAAGAAGTGGCCACTAAGCCGAGAAATCTCATGTTGGATGCGCAACAGCTAATTGCAGATACGGGACGAACGCATCGTTCGGGCATAGGGCTGTGTGCTGTGCTCTGCGGTGCTCACCTCGACCTCTTTGAGTCATTGATCAACAAACCTGGAAACACTCTTGGGATTCTTTATCACAATGTCAAAGTAGCTACATCAAAGGAATTATTCCTCGATGAAAGACTTTGTCCAAGTACAATCCGATGTCTGACAATGCATCTCATTCAAGTACCTGTATTCGTCCGCTCGCTTTCAACTCTATTCTTGGTCCCCTTTCATCGACCTGCTACCAAACTTTGAGCAAGATCTCCTTGCACAAAGGATCAAGTGATGTGTCTATTTTTACACCAGAAGCTGTTGGACGGGGACATGCTTTTGAGGCACTCGTACTCAGTATATAAGGCCGAGTCTTCCCTCTTAGGGTATTCAAAGCATCAACATTGACATTATAGCATTCGCGATAACGACAAAGGGTTCAATCAATCCAATCCAAAGTCACATAAGACATTCGAGAGAAAATCCGCAGAGCTGAAGACAGCAGCAGCACTTGACTCGAAGCGATCTCAGTTGTCAAAAAAGGTAGGAAAAACAGGTGGTATCAACATCTTTAGTAAAAAAAATGGCTGGTAAGTCGAGACAATTCCCCTTCCTCCCTGGCTCTTCATCACATTGCATTGGGGCAAATTCTAACACATACTCAGGTCAATCCAACAATAGGGAATGGTGGCACAGAGGCGAGCTTGTGCCCGTCCCTAATGGTGACTATATTACTGGGTTTGTTATCCCTGATGCCGTAATGGACAGAGCACTCGTTGAAAATTGCTATATTGAATTTCTAGAGCCCGTCGCCGGAGGAGGTTCGAACAACTGTGTGATAATCCTCATGTTTGCAGCTCCAACGACCGAATTGACCTCCGAGGTTATGGCCCCTGGCACCACAGGAGTCGTGTTGAGGTTCCACATCCCAGATCCGTCTGATCCTCACCTCGAAGGTGTCCTGAGTTGCAGGACCATACAATTCACCGGGGACCATATACGGTCTGCCTTTACTGTCCAGTTGCCCATCGTCCCTGGCTCCACAGTCCGGAGCATTGTGTCTGCCGTAGATGATCACCACATGCTTCCCGCTTGCTTTAGCCCAGCCGGGCAGTTCGTTGCTGGCTGTCGAGAGTTTACGTGAGTATTTTCTCTTTTCTTTTCAATATTTGGGCAGGACGATTGCTAACTTTCTTCGAATTAGATCTTCCTGGCTTCTGCGTCTATACGAAAGAGGAATCCTGGTTCTTGGAGGCCCTATGGTCCTTGACTGGGTAACCAATATCTTCAACTACTATTATTCGATGAATTTGAGAGGAAGACGACCCGCGCCCGTTGCGCGTCCTGTCGGCCGGGTCATGTTTTTGAATGCCAACCACGTCCCTCTCACTATTGGTAACATCGCTTATGCTCCAGCGCCAGGTCCAATGAGAAAATTAATTACAGCAACAGCACTTTTCAAAGCAGCATTGGGAGCAGTGATAGATTGTGAAACAGAGGGGAAAACAGAGACTGAAACAGAAGAGGCGATAGAAAGACTTTTAATATTGCAAGCAGCAGCTCAAAGCGCAGAGGCAGAAGCGGTAGCTGCTCAAAGAGCCAATGCCAGAGCCAGAAGAGCAGCCAGGAGAGTCCCAAGAGCCAATGCTGCCAAAAGAGCCAATGCTGCCAAAAGAGCCAATGCTGCCAAAAGAGCCAATGATGTCAAAAGAGCCAATGCTGCCAAAAGAGCCAATGCCAGAGCCAAAAGAGCCGCAGGCGGAGCATAATGGAGCAACTAACTATAGGTACACCTGGGCACTAACTATGGTAGTCTTTCAGATATGAACTTAACGCAGGTCGAGCATTGACATCTAGAGCCTTTTTTTATTATAGTGAGAATATATTTAATGAAACTGACCATTCATCTGTATATTTGATTATCGAGATCACTCGCCTCAACATGTGTATACGGAGTAGCTGGAGTGACGTAGCTTTGGGCACCGTTGGTTTACTGAGATTGGGTGAAGGGATGGGATATACTCTATGTAAACATGTATACAATTGCCAACCTTGGAATATACCTTGGACAACTTGGAAGTAGTAAATATTGTACACATCTACTAGGTAAGTAGAGTATAGTACATGCTGTTCATCACTATAGGTGCGTGTTCCCTGGTTAGCCGCCGATCGCTCAGTGGAGCCCATTTCCTTCATCCCGCCATCTCTCTCTCCCTCCCTCTACATCTCTACACATCCCATTTCTTTCCTTTCCTTGCTTGTTTGCTTTCTGTCTTGGCTTATCTTGCATCTAATCACAACTGGCCCTGGTGAGGGTGTACTGGTTCTACGTGAGTGTTGTCCGCCCCTCCCCCTCATCTCCTGGTAGGCACCACTCAAATCGCTGACCAGACCAGGAATTGATACATCTTCGCCGGATATATCGCTGCATACCAGAGTTACTGGAGGCGATTGCTGCTGTACAAAACACCCTAGTGTCCACCCTCCCTTATCTCCCCGATTGTCAACCCTGAACCTCGATTTCTCGACCTGCCAGATGTCCGGTCCGCCCTTCACGGTTCGGGCAGTCTTCGAGTATGTGTCGGAACATGATGACGACCTGAATTTCCCGATCGGTCAAATCGTGACTGTCACTGCCCTGGAGGACGACGATTGGTACTACGGGGAATACTCGGACGCCTCAGGAGCTCGACTGGAGGGCATCTTCCCGAAAAATTTCGTGGAGAAGTACGAACCTCCCGCTCCTCCTCGGCCATCTCGCCCCAGGCCAAAGAAAGAACCTGAACCGGTGCAATCTCCCGTGGAAGTGCAGGCGCAACCGGAGCCCGAAGTGCCGCCCGAGTCCCCACGACCGCAATCCCCACCTCCGAGTGCCCCTGTCGCAGAGGTAGCATCTTCTCCCCCACAGCCGGCAAGTGCACCAGCCCCCGCTCCTGTCGTTGCGCCTGCGCCTGCGCCCGCTCCTGCTCCGGTCGCCGCTGCCCCCGTTCCCGCCGCCGCTGCCCCAGTCGAGCCTATAGCCAAGGCACCGCCTTCTAAGCCGGCTCCTCCAGCCGTCGCAGAGAAGCCGTCCGGGTCCTCATTCAGAGATCGAATCGCCGCCTTCAACAAGCCCGCTGCCGCGCCGATCACACCATTCAAGCCAGGGGGCTCTCAGCCATCCTTCATCAAGAAGCCCTTTGTCGCACCACCTCCCAGCCGGGATGCCTACAAACCTCCTCCGAGAGAGCCTGCGCCTACGGTCTACAAGAGAGAGGAAGACCCGGCGGTCAAGGAACAAATCGCGCGTGACCCTCCAGTCTCCGAAAGTCGGCCGGCGCCGCCGCCAGCGCCGGCACCCGCTGTTGCCGAGGATGGCGAAGGAAACGCAGAAGACCAACCCAAGCCAACTAGCTTGAAAGACCGGATTGCACTACTCCAGAAGCAGCAGATGGAGCAAGCCCAGCGACATGCGGAAGCGGCTCAGAAGAAAGAAAAGCCAGCACGTCCGCCCCCGAGAAAGTCTATCGATGAGCCAGTTGCTGCTGCCGTCCCCGCCGCCTCAGCGCCAGAGGAAGAACGAGAGTCACCCGTTGATACATCTGCAACTGTGCGAGACCCCAGTGTGGACACATTGAGAACCAGTGCTCCTCCCCCACAGCCACCTGCGCCGTTCTCGCCTACCCAGGAAGTCACAAGCGACGCCAACGATGCCGACTACTCTGCGGCGGCTGACTCCGAAGATGCCGGTGAAACCTCGACAAGCAAAGATGACGACGAGGATCAGCCACGCCCCAGCTCCCAGCGCCGTCAGTCAACTCGGCCGGTTGAGCAGCCCACCGAGGAGCCAGAGGCTGCTGAACAAACCGATGAGGAGGAAGAGGAAGTGGACCCCGAGACCAAGCGCAGAGCGGAACTACGTGAAAGAATGGCCAAGATGAGTGGTGGTATGGGAATGATGGGTCTGTTTGGCCCACCTGCTGGAGGGATGCCTGGTATGTCCGGCCCTGGCGCTGGTGCTCGCACCAAACCCAAGGCTCCGGTCGAACCAGAGAGGAGGCCCACGGAGCCTGAAGATGAGCCCACGGAGCCTGTTAATGCTCCCCCGGTTCCCATGGTTCCCCTCCCTGGAATGAACTTGGCTACCAAACCAGTTGCCCCCACCGAGGTTGAGAAGGACGAGGAACAGGTGGCCACACCCATCACTGAGCAACATTCCGCGCGTGAGGTCCCGGACGTGGAAGACGTGGTTCACGAAGGTGCAGTGCCTCGTGCCTCTATTGATCGCCCGCCCCCAGCTCCGCCATCTCAAGGTAATATCTAATCCTGAACCAAAGGCATGGCTCCGATGTTAACCCAAACAGACCGTTCAGCGCCACCTCCACCCCCTCGGGAGACAAGACCTGTCCCAGCTGTTCCAGGCGAGGCGCCGGCTTCTCCCCCGCCAGTCCCCGGAGGTAAGTTTGAGTTCATCCTGATTTGATTCGGACCCTGACTATGATGCCCAGGCCGGCCAGTGCCCCCTCGACCAACGACTGCTGAGAATGGCGATGAGTCCGATGATGAACTCTCAGTGCACACGTCTAATTTATCTCTGAATAATCTGCCCAACTCGCCGATTGTGCCTGCACCAGCGGTTCCTGACCAAACAGACTCTCGTCGCTCCTCGACGTATGAGCCCGTCTCATCAACGGCCACGACCCCTGCTGCTGAAAAGAGAGCGAGTCGACTACCCCCGCCCATTCCAGCCAATCCACCTTTGCCGCCGTCGCAGGGTCGCGCGCCTCCACCCCCTCCCGAGCAGCCTCGTCGCCGCTCCACTGCCGACAGTCGGATGAGCGCCAATGCTCCTCCCCGACAAGCTGGAGATGATGTGGAAGGCGAAGTGACCGAGTACGATGGAGACTACGATACTGATATTGCATCCGGAGTAAAGCACAAAGATGCCTTGAAGTCACACGAACGTGACTCTAGCTTCGATGATGGTGCTATGACCGACGACCACTCTATCAAGTCTCCTCGTAGCCCTCAGGAGTCTCGTCAACCGCCATCCCTTCCTCCTGTCGCTCCCAGGGCAGTTCCGCCACTTCCTCCTAGCCAGCCACCCCGGAACCCCCGTGCGTCCATTGATACACCCCGAGGCCCCCCTCCCCCTCCGCCAAACAGAGACCCGGCTGGTGGCGAGGATGATGAGGAGTATGATCCATTTAACTACGCTGCCCCTCAACATGGCCTAGCTACATCCCCACCCCCTCCTCCTCTTGGCCGTCCGGAGGTTCCGCCTCCCTTCCCACCGCAGCAAGAAGCCGAAGAGGAATATGATGATCTGTATGACGCTCCCCCGGCAGCAAATGAGCGAACGTCTATCTCGCATGAGAAGCGGCTCTCGCTGGCACCACCACTGCCTCCTCAAACCCAGGCTCCGGCCCTGCCATCCCCATCTGCAGCCCGAAGCCAGCGTGCATCAATGGACCTTCTAAGAGGGCCTTCCAACGTTCGTCGGTCCATGGATGTGTCACGCCCCTCGGTTGATCAAGGATATATCGCAGCCGATACTGATCTCGCTGAATACACTCTCTGGTGGACCCAGCCCAACACTCCTCCCCCTGCCTTCCAAAACCGCAACGATCTTCTATTCGAGGTTGAGGAGTCGGCTTCCACCAAGCGAGGCGGGAAGACAACTGTCTCAAAGGATGTCTATGTCCTTTTCCTGGACTACTCCCAAACAGTTGTGACGGTTCAATTTGACTCCAGAAACCCCGCCGACGCTTCCTTCGAGCAGCGCCATGAGCCCCCACCTCTTCAGCCTCGTCAGGATCAGCTTGAGCAAGCCCACATCCAGCTCGGAACCCGAATCTTCGAAGCTGTCAACTCGGTTCAGAACTCCACCGTTGGTGATGGAACTCCGTTCGGACTGATCCAGTACCTTCTCAACCCCCTGGCCGAAGCCTTGCTTCCTGTCGGTACCCGAGGCTACGGCGCTTTGGTCTACTCCAACCTGGCGAACGCGTCGGTGTCTCAGAACGATGAGATCCGTGCTGGCGACATTGTCAGCTTCCGCAACGCCCGGTTCCAAGGCCACCGGGGCACCATGCACCAGAAGTACAGCGCCGAGGTTGGCAAGCCCGACCACGTGGGTGTCGTGGTGGATTGGGATGGCACGAAGAAGAAGATCCGAGCCTGGGAGCAGGGCCGTGAAAGCAAGAAGGTCAAGATGGAGAGCTTCAAGCTCAACGACCTTCGCAGTGGCGAGTGCAAGGTCTGGCGACCGATGCCCCGTAGCTGGGTCGGCTGGGAATCCAGCAAGTAGTGATTATGTCTTGAGCGTTGTCTTGCCTTATTCGCGGACACAGTTTTCTTTTGTCATTATTTTTTTTTTCCTTCCTAGATTGGGTGGGCTCATGTATGAATGAAAAGGAGTCTCCTTTCTCCCATGTTCTCTATATTCTTTTGTTCCCTGCCTGAGCTGCTGTGGATTCGGTGATGTGTTAATGTGAGGTGATTTTGATTTCCGAGCATCCGGCTTTGACTCTTTGGTTCGTCGCTTTGCATTTTACCCTCAGACTTTTACGAAGTAGATATTATGGAATTCTTCGCGTTTGCGTCTCAACACAGGTTCGATAGCATGCGGTCTCACAATGCGAAAGATGACAAGCTGTCATCCAGAGTGTGCTTACTGCCAATTAAGACACCGGTCAACAGACTCTCAATAATTGGGCGACCATCCTTATGCAATTGCCCTGCCCAACACACGATCTAAATCGCAAATTAGGGCTGACAGTCAAGAAAAAAAGGCCAACTAATGCCACGTTCTAGAATCCAGCGCCCGGTCTGAGATAAATTAAAAACACAACAAAGTCTAATGAGAGAACGAGGCGACGTACTAACGCGAGTAGAAACCCATTAGGATTAACGGATCAACCACGACGATACAAACTCCACCGCGAACAATTTTCACATCCAAACTCAAATCGCCCTGCGAAGTTCCAAGTTCGGAACATTGAGAAACTCACGATCCCACAGTCCAACGGCTCTCGCCAATTCGGGGCGCTGAAACACCGGACTGAGAGGGGAACCCACTTGAGAACGAGGGCTGGGGGCAGCGCCCCCGGTCTCAGCAACCCCTCATTTTAACAAATTTCACCGGTGGATTGGGGCTAAGGATGCTCCAATGATGGGTCCTTGTTTCGTCAAGGTTCATTTCGTTCGGTTTTCGTGTTCGGTTCTAGGATCGAGACCCGGCTCCGGTAGCTACGATCGGATCGTCGAGGTGCGTATCGGATTTGCAAGGATTTTCATGGTTCTCTACTGTGCCGGTGTTCCAGTGCACGGAGCGAGTGTTGTTCTGCTCTCGTATAGGAGTTCGGAGGACTCCCTGTAGAGGAGTCACCGAGAATCGCCCAGGTAATTGGGTTAGGATGCAGACTGGATACGGGAATCCGGATTATTAGACTTGCAGGGATTTGAGCCTAGTGATGTGATTCAATCTTTGGTGTTACGGAGTATAGTACAGTACATCATGGATATAGTGCCCAGGTGGGCTATCATACTGATCGACCTCGTGCTATATAGATCTATCTCCGTATAGTACATACTCCATATACTCCGTACATGCATATATGTGAACATGACATCAAATGGTGACATCAAAGCAATATGGCCAGAATAAATCCCTTGAGATTAGCTTCCCAATTGGCACTAGTCAGGGGTACTAGCGATACCAAGGAGTCACTAAGCGATTTAAATTTTTAGTTCCTTTCCCGACGGAGCAGGTCTTCCGCTAGAAACTCCCAGAGCCCCAACGGCTGTCACACGCTGCCTCACGGAGTCTCAACTGTAGTCGGCACTGCACCGTTCCATGATCTCATGGTCTCCACTGAGTCGGGAAATATAGATGTTGTTTTGAACCTTCAATTGCCATTCCCCGTTATGGGGCGCAGGAAATTGCCCAAACAATAATGGGTAGCCTCATCTTTGACTGCGTCACACCATTGTCCTGCACGATGCAGGAGGCGCTGCAGAGTCGGACAATTGATGATAGCCGAGCCTTGGCTTATTTTTGGATACCTGCAAGTCATTGGAATCCCAGCCATTGTTAATATATTGTTCGTGGAAGTCCGGGACAGGGTGCAGATTGTGATCGGGACGGATCTACTCCATGTAGATTGGATACATATGCCGTAAGGAGGTCAATAGTTTAGTACGGACGTATTACCCTATGTCTATGCTTCTGACATCAGAACCGAGGCCGTCTAAGCGTCCAGCAGAAAAAAAATTCTGTTGAATGAAGTAATGAAGCGACGATCCTGTTTCCCGTGTCCAGGCCCTCGGGAACCCTTGGGGTCCAGGAATTTCGATACTCGCGAGACTAACTCCAAAGTATTAGTACGGAGTGGTAATACATTCTCTGAATGGTGGCGTTCAGCCCCAGATTCTCAGAGGCAAAAGACAAGAGGGGCAAAGAGGCGATGTGATGCATACTCTATTACTATGCATTATACTTGAAGCAAGGGGAAAAAACAATACCGGTAATCTATGAATCCGGAGGGGGGAATTCGGATATTTTAGTAGGGTAAATTAAGCTCGTACGGTACCATACCAGATTCCACAAATAAACAAAAGACAACGGAGCTGCGACTCGATAGAGGCGAGATGAAGATGGAGCTCCTTAAGATTCGAAGCAACGGGGACTAGCACTGGTACTTAATATCTTGATCGAACGGTGGACACCAGACGATCACTTTTTTTTTCTTGGTAATACGAGTAGTGTGTACTAGAGGTCTGGATCCATTCCAAATATCTGTCTCGACATTCTTCACGTCACTGTCTTTACTCCTATTCTCACTCTCTTTTCTCTCGTGTGATCTATCACCTCTCCATCGACGACTCCGTACGCCGTATTTACCACCTCAGGGGACACTTTCTCTCTGGTCATGCCGCTCTCTTACTCTGGATAAGCACATCCAGTGAGTCTTGCCCTCTCTGCGAGGGAAGTACGAACTGACCCGCCAAGTTATTACACTCGTTCAACGCTTCGATAACCGGAACCCACGACAGGCATGATGAACCGATTCCGCAAGAACAAGAAGGCTAAGGAGCCGGACAATGTGGAGGAGTCACCAGCATTCACTTTAATCCCCAAAAAGAAGGAGGCCTCGCCGGAACCCGCCCCCGATTTCGACCTCTCCGCCGCACTCCCCTCCTCAGATAACTTTCGCACAAGTCTGTTAATGCCCAAATTGTCCGCTCGATTTAGTATGTTAAAGGAGCAAGACGACCCGGAGTCATTGATTGGAAAGGCCAGCGATGACAGCGTCTTGTTCCCCAAGCGGGCCTCGCGACTCAATTTATTCGGACATAACCCGGCCATGCTGGCAGATATCGAGGAAACGTCCTCCAATGATGGCAGCAGACCGTCCATGGCCCTCGGCCGGACCGATTCCTTTGCTTCTGGTGGAGAAGGATACGGCACCGATGACGACCGATCCCAAGCGGGGAGCATAATGAGTCGCGCGCGCCGAGTGGAGGGCAATAATTTGTTTGGTGGCCGCCAGAAGATATACAAAATCCCCGTCAGAGCCTCAGAGGCAACACCCGACACAGAGGCCGGCCGACGGGGAATGGGAAAAGCGGTCTACGAGCACGATACCAATATGTCAGCATTCCAACGACTACGACTGAAGGAGAAGGAAGAGCGAGCGGAGATGGCGCGCGAGGCGGCTGCCAGAGAATCAGGGTATGCGGCGTCGACGGCCTCATCCAATATGAGCAAAGTAACGACCTCCTCCTCCACGGCATCTGGGCCACCGACAGCTGGAAGCATATCGACTGCGCCTACTTCGGTGGACGAGTCCCCATTAAATGCGTCGCAGGGACCCGCAAATGGATATCCATTCCCAGAGACTCAGTCCGAAGCCCCTCGCTCGGGGTCTGCTATGTCTGCGCCGCGAAACGGTTCCCTTCGCAGTCGCCGCCTATATGGACAAGGCTTGACTCAGGCAGCCCAAAACCAGCAATCCTCGACCCTGCACCGCTTGGAGAGTTTGAGTCGTCAACGCGCCGGTACTCCGGACCTGCCATCCTTGAACCGCAACTACTCCCGGAGCGCGACAAACCTTCGTGATCGCTTGCAAAAACTCGCCATTGCTGAGCCGGCCTCAGCATCTGGCCCTACGAGTCCTCCTTCGTCCGCGACGTCTCCCAAGCCCCGTGTTTCTGGGGAGTCTGCATTCCGAGACCGCCTGTCCCCTACTGCAGCTACCTTTGGAGCTACGCCTCCCTTGAGCCCACCAACCAGCGAGAATGACGATGTGACTTCGCTTTTGGCTGCTTCGATTCATCCTGAGGACCATGGCAAGGCCACCGCTATGGGCTTGTTCAATCGACCCGCAACCGGTTTCGACGAGCAAGCGTTCTCCCGACGCCAATTGGAGATGCACCAGGGCAGAGAGACCCCTCCGCCCCGTCGTTCATCGCCTCCGCGACGACCCATTCCGGCCGAGCCTGCCACTCGAGCAAGAGGTCTCTCCAAGTCCAGCTATCGCTCCCGAGCAGAGTCCGGCTCCTCACACTACAGCAGTGATGCGCAACGGGGAAATCGCTCTCGCGCCTCGAGCATTGAGCCTTCCCCCTTCAGACCTGCGGTAACTAGCTTCTATGCTGCCTCGATCAACAGTGAGTCTGGGGATGAGGGACTCCAGCGCGAGTTCCCATCTGAAACATCCCTGGCGACGGAAAAGGGCCACTCGCTTCACCAAGGCGTAGCATCTTACGAACCCCCGACTCCGCCTAAAGAGCACCTCGAACCACTGCCGGAGGTGAGATACTCCGATCTCGGAGATCTCAAGCCAATCGATGAGAATGAACTTGATGCGGCTTCGCGTGATGTTCAAGATGACACTCCTAAGAGACCCGATTCCCCGACTCTCAACCCCGACCTCGGTCTCGGTGGCATGGGTGGAATGGTTCGATCCCATCTGCGCCAGCAGAGTGATAAGTCGTCTGTCTTTACACCTCCCTCGCCCCGTGTTTCCTTGCATAAGGATATGCCCATCCCGACTATCGAGACTGAGCCACTGTCCCTTCAAAGCTTCCAACCCGCGCAGGCACAGTCCCACCAAGAGACTAGACCTGCTTCAGCTCATCGCCCCGGCACAGCTGGATCGCTGGCCCCTTCCACAAACTCTGCGGGACGTTCTCGATCTAGTGAAGACTCTTCTGCACATGGCACCACTGCCGATAATGCGTCTACTACACGTTCATCATGGCGGGACGAGCTTGAACGCCACCATCGTCGCCAAGGCAGTACCGAAACCCAGCGAGAGCGAGAAGAGTTTGCCATTGAGTTGGCCGAAAGACGCAGAAAAGTGCAGGAAAAGCTGCGCAGCGTCGCTGAGAGCGAGAGCCGATCGGGCAGTCCGACTCCAGGCCGTTCCACTCCGGACTTCTCTCGGACCGGTAACGCATTTGCTATGCTGAAGCAGAAGTCTACTAAGCTGGCTGGCGCGAAGCCTGACCACAGAAAAATCTTTGGTTATGCAACTGAGAACTCTTCCACCCCTGCTCTTCCCTCGGACGACTCTTGGCGCCAGGAGGAGCGTCCCTCTTTCGGCTTTGGTCGTCACTCGAATTCAAGCTCTCCCCATGTTGGATCTGAGCGCTCGCTTCGATCTCGTATGCCATCCCTTACTCGAAACAACAGCCAAGAAGACTCCCGCGAATCAAGCCGCAGTCGCACTAGCTCTCCTTTCCGATCCCAGCGAGACCGTGCCGGCTCTGATGCTTCTGGCCGCTCGAAGAGTCGGACTAGACTCCGCGAGCGTGATGATCTTCAGACCGTGGATGAAGGCTCGGTTGTGGGACATGGTAGATTCGGCGGCCCTGACGGCTCTGAGCCCCCAATGCCTATCTCGCGCCCTGGCTCCACTCGCCCATCAGTCGAGATGGGTGAGCCTCTGAATTTCGAACGTGCTCCCTCTACTTCGTCTAGCAGAAACCGCAGCACCAGTCGATCCGGCACTCCGGGCTTCCAGTACGAACGGCCATACCAGTTCTCCCAATCCAACACATCCTCCATCATTGGTGCTTCCCCTCGCCCACCACCTGCTGCTCCGGCATACGTCGCCAACGCTACACCTCCATTGAACGAAGTGGCCCCAGACGCCTCAACGGTCTCTCTCGCCTCTGTCGCTAGCAACGCCTCGACCATTCCTCAGCGTGGCCCCGGACACGGCTCCCTTCTCAAGCGACCCGTGAACAAGAAGCAAATCTCCGAGCCAACCTTCGTTTCATCCACATCCAATGTTCCCCTCGTTGGCCTTCCTCCAGCAAACAACCAATCCTCCGGCTCCGCACCCCCAGTACCACCAATGAACCCCCGCCGCCGACGCGGAACAGCCACTCAGACCATCCTGAGTGCGTTCAAGCACGACAAAGCCGAATCCCGCGCTGCGTCTCCGGCACCCACCATGCCCGAAGATCATCCAATCTTCTCGGATGAGGAAAAACGCCCTCAATCCCGTAACCGCCTTCGCAAAATGTCCAGTGAAGGCAGCAACCTGCACGCGCGGGCGCGTCAGGAGTCAAACCCCGGTAACCCTCCGGCCATTCCTCACTACCCTCCTCCTTCTATTCCTGTTGATGGAGGAATGTTCTAATACACTTGCATTCCGACTGGCCTTCTTGGCCCTGAACTCCTACTTTCGCTACTCCCTTACTCCCTTTTCTACCTCTCTTGTCTTCACACTTCCCTTTCTGGGCTTTCTACTTTCTGTCGGTTTGATTTGTTTGCCTTGTTGACGATTAGATACCACTCGGTGCATTTGAGCGTCTTCTATCCTATCTTTTTTCCCTTTTCCTTGTCTGTTTGTGTTCAGGATATCAAAATCTTTGTCGGTGTATGTAGTCTAGGTCTACTTGTGAATCTACAGGATACATAATTATTTCTCAGTCTCACCTCAGTATCACCTAGTACGCCTCACCTGGGCATACAGTGTACAACACCTTGGCCAGCGAAAATCTGCAATTGGGAAGCCTCAACCAGCTTGTCAAGAATAGTACAGTATTTGATCACTAGAGAAATCGGGCTTTCCGCCGAATGATCAGGTTGGAACATGAGGAGAGAAGAATATGCATGTTGGTATACCATCTTAGGAGATTTTGATTCATTAGTGGAGTTGTGTACTAAATTGATACAGATTTATAGAGTGGAGTGTCGATAGACCGTCAGAAACCAGACTCTACCGATCTAAGGCTTGCGCTTGACACTGTAAACGTCCAAGGTTAGCAATCCAGCCAAAATGCAACACGAAACAAAACTTACCATCTGCCAATAAGGACCTTTGTTACGCAGCAATTCATGATGAGAGCCCTTCTCAAGAATCTTCGACCCCTGCCCTCTCGCCCCTTCACCAAAAACAAAAATGACATCTGCCTTTTGGATAGTCGCCAATCGATGCGCAACAGCAATAATAGTCATATTCTTCTTCCCCGCCAAACGCTCCATAGCCTCCTGGACCAATTTCTCAGAATGTGAATCCAGACTCGACGTAGCTTCATCAAGGAGGAGAAGAAGTGGTTTCCGAATCAGCGCGCGGGCAATGCACAGTCGCTGCTTCTGACCACCGCTGAGTGAAGTCTGGGCATTGACGCCTAGTTCGGTGAGGTATCCGTCCGGGAGGGAAGTGATGAAGTCGTGGATTTCGGCATCTTTGCATGCTTGAATCATGCGTTCTTCTGTTCCTGAATCTTCGTTGTCTTCGATGCCGAGGAGGAGATTGTCTCGGATACTGCCTTCGAATAACTTTGGTTCTTGCGCGACTAGAGACAAGGCTCTTCTGTAGGATGCCTTTTGGATAGATGATATGTCTTGTCCTCCGAAGAGAATGCTACCGGCGGTGGGATCGTAGAATCTTTCCAAGAGGGAAATGACCGTGGACTTACCGCAGCCGGAGGGACCGACGAAGGCGACGAACTGGCCGCTGTCGATGGAAATGTTGAGGTCGGCAAACGTGGTCAGATTGCGGGATTGATAGCTGAATGAGACGCCGCGGAGCTCGACCGAAGGACGAAGGTCCCGTGGCATAGGCGCAGCAGTTGAGCTTTCAAGCTGGCCTTCGGAGGGAATTCGGGAGGTGAGCATTCGGTTTGCGGAGGCTTTGGCTTGTGCTACGTTAGGACCGAAGGAGAGGAATTGGCCGGCTGCCTGGCCACCCTGAATAATGGCGATGTAGACGACGAAGAACGCCACCGGGTCATATTCACGCGATGCGAGGAGCTGTCCTCCGTACCTGTGTTTGAGGATTGTTTAGCTTGCGATTGACATGGAGGGATAGAGCTAGGAATCTCAAATTTACCAGAAGGTGAGTGCCATAGCACAGAGTTCGACGCTGTCGGAGAAAGCGAAGACCAAGGTCGCGTACCAGGATTTTCGGAACGCCTTTGATCTCTGCTCTTTCAGTAGACCCGAGTATCGATCGATGATTGTCGTCTCCATTGTGAGAGCAGAAACTGTGCGGAATGCCCTGATGGCCTCAGTCGCGAACTTGGAGCTATCCGCATACACTTCGGCGTTCATCGACTCGAAATGAGTCTCGTAGCGTAGTCGCATGAAAGCAGCGAAGAGAATGAATGGCATTGCCCCGAAGAATGTCACTGCTGCTAGCTTCCATCCAAATGAAAACGAGATAGCCACACACCCGATGACATTGAAGATGGATATGAGTGGGAACACTCCCATGGGACCTAGAAGATCCTGTATCTGCTTTGGATCTAGGGTGAGACGTGAAATCAATGTTCCTGAAGAATTCTCCTCGCGGTCATAGAATGAGACGGGCTTTTTCAGAGTGTTCGCGAAATACTCTTTGCGATAAGTCGATCCAACATGCTATTGGTTATTAGCGTTAGAAACACGCGAAATGGTATGTTTGACGCATTCTTGACATACCATAGACATCGTGTTGGCAGACGTGCCCAACAGAAAGTAGAAAGTAGCCATAGCAATGGCGAGAACGAAGAACATCAAGGCCCAGAAATTGGCCTGTTGTACCAGTTTCTGGCCCGTGAATTGGAAAACCTGGATCAGCTGAGCAAAAAGCCAACTTTGCAATGCATAGCCAGCTTCAATATTCCATTAGCCGTCGGTATTCGCGACTCGTTGCCTTGCTGGAATCGAGAACTTACATCCTGCCCCAATGGCAGAGACAAGTGTCAGCATATAAAGAATCCAGTGACCGCGGTGTTCATAAAGCACAAGGCCCAAGCTAAGTGTCAGGCCCTTGGCCTTTGTCTTCGTGGGTGTCTGTGATTCCTCTTCTTTCTCTCCGTCTTCATCGACGGGGTAGTCATGAGGTTGGATTTCCTCCTTCTGGGATATGACCAATTCTTCCGCCCCGTCGTCTGAGGCGTTATCAAGTGGCTCCAGTTGCTGGGCATTCACTAGACTGTGGTATATGGCACCTTGAAGCATCAATTCTTGATGAGACCCTTGTTCCACACACACTCCTTCCTTCATGACAACGATGTTGTCCGCTCTGCGAACCGTTGACAATCGATGGGCAATCATGATCGTGGTCCGGTCTTTGGAAACCCGATCCAGTGCAGCCTGTACAACCTTTTCTCCTCGCACGTCGATTGAGCTTGTCGCTTCGTCAAGTACCAGTATGGGAGGTTTGCCAACAATGCTTCGAGCAATGGCAAGTCTCTGGCGTTGCCCTCCACTCAGAGTGATTCCACCTTCGCCGACCATTGTAGAGTACCCCTACACTCATGTTAGTTGGGATATCTTTACCGGGAATTGACAAGGATTAGGAGAAAGGAAGGGTAGCGCACATCGGGTAACCGTTCTATGAACTCATCTGCATATGCCTCTTTACAAGCCGTGCTCACGAGCTCAAGCTTTGTGGCGTCGGACTCATTTTCCCATTGAGATCCGATCAAGCCATATGACACATTCTGAAAGATGGAATCGTTGAAGAGGAACGGTTCTTGCTGGACCAGGCCGACTTGGGACCGCCACCATCTCACATCCAGCTCATTGATATTGTGACCATCAACAAGAATTTGTCCTTTCGTCGTCTCACTCGTATCCTTCCCCGATGCGTCAATTCGATACCATCTCTCAATCAATGCGACTATGGTGCTTTTTCCAGACCCCGATGGCCCAACCAGCGCTGTCGTCTTCCCACGCGGGAAGCACGCACTGAACCCCTTCAGAACGCGAGTATCTGGGCGAGTGGGATATGCGAACGAGATGTTATCGAACACTATATCTGCCTGACTGGTGACCTCAGGGTCACGTAGACCGTCTAGCGGCGCTGGTTCCGAGTCGATCACACCAAAGAATGCCCCAGATGCACTGATTGCTTTTGAGATTGCCATCAATGGCGAGGCAATCCCACCCATGACCGTGACAACTAGCAAGACAGAGAAAAACACCCTAAGGAAATGTCAGAAACGACGGTAAAGGGGGGAAATGAAGTCCTACGTGATCACCGTATTGATGTTGGCAATGTGCCCTTCCCGGTAAAGCTTCAGTCCATACCAGAACGCCAGCGCGAAGCTGACATACATCGCGAAGAACAGGGTCGCGAGATGTGTACCCGTGACAAGTGACATGCCTAGACCGCGTCTGCGGGCCTCCTCGATCCAATGTGAGTGCTTTTTGGTCAGAGAAGCTTCGGCACCCAGTGAGAACACCGTGCGGATGGACCCGAAAGCGTCTGCAGCAATAGACGCATGCTTGTTATCTGCTTGGTCAACGTGCTGTTGACCTTTGATGAGAAGGGGTACTGTCAAACAGAAGCAAATCACAACGAAGAGGATTGCGGAGCTCACGACGAGCGTCAGCGCCCACGAATAACGGAATGCGATGGCGTATGCCGCGATTAGTAGGGCGATTGATTGGAAGAGAATGGCAAGACGGTCTGAAACACTTTGCTGGATTGTGTTCGACTGTGCTGTGATGGCGTTACTCACGGTGCCGACGGAGATTTCGTCTATTTTGCTGACGGGCAATGAGAACAGCGACCGGGTATATTCGAGTCGCAAAGATGCCGAGGCGAAGAGGCTGATTATTCGGAAACATATCTTTGGAACCATGAGCCTAACCCCGTGTTTATCACTCTATAGTGATAGACTTACCATGGCAATGTAGGTCAACACAAACTTGCCGATGAACAAGTACACGATGTACAAGCTGCGGGGGAGTTAGCCTCAAGTCTCAACTGCACCGGAGACTTTGAAGCCCACCTGCTTTTATTGATAGATGACTTGAAGGTGTGCTCATTCAAAGGTGTGTCTGGTAAGGAATATGAGTTGAAATCCCCTACGATCTTACCGAAGATGATGTTCATCAAAGGGAGCGCCTGGAACAGTCAGTCGCCTGATTCCAATTCAAGCTGTCTGATACGCCTACAATTCCCGATCCCATCGCGCATATCGTGCCCACGATCATGGCGAAGATGCCACCGTTCCTCGCGCCATAGGAGAGGATTCTCTATTGACTCGTCAGCATCCTCTAGAACCCGGTGACCCCGCGACCGCACAGCATGAGAACCTATTGACCTACCAAGTAAGTAGACAGTGAAGCAGGCTGGACAGGCTCCTTTGGTTCTTTGTCGATGGAAATATTGCACTCATCAGGCTGGTCGACCCGGCTCTCGCCAGAGAGAGCCGTTTCTCGAGTTTCCACTGGAGAAGACGAAGTCATCCTTCAATCAAAACAGTCGAGAGTATTGGATGAGGTGCATCGCTAGCACGAATTATCTGTGACAAAGGAGGTGAGAAGAGGTGAGAACTAAAAGCCAAGTATTACGAAGTCCTAGGCAGAACCCTTGGAATCGACAGAGAATGAGTCAAGCGGTGATTGGCTCAGAGGGGTCGATCTGACCTGCCGTTGAAAGGGCCACATATAAGTGTTGCGTTTTGCAGAGATCAAAATACGACGTCGCGACGTAGAGCCTCGTTGGGTAATCGATCTCCACTTCGTATTCCCCGTGGTTTTGCCCCTTTTGGCGTTCGGACGGTATACTTCGCTGCTTGACTTTTTTGGCTTTCTAGAGTAGCTATTTGCGTATGAAATGCACCGGTTCACAAGTATTCCCATGTACTACAGATCCCACAGAGCACGAAGTACTTGTATGTCGTTCATTGTCCATTCATTTGATGGCGTGATGTCATTGGTCGGCTCGTATACCATGAGCCCCTGATGGAGTTCTTGAGAGCATCTAGGCGAGATGATCGTGTATTCACAACGAAGACACCCTATTTATTCCAGATGATTTCAGGGTATCATATTTCAAAGGAATAAAACCCAAGTTTCTGACAATAGACATCCTCACCCGTTCAAGGTTTGTCTGCGGGATGATTGATGGCCCAAACATCGATGGTCATCCTGGCTGGAAAACCTTGAAGTTGTCGCTCGAATTCTGCTCGCGGCATAAGTAGACATTATATCATGTTCTTGATGCAGCAAAGTGAATATGTATTCCAAGTATGTTTTGTGCTACTATATATATGGATGGCACCCCGTTTTCCTAAAGCGGTTGTATGGACCGCCCGCGAATCAACAAAATCATGTGGGTCGTTAGGATGAGCAGGGTCCGTCCGTGAGTCAATGCCAACTGGAAAATTATATATCGACTTGTGCAACCCAGTCATGAGGACCGAGAAATGAATTAAAGCATAACCAGACCCATATGCAATATAGAAAAAGAGATTTGCTCTCCTGCTCGTGAAAACATCGCACATTAGTGAAGCAAGGAACAAAACTTAAGAAATGCAAAATCGCTGAAAATGGTACTCTTGACAGATAGCGACAAGATCAACCAACAGCCTCTTGCGTCCGCTATACTTCAAAAGAGCCTCTGGCCTTTCGCATTCCTGCCGCTTTTCCACTGGAGCCATATATCTTCAGCTAAAGTGCTAGACAGGCCAAGGCAAGGCCCACTAATGGGAATACTGACATCGAACGTGATCCCACGGCTCCATTGAAAGCTGGCGATGGGCTAGGCGAAGAAGTGGGCGAAGAAGTACCCGAGATCGCGGCACTGGTCGCAGTGCCCGATGTGGTGCCATTTTTGTATTGTCCAACAACATACTGGATCACCTCCTTGCCATAGTGCTGAATGTACCGGCCGTGGGCTGTAGCGTTAACAAATGAGCCCACGTCGCAGAATGGGTCGCCGGCGTCACAGTAGGCCCGGATCCGACTGCCCAGTGCTTCACAGGCGCTATTATCATGGCGATAGAACATGCCATTGCCGGAGTTGTTCCAGGTGCCGTAGTTGTAGGAAGTGTCGTTCCTTTGTGATGGGTCACCGAAGAGCACGACCGAAATTACTAATGAATAGGTGAGTGCATACCCGGATTGATTGATTTGGTTTATACAGACCATTCTTAGTGACCTCTTTGGGCAAGGGCTGAGATAGCACGACCAGCTCCTTCAATGTGGCAGCATCATAGGTTACATTGCCTTCTGTTTCAACGCCCCAGACCACTGGCATTCCGCAGAAGTTGTTGCTGGTTATTTGAGCGCCCTGCATCGAATCATTAGCTTCTGTCGTAGATGACTATGATGGAATTGCCCACCTGGGAATATCCGAACCACGCCATTTTTGAATCTGGACATCCTTTAGCGTACTCAGTAATCGTTTTCCGTATAAGTTTGGTGCCATTCGTGACAGATGAGGCGTAAACAGGATTGTCCCAGCTGGCAGGGTAGAGAATTGGTTCGATGTCAGATCCATCGATCTGATCAGCGATCTGGTCAACTAGCACTTTAGTAGCCCCAGGCCCCATTTCTTCTCCAGTTCCACGAGAAACGAAGATCTTCAACCCTTTTGCACATTCCACAGTCGAATTATCGGCAGATACAGCGACCGCACCGATAATTGCGGCCACTGTCATTGAATATAAGCCCCGCATGACTGAAAAGATATACAGAGGCAGTGCAAAACAGGATTATCATGCACAGACTCGACGAAGAATGAGACTTCTAAAGCAAGATAACATGCATGGGCTTTCTTGCTTTTTGTACTCGCCACAATTTGGCCCCCTGCAGCTGGAATCAATGCCCGATTCCCCATGGGACGCCAAGGGCGTCTGCCTACGGGCTCTAGCGCGGGGTCCGCGAATTGCTGGATCTGGCACCACGATGCGCTGTTAAGTTTGTGCAGTAGCGCTGACCAGCCCATGCATCAGCCATGGCAACAACACGACGCCAAGGGAGGGCCAAGACCGGGGTTTCCGCAAGCCTCATATTTTGCGTCATAGGCTGAGAAAGGGACAGTTATAGCTCAGTTGCGCGGGTAGACCGCGCCCGATTCTCATAATAGTATCGCCAAGGGCCAAGCTCTGACGCCTCAAAACCGGCTGGCAGTGGTGCCGAGCTCGTATACCAGGCCCACCATGTATGTTGGCCTTGGGCAACTAGGCATAATGTCAGTTATGGACTCACCGCGACTTTTGGATCGGCCCCCAGAACTGTGAGACAGATCTTATGGGCAGGTCCCCAGCCGAACTAGCCGAAAGGCGAGACACAATCTCGCCCACGTGCAACTGCTTTGACACTCGAAGCTGAAATGGTAGATCATGCAAGGGGTACTCCTCTAACGAACCCCGCATGTATGAGCAAAAATGGTGGCAACATTTGCCCATGTGCCTTTCAAGGTTGCATTGGTACGGCTTCAAGAGTCATTCGCGAATGACTGTAGCTATGTTCTGGCTTGCTCGCCGCAGAATCTTCGGACCGAAACAAAATGAGACGGACTACTGGGCTCATAGGCCCAGGTCTGGAGAGGCATAGCTGGTTTGAGAGAGGAGAGAGGAGAGAGGAGAGAAACGGGAGAGAGCTAGATTTAGCGACTCGAAAACACATGTGGAATATATTCGCAAAAAGCCCTAAAATGTGGATTCGAATGGATATATGTTGGCTTGGAAGATTTAGTTCGTAGATCCGTTCCGTTAACTGACTCAATGGTCTCTTTAGCTTCAAGTCCATTGAAGCTATTTCTAGGTTGCAATTATGGATCTAGAGCTGAGTTCTATATCCTTCAATACCTACCTAGGTAGCCTTACAGGGAGATAAGCATTTACTAGGTACCTTATTGCCGCTTGCGACAGGGCTCGGGGGTAAATACTTGCCTAGGTGACTATGGGTTTGCATTTTGCTGGCATCTGTGCATCTTCGATAAACTTCCAAGTTCGATGAAAAGTGAAATCCACGCCGTCCACGGGTCGTGCCTATGCCCAAATCAGCAACCTAATCCGGGTCCCCTGCCGAATGTCTCTTTACTCTCAACCTCGGAACTAGTTGAAAATTCACCCACTCTATCCCAATGCTTGCGCGATCAGATATCTTCCAAGACTCCATGATTGCTTCCGGTATTTGAGCACATTCGGCATCGTCGGTCTCACCCTCTTGTTCTGGAGGTACCTCCATTGGGCTTGTGAGCTGTTCGCGCAACAACTCGGCAGGCGGAGGGGTAACACCATACTCTCTGACTATCTATACTTCCGATTAAGCAGGATTACGGTTGGAGGGAAGAAGAGAAAGAAAGAAGGTTCCCCTTTACGAAAGGAGTCTCCCGAGTCATATATCTCTCTCCGAGGTCCATCCCGAGTTCATTCATCCCGAGTGCATCTTCATCGTATCTGGATTCTCACTATGGTTTTACTTCAGTTCCCGGAATATTCAGTTCCGCGTTCGTGCGGTCCAAGGACCTCCCTGGTGTTCCATCATACATGACAGCTGGGATCGTTTGCCAAAAACACGAATGACTACCGAAGTGTGGGGTTTGTCACATCTCGAGATTGAGAGCCACTCGCGCTATTCCCAGGTCCGTGTAAGATCGCCTTACAGATCCCTCTTGGGCAAAGTTCTACCACTTCTCTATCCTTTGAGGTTTGTTTGCACCAGGGCACTGGCCTGGTGCTACTAGGTACGACATATTTGTCCCCTCCGCCGAGCCCCTATCTCCAATAACGATCAGTCCAGTCCTTCTCGAAGTGATCCCCATCTTGAACGATGATCAGTTCACTGTCAATCGAGTCAATATCGGATTATCCCTGTCTTCACCAACGGTCAATTCAATCCTTCTTCAAGTTGTCCCTATCTCCAACCGCTGTCAGCCCTGTACCTCAATCGTGACCACCATCGAAGTGGCTGTTACTGGTACACCCTTGCTACCGGCAACGTTCAAACTTCAAGCCATATCGAAATATTCCCGAGCTTCGGCTAGCATTCATTCTATCCTTCCCGGCATGGTATGGTCTTCGATCATGTTCAAGTCTCAACCCGATCCGACTTCCTGCCTGTGCCTGGTACGATTTTGCTACCAACGACGGCCGAGTCCCGATCCAGGTTCTTCTGATACGGGTCAAGCGATGACCAGCTCGTCTAATCATGGGCGACTAGTCGGATCCTCAGCTTGTCCCATGATGGTTAACTGGTCAAATGTGCGTCTCAAACGGCGACCAAGCTCGGAGTCCGAATGCTCACTTCCGCCTGATCAAGTCGAAAGAAACACCATCTAGGCTCTGGAAAACGGTGCATATGGATGTGAGTGGACGGGCGGTGATCGAGATTATGTCATGGGCGTAAAGCGGCGACATCTGGACCTCGGGACGATTCAAGCAGCAAGGGAGGTGGACGAAAGGGGAAAGGCAGACAACTGAGCTATCAGATGCGCAGAGTACGTGCTAGTAGTATTTGGAATTTCTAAAGATGAGCACCTTAGAACCCACTCGATTTGCCCCTAACGCAGGTCTCTTGGAAAAATGCTCCTTGACGATTGCGATGCAGCCCAATGGGCGTGGGGTTCGGGCTCTCCAGTGGCTCTAGTCTGACAGGGATCCCTCGGGGGTGCCGAAATCACATCAGATATGAAAGGCTCGTTCTTCTTTATTCTTTCCAGTTTCTGAACCCACGATCTCGCTTGGATACACGTAAGTCGCCTTTGCGATCGGGGAATTTTGCAGAGTTGCGTGTCTTGGCGGTTGCCGTAATCCCGATCTGTTGAGCTTCAGATCTCTTCCTTTTCTCCACATTCCTCTCTTCATCCTGCGAACTCTTTTCCTCTGGTCCCCACCCAGGAGCTTGAGTGATGTCTTATTATCCGCCGTACTCGGGCGCCCCGGGCTATCCCCCGCAGCAGCCGTCTTATCCCCCGCAACAGTACGCGTATGCTTGTTGATCTGGTTTCCCGAGACCACCGCTGACGACCTTATCATAGACCGATGCATCATCAACAGCAGCCGTCATATGGAGGATATCCAGGCCAATCCTACCACCAACAACCACAGCAGCCGCCGTCCAACCCGTACGGATACAGCCACTCGCCGCAGCCTCCCCAGTCCTACGGTGCCCCGCCACATGGTTACAATGTATGTACCGAAGCGGTGATAATGGGACATGATCAGAGTTAATGGGCTATTTGCTGCGCAGGCTCCCCCGTCCGGCTACAACCAACATTCCTCCGGCCCTCCGATGCAGCAAGGAAGACCAGGTTCGCTCCCCAAGATCACCGTTCCAGTCACGGGTAGCACAAACTAACGCGGAGGGTCAGCTTACGGTCAAGGTCAAGGTGGAGGCCCGGCTCCTCCTCCCAGTAACCCCGTCGCTTTCGGCCATGGCGCGCCGCAGGGCTACAACTTCCAGTATTCGCGCTGCACGGGAAAGCGAAAGGCGCTTATGATCGGTATCAACTATTTTGGCCAGAAGGGCCAATTGCGGGGATGCATCAATGACGTGAAGAACATGTCGACTTATTTGAACCAGAACTTCGGCTATGCCCGCGAGGATATGGTTCTTTTGACCGACGACCAGCAAAACCCCATGAGCCAGCCGACCAAGGTCAATATTCTCCGAGCCATGCACTGGCTGGTCAAGGACGCTCAGCCGAATGATTCTCTGTTCTTCCACTACTCTGGTGTGTGTCTCTGTCCTCAATTGCCAAGTGTTAGCTAACCTCGAAACCTAGGCCACGGTGGTCAGACACCTGATTTGGACGGCGACGAGGATGATGGATATGATGAAGTGATCTACCCCGTGGACTTCCGGGCCGCTGGCCACATTGTGGACGATGAGATGCACCGTATCATGGTCCAGTCTCTACGACCTGGAGTGCGACTGACTGCAATCTTTGACTCTTGCCACTCCGGCTCAGCCCTCGATCTCCCCTACGTCTATTCCACCTCCGGAGTGCTCAAGGAGCCCAACCTGGCCAAGGAAGCCGGCCAGGGCTTGCTCGGTGTGGTATCGGCATATGCGCGTGGCGATATGGGCAGCATGATGTCCACCGCCATGGGCTTCATCAAGAAGGCCACCAAGGGAGACGAGGTCTACGAGCGTAACAAGCAGACCAAGACCAGTCCCGCAGATGTTATCATGTGGTCTGGCAGCAAAGATGATCAAACTAGTCAGGATGCCCAGATTGCCGGCCAAGCTACGGGTGCCATGTCCTGGGCCTTCATTGCTGCTTTGCGGAAGAACCCTCAGCAGAGTTACGTCCAGCTCTTGAACAGTATCCGTGATGAGCTCTCCACCAAATATAGCCAGAAGCCTCAGCTGAGCTGCAGCCACCCCCTAGGTAAGCATGACAACTCGACCTCTCGACAATGGGTAATCTAACATCTCACAGATACCGATATTCTCTATGTGATGTGAATTTAGTGTGCAATAAGGCAAAATAATGAGCATCTACAACGAAGCATGTTTTCTGTCATGCATTGCTCTGTATCTAATTCAACCTCTGGTGTTCCAATTCATTACCCCGTGAGTTGGTGCTCTTTTTGTGATTGACTATCAATTTGTGATCTTTTGACATACAGACTGGGAAATGGCCGGTGTTTCTGGCACCTGAGTATCATCGTAGTTGACCATCGTTACGAGAAACGTAACATTGTGGAAGTATTCTGAACTGTCCTTTGTCGTGGGTTGGCACCCATGTCTTTGCTGATCAGTTTCAAGACAGGTATCTCGGCATGAGCTGCGAGTCCCCGTGGCGAGGTCTATTGGCGGAAAAATCGGCCGAGTGATATGGATATGGCGCTATGCGGCTTTCATATCCTGAGTGGCATCATTTTTGCCCCCGAGAACCCTGCTGGCTCAATGTATATGTTCGGATTATCACATATCAAGTGCAAAGGCGCTGTGTCTTGAAATAACTTTCCCGTCGATCGAAGTCTGCAGGCACTCCTGTGGTCAAATTGAACATTGGGCTGTTGCCTCGATGTACTAACATTCAAATTCGAATATTCCAACCGGATTTGTTATCCGCGCGCAATCCTCGACCCCAAACACAATGCAGTCGTTCCTCGAGCACCGCAGAATCCGCCGAAAGCTCGAGCAGCAAATTGTGACAAAACATGGGACTCCGGAGGATGTCTGGACAGAAGAAGGTCGCTACTATTATCGCGATGGCGAAATTCACACACATCCCCGCGAAGCGGATGACAACCTACCTGCTGCACGGAGAAGAGAGCATGGTCATCGGACTTTCATCTCGGGCCCAACTATAAATCGTCATTCTGCGAGAACCCACTTGGAGAGGGATGGTGATGTCGAGCGAGCGGACGTTGATCCGGAACTTCAAACCGATCCTCATACTATAAACACCCAAGAGACGCTGGGAAACACAACCGACATGATGGTGACGGGCGTTGAAAGACTTCGTCCGGGTACGGGTCGTATTCGTGATGATGACGCCGTCGGGGCCAATGGAAGCGATGTCGAAAGTGACACTGATATTGAATCGATAAAGAAGAACAAGCTCGTCATCGTGACTTTCGAGGGCGACCTTGACAAGATGGATCCCCATAACTGGTCTTTCGGCCGTCGACTGTGGACGACACTTCTGACCTCAGTAATTTCCAGCGTGATGTTCTGGTCGTCCACCATCGATGCCACCGCCCACCCGAGAACAAGCAAACTGTTTCATACGAGCTTTGAAGTTCAGACTTTGCCTACTAGTACGTGACTGTCCCAGGGAAAATTGCATCACTAACTTAGCCTGCTTATTAGCATTCTATCTGGTCGGCCTGGGCGCCGGTGCAGTGGTCACAGCACCCATCTCGGAACTATTTGGGCGCACCCCTGTATACATTCCAACGACTGTTGGCTTCATGCTGTTCAACATGGCCGCAGCACTCTCCCACAATGTGGTCCAACGGATCCTTTGCCGTTGCATAGCTGGATTCTTTGGGTCTGCCCCCGCGGTCCTCGCAGGAGCGTCTCTCGTTGATGTCTGGTCACGAGTGGAGCGGGTTTATGCCTTCCCTATATTTGCCATCATTGGTTTCTCCGGGGCTCTCGTCGGTCCAATCCCGGGCTCTTTCGTTGTGAACAGCCAAGATTTTTCCTGGCGATGGGTGGATTGGATCACAATCATATACGCGGGATTCATCTTGATCCTGATCATCTTACTGCTGCCAGAAACATACAGCCCGATCTTACTGTACTGGAAGGCGAAAGAGCTTCGCCGCCTGACAGGGGATGACAGGTATCGATCACCATTGGAGTTCAACAAGATTTCATTCTGGAAACGTCTGCGGATTTCCCTTTACCGACCTATTCTTCTTTTCCTGACAGAACCCATCATATCTATCCATTCTGCCTACCTTTCAATACTTTTCATCGTGCTCTACACCTTCATCGCGGGATATGTCTCCATCTTCCAAGAAAAAAACAACTTCACACCCACCCAGGCAGCGCTTGCCTTCCTGGGTATCGAAGTTGGTGTTCTCCTCTCAGCACTCACTATCCCACTCTCGATGTGGTTCCTCCGCCGTGATATTCGCCTCAGCCGCGCAAAGGGTCAAAGTCGCCCTGATCCTGAAATCAGTCTGTATATGGGCATGTTTGGTGCTCCGTTCATCCCCGTCTCACTATTCTGGATGGGCTGGACATCGCGTTTGTCTATCTCATTCTGGTGTCCGTTGACTGCATCGGTGTTCTTCGGATTCGGAACACTGTGTGTGTTTGTATCGGCGTTCCAATACGTCGCAGATTCATTCGAGCTCAATGTTGCTAGTGCGCTTTCGACACTACAGATGACGCGGCTTATTACTGCTGGTATCATGGCAATCGTCTCCGAAGTGATGTATAAAAAACTTGGCATTGGCTGGACTCTGACTCTTTTGGGTTGTCTTTCGTTTCTGTTTTTACCGGCGCCTTATCTATTGTATTGGAAGGGGCATAAGGTACGCTCGTGGAGTAAGTATGCTCGCAGGGACGATTAATGAGGTTAACTGGAACCAAACTATGTGTGATGCGCTCTTCAGAGTATTTTGAGAATTTCTTCGGCGCTCTCAGGGGCTGTGTGTGTATCTAACTAGTTGTCTTTTGATGTTGCAATGTTGAAATAAGTCGACTTTCCGCCAACTGGTCGGAATAGCACATCCATGCACATATCTCATGGGCAGTTCCCCCCGCAATGAGAAACCAATGAAATATACCATTCCTGCAAGGATTAAAATCCCAGAAATTTGAAAGACTGCCATAGCGAAGGAGATTAGAGTCGGAGCTTGTACTGGGCTCACCGCCCTAGAGCGCGTAGCTCATCTATGAACACCTCGGGACAAAACAGACGACGCGACATCGATTTTTGGATGCTTGAAATGGGGAAGAAGCTCCCCTCTCATTCCATCAATGTGATCCTCCATCAGAATGTCCACCATTCTTGAAGATCACCAGCCTCCCGGCCTTACCCGCCTTGGTCCAACATGGTACCATGAGATCCCTTTCTTACCACATGGATGGGAGACCACCAATGAACGAGGATCCGGGTCGCTGAAACATGCCGCATTGAAGTCACTTATTCGTGACCAGTCAGCACTGAAGCCTGAACTGTTCGAGCATGTCCCTTGGTGCCTGGCAAAATACATCTGGGACGCACTGGGGAGATGGTAAGTCCAAGCCGTATGTGGGTCCACTTCAAGTCTGATGGGCTTCAGCAACAAACAAACGATGCACATGTGGAAAATCATGAGCATTGTGTATCCGGAACAGTTCCATGAACTCAGCCGCCACTATTGTCTCAGCGCAGGCTCTCCAAAAAAGCCACTGGAGGACTACATGAACATCCTCAACAACGAGGATTTCCGCTGGCGAGCCATGTTGACCATCGCTACTACGTACTGCTCTGCTGCAGACCTAACGGCAATCTCGAAAATCAAAAATTTAGTCGCATTGGACGTGTACAGCCAGCCTTACTCGTCCAAATCCACTCATGACCATATGGGTGTTAACAACGACGGCCTCCCCTTACAGGATGGATTTGTACGTGGTTGGATTGAATCGAACCAACTACAACATCTCCGTATTCTCCGGCTCTACAATCAACACGAAGTAACCACTTCCGCATTGAGATCGCTGCGCGATCTGCCCGAGCTTCAACTCGTGCTAGCGTACGAATGCGAAAAAATCACAAAACACATCCGGAGATCAGGTAAGCCTGCGAATGGTATTGGAATCGATGTCGAAGGCTGGTCTGCCTGTAGACTCGATTGGCTCTGGGATAGCGAAAAGAAGACCAAGAGCCTCAACCATGTCATGCCTCTGCTTCATGCGTACGAATCCAACATCCAGCCTGCGAAAGATGGCGAAACTAGACCGTCGTCACTCAGTACCAAGTTGCCGATCTTGGAATTCAAGCTTCCAACCATTGATCATAGCAAGAAGGAGATGTTGGCCATTCGCTCGAATTATAGCTCTATGTCGATTTTTATGTTTACTCGAGACCCTGTGAGGCAGAGGATAGATGGTGAGAAGAAGCAGAAGCGTGAGAGGGACCGAAGAGCTTCGGATGTGCCTGAAGGGAGTCATCGTCCTGTCAAGCGGGCGGTCATGAAGGACAGAGGGATCGACATCTCGAAGACCTTGAATGACTTTTTCTGACGTTTGAAGGGGTGCACTAAGTCCAATCGGGCATCAGTCGAAAATTCACACCTATTCTGCAATAAGACAGGCGGCATCAACTGTTATCTCAGCCAAAATACTCATGCTTGATGCTAGGATTTCGAATTGCACCCCGCGCAGTAAGCATCTTGCATCAAATTTGAATGGCGATACAATATCTTTGCGGTTGGGATGGCGCTTGAATGTATTACTTTGGTGATCTACATACTAGCACTCTATACTAAGGGGTTAAGCACATCTGTCGCTTCGGCTCCGGGCGTAATTCACCTTCCCGATTAGGCCGTAGATCAGATGACTAACGAGCGAATGATGTCAGCGGAGATATAAGTAGCGAGCGCTGATTGGCTGAATCCCCCACCCCGCTTAGTCCGATCAACATCACCTGATGACCTCAGTAGATCCAGCGACAATCTGCACTGCATTTCCCTTGTGTTTGATAAGCATTCTGTTTGGACAACACCATTCTGGCAACCCCTGCAAACCTATGGCAGACCGCCTCCACTCCCGCGAAGGGTCTGACACTTCTCTCAACGGAGCCTCCCCGCGATCCAGCACCGAGTCCCGCTCTCCCTCCGCACGAAACACACTCCGCATTTCCCACATGTCGACCCCAAACCACCAGCACAGGCAGAGCTTGAGCGAGACTCTCCGTGGTCCACCTGGGTCCCCGCGGGCTCGCCGACAGCCATCTCTCCCCCAGTCCGCTATCCAGAGCCTGATCGACAACCCCCCGCCACCCAAGAGCATCGACCCTGCTTTCGTGGGTCGCGATTGGAGACACATTTCAATTGGAGAGCTGGTTAGCCCGGATGAATTGAAATTCGTGGAGCTTGATACTGGTATCGAAGAGGCGACTAATGTGGGTGTACCAATGGGTGCTGCCTGACTATCCATCTACTGACATTAACATCTGCCAGATCTTGATCGATTCCGGCGCGCCTGTCTTGTTGATCCGCGAGTCAGTCAGTGACACCTCTGCAGTCTCTACATTCGATTACTCGGATTTGAACTCTTACCTCCTGCTTGCCGCGGGTCTTACTTCGCCCGACGAGGATCACCGGGCATCCTACGAAGAGCTAGCAAAGAAAGCCCAAAATGGAGTACCGATTCCGCTAAGGGATGTCAAGAAATTTGGCATGGAAAAAGAACCACTCATCAAATTGCCCGCTTCCGCCAATGTCTTGTCTGCCGTGGAAATCTTCGGCGGTGGTGTCCACCGGGTCGTGGTCGTCGATGAGGCCAATGACCAAAAGGTGGTGGGCATTTTCAGCCAGTTCCGACTGGTGAAATTCCTTTGGGAAAATGGCCGCAGCTTCCCAATCATCGAGGAGCTTTATCCACAGCCCGTCAGTGATCTAAAGATTGGGTCTACAAGTGTGATTTACATCAAGTGAGTTATTGATTTGGGGAGCAGACGGTATCACCGAGCTTAGAGCTAACCATCATCGTACTCAAAGTGGTGACTGTCCTCTATCAGAAGGTCTCCATGTCATGAACAATGAGGGTGTCTCATCAATTGTTGTTGTCGATAACCACATGAATGTGCTTGGTAACATATCTACAGCCGATGTCAAGGTACGCTATACTGACCGAGCTCCCCGAGTGTCGACGGCTTTATCTCACATTTTCACAGCTCCTTACTCGATCTTCCTCCCTGCCTCTTTTACAAAACACATGTACACACTTCATCTCCGTTATTTTGTCCACTCGTGGCTTAATGGAGGGCAAAGACTCGTTCCCTGTCTTCCACGTCAACCCAGGATCGACACTGGCACACACAGTGGCTAAGATCGTGGCCACTCGATCTCACAGGTATCTATATCTGAACAAGAGGAAAGCTGACAACTTGTGCTAATCGATGACTGTAGACTCTGGGTGACTGACCCATTATCCCCATCTTCTTCTGGGCCACCAACCCCATCCCACTCTGCAGTACACATTCCTCTATCTGGCAGTGTCAGTCATCCACCTGCTGCACCGCACACTGGAAATTCACCCCCTCCATCACCTCTTCCGGTTCCGACTGCACAACCTCCTCACCACATCCCTCCCCATCTCGCAACTCCTGTGGCGCCCTATACTGTCCCAGGTACAGGCTCACTATCCTCGTCAGGCGTGCCTGTCCCGCCACCTCTTTCACATTCCATCCCCTCGGCAGCGCTCGATGGTGCGCGATTGTCAGGGCGTCTCGTGGGAGTGATCAGCCTGACTGACATTCTGAACCTACACGCCCGAGCGAGTGGTCTCAATCCCACCGACCCCGCCGAAACCCGTAGCCGCCGCAGACGCAGTAGTTCGTCCAGCCAAAGTGTTCGCCGTAGCGGTGATATCGGCCGTGAGCTTTTCAGCCGTGGCATGTAAAAACATCCACGCCAGACTCACATCCCACATGGCCATCGACATATCACCAACATATTCACTCGTTGTGCTTACATTGAGCTGACACCAGCCCTGTACTCGTGGATTTTACTCTGGAACTACTCCACCCAACCAGGGTGAAAGCATAGACCTGCCATTGGCTCTGTTTATCACAGTATGACATTATCTAGCATCGGATATGTTTTCCATCTTACAAATCCCTTCAAATGAATCCTCACAATCCCGTAGGCCGGCGATAACACCATTTGCCATTTGTCACGAATCTGAAAAATGAGACCCAAGATTGCCGAGCTGCACCAGATCTCCCTCTCACATTGATCGGCAAACCCCCCGGACAAGGCCGAAAGGCTAAACCGCAGATCAGCACCATGCAGTCTCGGAGAAAAGCCGGAGTTTATCTCAAATTTCGACAGCGACTGAAAAAAGGCCGTCCACGCGTCGGCTTTAGACCATCGGTTTTTGGACTTATGGTTTGGCAGCTTTTCCCAAAAGCCAGGCCCTGTTTGCGGAAGTACATGTCCGTTGACATGGGGGTATGTGGTTGGATGTGCACATTCGCCTCCACCACTCGTATCCTTCTTTTATCATTTGTGATCCGGACTTGGTCGTCCAGTGGTGCGCGATGCTCGCCATATCCACTGCCAATTCGCACGGGCCAGACCCCCATTCACGGTGTCGTGGTCCTGGGACTCTGATCGACTTGGATCCACGATTTTGCTTAACATGACTCGAGTGCCCAGCCTTGTCGAAGTTAATTGGGAGAATTGGGAGAATTGGTGCTGAGTGCCATCCCATGACTTCAGGGAAGACTTTCTTCGTTTTTAGTGGCTTGTCACATTTGGTCTTCGCTGGGATATGACGGTGTTTCCAGAAAGGGCAAGTTGTCTCGTTAGCAGTTTGGCTTGACTGAATAATGAGTTCAGGGTCAATGTGTTATCCCGATGGCTATGGTCGCATGCATTTCGATGTGTTCACCATGGAATATTCTGCATTAGCTGCAGTCTGGAGTCTACCTGGGCACCCCCAAGCGACTTCACATGATCAGGGTAAATCATCCCGTCGTGCGGGTGACTTTCATTGGCCGGTCCCACTAGGCTGTACCCCCAATCTTTATACACATTGTCAGGCCAGGTTCAAAACTCCCTGCAGGGCTAGTGATTCCTTAACTCAGAGCTTCACAGAGAAAACTCTGACGTTCGTAATCTTACAAGAATACCGGTCATGAACCTTGTGCGTTTCCACGGTCTTTTATACCCAGGTGTTCCCTCACGTTGCATTCCGCAAACAACCTCATCCAAGTCCGGAGAGCTGATCGACCTGGTTTCCACTGCGCGAAATACAATCATTTGCTCTATGCTCCATCGGGCCGAGCCAGCTTCAGCTTCAGTTAACTTCCGTTAGCTCGAGTTTGGCAGCTCTTCAATCCAATCAGGCCGTTTCTTTCTTTCTCATCCCTGTCCGTTTGAGTTTTCTGGTTAGCTACTTAGGTTTCTACCGGATCCCATGGGATGGGGCTCTCAGTAGTCAGCGTTACGTACGTGGACTCGTACTCCAGGGCTATGCTATGCATACTTTAGTGAAACTGTGATATTCTGCTCTCACTACTACGGCAAATATCATTGTACTTTCTACTATCAGCTTAAGTGGTGCCTAGAGGGATTGTGCACAAATTAAACCAGGAGCCACTGGGCACTAGGAGAGAAAATTCATCACTACAACCTTGCCCTCCAGTAATCCTATACTCCATACTGGTACTCCATACTGGAGCAAGCATCAGATCGATATCCCCACCTGTGGGCACAGCAAACCCGCACCCAGCATAGTGGAGCTACCTCAACCGGGTATCCACATCTCAATGCAACCAATCCAACACACACGAATCTGATCACCAGGAAGACACCCATCTGGGCAAATGCAGGTGTCAAACGCAGGTACCGAGAGCCACCGAACACTCAGAAGCCCATCAGAACAAGCCCTTCGTATCCAAGGCCAGGGCAATCGAGATGCCAATCCAATCAAGCCCCCACAGCAGTGCACGGGGTCAGTTGAAAAACCTTCTCATCCAGTGGAACCACTCCTTTGGACTCGCATCGCAAATCCTTGGAAATGCAGCTGGATAGACTTCCGGATTTCATGGGTCCGTGCGGACGCTAGCCACAATCAAACCAATTAGAATTGACAATCCACCGCCGAGCTGCAACCTTAACCCCGCAAATTCGGGAACTATCTGCAGGTGGCCTGATGGGCTTTTTTTTCGTTGTGGACTAATTCGCATCTGGACATGCTTTTTTCTTGGCCTCGTAATCGCGATGGAAAGTTGAAATCTTACTAGCTTATAGCCAATCTGTGAACTATGTCCAGGTGTGGTAACTGAGGGGTTGATTAAGGTACGTCATCTGATTTGTTATACGTGCCTCCAGATATCGAGGTCAGCGGACATTATGATAATTTATCTGAAATTTGCCTATGATTACGACGGGCGCAGCAAATCAGTACCTAAGGTGTCAGGCGATCTCAACGAGAACCCGTTATCGCTGCAAGATCGCCGTTGATCCAGAATGCCGGGAAACGCCTCATCGGTCAGAGCGGGATAGCCCATCCTGCTTCTCCGCACCGTAGATTACTTTCCCTGCGTCAGTTAAGAGATCTACATCGCCTATCGGATCCTTAGCAGCCCTGCTTACCTCGTAATGGGAAACTCAATCGAGAGTGAAAAGGCCAGTCGGGACAACCCCAGCCATTGCCACAGCAAACGAGAGCAAAAAAATCTCGATGGGCGCAAAGCAGGGTTTTGCTCAAAAGTACCTGTTTCCACCGGGACTAGGGCTAAATGACTCTGGGCCCGAGGATCATGGTGACAAATTGTTGGTGGGGTTCCACGGTTGGGGGAGGTTGTGATGGGGTGCGTGATTGGTTCGTTGGGGGCAAATGCCTCATATCGACTCGGTCTGTACACCTGGGCAGGGCTTATACTACTGCCCAGGTGGTCTTGCGTGAGCTCACATTGGGTCGATCTTGTCTCGGACGTTTTGATTGTGGCAGGGTACCTTGTCGTCTTGTGGAGCTAGTGGGATGTTTAATTTGGAGAGTCACCCCGCTCGAATCCTCACGGTGTGAATGAAGTATTGGAAGTATCATAGTTTGTTTCATATTAAATGAGAGATAAATGGGGCATATATGATACAAGAAGCAAATGTACAGGCGATCCTAAGAATGTACAGAAAAAGGACAACCGACAAGAAAAGACAGGAAAGAGTAACTCCAGAACGGCCAACCACTACCTGGGTATATCAGGTATCAAGATCGTAATGGGCGTAAGAAAAAAGTGACATGAAGTGGGGTCGGGGATTAGATGGGGTTCAGCAGGAAACGCTGGTAAATTCATCCACGGCAATATACTCGTCGAATCCGAATGGCTGGTCCCGCTCAGACGGCAGACCGGAGCTCCCCAGGTCGAACGCAAATTGGCTAAAGTCTGTAAAATCGGGGTCCATCTGTCCCGAGACAAAATCCGCCTCAGCCTTCTGGGTCGGGTTGGTGGGCGACACCGGCGTATGCGGCGTGGGACAGAAGTCCGGGGTGGAATGGGACTCTGCCGAGAAAGCCTCGACCTTAGGGGAGACGGTGGGTGCGTGGAGATGGGTGCTCTGGGTGAGCAGGTGCAGGTTGTGGAAGGAAGAGGAGGGCTGGGACTGGCCGCGACTGTGACCGTGGGTGGGGCCGGCAGGGATGGGAGGTGGAGCCTGGTGCTGCAGAGGTAACTCTGGGGCAGAAGCGAGCCGGTCTCTGAACTGCCGCATTTGGACGGGTTCCGGGGCCTGCTGCATGAGTGACTGCTGCCACATTTGCACGGACTGGGCGTCGGTTGGGGTTTGCCCAGGGGTTGGGATCTGCTGCGCCATTGTCCAGTCGGGGAATTGATTCCAGCCCGGGGATTGGACGTAGGCAGGGATCTGGGAGGGGGTTGCCGCGGATGCAGGGACCATATTGGCGTACGGACTCTCTGAGCCATTCATGCAGTTCATGTAGGGTTGGCTGTGGGGGTCGTATGAAACGGCTGGCGAGAGGACGTAACCGTCTTGCGTGTGCGTCGGGCTACCCATTGATCCTGGTCCCTGGGAGAAGGATGCAGAGCTGAGGTTCGATAGATCCAGGCTCATCTTGCGGGAGGCGCTGGCTGAGGGAAGCGGGGTCATGTTGCTCGCTCGCCGGCTGGCGATTGACGACGACCTGTTCGACAGGCTGGCTCTTTTGGTGAATGCTTCCAGCAGATGGCGGTGGAATTGTTCCTCAATCTGCATATTCTGTGCTTGTAGCATCCTGATTCGTTTCTCTTGATATCGCTCATCGATCTCTTCGTACATGGCTTCTTTCTCCACGATTTCTTTGGTGATATGGAACGCTTTGCCTGTGCGCTTCTTATGGAGCAGAGAGGCCCGGTTGGCCGACTCTAGACGGGCATCCAGGCTGCGATCCTTTCGCCGGGATGCGGCGATGAAGGCTCTAGATAGATGGTGAGACGCGAGTGGGATTGCTGGGCATTGAATGGCTTACCTCTCTTGATTCTCCTCCCGGGAGCGGGGGACAGGTGCGATATCTAAATCTAGATCCAAGGGCATGGTGGTTTGTATGAGGTGAAAAAAGAGGGGGAAATTTACATGTTAAGTAGTATACGCAGCATGTACAGTGTCAGACTGCAGGCCAAGCTCGGGGACAGTACCATGGTATCGAGACGATCATAGTTTGGGCGCCAGGAAAACTTACGACGGGGATCCATGGTACGCTGCTGGGCCAGTCCCTCTCGGCCAGTCCGCTCCAGAGCGCCACTAACCGGCCCAGCGCCATTCACAGCGTGCAGGATAACACTTCCTGACTCTGCAGGTAAGCTGCATCGCGTATGAGGATCTAGACCCCAGATAAACACTTCAGTCTATACCGTTACAGATCTCCAACTTGCTGTGGACTTGTTGCTCGACGTTGAACCTTATCCTACTAGGTAGGTGTCTTTTTTTTCACTTTTTCTTTTTCCATTTTGATTTTTGCTTTTCTGCTTTTTTGCTTTTTCCTGCGTAAAGTGGTAAGCAGTAAAACCTCGGGAGCACACTGCCAAACACGTGATGTACGGATTCAGCAGGTGCCCTGGCTGGCAAGGTTTCCCTCTTCGACCCTGAAATTTAAGGCCCGAAAGGTTGCACGATCTCGGAGATCGACGATCAACGGGGATCAGCACCCTGCATTGCCTACATCGTCGACCTAAACGGGGGATACTCTGCGAGTGATGCCAAGGGCCAAACCCGGGGTTTGAACTACTGATCGGATGGGATTTGGAATCTCGAGATCCCGGAACAGGCGTAAGACTGAACTTCAAGACCAGTCCGCACGGAGTATAGCCGATGGGAACCCACATCCAAATGGACCCTATATCCGGGGATTCGTTCATTGGTCTCGCAAGCCTTGCTGTATTCTCGCAAGCCTTGCTGTATTCTCGCAAGCCTTGCTGTATTCTCGCAAGCCTTGCTGTATTCTCGTAAACAGAGCATAACAAGATATGTCGGAGCCTGACAGTCGCCATGGGCCTAGAGCCGAACATTTCGGCCGGAACCAAGCCCTGGACTTCGCCACAGAAATGATTAGATATCACATTCCCACCTGGGTAGTGGACTCGGGGAGACCTCGGTCTTTCGCGACATCGGAAGTCCCCCAAACAGAACTCAATTCGTTTCGTACGAAATGGGGCCAAGCAGGCCAGTCGGTACCAGTAGGGCTGCACCTTCCTAGCCAATCTGCACTGGAGTTACGAAAAACTCGGCCGTCAAGTTCCCCATACTGAAACCCCAATCATTCGGGGTGAGTAGTCGCTTTCGGCTCCACCGGCCCCCGGGGTCGGGCTTCGGCATCGGAAGGAGTGAAGATCTGCGCATACCAGGAACGGCTTTTCCGGCATGGAGATGCCACCATGACTAAACTACCTATGCCTGTCTCCGCGGACTCGATGGGCACTCGGTGAGATCCCGGAGTCTTGAATATAGGCACGTCTGATTTAAGTGACCTCATTTAAGTGACCAACTGGGGTAAGAACATCAGATCTTCGAGAGTTGCCACATAAGCCTAGAGTCTACGTTTGGTGCACTCAGCAGATCCCCGGGTAACAGACATGTAATCCTTATAAACAGCATGAGTAGATAAAAGGCGCTAAGATCTCAATGAGTGCAGAGCAACAGAAATAGAGCCATCGCTAGATCTAGAACAAAAAAAAGTGGGAGGGGACTGGCAAAGTCACATAACGGGGGAACGGTGTCATCGCATCTAAGCAATCCCGAGGGGTGGGACCATGCCCTGTTCCTCGCGGGCTTCGCTGCCGAGTTTGTAGGAGACCTTGAACCGGATTTTCACCGAGTTGCCCTTTCCTACGTCGATGCCGTCCATAAGCATTTCTTGCTGGACACCGTTCTGCTGCTGCGGTGCAACGTCTCGACCAGACTGTGGGCGAAGTTGCAGTGTATAAGACTGGCGTGGGTGTCAGCGAATCCACTTGGAGACTAAGGAATATGCCAGAACTACTTACTTTCTCCACAGCGACTTGGAAGTGGAGCTCTCCGATGGGTTGGGTGGTGTTGTTGGAGAAGATGGCCACGACGTGGATCTGGCGAGGCTGGTTGGGCACGCGACGCGCAGCAAAGTCGACACGCAGCTGGGAGTTCAGAACTTGGATCTTGTTAGTCGACGGGAGAGCATTGCTAGCCGGTAACGACGAGGCAAAGTCCCACTCGTCATCCTCGGCTGGAGCGGCCTGCGCTTGCGGGACTGGAGCCGGGGGACCGGCGAGATCAAGCAGCGAGGAAGATGAGGGAGCGGGCCGGCTCTGCGGTGGCTGGAAGGGACTGGAAGATGCCCTCGGGCTGGCAGAGACTAGCGACGCAAAGGGATCGGTGGGCGGCGGGGTGGCCGTGGACTGGGCTGGGGGTGGTGCGCCCATAACGGGAGTAGGGGATTGAGAGGCAGGTCGCGAACTATTCAAAGAAGCGAGGATATCATAAGAAGGTTTGAATGCAGCTGGTGTCTTTTGAGCTGGTGGTGTTGAGCTGGTCGACATGGATGCAAAGTTGTCTGTCACAAAGATCAGTATTGTTAAGCGTGGACTGCACATACAACTTACTGGAACCGAGAGCAATACCACCACCTTGAGGGGGGCCTTGTTCGCCGAGCGAAAGTCCAAGCAGGTCATTTTCCAATGAATTGCCGCCCTGGGCGGGTGCGGCCTCGTTACCGTTGGCATCGGGCTGAGGCTCCGGGTCGAAGTCGATCAACGACAGCTCGTTATTGGCATTGGTGGAAACACCAGTCGTCGTACCAAGTGTACCCTTGGGGATCCGCGACGCGGCATCCAAATCACCCTTCTTGACCAGCTTATACCGCTCAATTGTACGGTGTATGCTATCATTGATCTCCAGCAGCTTATTGACTGCCTCCGGATCATCTGACTCTTCCTCGCACATCTTTTGGATCTTGGGGTGAGCACTTTGAAGTGCACCTGCAAGTTCCTGCGGCCGACAAATTAGAGACAGATCAAAAGTGACATGAACAAGGAGCATCCCCTATCACTCGCCACTTACTTCGAAAACATCGCCTTCTGGGAGAGCCTCCCCAGGCTGCTGGTTCTGTAGCATCTCTTCCAAGATCTTAGCCTTTTGCTGAACCTTCACAACCTCCTCGGCGGCCTTCGCGCGGTAGTCGGTCTTATGCCGATTGTCAAACCCAGCCATAACCTTCATAAGTCTGTTAGCCTCCTGCAAATCGGCGGGCGTGCCTCTCCGAATCAGCTCTTGGAGCTTGGCAGACTGTGCCTCCTTCTCCTCTTCTTCCATCTCATCAGCGGAACGAAGGTTCTAATGATGTCAGCTTCGCACAGGCGAAATATATCAAGAAGACATACATCGCTCGGATTCAAGACCGCGGCGTCCTCGCGGCGGACCTCCGGGAACATGTAACCCTTGTAAAGCAGAAGTCGGTGCATATCCCGGATAAACCCTAGATCTTCTTTATACCGCGATGTCTGGCAAATGGTTTGCCGCCACTCCTCGATAGACTCCAGGATACGGTGCTGCACCCTCGAGGGCCGCATGGGCGGCCGCTCGGGGAACCTGCGGACCAATTCATTCAAGAATTCTTTTGTGCCGATCTGGAGATGGAAGGGGTAGCCGCAGTTCTTGACGGCGATATCGAGTAGCTAGATAACCTCAACGTCAGCGATCCCCACGTCTCTCAGCTGAGCTTCCCACGTACCGCCAACGCCAACAACGCAACATTCTGGTTCCGGGAGTTGATCAGATGAACGATTTCGAATGCCGATTCACGAGGCCTTGGAAATATAATCGTAAGTATGCGCAATGCACCGCGGGTGATCATACTCACGCATTGCCTTTCTTGTTGTTGATCAAGTCGGCAACTTCGAGGTTGAGAGCCAAGTTGGGTTCGTAGTTTTGGGGGTCGCAGGCATTTCCTAGAGGGAATTAGCTCAAGCCATTGTGTTACGGTCTCAAAACAAAACTCACGGATTGCCCGCTGCAACGGTGACAAGCCCGGTTCAGCGTAGGCACCGAAGCGGTCCCTGGCCGCCATTCGTGCTGAGGCTGCCTCCAGGATGGCGGTGGATGAGGAAACAGGTTAAAACGGAGGTATTTGCCGCGAAACAAGACAGGCAAATTCACGTAGCGCAGTATAATCCCCAAAAGGCGAGATGTGTACAGTCGCGGGATGGGGGGCTGAGGGCGGAGAACCTGTTTGCACGTGTGGCGCTTGCGCTTGGCCTTGGTCTTCTTTTTTTTTTTTATCTTCGCATTCCACGAACGCACCCAGTCTACCTGTTTACGGGCAATTCCCTTATATCTTCCAACATGGTCCGCCACAAAAAAGACAACTTCTCGCGAGGAGGCAAGAAATCCAACAACCCCCGCCCCCGGCCAGTGCCCCGCGGCGATGAAGAAGCAGGCGCAGGCTCGGCGCGGCCTGCGTATAAAGCCGCATGCTGGGACATGGGTCACTGCGACCCTAAGCGGTGCTCTGGAAAGCGACTGATGAAGCTGGGCTTGATGCGGGATCTCCACGTTGGCCAGCGACACCCTGGTGTGATCGTCTCGTATGTCGCAACCGAAACCTACAGGGTTCCACGTACTGACGATTGAATAGCCCAAATGCCAAGAAGATTGTCTCTCCGGCAGACAAGGATATCATGGAACAATACGGTGCTGCCGTAGTGGAATGCTCGTGGGTGCGAGTCCAGGAAGTGCCCTGGTCACGGATCGGCGGAAAATGCGAACGACTTCGTATGTGGCATGCTTTGGAACAGTGGCCGATATATTTTGGAAACTAACATGAAATTCTTTTAGTTCCGTACCTCATTGCCGCGAATACTGTCAACTACGGAAAACCATGGCGTCTAAACTGTGTCGAAGCGCTCGCCGCTTGCTTTGCGATCTGCGGCCGTTTGGAGTGGGCGGAGGATATCCTGAGACATTTCAGCTATGGACAGGCATTCTTGGATATCAACAAGGAGCTCCTGGCACGCTACGCAGCATGCGCCTCAGAAGAGGAAGTCAAGAAGGCTGAAGAGGACTGGCTCGCCAAGATTGAACAAGAGTACGAGGACAACCGCGTCGAGGGAGGTGATGATATCTGGACTACTGGAAATACCAACCGTATGCCCGCGCGGGGATCCGATGACGAAAGCGGCGACGAAGATGATGAAGAGGACAGCGAGGAAGAGGAAGAAGAAGAAGATAAGGATCCATTTGCGATTTCCGACGACTCGGAGGATGAGGCACAGATGGCTGCGATTCGACAAAAGATTCTGAACTCAAAGTCGTTCCAAAATCCCGAAGACGAAGAGAAGCAGAAGCCAGAGAAGATCTCTCGACCGGAGCAGGTGTATGTTGACTCGGATGCTGAGTCTGGCTCGGCAGGAAGTGAGGACGAGGCTTTTGACAACATCATCAATGCCACCACCGTCACCGATCGTACTGGAATCAAAGCAATCCAGCAACGGCAGGCGAAGGAGACCATCACTGGTTCTTTCTCTCGTGCTGAGATCTCTGCCCCGAAAAGGTGGTGAAAAGGTGGTGAGCCCCGGGTCTTGGGGCACCATGTACCCACACTTTAGCCACGACAGTCCTTTTCCGGGGCTGCTGGGTCATTTGCTCGCCCAATCCAGAGATTCGACGTTGGCACTCAAAGCGCGGCTCTGCCTCAAATCTACCTCCATCGGTGCACTTTGGTCGGATCAGAGAATTCCGGCTTCCTACCGCTCTGCTCGCTGATCCAGCGACGTCTATTTTTCTTATGATTCAACCCCTGCAGAGGTTCATATTTATGCTATACGCCTTGTCAGCCACTTTGTCACGAGTTTACGACATTAAAATGTTTGCATGTGTGCGCATTCCATATTTGTTGGCGAAAACAAAACTACATCCAAGACAAAGAACACGTTCATCGAATCAGATTGATCAAAGCTTTGACTGTTACTGTGGCCGCATCAAATCGGCTAGGCACAGGAAGGCCAGTCAAGACATTTCAGCTATGTAGAGCCAGCGAAAATTCTCCTCAAATCCATTTCCATTCATATCAACCGCAAAGGCACTGAGCCACTGTCACTGTGAACCGCTAAATCCCACAAAATCCAAAACACAAATGTATCGTCAGCTTTTCCCGTCCCTTGAAACTCCAGCGCGCCATTGGAGGTCGTCACACCCGTGCAACCCTCCTGGTGTAGGTATTGTGTGTCAGCCGTTCAATTCGAATCCCATGCTCTCGCGCCACGACATGGCCTTGAGCCAGACTTGTCGCAACTATCTGGTATGGCTACTCGCCTTATTCACGTCCCTTAAAGAAGGTCACAGAGTCGCTCAACGCCGCATTAGTTGGGTGATTCCATGCGCAGGGTGACTGTGACTGTTTCTCCGCTCATGGGGGAGGCAGTCCCGGTACTATGTTCCGGGGGACACTGTTTATCCAGCAGATTGACCACTTCGAGCTCCGACTCTTCGAGATTCTGACCCAGCTTTCGGTTTTGGACTTCCAGTTCACCGATGATCTTCTTTTGCTCGGCAATCTTGCGGTTCTGGTAATCAAGCTGCATGGCCTTAAGTTCGAGCTTATCTTCGAGAACTGTGATCTTCCTCTTGAGATCGGGCTCCAGTTCGAGATCAAATGTCATCTCGGTTTCGGAGTCATCACTGGTCCATTGCTCGATATTCTCGGCCAAGTCAGTCATCGTCTTGTGGTTTGGCTTGAAGAACTCCTTGGAGAACTGTGGATCTTCGGGCAGATCATTAATCAACTCATCTTCGTAGTCCAGTTCCAGGAGTAGCATGTGTGCTGAGTTGTTGATAACTTCCTTTGTTTTCGTGAGTTTGGATTCCATCGAAGCGGCGATCCGGGTCTGTTCTACTGTGAGTCTTGTTTGCTCCTGGCAGTTGTACTCCAATGCCGATTTCTTGCACCCGAGGTCGCAGATAGTCCTGATGTGGTCGGCGTTCTCGGATTCGAGAGCCCGGATTCTCTGCGCTTGTTGTTCTATCACGGAGAGCGCCTGGGTAGTGTTCTCGTCAAACCGTTTCGAGGAATCCTCCCAGAACTTGGCAATGCGAATTATCACATCCTCCTGGTGTCTCATGTCCTCCCGGAGTCCCATGTACTTTTTTCCGGTGGATTTCAAGAATCCTGCGTAGTTGACTAGATTCGATTCTTCCGCATCGGGGCTATTGAGGCGGAGGATGGATGCGTTGATGTGCTCGGTTTCCTCGCGGAGAAGACGCCTCGTCTGCCTGTTACACTCGTGGAGAATTGAGATGCGGCCTGCTTGCTGTTTTATATCTTGTGAGATCTCTCGGCTCTGGAGTCTCATCTCAATTGGGTCCATGTTGGCGGCGGATGGTGAGCTGGGTTGAGCAGACATGGCTCTGATTAGCTTGTCAAAATGTGAAAGAAAGAGAGACGATCAAAGTGGAAAGAATGATCCAAGAAAGAGGTTGGACTTTATCAGATGTAGGAAAGGGGAAAGGTGCAAGCAGAGAGTCGAGCATACAATGGTCAGGGCTCCGTCTCTCGATTAGGCACTTGCTCTTCGACTTCAAACTTTACCAAATGTATCAAATGTATGCATATATGCATATCGTTCTCTTTGTTGATATCTTACATCGGAGATATATGTACACGTAGGTCTGAATTGTCTTACTGTCCAGGCGTGTAATTAAACTGGTCATTGGCCCTCTACTTCTCCAATTCTGAATGATTTCTTTTCGAAACAAAAATGATATGTTGCACATATCAGTTCTATGTGCTTCTACAGATCCGTGGTTCTGCTCCGACTCCGGATTGAGCGCCGATATTTATTGCAGCACATCTCGTCACTTCTCTTTCTAAATTTGATGACAGTGAGTACTTGACTTGTTTGTAACATCTTCCGCCTAGATTTACCCAGAGTTATTCATGTCGATAAGTGACCCTTGATCTGAATGGGGTGCATATAATTTCACCGACTACCTAAGCACAACCGCAGTGAATATTTAAACAGATGTTATGAAGACAGAACAGCACCGCATATTAATGTTTTGCCATATCGCTCTTGGAAGGAAAGTAACGGTGAACAAAAATCTATGTAAATCTTCCCAGACTGAAAATGCCGAAGGAGGGCCTTGCTGGTCACGGGCTATTTACGAAAGCCCATCAGGCCCCGTCGTTGCTTATTGCTTGCAAAAGCTTTCGCTATGATGTCTATGGCAGCGGGGACAGTCGACAGAGTGATGCTGGGGCCATGAATGAGTCAACGAATGCGAAGATGTGTGGCATATGTATGGATTTGCGTTGGTATAGACAGGACGGACAAGAGTCCGAGTTGTGCGGCGTCTGCGACTAGAATAGGCACGGAATTTGGATCGGGACTGAGTGCATGGTGTGGGAAGCATGGGTGAGATCGTCGAGGGCATGATGAGAAGTACTAAAACGTGTTAGCATTATTGCTTCTATGTTGTTTGTGGGTTCCAAGGTTGTGAGCCGCATACCAACTGTCGTTTTTGGGTTTCGGGTACGGATATGAAGTATAAACTTGACGGTGTATATTTCTTCTTTCTTGTGGAGCTGGGGTTTTTTTCACAATGTCTCTTCAAGGTTAGAAGAATTGTAAGAGAGAAAGGAAATGAAAAAGATCTGGGGATGCTAGTACTCCCGTATGCAAGGGTGACGATCATTTACCATCTGAACACTGAACCAGATGTATGCAAGGTACCGTAGATGCATGTCAAGGGCTCCCAGCATGTCCGCCTGGGTAATTTCACGTTCCCCTTGGATCTCGGAGTACGGCCCGAGACAGTCATATAGTAGCCATTTGTGTGCTGGATACAAGTGTCTTCAAACTCCTTGGTTTGCTCCATTCTGAGCTCTTTGATACCCAGGTGGAATTCAAATACACTTGTGCTTCCAACCAAGGTTTCTGGTCCTCATGATTCCAAGTTAAACCTTGGAAGTTTAGAAGCGCTGTAATATGCTTCTACTTGAGTCCTATATTGTCAATTTCACAAAGAAAGCATTCTACTTTTCCGTGCACTGGTGTTATTCAATGGCAATGTAGCTTCGCCGGCTCCTATCTAGTAGCCATTGCTCAACAAGGACTTGGCTGTCTTGATCTGCCACTGGGACTATATATGACCTCTTCCCTTCACCGCAGGAGTATATATCAAGCCAAATCTCGTCCCAGGACGATGAAGCTCCAGACCATTGGCGATATCTTCAAAGTGGCTCAAGCTGTCCGTTGTGACAAACCTTGGAATGTATCTGATAACCATCTTCGCCACAAGGGCTTCTCGGCGTATCTTCATTACACCGCTCCTAGACGAAGCATGCCACGTCGCCCATACGGCAAAGGTCTCGGCGAAAACACGGCTTACCGATTGACACCAATCAGCAACCTTATGTTTATCTTTGGAGAAGTGGGGGAGATGCACCACATTATGTCAGTAGCGCAAAGGTGGAATACGGGAGTCTTTTAGCAGGAATAAAGATGGCACGGGGAGAATCATAATGACTGGGTTGTTTGGAGTCACCAGAAAAGCTCTGTACAAACATAATGCCTTCCCATCACCAGTCAATATCATATTCAAGGATCATGTCTGTCCATATATAGATTAGACCTCGGGAGGTACTGCCCTAGAGAGTATCCGGATTCTGTTATTGCTGGGTGGGTAGAAAACTATATTGTAGAGCCTCGACCTTCACTCTCACCAAGCACCAAGGCTACGACGGCATGTTTTTCTCTAGGCTCGAAACAGCTTCGCCAGTCCTTCAGCACTGACATTCCCACCACTCAAAATCAGGCCCAAGTCCCAGCCCTTCTCGCCCGCCTCCTTCTCCACCATCTGCCTAAACTCCTCATTATACAAAGCTACCGCCAGCGTCACTGCAGCAGCAGGTTCGACCACGACCTTCAGCCTCTCCAAGATCAACCGTGTCGCCTCAAGAATCTGCTCTTCGGACACAGCAAACATGCCATCAACAAGCTTTCTGTCATAGATAACGCTCCATGGAATTTCGCCGACAACGCCGATCAGCCCGTCCGCAATAGTGTTGGTATTGACGTGCGTGACCCTCTCACCCGTGAGGAACCCACGTCGACCATCATCAGCGCCCTCGAACTCAGGCTCGGCCCCAAAGACGCGAATAGGAGTATTCTCGCAGCTGAGCGCAGTACCCGCCAAAAGTCCCCCGCCGCTGCAGGGCGCGATGATGGCATCGAGATCGTCGGCTTGCTCTTGGAGCTCCAAGCCGGCAGTGGCTTGCCCGAGGATGACATGCGGATGATTGAAGGGTGGAACAAGACGGGCCCCCTTCTCAGCAACGATCCGGGCGGCTGTAGTCTCGCGCTCGAAACGTGCGCATGAAATGACTTTGGCGCCATACCCCTCCGTCGCTGCGATCTTGTTCGGCCGCGTAGTATTAGGCATGACGATGTACGCTCGGATGCTACTCTCCTTCGCAGCGAGAGCGAGCGCCTGGGCATGATTACCTGCGATTATGAACTTAGCCCTGCGGGGTGATGGACACAAAGGACGTCACACCTGAACTAAATCCGACGACGCCTTTTTCCATACCCCCACTCTGGGTAAAGCTGGGGTCTTGCTTCAGCCTCTCGATGGCGTGGAATGCGCCGCGGGCTTTGAAAGCTCCTGCACGCTGCAAGTTCTCACACTTGAACCATAGTCGGATGACCGGCTTTGCAGACTGGCGATCTCCCGTTCCCTGGGCCCGGGGTGTTGAGGCCATCTTGTTCAATGCCTCGCTTGTGAGCACCGGAGTGCGGTGGATCAAAGGTTTGATCAGCTCATGGGCTTCGAGGGTGGACTCTCTGGTTAATGGAAGACATGTCGATAGTTGTGCCATAATGGGGCTCTAGAATAGTGGTGGCTCGTTAGGTTTCTTACTAGTATGAGGACGTTGCGGGTAAATCGGTGTCTATGTTCGCTCCTTTCGGGCTGTACAGGTTGAGTTTTGTAGCCCTCAAGTCCCAAGGTCGGCGATATGCATGAGACGCGCAAGAGGCGGCCAAATGGCGGTTCGCCGAGCAATGCGATCAGCTCCCATGCTGAGCTCGGGACAGATGCCAAAAGGCGATCGACAGCACTGATAAGCCACACCTGGCGAGAGGCATACTCAATTCTACTCGATCAAAAACAAGTGAGTAGAGGGAAAAGGTAAAGTCTCGCCAGACATGAACTGGTACAGATGAATAGCGATGAGCTCCGTGGCAATAACCGAAGAAGGTTCACCGAGGCGGGACCCATTTCTCCCCCGCCATCCCGCCTGCTCAACATCACCAATATCAAAATGCCTGACAAGGACTCCAGCACCCCTCGTGTCTTCCTCTACCGTCACGGTGAGTAGAAGCAAATCAGCCTTCGCGATCTGATCACTAATTCCTCCGCAGGACAGACCGAATGGTCCAAGAATGGACGGTACACTGGTATCACCGAGCTTGAGCTCACCCAAGACGGTGTGAACCAAGTCAACGCATCTGGAAAGATGATCGTCGGATCAGGAAGACTCATTGATCCGTCGAAGCTGTCGCACGTCTACATCAGCCCCCGTAAACGAGCCGTGCAGACCTTCGACATCGCGTTCTCCGATGCCGACAAGCAGGCTCTGAAGGCCGCGAACAAGGTCTCAGAGACTGAGAGACTGGCCGAGTGGGGCTACGGCGAGTACGAAGGTCTGTTGACCAAGCAGATCCGCGCTTTGCGAAAGGAGCACGGTCTCGACTCCGAGCGTGAGTGGGATATCTGGAGAGATGGCTGCGAGGGTGGCGAGTAAGTTCCTCTCTTTCTACGGACCGGTCAATCTACTCGTATGGGTAAACTGACTGGGCGAATTTAGGTCTGCACAGCAAGTCACAGATCGCATTGATGACCTCATTCGTGAGATTCGGGCTGCCCACAAGGACAACATGCACGGAGAGAACCCCTCTGATATCGTGCTTGTTGCCCATGGTCACTTGCTTCGTGCCTTCACCAAGCGCTGGTTGGGTTACCCCATGGAGTTCCCCCTGTCGCTCATGCTGGACCCTGGCGCCGTGGGTGTCCTTAGGTAAGAACGCTCTGCCTACTTGAGATACAGCGACTGACATTTTCTGCAGCTACCAGCACCACAGCATTGATGAGCCGGCCATGTTGGTTGGATATGGATTCCCCATTCAGGAGTGATTGGGGTCATTTCAAGGACCGCAGCTGGGGTACAGAAATAGAAAATATAGAAAATATAGAGAAACCATGTATTCCAGCTAGAGAATGCAATGACGATATTTGCATCGCCTTCACTTCACTTGAGTACGAGAGCTGACTCCTGAGTTCGGGGCAGAGCGGAGTGTCGTGACAATTGAATTTGACGACATGACAACCTACGTGAGCCGAGTCTGCGAACCCTAGCAATTCAATCCTGTTCTTTAAATCAGCTGCAAAATGACATCGAAAGACCCGTTCGTCTTCAGGGACAGCCCTACTGCCAAGCCCGTCGCGCAAGTGTTGGTCGCGCCTGACCCGATCGACTGACCAGGCAGTAGCGCGCTCTTAAGAGTCACGATCTGCCTCGTAAATAACCACACGAACACCCTCAAGTGCGACGAGACATCAGGCGGAATGAAAGCTCCTTGGCTGGTGGGCACCGGACGGCACTAACGGTCACTAACAGATCGCCAGCTAAACGCTATATGATCCACGTTTCCCCTGATGAATTCCTCGCTTCCCTGCCCTCGGACATGTGTGAATTAGAGAGTTTCCTCGGCTAATATCCACCATATTCATCTATACGCGTGTCGTGGACACGGTTTGCAAAGTGCTCCACATCCTCATATGTGAAGTCGACCATGTCGCATGGAGATTTAGCGGTCGCAGAAGCCCCAAGAGCCCCCCATGGGACATCAGAGCCCACAACTCCCACATCACCGACAGAAAGACGGGGTTCCACGTTCATGAGCTTCTTCGCATCCATCCTCGGCTCCAAGAACCCGCTGGCCCATCCCGCAGACCCACATCAAAACACCGTGTGGCTGCTCGACAACACGGCCTACCAGCCCGTAAACGACGAAACAGGCGAGACCAAATCCTGGCACGCCGAAGTCGTCGCCTGTATCTTTGAAAAGGGCGGCAGGAAAGATATAGGCAAGATCGTTGCCCTGATCGCCGACTATATCGGGCTCGACGGCGAGCGTGGCGGCCACGAAGATGCTCGCAAGCGCATCGAGCTCCGTATCCAGCCTTTCCTAGATGCAGTCTCACCTTCACGGACGGTGACTCTCCAAGTCCCCATTTCTAGGCCGGCACAGACCCACGGTCTAGGCCCATCTGACCGCAACGGCATTATCAGCCAAACCTTCGATATGGGCCACCTCCGCGTTGAAGACGGGGCCGTAGTCAGACCCCGCTTGCATGATTTCGGAGATGAAACCGTATCCATGTATACGACCTTCGCTGCACCAGAAGGGTGGCTGGTGATTTCCGATATCGACGATACGATCAAGCGCACCAAGACCCTCGAGCCGACGGGTATCATACAAACCACTTTTGCAGATATCCCGGAGCCAATCGCGGGTATGCCCGATTTATACGATTATCTCGATGCCGAGCTGTTCCCGGCGTGGTTTTATCTCTCAGCATCACCGTATAACCTGTATCCGTTCCTGCATAGCTTCCTGGATGAGCACTACTGCCCCGGCACATTAGTGCTGCGTGATTACTCGTGGTTGGATATCACAGGTCTGATCAAGTCTTTCACGGAGAAAACGCAGGAGTACAAGGTTGAGCGCATGGAGAAAATTCACAACTGGTTCCCGCGTCGGAGAGTTCTGTGTATTGGGGATTCGACGCAGAAGGATCCCGAGGCTTATGCTGAGATGTACGCGAAGTATCCGGAGTGGATTCACGCCATCGTGATTCGCAAGGTGCTAGACGTGGCTCATATGGAGGAGAAGAATGAGCCAGAGAGGTTTGAGAAGGCGTTTGAAAATGTGCCAGATCACATCTGGACCGTTTTCGAGGACCCGAGGGAGTTATATGATTTTGTTGATGGACTTGGAATGGAGGATCAGGATTTGTAACTATCGCGTATATCCATGGATTGAGGCTCGAGGCCACTGCATTAATGAATCGATTTGAGAATTGTATCTTAATTAATCAGCTCCCTGGCCGTTCTCTTCTGACTACATGCTCCAGAGTTCCCTTCGGCTTAACCTGGGGGCGAGTTGCAGATCATCTGCTGGCCTCCGTGGCTGTTAATTTGCCCCGAATCATCCATTAGCCACCACTTGGACTGGTCTCACATGCTGAAACGATATAAAAGGAAGAGTTCAGCATCTTTATTGCAAAGGAATTCATCGGAATTGCTCTGTGGCGACGCCGAGCCGAGATCTACATACGTCAAGATTAGGAATTAGCCCCCGATCTATATCGATGGCAACTCGCAGATGGCGAACAAAACACAGTGCTATTAATATGCAGCCACAGGCCCTTATTCAACCAGCAAATTTCACGAAGTTGCAAGTGTACATACCGACAAAATGCATCAAGAACCGAATTCCATCAGTATGCACCCAGACATACCTCCCACGCAACCCATCGTGGACCCCGAGACAGGAAAGAGGCCTTCAGAGCCACCTACGCCGAAGCAGTCGACTAAGCAATCGACTCTATCGCCGGGTCAGTCGACAAAGCACTCTGCGAATCCGTCGACAAAGCAACTCGGGAACCAGTCGGCGAAGCAATCGATCAACTTGTCAACAAAGCACACCACAGCAAGCCTCAATGACACTGCCTTCACACCACTGTCTATGCGAGCACTGTACTACACCCCAGAAGGCGCAAACAGTGACATCCCCGATGGCATCCCTGAAGGGGACATCAACGACGCTATCTCCCCGAGCACAAGCACCAACATCATCCGGAAGAAAGGGACAAACCTCGTCTTCGACGCGAGTTTTCCAACACCGCAGCCCTCGCCTCAGCAGTATCTGCTGAAGGTCCACACTGCAGCCTTCTGCCACGATGAGATCCGTCTCGCCACAGCCCTCAACCCACCCATTAGCTCTCCGCAGATCCCACTGCACAGCCTCTGCGGTACCGTAGTCAGCACGCCCCGTGAAGACGACGACACGGAAGAAGGTCCACGGTTCAAGATCGGAGATCAAGTCTTCGGTCTCGTGAGCTATACTCGCGACGGCGGTGCCGCTGAATACACCCTTGCGACTGAGAAGGAGATGGCGCCCAAGCCGGACAACATCTCTATCTCTGAGGCTGCGGCAATAGCCCTGCCTGCTTTGACGGCTTGGCAGGCGCTGTTCCGGTACGCGGGACTTGATCCCGATGTGCCGGGTGGGTTGAATGAAGACGATGAGGAGTTCGGGCAAGGTGGCAACGGTACTGGACGGTGGCAATGGCAGCGCAAGCGGCGGGATACTGTTCTTGGAAGCATGGACTATGGATACGGGCATCGCAAGAGCACGATCGGGGCAGGCATGAGTGGAAGGAGCAGTCGTAAAAGCCCCGGTGATGTTGACAGTGGAATGGAACAGCGCAGCGGCACGGCCAACGACAATGCCAGTGGGAGCACTGGTGACCAAAGCGGGCATTGGATCTGGCATTGGAACCGTCGCGATACCATCCTCAACGACAAGGCAAGCGGTACCAGCTCTGGTGCTGGCACTTTGAATATCGACGACTTGCCTCGTGCAGCTAGCAAGGTCGAGCCAGACACTGCTCCAAACCCCAGTGCCAAAGCCAACGGCAATGTGCGCAGAGAAAGCCTCGCAAGTCTCGTCAGCGGTACTCCAAAGGCTACAGGCAAAGCTCCACGTGCAGCCAGCACCATCGACCCGCATCCGAAGAACAGCGTCCGCCGCGCCAGCCTCATCAACCTGGTCCGCGGCAATCCCAAAAACGAGTCTGGCGCAGGTAGTTCGGCAGGCTCGGGGACTAGTACGACCAGCACGAGACGCGGTAGTCTGCTCAACCTCATGGACAAGAATGGTCGTCTGGGAAGTCTCGTGAACAACACGAATCCCAACACTGAAGAAAGCAAAGGAAAGCTTCCCAAGATCCGAGTCCTCGTCACCAATGCCCGAGACAGTGAAATCGGCCGCATTTCCGTCCAAATACTACGTGCAGAAACCCTCTTCCCAGATCAGGTCCGGCCCTGGATCTGTGTGACATGCACGCCCACCGAGGCTGATATCATCGAGAGGGATTGGAAGGTTGACGAAATCATCGTGATTCCTCATCTCCCCTCTGCGGATGAATGCAATATATCAAAGGTGTTCCGCGCGCGGCGCTGGCACCCCGTTGATATTGTGTTGGACTGTGCTGGTGGCGAGGTATTCCGACAGGCTCATGCGGCCGGTGTGGTGAAAGACCATGGGGCTGTGCTGACGGTTGTGGACTCCAAGGTTGCAATGCAGTCGCCGCTTACTCCTGAGAATGATGAGCTTGGGGAGAGGAAGAGGGGGATTCGAAGTCGGTTTGTCCCTGTGAATCCGGACGGGCCGGCAATTGAAAGGATTGGAGAAATGATTGAAGAGAATCTTGTTCGGGCTAAGCAAGCCCGGATTGTGGATATGGCGAGAGGCGCGGATCTTTTGGCGGCTGGTGCTGCTGGAACTGCTGGGGGTTTACGAGGGGATATGGTTGTTGTCAAGGTTCAATAGGCGCATTCAGGCGCTGGTTCTTTGAGAGTGCTGAAGAGAGAAAAAATGAACCTGTCATGATTTTAGAGACCAACTAGACGATAATATCTCTCTAGCCAACAAGAAGTAAACAAGGGGAGATCAAGATCAGCGAACAATACAAGAGTGGATTTTGAGCTTTTCATACAAAAAGACGCTCTGTCGAGTCCCAGACTACACAAAAGGAACGAAACAAAGTCCGCTTGAAGAGAACAAAAGACAGTGTATTAGGAACGCGGTAATCGGTTAAAGTAAGGAATCAAGTCTGGTAAAAACGCTCAGGCATGCGGCGACGATCTAGAAACGTTAGTAAAGCCGGGTTGACATTGTCAAAGACTACTCACCTCCATCTGGAGCTCTCTGTCCTTGTTCTTGGTGGTCTCTTCGTTGATGGCCTGGGCCAGGTTGGCTCCGATCGCCTGAGAACCGCCAGCCCTCCGACCAAACGGCCATTGTGAGTATTCCGCCAAAAGCTCATCCACTTGTGCAAACGCTCTCTCACGAGCTTCGTGGCTCATTGTGACCAGCGCATTCTCCAAAACGTTGGCCGCGTATGCAGCGCAGACCATTGTGATCGATCGTAGGTATCGGTACTCGGCGTCTTCGGGCAGCCACGGGCTAGGAGGAATGATCACAGTGCGGTTGCTGCAGAGGTTGCGCACCCGGCGGTGGAGCTCTTCTTTCGCGCCGCCGTCGGCCACGGGATGTGTCGCCATGTCAAATAGCAGGAAGTTGCGCTTTTCGGTTCGGAGAATGCCCTTATCCACCAGGCCCTTGGCCAGTCGTTCCCGGACTTGCTTCAATTGATATCCGATCTTCATCAAGTTCCATGTCTCGCCTGCCAGGGTGTCAGCGTTTGCGTCGCTCACTGGACGATTTGCTAACTCTCTTACCACTCAACAAATCAATCCATTGATTGACGCTCATCTTCTCGCTCGACTTCATCATCTTCAGCGTCTCGTCCAGCAAGACCTCCCCAGTCAATGTGTCGTCGATGACCTCGATGATGCGGTCGGCCAGGGGGAAGCGTCGTCGCGATGAATCCTTCTGCATGCTTATACGCCCGCGAAGGGCAAGCTCAATGACAATGCATCCTCGTAGAGCGTAAGAGATGTTTTCGTTCCAGAAAGACAGATAACCCTGTGGTACGAGAGAAAGTCAGCGACCGAAGCCTCGGTCAACCAAGACCAGAGGGGTTCCTGTCGGAAAGACTCACTTGCTTATCCTTCAGGCCCAGTAGTAAAATGTCCTCCATCAGGGTCAGTTTAGGCTGCTTGCCTCGTTCCTCGTTTTCGCTGATGTCGCGGGGGTCGAACGCGATCTTGTGACCATTTTCGGCGCTGGTGAATGAAGTCTCTGGTCCGCGATTGTCCATGGCCGAGCCATTGCGCGAGATTGGCGACGACACTCGGCTGTCATCTTGCTCGTCGGTACCAGCGACTCGACCGGCGCCTCTGCGGCGAGTCAAGCCCCCAGCTGGTGTGGCCATAAGGAAATCGGGTCGGAGGGAGGGGGTTGAAGAGGGAGAAGGTGGTGAGCCGGAGGTGACCAGAACTCAACGCCGATCTATATAGCGACTGGGGGGGTTCGCCAGGGTGGTTGTGAGATGCTGGGAGGGACACCGAAAGTGTCGAAGTGGGACTCGGTGTCAGGGGAAACCAGGGACCGAGTGGACTAGCCCCAACGATGTTTCGGGCTCTGTTGTGAAAGAAGGTCTTGGGGATCCCAAAGGCCAGAAACGATGGTCCGGAGTGGTTGTTGAAAGGATGATAGGCGATGTGGTTTCGAATGCGGTTAACACCCGAACGGAGATTATGATCTCCTATTCTTGATTGCTTTTTTTTTTGCGCCGATTGTCTTGAGAATTGCGGTTTAATTTGCTTGGCACATATATTAGATCTGCTTACTGCTTAGGCTCACTTTCTGAGATCTTGTCTTTTCAAATAGCTGGCGCATACGTACCCCTCTACGAGGTTACGACGGTCGTCCGATCGAGCTGTCAGTGGCCTAATCTAGCTGCCGGTGGTCTACATTGACCACCTGGGCACTGTCTACACAAGCTCGTTTGATCTTAAAGCTTCAGGGCGATATCGGCCAGAAACTAGATGTACGGTAAAAGACACCTATGGATATCACCGATGGCTGCGTCAAAATTGCAAAACTTGCATTCAAATGATATACACGATAAAGGAAAGAAAAACCACTGGCATGTATTTCAGCATACAGAATAGCATCTCAGATAAGGGCAATGGTCAATAACCCCGCTGGTGCTAACATCCCGATTCTTTTCTATCCAATTCTCCAGGTTCCCAAAAGCAATTAGGTATTTAGTGAGCTGAGAAACGGTCAGCGAGTGTAGAGAGAAGCAATGCTAGAAGACTCACCATCGGGCTGGGCGAGGATGTACTCAACAGCCTTCTCGACTATTCACACAATTCAGGTCAGTTCCGTCGGGTGCATTCGGCGACTCATCCATCAAATCGAGACTTACCGCTGTGGATCTGGTCGGCCTCCTTGTCAGGGATCTCAATGCTGAACTCCTGTTGTACGGGTTAGATACTGTCACAAGGCCTTCAACTGTTTTTCCGAGGGAAACCGGTCGCATACCTCCTCAATGGCCATCACGACCTCGACGGTGTCCAAGCTGTCCAGACCGAGGTCGTTGGAGAAGTGTGAAGCGCCGTTGATCTGAAAGGTGTGAGATTTTAGCTGATGATACTTGGGTTGTCGCCTTGTCGCCTCTCCGGTAGCTCATCGCCGCGAAGGGTTACGACATCGCGTCCGGCGTGTTAACTGACCTTGCTGGCATCGGAAACCTGCAGATAGGAAGAAAGACAGTTAGTACAATGTTTTGGGACAATTCGTTCATAGCCGACGAATGGCGATTTTCCCCGGGAAAACAATATGACGCACCTTGTCGAAGTTCTTGAGGAGGTTGACAATGCGACCCTCAGCCTCGGTCTTGGAGAGACCGGCAGGGGCAGAGTAGAGGCGAGCACCCTGGAAGGGAGTGAACTGGGGAATGGCAGCAATGGGGGAGCTGCGGATGTGGAAGGGAGCCGGGGTCTTGACGACACGGGGAGCGGAGGCCCTCAGGGAGCGGACAATGGCGGAGCGGAACATTGTGAGACGGTGGAATTAAGCGCGAAGGCTAAAAAGATGTAGCAAACGGGATATAAAAAGAGGAAGGGTGGAGAGAGCAAAGAGGGTAATGGGGGAAGAGACGGGCAGAAGTGGAAGAGGTCGTCGCGCCCAGCAAAATCCTGCGGGCCAATCACAACCCGACAGAAAGGAATGACCTAAGCCCGAAACCTGCAAACTAGCACAACCTCGTCTTTGCTCCCTTTCACTACCTCCAATTGAACCTCCAACTCCCCATCCTCCTCACTCTCTCAATCATGGCCGCCACCCGATCGGTCGCGAGGCTAGTCGCCTACCGCCGGCCGACTCCCTTCGGCTTGCTGGGCTCAACCGCAAACTTCTCGTCCTCGTCAATCCGCGCAGCAACCCCAGTGGGACCCCCTCAGGCCGGGTTCCGCCTGCCCCCGCCCAAGCGCTGGGATCAAGGCGATGAGTCCGCCCTCGACAAGGCCAGCAAATACTTCCTCATGGCCGAGATCTTCCGCGGCATGTACGTGGTGCTGGAGCAGTTTTTCAGACCACCGTAGGTACCCCCACAACCTGAGTCGGCGGTGCGGACCATGTTCCGTACACGCCAATGGCATCGACAATTCGAACTCGACTCACCGCATCCGTCTTCTAGTTACACCATCTTCTACCCCTTCGAGAAGGGTCCCATCTCTCCCCGTTTCCGTGGTGAGCACGCTCTCCGTCGCTATCCCACCGGTGAGGAGCGCTGCATTGCCTGCAAGCTCTGCGAGGCCATCTGCCCCGCCCAGGCTATTACCATCGAGGCCGAGGAGCGTGAGGACGGCAGCCGCCGGACGACCCGTTACGATATTGATATGACCAAGTGCATCTACTGTGGCTACTGCCAGGAGAGTTGCCCCGTGGATGCCATCGTTGAGAGTGAGTCCCAGGTCCCAATACCGACTGGAATTCAATTGCTAATGCAGCGTCAGCTTCCAACGCCGAGTACGCCACCGAGACCCGTGAGGAGCTCCTGTACAACAAGGAGAAGCTCCTCTCCAACGGTGACAAGTGGGAGCCCGAGATTGCGGCTTCTGCTCGCGCGGACGCTCCCTACCGATAAATTACGCTCCACTGATCAGTATTCGTGGCTTACCGCGCGTATCCTATATATTCATGGGATACGCAATACTGATTTGAATACCCATTCATGAGGCACTATTTGTGCCTCGAAAAACAAGATATTGAACCCCCATCACACCAACTGTACATAACTTGCCCTCGACTGTGTTATCATCTTGTATTAGTCAACTCAGGGAAATCCTCCCTTGGAATGACTGCTTTGTCTCTGTTTGTCTCCTATGTTCTGGAATCTAGCACTTTTCTCTGATTCATTCCTACATATAATGTGTGGATCGATCATGTCTCGAACCTACCTGTGCTGCACTTCGTCTCATAACCCGTAAAGGGCACACCAAATCGGAGTGAAGATCGGTTTGACCTCTATCCGACTGAACCTTGGAAAGCGGGCAGCACGTCCGGTATTTCACCTGGACAGAAGACCCATTTCATAGAAGGAGCAGTAGTTGAGGTTCCTACAGAGCAAATGCTAGTCCCAATATCGAACCTTGCTTGATGGCGTTCTACATTGTAGTTTGCCACTACGTCACCAAACGAACCCACCTGCGGCACAGGCCCTGGAGTATCAAAGCGTTGTAGACCGGCCGTGTCCTCTCATTGCAATGGTTTCAATGGATACAGCTCTGCCCTCACGTCACTGGAGAATCATGATCTTCTCTGTAATTTGTATGTTGAAACCAGAACAGCATATTATGAGAATGATCCTCGAATGGAAGTGTTGTGGTTATAAGCCATCCTCAACATCAGATTAGCATAATAGTTCCACCTGAAGTTGATGGAAGAATTGCAAGGTAGGTTGACATGCCACCAATCAATCCCAAGGTAATCATAATCCGCATGTTCCAATGCATCTCGGTTAGATCCTACATGGTAAGGATCTTCAGATGAAAGCATCATCTATGTATATGCGCGCCATCTGGGAGCGTTAACTTGGGACTTCGAACAAGTCAAATAATGATCTGTAGATCTTTGATGTGCATGGTCAGGTATTTTCAATCGTTTCTCATTCCAAGATTCAGTGAAATTAGGTACTGGTCAATGGGCGAGGGGTCTGCAGAGAAGCAAGATGTAGGAGAATTCCAAGTTGGGGTCAGAGGGCAATATGCCCTACGGAGTAGAATCATTAGATATACTAAACATCAATTATGTATGTCTAGTAGACAGAAGCAATGCAGCCCGATAAGAAAATGATATTTGTATTCACAGGTAAATCAAATCGCTACCGATGCTGTCATGCATAGACATAAATTGACGGACCAAGCCGCCAAAGACACAAACGCAAACACCAGGCACCTTGATCTCCAGAAGGATATTTCCCAGTTCGACATCTCAAAACACTTTTTTTGGTTATTCGATCTTGTTTCCGGGACATCTGAGAAACGAAGACCATTGTTGAAGGGTATGCAGAGAGAAAAAATGAAAGAAAGAGGATAGAATGGAACAAGGTGGGCAATGTAGAATTAAGCAACAAGTGAAATCAATCTAAGCAGTCAATCAAAGAGTGACTTGCTTATTTCTTCTTGCCGCCACCCTTGAAGCTGCCCTCGAATCCAGGACGAGCCTTCTTCTTTCCACCGCTGGAGGGCTTCTTCTTGCCACCCTTGCTGCCCTTCTCGTCTCTGCGCTTGCGGAGGTTTTCTTCGCGCTTGCTCTGGCGTTGTTCCTTGGAGCGAACGACAGTGTCGAGGCGGTCCTTCCACTCGCGCTCGGACTTCTTCTTCGCGGTCTCCTTGCGCTTGAGAGCCTTCTTGAGAAGGGAGGTATCGTCACGAACACGCTCGCCGTGGGCACGCTTCTTGGCGTTCAGCCACAGGTCCTTGTCTTCGATATCGGCACGCTTGGAGGGGTCCATCTCAGCGAGTCGAGCCTTCTTGGCCTCGGCGGCCTTGAGCTGGGCAGCGGGGTCGCGAGCACCGCTGGATTTGTGCTTGTCACGGACTTCGCCAGCGACATCGGTCTGCTGGCCGTCGGTGAACATGACACGTCCAAAGGCGAAGTTGTTGCCGTTGGATGCGACAGACTCGGCGGGGGAGCGGGGAGAAGCAAGTAGGGATCCAGAGCCACCGGGGGAGAAACGGCGGGCCATGGCTTCATCGGTCTTCAGCTGTTCCTCCTCTTTGGCTTTTTGGCGCAGCTCCTTCTTGTGCGTTTTTCTTTGCTCGGCCTTCTGGCGGCGGGCTTCGATCAACTCTTGGCGGTTGCGGGCGGGCTTGCCGTTAAGTCCGTCTGCGTGACGCTTGGCTCGGAGCTCATCCAGACGCTTTTGTAGGCGCTGCTTCAGCTCTTCGGGTGTGTGCTTGAGGGGTTTGGGCTCTGGGGATTTGGCTTCGGTGGAGGCGGAGGGGGGAACGATAGATGAGGTAGAGGAGCTGCCGGATTGGGGATTTGAGGCATCGGGGGAGTCAGATGTGGATGTAGCAGTGGAGGGGTTTTCCTGCTCAGGGTTGAACTCGATAGAGAATCCTTCTTCAACAACACCGTCATCCTCTTCGTCGTCATCTTCATCCGCAGACTCTGCATCCTTCTTCGCTGCAGTGCCGTTGGGCTTGGCTGCAGATTTTTCCGAGTCCTCGGTGGAAGTGGTCGATGGCTTCTTTTCCTGAGCCTTTTCCTTGCGTGCAGCATCCTTGGCCTTCTTCTTTTCCTTTTGGGCGGCCTTCTTTTGTTGGTTCTTCTCTTCCTTTTGCTTTTTGCGCTCTTCGGCGGCGGCTGCCTTGGCGGGGTCTGCCTTGTCAGACTTTTCGACGGGCTTCTGCTTCTTGGAGTTGGCTGTTCCGCGGTTCAATCCCTCCTTGGGGGTCTCTGTGCCCAGCTCTCCGTCGGACCCGTCGGACTCGAGGGTCCCATCCTCCCGCTTACGCTTGCGAGCGTTCTCGTCCATCACGTCCTTAGCAGTCTTGGCGGCTTCGGGGTCCAGCTTCGCACGCTTTGCTTCACGGGCTTGCTCTTTGGTCTGCTTCTTGCGTTGCCATTGATCCTAGAAGCGAGGATGGTGGTCAGACAGAATTCTTCAGGATAGGCAGTACGCTGTGAGACATCGAATTGGACCCGCAAATGGAGGGAGCGGAAAGACACAAGAAGGGCCTACATACACTGGTATCTTCCTCGCCGTAGTAGTATTTGGCGGGGATCAAGGACAGTAGGCCGTCAAATGCCTGCGCATGACTACGCAGCCGTTCCTGGGCGGGGGGTCAGCTCGCAATCCTTGCGGGACATTTCTCGGGCTCACAAACCTCGATATCGTCCATAATTTATTCCCGTAGACTGAAATTGCAATCTGGAGGGGGAAGCTTGAAGGGCAAGCGCAACGAAAAATTCGGGGTGAGGGAATCTTGGCGCTAATTTTGGTCTCCGCTTCGATTCACCGCCTAAGTTTTTTTTTCTGACTTGGTCTGTGCGCGTTATCTACTTGTTTTCCTGGTTTATCGGACTTGGTCGATCTCCATTTCATACTCGTCAGGACATGGCAAGGCCACAAATGCAGCAAAACAATGTGAATATACTAATCAAGACTGATCCACAAGACCAGTGTTTATGTCCAGGACAGGACATTCCTCACTTGCAATATCCACTACCTTCCCATAAGGCCATGGGTCTGTCCATATAATGTCGAACCTGAGACAGTCAGCGTCAGAATCTACCATGTCAAGCGCAGGCACAATTCCCAAGGCAATCGGAGACCCATCGAGGGCCCATTGGACATTCCCAAGGGGCTCTCCTGTGTGACGCAAGGTCACCGAGCCGCACAACGACTATGAACCAACCACTTACCGCTCGTCTGGATACTCAATGGGCACGCCGTCACCAAGCTCCTCCACGATCTTCCCCATGGGTCCATGTCGCCACGATATCAAGATATTGCCCGGTCCTTCGTACGAATGAATAGCATCCACCACACACTTCACCTTCCCCCGCTTGCAGTGGGTGTCGACCGTCAGCCCCAGATCCCTCGCCAACGGCTGGACGGTGAAAAGGGAACGTCCGTGTTCGCCATCTAGCCAGAGCCACATCGTCAGATCAGTCATTTCATTTTATATCTCCACGATACCGCGACCTTAGTTGCCCGGAGGAGAACCCTGGAACGACTCACTTCTCTTGGTTCGAGGCGCTATGATATATCCGATATCAAACCCCGAGCGCTTCCCGAAAACGTGTCGCAGGCACTGTGCGCGCAACTCTCCTTCCGGCGAGAGGCCATGGTCGTTCTTATCTGCGGGCTTCTCGCCGTGGCGGATGAGATAGACTGTCGGTCTGTGTTTCGCGGATGCGACACTCAACACCAGACACAAAGCTGATAATATAGATCGTAGTAGCATGCTGGCATAGACTGGATACTAGTAGACTGCAACTAGCTATAGTTCACCAACCACGCAGGGCCCAGTAGCTTAGGGGTTTAGGTAGAGATGCGGTGGGGTGAATATGAACTTTGGAAGAAGCTTTCGAAAAAAAATAAATAAAGCACACTAGGGAAAACAAGGAACCTGGCCTACAAGCAGATCCTCCACCTCAGGTCGATCAGGGATCCATAATTGTCATAAGTGCAGGACATAAATCTCTCATGTCCTATCAAGGGGCGGGCTGAAGAAAAAGCAACGTAGGGCTGATACCGAAGCAGTAAGTAGTGGACCAGCATTTCGTATATCCCCAATGACAATTCAGGATAGGCGATGCGAGACCTGAAAGGGGGCTAAGTGCTGGAGCAAGTGGGCAAACAACACTGAATCAGGTGCCTGCCCAGGTGGTTTGCAGTCATTTCATTGGGCGTATACCACTCGTTTGATGGGCTTGATCTTGAAGATCTGCGTAAAGTTGGTGTTTGAACCTTCGACCATTTCAAGGCTGTCTGCGTTACACAGTGAGGTTCTTTTTCCCCTCTCTTTTATTTTCTCTGCTTACTCGTGGAGTAAGGAGCACTGAGCGTGATGTGAAAATGCTCATGGTGTGAGGACCTTCGAGGACAGGCATCACCAGATCATACACCATCTCCTTATGCATACCTAGGTACAGAGTACGCGTGTTGGCCTTGGTCACGGACTGATCATGATCACCTGATGTTTGACAGGTTGAAATTTTCGAGCGGCCAAAAAGACATGTATATTTTCTATAAAGTGCCCACGCCCGGGCGGCTAAATACCTACCTAGTACTCCGTAGTATGCCCCGGTGTTATGTTCGGTCGGGATCGCCTCGGATGTAAATATATATCGGAGCCCCCGAGATAAAGGCTGCCCAAAGCGCCCGTGGAATGCCCAGGTGTACACTACGAGATTAAGCACTAACTAGCATTCTGGCTTGTCAGCTGGAAATGGCATCATTATGAGTTCAGGGCACCTAATCTGACTTGTTCTGGTCGCGAAGGCGAGTAATATCCTGCGATGTTGATCAATGTATTACCGGTCTTGAGTCTTGGCTTCAGGCCCCAAGAATTTACTAGCACGGAACCAAGTATCACATTAATTTACCTCTCAATTTTGGACTGGACAAATTATTAGCAGGCAGTATATCTATGAGTAACGGAGTTAGTGAGATATAAACTCGTGACGTCAATCCTGATCTTCAAGTGCCCTTTGTAGATCTGCTGATGGGTTGAGGCTGTACCTAGGTACAGAGTGAGAGAAGGAAGTTCAGCCCAGTCTGTGCTAGGCAACCAAATAAATTACCCCCAAAACAGTAAAACAGCACGCCGAGAGACTCTGTGCAGCATTTAGCGGGGACAGCAAGGCTCGGCATTACCATAACATTCTAGAAAAGTCATGGAAGCCGAGTGATCCGTGTACAGTTCTATTATCGGGCGCTCAGCCCTGCCATAGCCACACGTGAATGCAGCAAAATGGTGCGCAAGTCTGTGGCGGTGCTGCAGCTCAAGTACAACATAGGGCGATCGGGTTCTATTTCACGGGCCGTACGTGTAATCGATGGTAATCCGTACTAACCGCAGCCAGTCAGTGGGTAATAATACCGCGGAAATAGAGAAAACACAAGGCGCTTTGAACGCTGCGCCCCCCGTAAGCGTAAGTTTCCGCGTCTCATGTGGGGTTCGTACCGTCAGCCCTGTGGTTGCTCCGGGTCACCTTCTTATAAAAAGGGTTACCCCTCCTCATCTTGTCTTTCATCTTCACTCCACTTCACTCTTCCATCTTCATTCTACTTCCAAAGTTCACATCTCACTATCTCAATATGTCCGGCTACGATCAATACAACCAGGGCGGCTACGGTGGCCAGCAAGGCTACGGCCAGCAGGGTTACGGCCAGCCCCAAGGTTACGGCCAACAAGGCTACGGTCAGCAGGGTGGCTACCCTCCTCAGCAGGGCTACGGCCAGGGCAACTCCGACTACTACGGTGGCCAGCACCAGCAGCACCAGCAGTACCAGGGCCAAGGTTACGGTCAACAGCAGGGTGGCGCTTCCGACTACTACGGTGGCCAGCAGTCCCACGAGCAGTACGGTCAACATGACCAGCACCGCCAAGGGTACGTACTCATCCTTGTCACTTGAGAAGATCATCTGCTAACAAGCAACAGTGGATACGAACAGCACCAGGGTCAGGATGGTCCCCAGGCTCAGGAGGGCGAGCGTGGTCTTGCCGGTGCCCTCGCCGGTGGAGCCGCTGGTGGCTTCGCCGGCCACAAGGCCAACCACGGATTCCTCGGAACAATCGGTGGAGCCATCATCGGTAGCATCGCCGAAGATGCCGTCAAGAAGCACCGCAACTCCAGCTCTCCCCAGCCTCCCCAGGGTGGTCCCTACGGTGGCAGCCAGTACGGCGGTCCCCCTCCCTCCCAGGGTAGCGGTGGTTCCATGATGGACCAGCTCGGTGGCTTCTTCAAGAAGTAGAGGGTTTCCGATGGGCTCTTTCGTTTGATGACACATCCTTCATGAATTTCCTTCTTGTTTCCCCATCGCTATTTCATTGTTCCACTGGGCTGGCATGCATTTCTTCTTCGCCAGATCGCCTTGCTTTATGAATTCTTTTTTCTTTCCGCTGGGGGTTTTAAGCGCCTCTGGGCTTTTGTACCATGACAATACTTGCATTGATATCGGAAATCACCTTAGTGTGATCATACCATAATCCCAGAATTGCAACATGATGACCTCGATGAAAATTTTCAAACGTAGATGTTCAAGTAGATGAGATCGAGAGGAAACGTTGGCCAAAACAAAAGAAACAATTGCGGGTGGCTGTTGCAGCCTCAGGCATACGCCAAGCCCGACAAAAGTTCAAGCGGACATGTCTCCAGTAACCTCCCCGTCAGAAACATCTGCAATTCAATCCCAAAATGATTGTACGGAAGGTTTGTATGCGGCAGAGTGAGTTTGATCCCATGACTGTCAATTCACCGTGATTCCTCTGACAGCGCATTCACCTAGGCCGCCAGCTCCTCGCCCTGAGCCGAAGAGCCCCGATCTCAAGTCGCTTCCAATCGACATTGACCGAGACACCCGTCGAGACACCGCAGACCACTCTCGGCGAGTCACTCAAACCCGAAAACCCTCTCAATGAGATGGTCCAGGCCCAAGCCGCGGCTGACACGGCACAAGAATCCGCACTCGACATTCCCAGTACGTTGCGCAATCTCCAGTCAAATCCATCGACTAACTCTCTCAGGATCAAAATTCAACAAACTCGGCACAAAGGTCAAGGCTGCCTACCACCCCGAAGATGTCCTCCGCAACCCCCCCAAGCCCTCGCAAGTCACCCTGGAACTTCTCCTGGCCTCCGGAACCCACATGGGTCACTCGACTTCCCGCTGGAACCCCCAGAACTCCCGATACATCTTCGGTATCCGTGAAGGCGTGCACATGATCTCGCTAGACCAGACAGCCGCCTACCTCCGCCGAGCCGCGAAAGTCGTCGAAGAAGTCGCCGCGCGCGGCGGCCTGATCCTCTTCGCGGGTACCCGCGACGGGCAGAAGCGCGCAGTCGTCAGAGCTGCCGAATTAGCACAGGGATATCACATTTTCGAGCGATGGATCCCCGGCTCGTTGACTAACGGCCAGCAGATTCTCGGCCACTGCGAGACGAAGGTCGTCAACGCGCTGGATGAGGAGTTGCCGGATTTCAAGAAGGATCTGGCAGATCGCCCTTCGCTGAAGCCCGATCTGGTGGTTTGCTTGAACCCGCTTGAGAACGTGGTGTTGTTGCACGAGTGTGGTGTGAACAATGTGCCTACGATTGGTATCATTGATACTGATGCGGATCCTACGCGTGTCACCTACCCCATTCCTTCGAACGATGATAGTCTGCGCGCTACTCATTTGATTGCGGGTGTTTTGGGCCGTGCTGGTGAGGCGGGTCAGTTGCGTCGGATGAAGATGGCTGAGACGTGTCGGATTAGCTACAAGCCCATTACGGCGGCTGAGTTGCGTCTGGATCCTTTCACTGGAATGAACATCAGTGAGGTGGCGAAGAAATAGTGATTTTGGCATTTTGATTTTTGGCATCCGATCGATTGCATTGAAACGACGGGTTTCTGTACTGTATAGATCTTGTTGACATGTATAACAACTTTGAAAAATGGTTCCAGCACAAGCTTGGTTTAATTGCAGTTGATTCGCTATTTGGGCTGAGGAAGACTTACCTAGGTCCACCTGTGCAGGTTGAACAGCGGTATCGGCAGGGATCTTCCAATATTCAATTTCGAGAACCTAATCATTGATCCGCGCTCGTACGAGATATGCATTAGTCTACTACGACTACTAGCAGCGTGTCTCCGTTCTCAATGCGACTCAAAAGCTTGTGGTTCGATAGTCCCCACATACCACCCCGACAGCCAGTCACAGTGTGCGAGACCATCACGTCCCCCGTCGATTCGATATGATTTGCATTGGAGCTACAAGATAAAAGTGGCCCGGATGGATGCGAAAGAGCTCACTCTGAGCCCGGAAGCTCTCTTCTCCCAACGATCGCGCACGTGTTGCGATAGACAGCCTGCAAGGTTACCATTTCCACAGCGTCTATGCCATGACATGAATAGCTCGACTAATATAAAGGTCCAGGGGCCTGTCAGCCCCGAGCTCCTAACCCAATTCCCCTGAAGCCATGGCCCCCCTCACAACCCTCCTCTATGCCCTGAGCATAACAAGCGCGCTGGGTTCAAGCGTGTCCGAATCCTCGAAACCATTCTCCCAAGAATTCCGCGACAACTACAGCGTCCTCAAGCACTACGGCGGTAATGGTCCCTACTCAGAGCGTCGCTCGTACGGCATTGATCGCGACCCACCGGCAAGCTGTGCCGTCGATCAAGTCATCATGATCAAGCGCCATGGCGAGCGCTACCCATCTCCATCCCTGGGCGCAGGCATTGAAAAGACGCTCTCCAAACTCGACCCTAAAGCCAAGTACCAAGGCGATCTGGCCTTCTACAATGATTGGTCCTACTACGTGCCTAATAAGTGCTTATACAATGCCGAGACATCGTCTGGTCCTTTTGCCGGCTTATTAGATGGCTATACCCATGGAACAGAGTATCGGGCTCGATATGGCCATCTATGGGATGGGGATGCTATCGTGCCTATGTGGAGCAGTGGGTATGGACGAGTGATTGAGACGGCGCGCAAGTTCGGAGAAGGCTTCTTCGGGTATAACTATTCGACCAATGCGGCGTTGAACATTATCTCTGAGAGCGAGAGCATGGGCGCGAACTCGCTGACGCCGGTTTGCTATGCGGATCGCGATTCTGCGACTTGTGATGGTTTGTCGAATACCATGCCTCAGTTCAAGGTTGCGGCGGAGAGATTGAATGCTCAGAATCCCGGACTGGATCTGAATGCGACAGATATTTACTATCTCATGTGTGAGTGCTTGATGTCCATGATGCATGAATGCGACAAAAGGCTAATGGTTATAGCAATGGCATCATTCGAGTTGAATGCCCGCGCTTCCTCCAAATGGATCGATGTCTTCACCCAGGACGAATGGGTCAGTTTCGGATACGTCCAAGACTTGAACTATTACTACTGCGCAGGGTGAGTCGAGTTTCCATCCAGACACATTGTTATGATAACTAACAATTCCCAGCCCGGGCGACAATTCAATGTCCGCCGTAGGCTCCGTCTACGCAAACGCAAGCCTGACCCTACTCAACGAAGGGCCCCAAAAGACCAACCCTCTATTCTTCAACTTGTAAGTCAAACCTCCAACTCACACATGACAAGCACTAACCCATCCAGCGCCCACGACACAAACATCACCCCCATCCTCGCAGCCCTGGGCCTCCTCACCCCCGAAGAAGACCTCCCGTTAGATCGAATCCCCTTCGGAAACCCATACTCCACCGGCGACATCGTGCCACAAGGCGGCCACTTTACAATCGAGCGTCTGAGCTGCGACAAGACTGCTATCTCGGATGCAGGGAGCTATGTTCGTCTCGTCCTCAATGAGGCGGTTGTTCCCTTCCACCAATGTACTTCGGGTCCTGGGTACTCGTGTCCATTGGAGGAATATACTACCATCGTCAAGGGGAGATTGCCTGACTTTGTTGGGCAGTGTAAGGTTCCGCATAAGGATCCGAAGAGCTTGAACTTCTGGTGGAAGTATAATTCTACCACTGAGTTGAATTATCGGAATGGCTCTGTTCCTTGTCAGGAGGCGGAGGCTCAGCGGTGATCTTGTATGATATTTATGAATATAATGTATTTCTAATTCTTAATATTGGGCCGTTTTTCAGTTTTTCCAGAATTCTAAGCAAAGCACCTGGGCAGGGTTATGGACGTGGTCTCTTGTCTGAAACTGGAGCTTAATCACTGAAATGATACTACACCGACAATGTCCAGGCGACTCTCAAGGGTCAGCATCCATTGAATATCTGCCAAACGGGTTATGTATATTGGATTCGCAATCCAGGACCTGGAGAGCTTTGCGCGTAGCTATTCAATCTGCTATTAGGCCTGATCCTCGTGTTGAAAAGCACACGGTAAAACTAAATGATCAATTCCAATCCCCCAACATAAGCACTTTCACGTATCCATGGATGATCCCCATCTAACAAGACCACCCAGGAAGGGATGTCACTCCATAGCCAATGAACGCGCCAGGAGGGTTACAGCCCAGACGCACATTAGGATTAAAGTAGTACCAGCGATCTGTGATGATCAGCCTCGAATGTACAGCAAGGAACGGAGTATCTTACCCTCGGCACATTCACAGTAAGCGTTATTGATATTGCAGTATGGGTCTTCGCTGTAAAATAATCAGTGTAGTTAGCAATATGGAAGAACGATGACTTACAATCGGTAACAGCCGCTGAAATTAATCTCAGAGTCAGTTTCCGGCGAAGGGGCTGCTAGACCTATGGCGGTATGGAGGAAGAGAATGAAGGTGACGAGCTTCATATTATCTCAAGGTTGATAGAATGTTTAGAGGTCGAATTGATGCCCAGTGGATATACAGACTATAGAATGAAGGCATGATATCCTTTTTATATGCTCAATTAGATGGGTTAATGGCTCACAGAATGATCTGTATGACTTTGACTCATGAGGCTTAATAAATTGTAGCATATAGTTACAGGCGCACTGAGCTCTCTGCTTTGCTGCCAGAGAGGGACAATAATAGACTGGATTCTTGTGAAACGCTCGGCGGAAGAGCTTCTCTATAATGCCGCAAAATGAATATAAAGAATGTCCATTTTGACCGTTCGGCGAATACTTTAACTACTTACTATGGTGTTATCCCTGTTAAAGCCATGTACGGAACTGTGGCTGAAATAGAAACCCCGAAAAATTTCAATTCGTTTAGTTTCATCTATTTTTAATCTAATGATATCCCCCAAATGCAAGTTCATGTCCATGAGCCTTATGATCCACAAGTGCTCCCCAAAATTAGACCTTGAGAGTATACACAACGCGACCACGAGAGTCGGTACCCTTAAGCACAATCTCGTCACCAGTGCTCGAAACAACCCGGCGCTGGTCACCATTATGCAGGACAATATCCAAGTCCTTCCAAGCAGGAGTGAAACCAGTCTCACCCTGCTCGAACTTCACAGACACCTTCTCCTCAGTAGAGCTGTAGCTGATGGTGTACGAGGAAGTACCAGGCTGGACAGAGATACCATCATCCTCATACCAAGTGGTAGCAAAGACGGTTCCGTGCGAAGTACCCTTAGGAGGGAAGATCTCCACACCACGGTAGTCGTCAATCTCCTGAACACCGACAGAAGCAGCGGTTTCATCACCGGGGACACGAGTGTGGACATTCTTTCCGACAGGAATGGCTCCACCAACACGGGCAATGAGCGCAATGCTCTTCTGCCACTCTGATGAGATCTCGGCCCATTGACCAGATGCCAGGTACTGGTATGGGGCGTTCATGTTGACGTAGCCGTAATCGAAGACGCCAGTCTTGCGAGGAAGGTAGACATTTGCGACATCGATGCCGGTCTTGTAAACGCCGCCGACTAGGACGGTGTCACCGAACCAGAATTGATCTTCGCCTGCCTTGAGTGTCTTGGTCCAGACTTCGGGATCGGTCTCGTAGCCCCATCCTGTCCAGCGCTGTGGCGGTGTTGCAGATCGATGGCTCTCCAGACCGAGTGAGTAGATGTAAGGCAGCATTTCGTAGCGGCGTTTGATGGTATCGCGGATCTGGGGTGTGATCTCGGGATACATGAAAGGTTCGATAACATCACCGACGGAAGAGTCCTTGGGAGAAGTCTTGAAGCAGTTGATTGCGAAGCGGGGAGCGTGACAGCCTAGCTGGACCCAGCGTAGGAGAAGCTCTGGAGAGGGCTGGGGACCCTCGAATCCGCCAATGTCGTGACCTTCACACTGGAGGAGAGACATGCCGGCATTGAGAGAGAGGGCGTTCGCACCCTTCATGTTCTCCCAGCTAGTGACGTTGTCACCACTCCAGGAAGACGCGGCGTAGCGCAGAGTTCCAGCAGTAGCACTGCGTGTCAAGACGAAAGGACGCTGCTTGGGCTCCATGTCTCGCAAGGCATCGTGTGAAGATTTGCCCATCAACTCTGTGTGGAGCGCGCGACCCCAGAGACCAACTGAGTTCTTGACATTCTTTGCTGCTGCATCGGCCACGGTTGGCTCGTTGAGAGACATGGTCCAATCATCGTCGGGTAAGGTATATTCATTGTTGTCATTCCACATACCGTCGATACCGACTTTCTTGAGGCTCTGGACACCATCATACCAGAACTTGAAGGCTTCTGCGGAGGTGAAATCGATATGAGCCCCGTCACCACCGGTAGCCCCACCAGCACTCCACAGTCGCATGTATCCAGGCTCCTTGTCCGCGTCTTTGAAGAAACCACCGGCATCGACAAGCTTCTTGAATTCAGGGTGGGAAGCCAGCAAGAAAGGCTTAATGTTGGTGATCAGTCGGATACCATGCTGGTGCATCTTTGAAATCCAGTCCTGAGGATCTGGGAAACGCTCGTAGTTCCACGTAAAGACGTTGCGAACCTTGGGCTCAGTAGCCGCAATAGAATACCCAGAGCTCATCTGATGAGCCGAGCAAGGGATGCCATGGTGCTTGAGTTTCTCAGCGAACTCCAAAAGAGCCAAGTGCGCCTTCTGCGGCTCTTCCAGCATGGTATACTTGTAACCACCGGAGATGTAGCCGTAAGCCCAGCGAGGCACGAGAAGCGGGAAACCGACTAGCTCGGCATATGAGCGAACCACATCCTTGATGGTCTTGCCGACAATATAGTACTGCTCAAGACCACCGTAGTCCTGGCGATACACCTTGAAGTGTCCCCAGAGGCCGTCGATCTCAGCTCCCACAGACCACAGGCCGCGGCCATGAGTTGTTGAGAAAATCGCCACACATCCCTCCGGCGAGGCTTTGATCAAGAGTGGAATGTGCTTGTATAGAGGATCGGTGTTGTAAACATCGTATCCAAACGAGTCTGTGGCTGAGAGCTGGAATTGACGGCCACTCAAGTCCATGGGGGCCGCCTTTTCGCCGAGTCCGACATGGAGGCACTCGCGGTCATGGACAGAGTAGTTGGCAATACCCTCGCCGTCTGCGACGAAAGATCGCAGGGGCAGATCTGCATGTAGGGGCTTCTCGGAGCCAGTCCATGAGATCTTGACTACGGGAGTGTGCTCCCAGTCCACTGACGCAGTGACGCCGGCGACGTCGAATGTCTTGGAGGAAGCGCTCTCCTTGGCGGAGACATTGGCGCCCTGCAGGTTTGTCTCGGGCTTGGTCACGCTCGGGTAAGGGGGAATGGGGTGCTCTGCGGACGAGAAAGTGGCGCGGAAAAGGTTGGGGCGAACGGCTTCGAAGGTGAAGTCAAAGGCATTCTTGCTCTTGGTGCTGCTGCGAACGTGAACAGATGCCTCTTGGTTCGTCTGAGGAACCTGTGAGTAGCCCTTAGGGCAGCTTTCTTTCTGAGGCATGATGTGAAAGAGAATGCGATGAATCCAGAGGAACTGGAGAGAATACCAGGATTATCCCAGACATGGTGGGATATTTGAATGCTGAGCTTCGTGGTTGATCATCGTGGTGTGTACCCCGCCAGTCATGCAACCAGCTGTATACAATCGGAGATCGGGGGTGATCACCGAAGTGAAGTTCAAGTGGCTGCCAGGCAGGACTCCGAAATGCGGGTGATTTTCCCCCACAAAGTCCAGTCCGGGGAAATGTTCGGTTTTCCTCACCGAACTCCGATGCTAAGACTTCTAGGCGCTGGCCACAACTCCTCTTCTTTCAACCACCCCTCCCATGCCAATGCATCCCATCGAGGTGATTGGATAGCTTGTCGGACCTTGGCCGTGGTGTTGCGGAGATCGTGTCCTCCCGTGTCTTGCCAGATCAACTGACCGTGTACAGGCTAATACAAAGTTTCATTGGCAACGATGCCACGGCCCAGAAGGATAATTCAAATGCCGGTTGTGGTCTGACACTTCGGCTGGGACTTGTCTGGGGAATGTATATACATTTCCTTCCCCACGGGGTTTGCATGCGCTATATTTGAGCCCTATTTTGTCTCCTATCCCCGGGCTCAATCTCAATCTACCGTCTATTTACTACTCTGAATATTTTCACATCACTCTTCCGCCACTGCGAGTGATAAAAAATGTCGCAGAAGGCATCGCAACCCAAGGGCCAGGATGAGTTCGTGGAATCCATTGAGCCCGAGCAGTCACGGGCTGTATCACCAGGCAAGAATGACACAGGAAGTCATCCAAAAGGTGATCAAGCCTTGCAACTCATCGAAGAAGCAGGGCACTCGAACATCCTGACACCGGAGAACAACGCCAAAGTTCTTCGAAAGATCGATTTGCGTCTGCTCCCCATTCTTCTGGGAATTTATTTCCTTCAACAACTTGACAAGTCAACAATTTCATATGCCTCCGTGTTTGGAATTGTTGAGAAGGCCAATCTCCACGGCCAGCAGTATTCCTGGCTAGGAGGCTCGATCTACCTGGCTCAGTTGGTGTTCCAACCACTGGTGGCCTACCTCTTGGTGAAAGTACCCCTGGCCAAGTTCCTCGCTGCATCATGCCTTCTATGGGGAATTGCTTTGTCGTGCATGACCGCTGCAACAAATTTCGGAGAGCTGCTTGCTTGCCGCATCTTCCTTGGTATTTTTGAGGCTGGCATAGGTACGTAACCATCCAACTCGTCAAGATTGTCTCTAATTCAATCTCATCTCTCCAGCCCCGGCCTTCATCGCAGTCACCCAAATGTGGTACCGACGTCGTGAGCAACCCGTGCGACTAAGCTCTTGGTATGCGATGAATGGAGTCGTGAATATGGTGTGTTCTCCTGATTTAAATTTGACTTCTTGACCCCTTGAGCTGACAAGGGTCAAAAGTTTGGAAGCTTGATTGCCTTTGGACTTGGCCACATCAAGTCCTCTATATTCGCGCCTTACCAGGTGAGTCATATTACCGCACAACTCCCTTTCAATGTCACTATCTAATGCCCACCAGATTATCTTCCTATTCTTTGGTCTGGTGACCGTTGGCTTCTCTGCCGTTATACTGTAAGGGTCCTGCATAGCCATTACACCGCACCATACTGATCGAACACAAATAGTGTTTTCATGCCCGACTCCCCCGTATCGGCCAAGTTCCTAGGAGAAGAAGACAAACTGCTGTCTATCGAGAGACAGCGAATGAATCAACAAGGTGTCGAAAGCCAGGAATGGAAATGGGATCACGCAAAGGAAGCAATGCTAGATCCCAAATCATGGTTCTGGTTTGCACTGATGTTCTCCATCTCGTGAGATCATCCCATCGAAAGATATTGCCAAGGCCAAGATTGCTGACAACGATGTAGAGTCCCAAGTGGAGGCATTACCACATTCGGCCCCTTGATCATCAAGTCTTTTGGACTTAGTGAATACGACACCATGCTTTTCAACATCCCGTTCGGTGCTGTTCAGCTTGTCGCAACAATGGGAGGAGCCTGGTTGGCGACCTTTTGGAAAATGAAAAGCCCGGTATTGGCCCTGCTCTGCCTCCCGCCCATCGCCGGTTGTGTGATGCTTCTGCAAATTGCACACGACAATGCCCATAAAGGGCCTCTCCTTGCAGGATACTATATTGTAAGTGGCTGCATAAGTGAAAAAGACATTCATCGAGAGCAAGCGCTAATAATTACCATCTAGATTTCCGTGTATCCCGCCATCAGTAAGATTGGAGGAACTCTCGTTATTAAACATGGCTGACCCTCTCTAGCACCGCTGATTTACTCCTGGTCCGCAGGAAACACAGCCGGTGAAACCAAAAAGAAAGTCACTACTGCTATTTTATATGTCGGACAGTGCGCTGGTAATGTATGTTGCTACTACCTAGGCCCGAACGTTCTATTACGTCCACCGGGTGCTGACACTTCTACCAGGTCCTCGGACCGAACCTTTACACGACCGCTGAAGCACCACTGTATCGTCGAGGCTTACTTTCAAAGTAAGTAGAGGTCCCCAAAGCCCCCAAATAACAGGTAGTTAACGCCCTACTAGTCTCGCACTGTTTTGTGTTCTGATCGGCCTTACCGGGTGAGTTTAAGTCCACCCCAATAGAGCGATCATCTTCTGACTAGATCAATAGGGCAAACGCGGCATACCTGTATTATTTGAACAAGAAGCACGAGAAGAGACGTGTCGCTGTCGGAAAGAGCGCCAAGATTGTAGATCACTCGATGCAGGCTGTGCAAGCAGTGTCCGACAACAAAGAAGACCTGCCTCAACCACCGGCAGACGATAACGCTTGGAAGGATATGACCGATTTGCAGAACGAGGACTTTGTGTTTGTCTTCTAAGATTCGGTTTGGTGGTTTACTGTGTGCTATGGGGGCATGAGTCCCGTTTTTGTTCGATAAGCGATTTATCAATGTAGTTATTAAGGGTAACCTTATAGTCCTTGTAGGAAGTTCTTACCGGCATACGTGCATGTACTCTAGTTTCGCCTCGACCCCCAATAGAAACAAGTAGCAATAGCCGTGACTGTGCTCCGGCTCGGCGCAATTGCCGAACCCCGCGTTTCTCCAGACTTCCCCTTTCCCCCCGAATTCATCGGTGCAAACAGGACAAGTCCGACTTGCCATGACCGATCAAGGAAGTCCTTTTAGCACGGGCATGGACGATGAGTCGCTGCATTTCATCCCAGCACCAACTGGAAAAAAGCGCATCCCGGTAAGTTAGGCCAATTGAAATGCCACAAAGGACCAGAAAAGCCCTAACGAGGTATGGCGTTCCCAATGCATAGAAAGCCTGCAGTGCTTGCCGTCAATCGAAGGTCTGTGCTCAATTCATATGATTTCGACGTCTTGGGAGGTTGGCTGATCACTTGCAGGTGAAATGTGATGGAGAGAGACCATGCACAAGGTGAGTTTCGAACTCCAACATCAAAAGATCATCTTGCGCATTTGAGGCTTATCAAAGAAACAGATGCCAGAAATTGGAAAAGCAATGCGTCTTCTTCGAGATTCCAAAGGATCCCGTCGCAGAGTATGTGCCCGTCTCACATAACACCAGTCAAACTTGACTGACACCACTCAGGCGAATCGAAGGCGTCGAGTCCGAGGTACAATACCTCCGAAAACAACTCGATGAAATGCACAAGCTCCTTCAACAGAGCCGTGCCCAGCCCTCACCCCAATCCCAACTAACACACTCCCCAACCCATTCCCGACCCCGGGAGCAAGTATGCCACGAGAGAGGATGCAGCTCTGGGCCTCGTTACCAAAATGCTCAAGGCAACCACGAAGGACTTGAAGCTATATCAGCCATCGGGTCTGGATACTCGGATGGTCATCAATACCAAGGATCTCTACCAGCATCTATACCGACCCTCTCGCCTACTGACGTTTCAGCTCAACCTCTGTACACAGCGAATCAAATTATCAGGCCGCCCAAAAGAAAACGATCAGGATTTGAGGTTCGGGACGAACCCATTGCCGACTTTATCGACAAAGGGCTCATCACTTTCGAATGCGCCGTGTCATACTTCAACACGTATGTCTTTCTAAAACCCGTTCTATGTCAGAGCTTTAGCTTACAGGATGATATAGATTCTTTGAAGGATGCGTATGTCTCCAGTCTTCTCGGATTTGCAATGCTGACGTTCGATGAGCCATCCAGGACAGGTATATTCCGATTTTTGACCCAGAATATGACACTTTCGACTCGATTCGATCCCGGAGCAGCATTCTTCTGAACGCAATATGCACTATTGGCTGCATGGTCGAGACAAGTACGTAGATTTATCCGGAACATTCTTTCAAATGAGTACTTTACTAAATGTGCATGTTCAGGGTCTGGCGGCCCGATGTCCGACATACTTCATACAGAACTCAAGAGATGGATCAACGTCATCATCCAAAACAAGGCACTCAGTTCCCTTGAGGCAGTTCAGGCAATGCTGATAGTTGCTTGCTATTCAAAGGAACGTTCTCTGATCTTATCCTTTGCTACCCGCATGGCTTTAGATCTGGAGTTACACGAGGCCTTCGATGAGTTGACCCAAAGATTGGCGCTTCGGAACGAAGATATCGCTTATGCTTTACCGCATCAGATGTTTGAGGAAGAAAGAAGTCTTATGTGGAAATCTCGGACATGGTTTGGTCTTTTGGTTCTAGAGCATATGTAAGTTTCTCGAACCCTTAAAATGCCCCGGAGAATTAACGCGATAGTTCAGATTTCGCGTTGATGGGGGAAAACCACCCGGCATTCGATTGAAAGGAAACCCTCGACGCTGTCGGGTCTTATTGAGCCACCCTTCTTCAACAATTCTGGATTTGCGGTTGTTCTCCCAGGTAGAGGTGTGTACCGCAACTATATTACTTCATCAAATGCTAATCGGTGCCATCAGTTGAACATTCTGAGAGGTATGTCTCTTTGACTTTGACCTGGTGGTTCGTTTTCTGAATCCCTGTAGCCAATGTTGGCGATACCCTTGGCGGGAATACCTCTCTTGACGGGCCTAGCATAGCAGACTACGTGCATGATATGAAGATTGAGCTGGACCTCTGGTTCGAGTGAGTTGTTGATTTTACATGCGCGCTGAGAAACTCACTGACGATAACCAGTGATTGGCTACGGATTATCGGTATGGCTAACTCACCGTCGTTCGCTCAAACCTGCTAATTACTGAAGAGCGTTGCGATGCCGCCGCCGAAGAGAAGCCATCTTTGCTAGTTGCTCTTCGAGTGCAAAAGTGCTGGGCAGAGATGATGCTCAATTGCAAAGCATTGCGGTCAATGGGGGTTGAGAACGTAGCGTGAGTTGATCATCTTCACAATTCCTTGAGTCTGTACTGACATACCATGGAGCACTATGTCGACTACTGAGCGAACTATACTCCTCACAGCAAAAGCCAGTGCACGTCGACATCTTCGTCTCATCATAATAGACCCGGACTTCTATCTTTCCAAGCTGAAATATGCCATGGATTTCGTCTGGGCCAAGTGCGCGTTCTCATTCCTTTTACTTCTGAAACTATCCCGCCTTCTGCCCGAGCGTGATGAGGAGCACCAAGAACTCTTGGAACATGGCAACCGACTCGTCGACGAGTTGAGTAAGGCTGGATCTAATGGGACACAGTCAGGAGCTGGGAATATCTACCTTCAGATATTAAAGGTGAGTATCGAGAAATACGGGCGTGCATTGATGGAGGCACAACGACCCAGTTCGGATGGCGCCCCTGCCACGTCGCCGTTTTGGGAATTGTTCGATGCTCAGGCGGACCTTCAATGGTTTGTGCCCGAGCAATTTGTCTCTGAGTGGGACTTTCCGGGGCTCAATTTGTTTTATTTCCCTACTGCTTGGCAGAATTTCTTTGGGGATTTTTCGTTGGCTATGTAGATCATCTGCTGTGTCAATTGGTGTTTACGTCCATCTGGAGAATGCTGCGCGATGAGTACTGAAGTCTGTCAAATTGGGATATTCACTTTTGTAGTAGCCCTCTATGTAACAGTTGGGACGGAAAATCCCTGGATATCAAAACAAGTGAAAAGGACCATGGAAATAAAGACAGATGCGTCAACTTTCATCACAAGCAAAGACTGTTAATGCTTAGCCGAGGGCTTGCATAGCGAGCTCGACGCTATATCAAAATGCGTTAGTTATGCAATCAAAACAAGAGTCAGGAATACATACGTCAAGAATGTTCCGGCCGAGACAGGCATAGCTCTCAGCAGAGTAGGACCGATACCCTTCCAGAATCCACCAAGACCCTCAATGGCGTATGTCTTCTTGAAACAGTCGCGCATGCTGCTGAACTTCTGGTCGGCTCCGAATCCATCGGTCTGCATCTTACTCTTGACCACATCGAAGGGGTAGCTGGAAAGCCAAAGAGCCTCACCAGCAAGACCACCGTAGATAGCGACCTTGGTGCTGCCGAGATCCTCACGCTTGAGACCGTTGAACTTGGCATCCTGGTTCATCATGAACTCAAAGGCCATGAACCAGGTACCGTAGGCCTGGGCCTCACGGAGAAGGGTCACGGCCTGACCGCGGTAGAGACCGCGGAGAGCACCGCCCTGGGAAGCGAGCTTGCTAACACAGTCAATGGGACCAGAGTACAGACGACCAGCGCCGTGAGGCTGAGCCTGCAGACGGATACGGACGTGCTCAATGGGACCTGAGAGCACGGAGTTGGTCAGACCAGCGAATGAACCGGCCATGTAGTACTGGATGTAAGAGAGGTCCTTGACCGCGTACTTCTTCTTGTTCATATCTTCCAAGCGACGGCGCGCTTCATGGTAGGCGCCGAATTGAACAGAGACCTGGAGTGGATTAGGGCTTTGTTGGTGGACCGGGCCGGTGGACTTACACAAGCTCCGATACCGATGAGTGGGGTCAGGGTTCCCTTGTAGAAAGCTGCGGGGCCTTCCTTCTTGAAGATTTGGGTGGCCGCATCCAGCGCACTCTTGTATTGAGTGGTGGTTTGCAGGCGGACCTTGACAATGTCTGAATTCCTTGGTCAGTGCTCAATCATGACGTGCTGGTCTTGGTCCACAAACCAAAGGGTTGACCTGGCGACTTGTTAGCAATTGATTTGATTTCTAATTGAATTATTGAATAAACTCGAGAAACATTGAATACCATGAAGATAGTTTCATGATATGCCGCTTCGGAGTTCATTCGATTGAGCACACGTACCGAGGAGAACCTGGGCCATTCCACCAGCTGCGCCCGCAGCCAGATCCTTGACGGTGCGAAGGGCACCACCACCCTCAATCTGGTCGATTGTCTCGGTCTCCATTGTGAATTGACGAACAGGTGAGTATAAGGACAGGGAGAGTCTCCGAGCTTTAAGTCCAAACCGCTTATCGCGATCGCGCCATCTCATCGCTGATTGGGTGCTTGGACCGAGGCACGTGATTTTACCGACGGAAGTCTTACATAATATTGATTTCCGGCCCGGGGAAGTCTTGGCGTTGTCCGGAGACACCTGCACTTCCCATTCAGTATTCTTGATATTAAGCTGGACCTGAGCTTAGCCCCGGAAACAATGACTACACAGCTGGCACTTCTACTGTAGTTTTCAATGAATGAATTGATGGGAGTATTCACCGCTCAATCTCTTCACCAGCCCCTCCATAGCACCCCGCAAAGCAAAGTGGGTTCCAACCTTGGAAGCTTGGGGACCCTCTTCCGCTCAAAACCACATTTATAGCCTTGGATATCAACAATACAGGTAGAAGAACTAGTCCTTGGGGAATACTGAATGAGCAAGATACAATGGCTGAGCTAACATCTCCGAGCTGAAATTTTCCAATATTGGTAGGTACTAGCGAACTCGATATGTTCCTAGAAGGCGTCACCCCACATCAAAGAAATGTGATTACTAGTATTGGGATGTCCAAAGGTGGAAAACTATCTCATGCGGAAGCTCTCTCCTCCTTAAAGACCAGATTCTGTAAACAGGGTGCGTGAAACAAGGTGCCACGCCATGCACCAAGTGCGGTCCTTGACGTTACCAGGACCCAAAGTAGTAAAACTGCACCACTCAGAATCTGGAGACCAACAATTCATTCAGTTTCTGAAGACTCCACTTGTGTATCGGGTCGAAAGTACTCACCGTCCCAAACACCTTGAAAAACATAATATCCATCAGAATACCCAACTCCATGGTATTTGCTGCATAGACACCAAGAGGGAATGTGAATCCCCACCATCCCATATTGAACGGGAATGGGAATTTGTGTAAGATAGTTGCAAACGCGAATACAAGCCAGATGAGACCGAAGCTCCACATGAGGAGAGATATAAACAGACCTAGGATATACGCGACCCGGCCAGCCAGAGGATCTATCATATCACTGTTCTGCAGTAGATCACGGGCAACCTTACCAATATAGACAATTCTGTGACCAGATGAGCAATAGGCCCTTATGGAAATGCTCTGGGGAGGAGTTTTCAATCTTACCCAAATCCACCGAAGCCAAGAGGCCCCAGTGGTAAGAAACAGCTCACGATCATTTCCCTCGGAGGAAGCTTGTGTACCGCTAGCCGTTGATAATATATCACCAAGACCACAATTGCCAAGGGAGTGCCCATGCCCCAAAGGATGAAGGACACTAGAAGTGTTCCCATCGCATGCTGTTGATTTGGGAGGATGCCGGCAACCTCTGCACCGGCACCCGCAGCGACAATTGTAGCCGCGATTGGCAGTAACTGAAGCGCAGTGATTCGGTCCAGCGAGGTGATATGGCTTTGTGAGATTCTAATTAGACAGTCAGCAAGAAAATGCGGTATCCATCTACATCAAGCAGCTGACAAGATAAAGGATAGCGACAGTGTCACAGATGCCGCTGCGACAACATCCACCATCCACAAAGCCCAGGCAAAGGTTTTGGCCCATTCGCCCCAGAGCGGCACGCAGATAAAAACCCACATCTCGATGAGTGTCGCGAACCCCATCGGGATGGTGGCGAGGAATAGGGAGTTGACTGGGTCTTGGATCATCACGCTCCATATCTCCGGATACAAGGTGTATCGAAGGATAGATGTAATCGACGCGAGAGTGAACAGTATCACGTTGAGCACGAAGAACACGATCGACAAGTAGTACAAGACTGGGGTGTGAAAAGATACCGATGTCATTAGCACTGAGACAATGCCTGTTCCCATCGTCACGGCGAACCATCTGGTCGTTGATTCTTAGTGCAATTCCCGAGGGAGAGGATAGACGTACGAGGGACTAAAGTTCCGCACAACCCGTCGCCATCCCTTGTCATGCTTGGCAGACTTTTTGCCTGATTTGGAGGAGTTGGCCATATTGAGGTCTGTATCAAGTTGGCAGAGTTGAGAGAAGATGTCCACGGGTGGAAGTCGAGGGCAGAGCCAAGTGCGGGTATCGCCGAAACGCGTGGGAAAGGTTAAATTCACCTGTGAGCCGATTGGCTTTGGGTCCTTCTGTGGATCAAAAATGGTCTTGGATTTCACTAAGACTTCAAGAACATCAAATGGAAATGAATCCAGGCCATGCCTGTTTTTGTTCACTTCATTCTTCGGGGGCAGCTTCCCGGGGCCGCTCGCTTCGGCTCAACCGCCGAAAACTAGCCCGCGGGTGTCTGACCCTCGGTTTCTCCGAAAGCATGGGTTCATTGTCGATATCTGCTCGGTGCCTTTGCAGGTGGCAGGGAATAAACCCAATAGATGCCAGCATAAGATGGCCAATTGTGTCCCCAACGCCCCAATGCCAATACAGACTGGCCGGACTGGAGAAGGCCCCTCCGAACTGGTCCATCGTGATGATGTTTGAGATTCGGTGGGGTGTGAGAAGATACTCGTCGATTTTGGGGTACTCCAGAAAACGCTGACCGTTTCTCACTCTTGCTCATCACTACCTAGGTAGTTGAGGCGATTATGGTCTCGTGATAGCCCTCGTCGTCTGTAGTGGATTTGGCTATATTTCATCCGCGGCCAGATCAGTAGCCCGCGAGATCAGAAATTGAAAGGAGGCAAGAGGCAAAGAGGAAGGAAAACTAAGGGCCCTGGTTTTGCTAGTAGGTCAAGAGAGCAAAGTCTACCGAAGTGGTAAGCAGCAACTGAGAAATAGAGATGGGTGTAACATTGTCTGCCAATGTTGCCTTTCAACCCCTTTTCGCTGTTTGCACATGCACCTTGACATATCGCTTATCTGCGTATGCAAGCAAAGCATCATCAAATCACAAGCTCGGGCAGAACTTCAACGCTCAGATGATCCCATGCACTCGGGCTGAAATCCCCCGAATCTCGGCCTTTTCCCCGCGTTGTCTTGCAGCGAGCGAGGATCATTTCCCCGCCAGTGGGCCAACACAACAAAGCCACTGCCAATGGATTCTTTGTCGCTCTTGAATCCGGGGCAACCCCACGGATGTGGGGTTGAGAAAGTCTGCGGAGTTGATCCGATAGCCGGTTCCTCAACCCATCCCATGCACAGCAAAATTACTACATAATGATAAGCTGCCCCTCAGGGCAAATGGAATCGTCAAAACTTTCGCCCGCTCTTTTGACTGCCGTTGACCATGGAGAAATCAGCAGATGAGCACGTCGAGTTCCAGGAGAAGCCCGACCACAAGGGCAGTGTCCTGGAACAAGATGCTCTCTACCAAGCCTATGCCTCCAAAGATCCAGAATGGCATCAAGCCATGACAAAGCGTCTACTTCGCAAGGTTGATTGGCATCTATTGCCATTCCTGATCTTGATGTACCTTTTGAACTTTTTGGACAGAAAGTGAGTGCAGTTCACACTGGGAACATGTCTTCTGTATTAACACTCTCTTCTATAGCAACCTGTCGCAAGCCCGTTTAGGCACACTCGAAGAGGACTTGGGAATGGGAGGCACCGACTATAACCTTGCAACAAGCATTCTCTTCGTGGGGTATCTCTTGATGCAGCTCCCCTCAAACCTGATTCTTACTCGAGTTCGGCCATCCCTGTTTCTGGGTTCCGCCATGGCTATCTGGTATGGCATTCCTTTTGGGTAGCGCGCGGTCAGAACACTGACCTGGGTTACAGGGGCGTCATTTCAGCTTGTCAGGCGGCTATTACCTCATTCTCAGGGCTTATTGTCACCCGGTTCTTCCTTGGATTTGTTGAAGCACCCTTCTTTCCAGGTGCTGTCATGTTGATGTGAGTTTGCTAGAAGAACGTGCGATCTTATAGCAGTGTCTAATGCATTTTGACAGGTCGAGTTGGTATACCAGGCAAGAGGTAACTAGAAACTTCGCTACTACTTTTCCACAGCTGCATCTAACTTGAACATGCAGCTCAGTCATCGTATTGCATGGTTCTATGCCGGAAGCTCGCTGGCTAACGCATTTGGCGGCCTTATCGGAGCCGGTGTTTTGGGTAATCTCAGCGGAGCACAGGGAATCGCCGGCTGGCGATGGTTGTTTATCATCGAAGGGTGCATCACAGTTGGAATCTCCCTTCTCTCGGCGTGGGTCTCTCTTTCAGTGCTCCCGCTCTCACCACTCTGACACTGTCTAGTATATTTCTTCCAAACTACCCTGCTTCGACTTCATGGCTGGACGAAGAGGAGCAAGGATATGCGCAATGGCGCCTTATGCACGATGCAGGAGAGGCTGATGAGGTCGGTTCGACCAGTATCAAGGAGGCCTTGGCTTTGGTTTTCGCAGACAAGCGAATCTACCTTTTCATTCTGCTGCAGCATGTCTCGCTCCTGTCGCAGAACTTCCAATACTTTTTCCCGACTATCGTGCAAACACTGGGATACGGCAACGTCGAGACCCTACTAATTACTGCCCCCGTGTGGATTGCTACATTCTTCGTCTCTCTGCTCGTGACATGGACATCAGGCAAAACAAATGATCGAAGTATCCACATCATGTGTTTGATGATGGTCAGCGTGGTAGGTGGCATTATCTGCACTGTCACGACCAACATCGGCGCCAAGTTCTTCGCCATGTTCCTGTGAGTCTTCCCCTAAACCCACCGATACAGATGAAAACTGACGTTCACCAGGATGCCCATGGGAGCCGTATCTGCGTATCAAATCATTATTGCGTGGGTAGCCAACTCATTCCCTCGGCCGCTGGTCAAGCGCTCTGCCGCCATCGCTGTTGCCAACATGATTGGCAACACTGCCTCGATCTATGGAAGTTATATGTGGCCGGCATCTTCCGGTCCCCGGTATATCCCCGGTGGAAGTGCGACCGCTGCCATCGCTTTCCTGGTTGCGGTGCTTGCCTTCGTCATTCGCCTTGTACATGCCCATATGAACAAGCGGTTAGAAGAGGAAGAGAATTCGGGTTCTCAGCTCAGTGGTTTGAGTGAATTGGAAACGCGGGTTGTTGGATTCCGCTATATATTGTGATATGATCCGGCATGCTGCGATAGACTCAGATTGAAAATGCACACGAACCTTGAATTAGTGACTAGCCGGAAACGGCTCATTATCCACGAAAAACCTTGGAAATATTCAAGCAAAAAGCGCCCCAGCACGGAGTTTCAAATAGTCGCGACAAAGTCAAGTCGGGGCGGGGTTGAATTGTAACCGCATTCGCCATCACAGCCCAATCACAACCTCTATTCCACCAATTCCCCCGACCACATATTCCAACGTGTCTTGATCACCTTACTATTACAGCTGGAACAAACCATCAATTTTCTTGAAGCTGCTGTGACAAACGAGGATCAAACCTAGGTGTGCTATTGAAAATGGTAGGATCTCGAAGCAGAAATGGAGAACTCTCATACTAACCGCCACAGTCAGCCTCCTTCACATCAATTCCTATTCTGGACTTCTCCCAGGTAAAAACATCAAAGTCTGCGTTTCTAGAAGATCTTCGCGACGCTCTCGTGAACGTCGGATTTTTCTATCTCCGCAATGCTCCTGTCCCAATTCAGATCCAAGATGACTTCACCAAAAAGGCCCTGGAGCTTTTTGACTTGCCTCTGGAAAAGAAACTAGAGATCGAAATGGTGAACAGCCCGCATTTCCTGGGATATTCAAGACTATGTGCAGAGATCACAGCGTTAAAGCCTGATCACCGGGAGCAATTTGATGTAGGCACACGACCCAGAATCATTGCCAAAACACACTAACATTCTTTCAAGTTTGCAACCGAGCTCCCAGCACCTGGTCCAGACGAGCCTTTGTATAGAAATGTTGTTGGGCCGAATCAAGTACGTGGAACCCGATCGCCTTCAAGGTTGCGCTGTGTGCTTGCTGCAATTTTTACTGAACCTATTATAAGTGGCCCGATGAAAAGGCAGTTCCTGGATTTCGAAAGGCCTTTGACGACTATCTTTCCGAAGTCAGCACTTTGGCAGAGTCATTCCAAATTTTGATTGCAGAGGCACTTGATCTCCCGTCAAACGCTCTGGATCAGGTATTCGACAAGCCCCAACAGCATAAATTGAAACTCATCAAATATCCCACCCCTACGACAAGCGATAATGGTGATTCGGGTTTCCAAGGTGTCGGACCCCATAAAGATTCAGGGTTCCTCACTTTCCTACTACAGGGAACGCCTCACCACGGGCTGGAAGTCCAGAACAAGAACGGGACATGGATCTCAGCTCCACCGATTCCGGGTACATTGGTTGTCAATATCGGACGATCCCTGGAAGCTTTAACGGGCGGAATTTGCACCGCAACAACTCATCGTGTTAGTCTGCGACCGGAGAATTTCGAAAGCAGCCATGGCTCGTTGGGGCCAAGATTCTCGTTCCCTGTCTTCCAGGGGGTGAGTCTTGATCTCTCAGCAGACAAGATTTCGCTGCAGATACCCGATTCCGTGCGTTCCTTAGTGAAGGACGAAAAGGTCAAGTCGGATGCGGAGGCGACCTTCAATAAAATGTTCCATGGATGCATTGGTGAGGGTACGTTTGTTGCTCGGGTGACCAGCCACCAGGATGTTGGCCAGCGGTGGTATCCGGAAGTTCTGGAGAAAGCGTTGAAGGGGCAAAAGGACTTCCTTGTTTGAGCAAATGATGATCAATAATATTCTAGACGCACAGTGTTACAAATGAATAATAATCATGGATTTAGCCTAGTTGAACGGTAATGACATTGTGAATGATGAGTCGGAAATCCGGACGGAACGACGGACGGAAAAAAGGATCGGGTGCGTCATCTCCCAGCTTTCCCTCAACACCTTCACATCCAGGTGCATAGCGCATGCACAAGATGGCTAGTGGACTAGCTGAGCGCTCCGCAGTATGTGCCTCGCCCTGGGGCTCTATCAATATACGACTAACATAGCTAGTGCGACTTCTGTCACTCGAGAAAGGTTTGTCGCAACACCACCCGGAGTGTCCAACTTCAATTTTCATTCTTCCTCGGATGAGATCGAATCAATTGACATATCACCATAGATAAAATGCGACCGGCAGTTTCAATGTGTCAATTGCATAGAGGCCTCAGTGGATTGTCGCAGAGATCGGCCAAAGAAAAGTAGACGCCGGACCGCAGCCCGGTGAGTGCTCCATTACTTATTCCTCTTTCTACTTCTCTCTACTTCTCTCTCCTTCTCTCTCTCTCTCTCTCACTCTCCCACAAGAGGTCTGCTTACGCAATGAAGTGTAACCCCCACAGCTTCGAGAATCTCCGTGTCCGAAAGACTGGCCGCGCTCGAGTCATCAGTTGCTAGTCTTCCGTCTCTCGACAGCTCAACTCGTCGCACAGCAGAAAACATCTCACCAGAGCAGAGGACTCTCCCAAGCAATTTCAATTTTGCTCAGGTCGTGCAGCAAAGCAATGAGGCACCCGAGAGACGCCCCTCTGTTCCATTCAACACCACCGCTAGAGATGGCTTGGCCCAACAGACTTCAGAGGGCACTCGCTTTCTTCAAGATGAGCTAAGATCAAACCCATTGGTGGGCACGGTAGGATCTAGAATGATGCGAGAGGCAATTGATTTCGTCAGCCGTCTCTCCAACGCATCGAAATCGTACTTCGCGACTGGTAATTTGAATTCGTCTGAAACAAGCGGCGGTCTCGAATCAAAAGCGTTTCCACCAGAGCTGCTATACATGATGACAATGAGTAATGTCCTGGAGATTGAATTAAGCTGTGGCATGTTTGGCTGATCAAGTGTCAAAGATACCGATCCAAATCCCATGAAGCAATCGTTCTGGCCTGACCACGTTTCTTTTCAAACATTGGAAGAAATGTCTATGGCCCTCATCGAAGGTAATGAAGACCAGCGTACACTTACCTGCTATCGTGTCTGCGTCTATATGAAAGCCGCCAGCTTGCTTTGCCGACTACCAAAGAAGGATCGGAAGCCTCCACTACGAAGGCATCTTGAGCAGAGCATAAAGCAATATGAACACGAGATACATCAAGCTCTCTCCGAGATTGACTATCTTGCACCACCGAGTCTGGTCCTCTTGCAAGCATTTCTATCGGGGGTATGTTTTCGACTTCTGCACTATTTGATTGCACTCCACTGCTAATCCGTTCACTGACAGGCACTGTTCATGCAAAATCAAGGTGACATGTCCCGGAGTTGGACATTAACAGCGTATGCATCTAGGACCTTGGTATCTCTCAACTATCAATCAATGGGCCCAATCACGCTTTGGGACGAAACTAAGCGTGATATATACGGATCTCTGTATACCTGTTACTATCTCGACAAAATGCTTAGCGTGCTTCTTCTCAGGCCACCCTCACTTCCAAAGCTCAAACTGAAACCGGCAGAGCTGGTCCAATTAAATCCACACCTTCCACTGAGCGCCAGTGTTAAAGTCATGGTTGAATTTGCGCAGATCCAGGAAGTTGTTCTCGACGTATTGAACCACGCCAACACAGATAACCAAGCCAATATCACCATGAAGTTGACTCGGGATATGTATGAAATACATCACACAATCAAAAAGGTAAACAGTTCAAGTGATTTCGGGATTAATTGCGATCCCAAAAATGTTGCAACCCACTAACCACTTCTTCCAGCATCAAAATCAACTCCCTTTCCGAGACACAACCTACGAATGGGCTGCCATCGAGTTCGGATATTATGCACTGCTTGCTAGCGTGTTGCACCTGCATCAGCGTGTTGTCCAAAATCGATCAACACATGAAGATTGTGTCGTTGCTTCGCGACAGGCGCTGATACGCCTGGTCAAAATTCAGGACGAAATAAACATGGATGCGAATTTCCTCGATCATCATCCTTACTTCCTGACTTGGTAAGTTTTTTCATCAGATTGCAGCGCTGGAGATTGATGTCTAACTCAACCAGGACACTTCTTTTCTATCCACTTAGTCCATTCTTTGTCCTGTTTTGCAACGTGGTATATTCCGCGAACCTAGAGGACTATGCACTGATGGCAGAAGTCACCAGAGGAGTTTCGCGTTTCGTGGAAATGCATCCCTCAATTGCTGAAATTCATAGACTTTTCTCGGCTTTCCTGAGAATAGTCAAGCCTGTTGTTCGCAACCACTCCATCCCCGCTGTTTCTCAACACATTCCGGGCGCTGCGGTTGAAGGAATTGGACTCACAAACATACCAAGTACGACTAGTCAAGCTCCAACAATGAGCAGCAACCTCAATGGTGACACAAACATGACCCAACAAGAGGGAGATTATCCCCCGAGCCAAGATTTCATTAATCAGAACGCAGAGGTTGTTCCTGAGGACGAGAGCTTGTGGGATTTGATAGATTCCCAGCCGTGGCTGGGCTGGATGAGATCAGATGCTTTGACAGAGAACCCCATGGGCAGCTAAGCTAGATATAATAGGTACTTGATTCAATTTATGATCAGGAAAATCTTTGAAAAGATTCAAATGCAGAAGTCGGACGGACGGACGGAGACATCAATCTTCGGACTCGGAACGAGAAGGACGGACCGGAAGTGGTCGCCGTAAGATTCGAGCAACTTTACCCAGCAAGAATCCACCTGCTACGTATTTTCATCGGAGACTGCTGACGGTTTGGTCTTTGACTAAGGCGCCGGGCGCCGATCGTACACCCACCCATCGCGTTGTGGACCCTCGGGGAGGCCTGGAGAGCAGGCGCCGAATGCCCGCTCGGAGTTTCGAGTTCGCGAGCGAGATTCTGGACAACCAACTTACAAATCCAAGGTCAATCCCATGGAATAAAAGCGCCATATGTGCACATCAGAATCGAGATCTCACAACAAGTCTTCAACCCCCCCCCCTCCAATCCAAATTTGATACAATATGCTTGTCTTAATCGCTGGTATCACCGGCTTTGTCGGTATCCCATGTGCCAGATCCGCATTCGCACGCGGATTGCAAGTCCGTGGCTTAGCCCGCAACATCGACAATGTCCCAGAGGATGTCCGAAGCAGACTCGAAGGCTTCGAAACATTGTCGACCCCCTATGACATAGCAGCCATGGACCGGGCGACGAAGGGAGTTGATGCCATCATCTGTTCCTTTGCCGGTATCCCTGAGATGTTCATGGACTCGCAATTGCTGCTTCTCAGATCAGCTGAGCGCGCCGGAGTGAAGGTATGCATCACCCAGTATGACTTTTGACAACTTGCTGAGATTCCAGATCTTCCACGCTACCTCCTGGAACTACGACTGGACTCTTGCGCCTGGTTCGCATGAGATTTACGATGACATGCGAGGTTTCGCCCATCATGTTGCTGTCAGCTCGACCATCAAGCCAATCTACATGTTCACAGGTGCTATCGCGGAGTACTACTTCAAGCGGAGTCGATTCGACTGGAATCCTGATACCAAGACATTCAGCTTCCACGGGCCTTCGACATCTCCTACTCGCTATACCACCGCTGAGGATATCGGGAACTATGTTCTCGAGGCTATCACGGCCCCAGATGCCGCCAATGGAGGCTTTATTCGCGTTCAAAGCTTCGAAGCAACCCCCGAAGACATAGTCAAGGCATACGGTGTGGCGAGGGAAGGCGGCGCCACTGCTAAGCTTAACTGCCTAGGCTCGACGGAAGATGCGGGGAATAAGCTCAATGAGCTGAGGGCAGAGCATGGGAAGCAGGGTTGGTACAATTCCATCCAGTATTGCTACCAGTACCATATCCCGGCCCGCTCTTGGGATTACGAGCCGGTGGATGTGGCGCGTTTCCCAAATGTGAAGCAGACTAGTTTGGAGGAATTCTTCCGTCGTAACCCTGACGTTTAGTTAGATCATTCGCAATAATTGATCAATTCAAAAGGTTTGCGTTGAATTTTGTCTAGATCTTGAGTATCAATCAATTGTTTTTACAGATCAGTCGATTTGCATTCTGTCTATGTGAGCCTATGCGCTCAGTCCGTAATATCCACATATTGTTGCTGTGAATTTTGGAGCGTAGATCTGGAACAAAATTGGAGCCCGCGGGCATTGATAATTATTTTGATTTTGGCAATGTGAATTAAGGAGAGATACCTTCTTTCTGCGTTTGAAGAATCAAGAGTGGCACTCCACCTGATTGTTCACTTCTCCCCACTTCACCTCCTTCTCTCGTGTGTCAGAAAATAACACCAATCCAACCAATAATTGTCCTAGAATGCTTTCATTGAATCAGATCCCCGAAATCGAGCTTGAGATGACCCATTCACAGGCCCACTTTTTCGGTGACGAAACGGCTTCCGTCGGACGGAACGACGGACGGAAATCAGAGTGCGGACTCCACGATTCACTCAGTGTCCGCCAAATCTCCTACAACCTCATCTGAAATCGCCATCTGATTATAAACCAAGGCGAAAAAACTTTGGAAGGGTTGGAGAAATGGCAAAGTCAAGAGCCTTCAGCAAGGACATAAAAGCCGCAGTGACCTCGAGAAAAGAGACTCCCTGATCATACTGGCATCATTGTGAAGTATTTCAACAATCTCATTCTATCTATCCACATCTGAAAACCCGAAACCCCACCTCCAAAATCACAATGACCAACTCATCCCTGGTTCACTACACCACCGTCACCCGCGACATCGATGCGCCCATCGGCGAAGTCTGGGGCCTTGTTGCAGGCTTCGGCGCCGAAAAGGCATGGTATCCAGGTGCCAAGTCTGTATCCCTTGAAGGATTCGGAATTGGCAGCGTCCGCACCTTCAACTACGCCTATCCGGATGGCAAAAACAAAGGCCAGGAGTATACCTTCTCCGAGGAGCTTACGGAGTGCGACGCTGCCAACCATTCCATGACTTTCCAAGTCCGAAGACCCGATTACCCTGACATGATTGCCTTTGGGACCACTGTCTTGGACTCGCTTGGGCCTAATAAGACCCGTTTCCGTTGGATTGCGGAGGGCTCACCCTTGCCGGATGAGTTTATGGCGGTTCTGCGCGAGGATCTTAATGGAAGATTTGATGGGCTTATTGTTGCTATGGCCAATCAGCTCGTTTGAGAAATGGATGCCCATGTTGAGGGACTATGGAAGCAGGGAGGAGGTTTGATTTTTGGAGATCGGTGCAAGGGAGGCTAAGGGGTAGAAGATTGCCATATATATCCCCGTGAGATAATGTACATCTAACTTCGTGTTTGTCAATTTCATCGGGAACAGTGGTAGCTAGTAGAACTTGGAAAGAGAAAGCCCCGAGCCCAGCCCAGCCCAGCCCAGTAGTGGGCTGGGTTTTGGGCCCGTCCTGGGGGCCGGTAATGGGTTCCCCGGGGGCCCATTAGGGGCTCGGCAGTGGGCTCTGGGCATTGAGACTTAGGCCCAACCCAGCCCTGTGAGCACCCGGTCAGGTGACCCTGACTATTCCCCCGGGGCCAGATAGCTCACTCTCTCCTCCGCTTTTCCCCATTTCGCCTCTTTCAGGGAAGACAATCAATCTCTTCTCTGGCTTCTTGCCCAAAGAAGTAGTCCCGATCAACTGATCGACTACAATGTCTCACGATGTAGCCTCACGACAACGCCCAAGAACTCACTCAAAGCACGTGACTTTATTCCGACGTCTACGGGTGACAGTGTTTTGATCCCTTCCCCTTGAAGGCAGTCCACCATTGGCCATGATGCGCTGCTCTCAGAAGTCCTTCTGGATCAATTCTTGGTCCTGGGAGCCAAGATGCGCCCCGACCACACTTTATGGCGCCATGCGTATCAAATGTCCGGGTCAGTCCCGAGGTCCTTAAGTCAGAGTACTAAGCGGTCATACATACTCCGAGGTGAGGATAAGATCAACATAGTTTGAATTGGCGAGTATTTGACCGGCGTGAAAGCCCCACACGTGGGCTGTTTTCTGCGCCTGGGCGATCTCGGTCCGTGTCTGCACCGACTTTTTCACGCCAACTCAGGACTATCGATTGGAAGGTAGATTCCCTCATCAGATTGTCCAACTAACATTCTTTTCATGTTTCGAGCTCACCGGAGTTCATCTGCCGTAGTGCCCAGGTGGGTTCTCGACATGTTGCAAACTCTAGGAAGAGCCTTTTCAGGTCGGGTTCAGTGTTCGTGATATAAATACAACGTGATTTTCGATCTTCAAGCATCCGTTTCTTTTTCTTCTTCAGTTACTTATTTGATTCTCTTCATTTCATCCGGAACACCTTTGCCATGGCGTTTTCTGACGTCGATAAACTCGCAATCAACACGATTCGTACACTAGCCGTCGATGCAACTTTCAATGCCAACTCAGGACACCCTGGGGCACCCATGGGGATGGCGCCGGCAGCACACGTTCTTTTCAACAGGTTCCTGTCCTTCAATCCTCGAAACCCTGACTGGATCAACCGAGACCGCTTCGTCCTTTCGTAAGTCAATGCATCTTGACTTTTATCATACGTTGGCTCGGTACTAACTAGCAATTTGGTTAGCAACGGCCATGGATGTATGCTTCAGTATGCGCTCCTTCACCTATGTGGATATGACCTGAGCATGGATGATATCAAAAGTTTCCGGGTAGGTGGACAACCCCCCCCCCCCCCCCCCTCAACAGCGCATCACTGATAATTATCCTTATAGCAACTGCACAGCAAAACACCAGGCCACCCCGAGTCTCATGAGACACCCGGAGTCGAGGTTACCACGGGCCCTCTGGGCCAGGGTTTTGCAAATGCTGTAGGTTTGGCTATCGCACAGGCCCATCTTGCCGGAGTCTTCAATAAACCCGGATTTGACCTGATCACCAACCGCACATTCTGTTTCTTCGGAGACGGCTGTGCCATGGAAGGAATCGCCAGCGAAGCAGCCTCACTAGCTGGTCATCTGAGACTCGGCAACCTGGTGTGCATTTACGACGACAACAAGATTTCCATCGGTTAGTCTCTTCTCTACCTTGCGATACCATGTTACGCACCGAAAAACTCGCTGACAACCGCGCAACTATCAGATGGAGATATCAAATGTACCTTCACTGAAGATGTCCAGAAGCGATTCGAAGCTTATGGATGGCATGTCGAAGTCGTGACCGATGGCAATAACGATTTAGACGCAATCAAGAAGGCCATTCAACAGTGCATCGCAGTTACCGATAAACCATCTATGATCAAGGTGGCGACCACAATTGGCTTTGGCTCAAAGCTCGAGGGAACCAGTGCTACTCATGGAAATCCACTCAAAAAGGAGGACGTTGAAAACGTCAAAAAGCAATTTGGCTTTGATCCTTCTCAGAGTTTCGTCGTCCCACAGACTGTGTACGATCTCTACGCACAGCACGCCAAAGAAGGAATCGCCAAAGAACAAGAATGGACCCAAAAGTTGAACCAATACGCCCAAGAATATCCAGCAGAACATGATGAGCTTATTCGACGTGCCGAAGGAAGGCTGCCTGACAGCTTAGAGTCCGAGCTGCCAGTATACACTTCTTCCGACGCGGCGGTTGCCTCGCGAAAACTGTCAGAAACCGTTCTTGAAAAAATCAACAAGCCAATTCCGGAGTTGATTTCTGGCTCTGCAGACTTGACTAGCTCCAACAACACCCGTTGGAAAGATGCCGTGGATTTCCAACCACCCGAATACGGGATTGGTGAGTGGTCTGGCAGATATATTCGCTATGGAGTCCGTGAACATGCAATGGCGGCCATTATGAATGGCCTAGCAGCTTATGGAATGATCATCCCACTCAGTGGAGGGTTCCTCAATTTTGTCGCGTATGGCGCCGGTGCTGTCCGACTGGCTGCGTTGAGCAAACTGCGGGTTATTCATGTTGCAACTCACGATTCTATCGCACTCGGACAGGACGGACCGACGCATCAGCCGATAGAGGCCCTTGCTCATTACCGGGCTATGCCAAATTGCATGGTTTGGCGCCCAGCAGATGGTAATGAGACTAGCGCTGCATACCTGACTGCACTGCAAGCCAAGAATACACCGAGTATTCTTGCACTGACGCGCCAGAATCTGCCTCAGCTTAAAAATTCTTCAATTTCGAAGGCTGTGAAAGGTGGATATGTGGTATTGGATACACCAGATGCCACCATCACATTGATCTCCACCGGATCCGAAGTCAGTGTTTGTCTTCAAGCTGCTGTCGAGTTACGAAAGCAGAACTTTGCAGCTCGAGTTGTGTCAGTTCCTTGCTTCGAGGTCTTTGATCAACAGGAAGAGTCCTACCGCCTCCAAGTATTGCCTGATGGAATACCCATCTTGTCCGTGGAGGCCGCGACAACAATGGGCTGGGAGCGCTACTCCCACCAGCAATTTGGCATCAATCGATTCGGAGCCTCTGCACCCCCTGATGATCTTTTCGCGATGTTTGAGTTGACAAGTGAGGGAGTCGCTAAACGTGCCATCGCAACGATATCCTTTTATGCTGGGGGCTTGGTGGTCCCTAAGCAGACTGTGCTGTCGCCCATTCGTCGTGCATTTTTGCAGATTCAGTGATGAGACATACACTTACTATAGAATGATCCGTAAAACTTGTGTTTGTTTGTGGAAATTCCCGGAATCAAAAAACAACCCCTTTGCTCAAGTTGATCCTATATAATAAATATCTTCAGCCCTCTTACTCTACTTCCAAGATCGCAAGGGTAGATGAAACACACAATTTACGATCCTGAGGCTGGCCAGAAGACAGTAACTAATTCTGGCATCAAGGACCCTGGAGCATACAAAAAGAGGCAATAACTCTCGAGTCTGTTTTTTTGGAGGAACTAGGTGGAACTTGCGATCAATATTCCCTAGCCTTCGAATTCACTAGAGCCTTTATTTTAAGTTGTTTTCATCCGAAGATTCATACAGAAAATGATAACAGCGGTCTAATAAATAAAAACTTCCAGAACCACCAAGATTTATTGTATTCCTCATCCCGAGGTCGCTAGTTCTAATCACCATCTTCCACTTGTCATGTACAACCGCAATTGCCTGACACCGTCACACCCCCACAGAGCCCATACTTGCGATTGCTATATGTCGTTCCTGAATCATCCCTCAATTTGATAAACCTCAGGTCCTGAATCACTCTTTTGTGTCGCTCTCGCGTTCGCCAACTCCTGTTCATCCATGGCGATAAACCGAGCAGGCCTTCGAGGTTGGATAGCTTCTTTGTCCGTGAAGACCCAGAACCGGAGGCCTTCCTTGAACACTACATCGATGTCTTCCAGGCGCCTGTTTGCAGTTTCCGGATAGAAGAGGAAGATGATCGGGATAGAGACGGCGTTGAAGAAGACCCAGATCAAGTAAAACCTCCAGCGCAGGTTCTGAATGCCGATCGGAGTAATTTGCACCACCATGTAGTTTATCGCCCATTGAGCCGCGACACTTGCGGAAGACCCTGTCATGCGCATATTGAGCGAGTTGATCTCGGTATTGTACAGCCAGGCTGTACCCTGCCATCCTACACCGAAGAATGCGTAGAAGAGGAAGATCATGCTGACGGATGCGGCGCCGTAGTTGAATGACAAGGTGCTGTTATCTGTCACTTGATTGAATCGAATCAAAAGCATCAGCACGAAATAGCAGACGAAACATCCAGATGAGCCTGGTTAACATGGTTAGCTGGATACCACTTGAAGATAGACTGCACATACCAATCAGCATCGCTCCGCGTCTTCCCCATTTGTCAATGAGCATCATGCCGAGGTATGAGAAGAAAATGTAGTGAATTGAATTCACGGCTGTCAGCAGCCTGGCCATTTTCTCCTTGAAACCAACGGAACTGGTCAAGACCGTGGGTAGATAGTAGGACGTGGCATTGATACCGGACAACTGAACAATGACTTGTGTGCCGAGTCCGAGAACGAACCGGCGTAGAGTTCCCGGTCCTTGTGCTTGACCTCTGAGCAACTTGCTCCAAGGGACATGATTCTCGGTTTCAGCTTTGTACGCGTGAAGAATCTCGTTTCGCTCTGCGATGACAGTTGGCGAAGACGTCGCGGTATCTTGAATGTGAGCCAACACGAAATCTGCCTCTTCCAGCCTATCCTTTGAAATCAACCACCGAGGAGACTCGGGAAGCCAAGGTGCCGTTGACAAGATCACGATTCCGAAAAGAAGTTGGAGCGCCAAGGGGAATCGCCAATTAACGCTTCCTTCAACATAGGAAAAGCCGAAGGTGACCCAGTTAGCTAGACAAAAGCCAGCCACGTTGACCACGAGACCCAAAACGACCAGCTTTCCTCGCCACTTCGGCTCGGTGGTCTCACTCTGATAAACAGGCGTTGTAGCCGTGTTCAAACCATTTCCAAGACCTGCAACTAGACGGCCAACGATCATGTGTGGGACACCGTATGCGGTGATCTGAAGGATAGCGCCGATCATCATGACCACTGTTCCCAGGATGATTGCACGTCGACGGCCTAGCTTTGATCCCAGTGACGCTCCGGACACAGCACCGAAGAAACATCCCACATCGTAGAGAGAAGTGATCGTACCCTGCAAGTTTGCATCTGGGTTACCCATGGTTTCCAAAAAGTTCTGGGTTACGATGATGCCACCTGTTTAGACAAAGTCAGCGCCAGGTAACCTCAATCGTTCGTCACCGTCACATACTGAAGACTGCCTGGTCGTAACCATACAAGGCCATAGCAGAGGAGCAGCAAACTGTAATCCATATTGTGAGGCTGGTGCCTTTGCAGCCTGCGTAGGGCTTCATCGTAGCGAAGTCACAGTATCAGTATAAATTCTGCGTGGAATACCATGGATATGGAGGCGGGTTGGCATGATTCTATATGGGATGGCCGTCGCCAGTTCTTGAGGACCTATTTTGGCTTTTCTCCATGTTCTCCACATTTTCCCCAGTCCGGGGGCCACTCGGAGACAGCGTTCGACATGCAACTTGTTGCTTGGAGATGCCAAGCGGGGGACGGGCAAGACACGGACCGAGCACGTGACTTTCGAAGATCAACGGCCGATGACGAACGCCGTCCACTGGTCGACGATAAAATGGGTGAAGTCATTAAGATATTGCAAGATATCGATGGATCCAATCGTAATAGCCTGAATGGTAGATTTTTATTGTGACATGGACTCATCATACATGGCGAGGTACAATGGTTGAACATTTATCCGCCCAGGTCTGGAGCAGCGGACTCAAATCCAACACGGAAAATTGCAAATCATAGAATTCCCAGGGAAGTGCAGATTCGGAAACGGGTGTGCGATGCTCCGCCACGGCGGTCCGGATTACTGCCTCAAACAACTTTGCCAACTCCCAGCGCTCGCTACAAATGTGTAGACCGAACGCCAAGGAATGCAAGTTGACTGAGACATCCGCCTGGAGACATTTGGTGTGCACTGAAAATGAATGAGTCGATACAATGTATGGTCGAAAAAGGAGAAACATACCGATATAAAAGCGAGCAGCAACAAACATTGGTAGGACCAAACATGGACTGCAGTTTCTGAGTTCTTCTTCCTTCATTCTGCGAACTTTGGCGGCCATATTTTCGCACGCATACTGACACCTATGGTCTGCATACGGCCACTGTATATCATGAGCAATTGATTCATCAGTTGGGAGATGTTTACTTACAGGGTCTGATCTAGGACCTACGCCTTCTGGCATCGAGGATCGTGACTGTAATAAAGAGATGACCCCCCTGGTAGGGTTAGCCGCCCTGCCGTATAGATTGTTGGAATTATTTGAACCCACATGTTGAGCAAGCAATTCGTTAGCACAATGAATGGTTCCATTTCAGCGCGTGGATCTCCGGGGAATTCAGTATTGATCAACCGAAAGACAGCGGCAACAAATTCCTCTCGCCATATTGTCAAACGCTCATCTAGCCTTTGAGCGCTGCTTTGCCATTCGAGGCCACCTGCCATCTCGTTTGAGCCTCGGACTGTCTGTTGAAAGCGATTCACTGTGCCGAGCTCGATGGTGCACAGGCTGATACACATGGAAAAGCCTGACGAGTACTCAAGATTTCGGTGTGAGGCTTCCTCTTGAAAAGGATCTTCCAATGCCCAGATTCTGTCGCTGCATGGAAGCCCAGCGTTATGTGAAACTGGAGGAACAGATATCTGGGAGGAAACCCCCAAAGCAAATATGCTGTCTAGCATTTCGATCATCCAAAAAGCGCGTCTGACTTCTTCACGTTCCACGTCTGCGTTCATGGCAAACCGCTCGTTGGGTCGTAAGGATGTCTTGGGGGATTGATCTCCAGTTGCTGCAGAAGTTGCTGCCAGGCCTAGCTGCTCGCTCATCCTATTCAAATGCGAATTCAGTGTCATCATGAGATGAGCGAAAGGGCAGTAAATGCGACATACCTTTTACAGATAGCAATCGTACTGCTATATTCTGGCCACTTCCCTTCTCCCCAAAAGTGTATGGACATAATAAGCAAGGACTGGATGGACCGTAGGTTGACGCCTGTCATGGCCTCCAGGATGACCTCCTGGCATAGTTTGTACGACTGAGTGTGTCTCCAATCTCGCGATATCCTGGCCATATCCCGCGCCGTAATAGCCATAATTGCCCTGTATAAGACATCTTGTCGGCAAAAGGCATCCCTGATCGAAGTGCGATGTAGAATCGGGCACCAGTGCTGATATTTTTGGCTCCACACATCTTGAGGCTCCCAGCCAAACGGTGGCCGAATTTGTAAAAGCTGTGTCACTTCTTGAGGGTCCACATGCACGTCCAGTGGCGGGCTATTCAAGGGGTCCAAGGTGTCATGATCTGAGTGCACAAGGGGCTGTGGGGTCGAAGAAACGAGATTCATTTCTGTATCAGTCTGCGATGGATCGCGCGACAAGCGGCTCGTTACGTCGTCCATTCGTCTCTCCAAATGCTCTGGGAATATGTGAGCCTATCACGGATCTGCATAATAAAGCCACTTGCAGGGCATTCCTTACCGAGACGCCGCTCCAGCTGCGTCACATATCCGGCTCTCAATCCCGGACGGTGATCGCGTGCCCTGTACTCGCAGTCGAAACCACTTTTCTCGCAAAGACCACAGCGCGGCTTTCTCCGGTCGCACGCCACCTTTCGCTGGCGGCATACCAAGCACCTGCAAAATTGGACGTCAGAGTAGTTGCGAATCGCTCGGCCCGTGTTGATGACCACTTACGCTAGTTTCTTACCGGTTTCGGGCATGATGCAGGTGTGAAAGGAAGTCGGTGCCGTGTCTTCGCCGAAGTGGGGAAGTTCCCTGTCCGGCTAAACCCCGGATGACTTGAGGCCTTGGGGCCTTATTTATATTATCTCCTCGACTTTTCAGCAGCTCTTCTAAAACAGCCAGTGGAAGTCGACAACTATTCAATATGACCGCTACAAGCAGCGCAGACCGTGTGGACCGACTCGCGCGAAAAGTACAAGGTACAAAGCACCTTCAACCCCACACTTCCTCACTGACTTTCTGAGACCTGATGCAACACAAACCCGACAGCTCAAGAGTCCTCATCGCCATTTCAGGAATCGCCGGCTCGGGTAAAACGACTCTAGCCGTCGCAGTTACTGCCCGTCTCAACCAGTTGGCGAATACCGATATCGCAGCTTGTATACCGATGGATGGCTACCATCTACCAAGGGCACATTTGGCAGCTATGCCAGATCCTGCCACGGCAATCCATCGTCGAGGGGCTGCGTTTACTTTTGATGGACAAGCTTTTTATCAACTAGTCCAAAGCCTGCGGGAGCCTTTGACAGCAAACACGCCTACGATTTATGCACCATCTTTCGACCATGCAATCAAGGACCCAGTGGCCGACGATATTCCCATATCACCACAATCAAAGGTTGTTATCTTTGAGGGTCTCTACCTGTCATTGAGCAGAGATCCCTGGAATCTGGCTTCTGATCTGATGGACGAGTTGTGGTTTATTGACGTCAATCGCGACATCGCTCGAAACAGGCTCATCAAGCGTCATGTGGCTTCAGGTATTGTACCTGATGCCGCGGCTGCTGAGCACAGAATTGATACCACAGACTGGCTGAACGCGGATGACATCATAGAAAACCGACTCCCTGTCCAAGAGCTGATTCCTGGCAGCTAGATCAATCCCATTTATCATCATTCATGGTCAAAATCCATCTCTCAAATCGATCGAAATATGAGCAAATAATAAAGCATGTACTCCGTATTCAAGTATCGGAGAAAACACACCATCGGACAGATCAGGGGCTCGGAAGCCTTTGGTAGATCTCTTACGGAGTATTTCCTTCCAAGCTTCTTCTTGCCTCTGCTTTATCTCTCCCCCTGCCTTTTCCAGCAAATCATTGTTCTCCATTTGCTTTCACCTTTTTTGCTCCAAGCAGAAAAAGTTCCCCTGGAAAGATTGTTGAGTGGTATCTCACTGAGTTAGGCGACCAGCGTTGTACGGGAGAGCTACAGTGCGGGGGAACTGCATACAAATACACGATGCACCAGCCCCCTTGCTTCTGAGCCTCCTAGGCAAATGTCTTTTGCTCTGTTTTCTTTTGAAAATACATATAGAGCAGCTCACCATGCACTGGATCCATTGGATATCTTGCCTTTGCATAGCAATCGCGACCGCTCAATCCACCGACGGTATCTTCAAGCTTGTTGACCGACGGCTACCTGAGCACATCCATGACTTTCAGTTTACTTTGGATGACAGTGTAACCGGTAGCCACGACGCTTATGTTGTGGAAAGTGCCACAAACGGCACAATCCTTGTCAGGGGAAACTCTCTAAGCGCGTTATCTTCCGGGTAAGACAGGCTCATCCATGCTCGTCACACCGCGACTAATAACTTCATTAGACTGCATCGCTATCTCAATGATGTCGCTCATGTTGACATTTACTGGTTCATCGGGAGCCGACTACATGTCGCCCCTTCCGAATTGCCTCGCTTAAATGAGCCCCTCAACGGATCCAGCACGGTCCCTTGGAGGTATCACTTCAATACAGGTATGATTCCCAATATCATCCCACTTTAAATTGCGAGTCTAACATGAATCAGTCACATTTTCGTACACGACTGCATTTTGGACATGGGAAGACTGGGAGCTTCAGCTTGACTGGATGGCTCTGCGCGGCGTCAATCTACCCCTTGCATGGGTGGGCCAAGAAAAGATCATCGTCGAAGTCTTCCGCGAGATCGGGCTTACCGACGCAGAAATCGGCACTTTCCTGAGCGGCCCTGCATTCCAAGCATGGAATCGATTCGGTAATATTCAAGGGTCATGGCATGGTGATCTTCCAGACTCATGGATCGACGAACAATTCGATCTACAAAAGAAGATTGTCCATCGCATGGTAGAACTTGGAATGACCCCTGTGCTTCCGTCATTCACTGGATTTGTTCCATCTAATATCACCCGTGTCTTGCCTGATGCGAATGTTGTTCGAGGATCGCAATGGGGCGGCTTCCCCATTCAATACACCAACGATACATTCCTAGAGCCATTTGACGAAAACTTCGCAGATCTGCAGAAGCGCTTCATCACCAAACAGCAGATTGCGTATGGAAACATCAGCCATATCTATACTCTTGATCAGTACAACGAGAACGACCCCTACTCTGGTGACTTGGATTACTTGAAAAACGTCACTCGGAACACTTGGCAAAGCTTGAAAGATGCCGATCCCAACGCCATTTGGATGATGCAGGGGTGGCTTTTTTACGCAAACTCTGCGTTCTGGACTGACGAGCGCGTTGAGGCATACCTCTCTGGCGTGGATTCGAATGAAGACATGTTGATCCTGGACCTGTTTTCGGAATCTATTCCACAGTGGCAACGGACGAACTCTTATTATGGCAAACCTTGGATCTGGTGCCAGTTGCACAATTTCGGAGGCAACATGGGTCTGTACGGACAAATCCAGAATCTGACTGTGAATGCAACTCAGGCACGGATTGAGTCGCCCTCAATGGTTGGGTATGGTCTAAGCATGGAAGGCCAAGAAGGAAACGAAATTATCTATGACTTGCTCCTCGATCAAGCTTGGTCCGAGACACCACTGGACACACATCAATACTTCCGAGCATGGGTTACGAGCCGGTATTCCGGTCAAGACACAACCCCGAATGGCCTATACGTTGCTTGGGATCTGATGCGTCAAACAGTCTACAACAACACTAATCTCACGACCTTGGCTGTGGCCAAATCTATTGCAGACATCGAGCCCAGGCTATGGAATCTGGCTGACGTGGTCGGTACACATGGCACTACCGTCAACTACGACCCGGCAGTTCTGGTTCGCGCATGGCAGTCCCTCTATCAAGCAGCGGAGGAAGAGCCAGACCTATGGTCTAACCCAGCTTATCAACACGACCTGGTGGACGTGACGCGTCAAGTGATGGACAACGCGTTCATTCCCATGTACTCGGATCTAGTGAAGTCCTACAACGAATCTCGCTCAGACGATGCCAGCTTCGCCGAGCAGGGAGACAGCCTCGTTAAACTTTTGACAGATCTTGATGCGGTTCTTCTCACCAATCGCAACTTCCGCCTATCAACCTGGATTGATTCGGCAAGAGCTTGGGCCCATGGAAACAAAACCGAGGAAGCTTATCTCGAGTATAACGCGCGCAATCAGGTTACTCTGTGGGGACCGAGCGGTGAAATTACGGACTATGCTTCCAAGCAGTGGGGAGGACTTGTATCATCTTACTATGTTCCACGCTGGAGTATGTTCGTCGACTACCTGAAGAAAACTCCAACCACATTGTATAACACCACCTTGCTACATGAAAAGCTGCGGGCGTTTGAGGATCAGTGGCAGGATGAAACATGGCACACCTCTGAGCCTACTGGGGACAGGGCGGACTTGAGAAATGTTCTGGAGAGAGCTGTGCACAATTGGCCATCCACCTTTGACGTATAATAGAACTCAGTTCTCTATTCATCGGGTAGACATGGACTATTTCAATTCCAGTGGTGATCCATCTGGCACTCATGGACAGATCATGGGATGTCCACCTAGTATGGTTCAACGTCAATCCCAGCCCATAGCTCATTCTAAATCCCCGTGTGATCGTAGTAAATTCACCACCTCTAATTTTCCACACTCCAACTCTGCCTTATTGTGCCTCCAGAATGTGGGATTAAGAATTCCGGGGTGGATCTCGGCCACAGCCGCCTGCAGAGCATAAATCCATTTCCCATTCCGCAATTTCATGTTCACGTCCGCCCCGGAAGCAAGCAAAGTCCTCACACAATCCACATTGCCAAGATGGGACGCTGCAGCAAGAGCACTGCCGTATTTTCCATCCGGAGGTAACATATTCACATCCGCACCCTTGTTGATCAAAAGCTTCACAGCTTCAATACTTCCCCACGCAGAAGCGGCAGTGAGAGCACTACCGTATCTTCCATTTAGAGTCAACAGATTCACATCCGCACCCCTGTTGATCAAAAGCTCCACAGTTTCAGTGTTTCTTATCAAGGAAGCGGAAGCGGCAGCAAGAGCACTACCGTCTGTTCCATTCGGTATTAACAAATCCACATCCGCACCCTTGTTGATCAAAAGCTCTACGACTTCAATACTTCCCTTCACAGAAGCGACAGCAAGAGCACTACCGTCTGTTCCATTCGGTATTAACAAATTCACATCCGCACCCTTGTTGATCAAAAGCTCCACGATTTCAATGTTTCCCATCAAGGAAGCTGCAGCAAGAGCAGTGCCAAGATGATTAAAATCATCGTCGTTCCTCAAGTTAGGATCTGCCTTCGCTTGTTCAATCAAGTACTTGACAATGTCGTAATGTCCGTCCAGTGCAGCTCCCGTTAATGGACTCATTCTACGGTAGAAGTGGCATTGACTCGGGCTGTGTATTTTAATTACTATAGGAGAACCAGCGTTAAAGCGAAATCGGGAGTTGACAATAGCGGCCATTGTGGAAAATGGCACTAGCGTGGGTGCCCTGAGCAATCCGTGAGTGCCCTTAGTCGTTCCCTATTATGTGACACCATCTTGCAGCCCCGGGGTTGTTTGTACATCTTTACCCATCTGCAATTTCCCCACCAAAAGCGCCTTCCTTTGAACCAACTTGTCTTTTCAGTTTTTTATGGAAATGAATGATTGGAATACTCCAGCTTTCTATGCAAAGTAAGATCGGCGAATCAATCAATTTTATATATAACTAATCTGACCTTGTAAGTAGGAGTCGAAAATTGAAATCACTTAAAAGGCGCCCAAATATATACCAAAATTACACCGGTCCTTTGACGGGGAAACCAGTAAGTAATTGCCTAACCGGGCTCCGGATTCGGGGGGCGGGGGGCGGGGGGCTTAGGTACCGTAGGCAGTAGTCTCCCCCTCTCTCCCGAGGTCCCTCTACGCGGTAATATTCCAAGGTTCTGTTGTTCCAAGTTTCCCGAGTCTCAGCGAACCTTTCTTACCGCCTACTTCGGCAGAAGTCCTAACTATGGTCACGTGATGTACGCAGGACACCACCTGGGCAGAAGTCTGTTAAACTCGGATGCATCATTATGTCAATCCATGATTTAGTGGCTTTTTTTTCAAGCATACATCTCTAAAGAATAAAAAAAAAAAATTTTTCATGAGAAACCGGCAATGGGGTAAAGATGGAGAAATGTGTGTGTAGTTTACGGTCCCAAATAATATATTTTTCTTTGCGGGTCACTTCCACCTGCATGTTGGGTGGACATGACTGCCGCAGCATTAACTTCAACGTCTTTATGCCACGGCCCCATACACTTTATTTTGAGATATGACGAAATAATCTTTCAATACGTATCTCCAGACTTCGCTCCTTACCAAGGTAGTCGAGACCTACTTAGGTAGTGATGCTGCAATCATGCAACTGCAATGTGTGGACTCAGCCCTGAACAGGAAGACAAACAATCCAAGCATGTCGGTGTCGTGCATAATTTGTGACATGATAAATTATGCACACATGCTTTCGATTTATAGCCCTGAAGTATTTAGAATTCAAGGCAAAAAACAGTCGACTGAACTCCGACTGCCATCCCATAACCGCAGCTTATCGCGTGCGAACTTGATTATAAATGCGCATCCGCCTATCGCCGAGAGCACTCGTTTCAGGGTCAACGTCCCAACATTTCCAGCGTGCTACTAATATTTCGTTAAGACATGTTGCAATTCTAAGCGGAAACTCTGCATGTCACAGTCAACAATGTCTTCATCGGAGGAGACACCACTAATCGCCCAGCGCCACTCCAATGACCGCTCCAATGAAGCGCAGGTGGGCTCCACGAGAGGGTTCTTAATATTGGTCTTCATGGGTCTCCTTGTATTCACTTTGGGTCAGTCAAACGAGGATTCGGAACACCTCCACTTCACTGACAGAAAACAGCCGCCAACATGTCCATGATGACCACGGCACAATCGGAAATTGCGGCCGACTTGGATGCATTCGCGGACGCATCTTGGTTCACCTCCGCATATATGGTATAGTTCTTCGCGCCAGTATCCCGGGCACCAAATTTAGTCTAATATGGTCCCAAGATTGCCATGTCGAGTATTACACCCCTGGCTGGGAGATTTTCCCAGATATTCACGCCACGCCTTTATACGGTCTTCTCGACAACGCTGCTTGCGATTGGGCTTTTCATTAGCGCCTCTGCTCCCAATCTCAAGGCTTTCCTTGCAGGCCGTGTAGTGGCAGGCTGCGGGGGTGGTGGGTTGGTGAGTACATCGATCATCTTGGTGCTGGAGATGGTGAGCAAGAAGCGCCGAGGACTCTGCATCGGACTGATCAATTGCGGCTTTACCACCGGTGTCGCATCAGGTGCGGTTTTGGCAGGATTGATCGCTCCGACATGGGGTTGGCGCGTTATATTCTGGGTACAGGCTCCAACTGTACTACTGCTGGGGCCGCTGTTGTTCTTTGCGATCCCAAAACCAGCAAGTGATGATTCGGGCCAATTCAAAATAAATCATCTGCTCCATAGTCTTGCGCGCGTGGATTATGCTGGGGCAGCTACATTGGTAAGTCGATACATTTCACTATCGTGTCGTTGTGTTGACACCGCCAGACAATATCCCTTGTTCTCTTTTTCATCAGTCTTGCATCTCCGCAGATCACCGTGGGGCCAATCCTAGCGTCTGTGGTTTTCTTTGCTCTGTTCTTGACAATCGAATCAAGCTGGGTTACTGAGCCCATCATTCCGACCCATGTTCTCAAAGCCCGCAGTGTTCTGACGACATGTCTGGCGGGACTTGGGCTCATGATGGCTCGTTGGGCTGTCTTATTTTACACCCCGGTGTACGCCTTGGCTGTCCGAGAATGGTCCCCGGCATCAGCCGGATTGATCCTCATCCCAACAAACGTTGGTTTCGGCCTTGGTGGATTGGTTGTGGGGTGGTTGCACATTCGCCAGACTGGAAGTTACTATTGGTAAGTGATCCGCGCCGCGATAGAACGTGGCTAAACGCATCACAGCTCCTGTCTGATCGCCTTCCTCTGTTTTGCACTCACCTCTCTGCTCTTGTCGATACTATCAAGACCGGACTCATCGGTGCCCATATACGTTGGTGCCACGTTCTTGAACGGGCTTTTCGCCGGCGCAATGCTGAATTACGCGCTCTCGCATCTGCTGCATTTGACCGACACAAACGTGCATTACATCGTGACCGCACTGGTGGCAATGTCGCGCAGCCTGGCTGGAAGCTTTGGATCGGCAGTGGGAGGTGGCTTCTTCGCACGTGTGCTTAAAGGCTCTCTCGAGGCAGGGTTTTCTTCTCACGGCCTGGCGCAACGGCCTGATCTGGTCCGTAGGCTGCTCGGCAGCCCGGCTCTCGTGGCGCATTTGGATGGTATCGAGCATGTGGTGGCTGTTGAGAGCTATGAGCATGCCGTGAAGATGCTCTTCTTGGCGGGGACTGTGGTGGCACTAGCTGCTGCTTGTGTCCAGGCTGGGGTTGGATGGACCCATGAGGGGCCACGGGGCGAACGGACTCCTGACCGGGAGCGAAATCGTTAGCGCAGTGGTGCACACATTGTAGAGAATGAGTAGGGAGCTATTCAATGCCATCATGCAGTGATTGGGCTTTTTTTCCGAATCGCCTCCGAAAAAAGCACCAGGCTACTACATACCTACCTAGGTAGGTAGCCCCCGGGGCCCGTGCCATCGATGACTCACAATTTTTAGATGAACCAGCTAGCCTCTATTCGGAGGTTGACATTGTTGAGAAGACTTCAGAATCAGAGAAATGCGATACTTCATGAGAGATCCAGAACAAGCCAAGAGTAGATGTTAGGAAGATGCGCGTCTGTTGAGGCCCATTAGGGGTCCATCCAGGCCCAATCGGCCCGGGCCCGGGCCCGAACGTTGACTCTGCGGGCGTCGGTTGCTTCACGCTTAACCTTACGTACCAGGCTTAGCGAGCCACTAATATCATGTTCCTCTCTCTCCCACTTCTTCTTTCAACACTTCAACTTCTCCATCTTCCTCATTGCTCATTTCACTGAGCAAAAATGCTCGAAACTGCCCAGGCTCCCTTGGATAACAAGTGCACCCCACTCAATGTCCCCGGGTTTCATGAACTTCCTGTCAATGTGTTACTCGCTCACGATGTATTTGCCAGAGAAGTAGATGCGTGGAGGGCTAGCGTCTTAACTGCGAAGGAACTGGCCATGCTAAGGTTAATCAACGCCATCACTGATCGGCCAGATTGGCACCGCCGTATCTTTGACCAGCGTGCTGTCACTCAATGGCGAGAGGAAGCTGCTGCATCCTCGTCGCTGATCAATGACAAAACGTGGGACTGGTGCTTGAAAGAACTGCAGGACAAGGCTCGGGACTTTGATCGTGACGGTTACACCACCGTCTTCAACACGTTCAGTGGTGTCTGCAAGTCCGACACTGGAATTTCGTCCGATCTGAAATCACAACTCGAGAGTTCTGCCGTCCTGCTTTCTCCGCAAGCTGCGCGAGGGAAGTCGCATCCAGCTGTGGTCAACATCGTCGACCCTTCTCTCTTTCCTCTCGTCTATGGAAGAACAAAAGTCATACTTAGTGGGCAATCGTGCGGAATGGATGAAAAGTCCTGGCTGTCACGCATTGAGGAGGGCCCAGTGGTTTCGCAAATTCCGCAGCTTAATATAGCTGCCCTGAGATTTCCAAGAAACCAATCCGGAGACATGTGGTCCGTGAAGTTTCAGTGGCTGCCATGCGAAGTTGAATTCACTGGTCCGTCCGGTTCCACTGATGTTCACATTTCCTCTTACATCAACAATGTTCATCCGAAAAACAAGGAGATATACTCCGCAGTCGAGGCCATGATATCCGTCAGCATCAAACAGTGGAATCAGGTGCTGGTTCGTAGCCGAATAAAAAGGGAGGGCAGTACCAACCACTCACCCTACCCGCGAGAACCTGTACGGCTACGCACCTACGGAGTCGAGTGGAAAGACAATTTTCCTGATTGGGCGAAGAAGCTACCCAAAAAGGAAGATGAGAGCAAACTCTCCGTGGAAGAATACGAATCTATGTGTGCCCAGGTGGAAGCCTACCTTCAGGAGCCTGATTCGGAGGATGAAGTAGGCTGGCCTTGGATGAACACCAAACCCATTGCGGATGATTGGAAATCCCACTGGGGTCTCCTTCAAACAGCTCTGTATAAATATGCCCGTACTTTTGTTTTTGAGCACTCTGACCCCGGAACGGCATACTCCTATGCGGACTGGAAAGCTGGCAGGACCCAAGAAGCGATCGTTGGCCCGCCGCACAGCGACGCTATTTGCGCCCCCGAACCCGAACGGTGGAATTTTATCGCAGCAAACCCTTGGCTGATCCACCTTGACTGGATGTATATGCCAAAGGAAGAGGGAGACACTGATCATGACTTCTACGAAGTTGCATTGGAGCATGAGTTTCGGCAACAGGGTCTCCAGGTAGTCGTCCGGATTCATGACATTCAGCTTGACCCTGAGACTCCATACTTCGCCGGCGAGGAGTGGCACATTGAAGGAAATGGAAACGAGCATATAGTCGCGAACTCTATCTACGCGCTGGATTCAGAAAATATATCTGAGCCGCAGATCAGCTTCCAGCAACGGGTCTGGCAAGGTGGTCCTTGGGTCTACGACCGAATTGGCGCTTGGGATACCGAGGACGAGGAGGAAGACGATGGTAATGGTGCGGCAATGACTAAGCACTCTCACTGGGACATCAAGTACATTGGGATGCTTCTTGGATACGAAAACATTCGGGACAGTAAACAACTGCAAGAGCTCGGGGATGTGAAGATGCCTTCGGGCCGCCTGATCTCCTTCCCCAACGCTTTCCAGCACAGAATGGGCCCGTTGCAGCTGGAGGACAAGACCAAGCCCGGCTACTGCCGCTTTCTCACTTTGTCTCTTGTTGACCCGAACTTCCGGATTTGCTCGACCCGCAATGTTCTGCCCCAGCAAGGGGGTTGGATGAAAGAGGATGACCCTAATTCCGTTTCACAAATGGATACAGTTGAGGCCCTGGAGCTGAGAGATGAGCTGGCCCGTGAACATGCCAAAAAGGATAATGCTATCCTTAAATGGACTCGTGAATTTACTTTTCCTGGATTTGGGTGAGTACCTACTGTTGGTGGTTTGCAGGTGGCACTTAGCTTTTCTGCATACTCCGGTGATCGAGATCACGTCAATCAAGTCAGAGAAAATTTTCCAAGAAAAACCACCTGGGCAACCAAGACATGTATGTAAACCCGATTGATCGATCTCGAACGGTCATGCATTTCCTTAGCATCATTTGCAAATTCCTGCCCTGAGCGTTGATATCCCACCCGATGACCGTCCTCTCTCAATGGCTCGGAACGTTCTCCCTGTAAATTCCCCTCCCACCCCGGCGATATGAGCGATGGGGGTGGCGATGGTGAAAGATGAGTCCTGGGGTTGTATTTGAGTTGGGCAGCGATACCCTATCTCTTGACTGTCGTGAAATACTGATATGGGGCGAATTAAATGCACCAGAAACGAGGCTACACTGTATGGAAGTGTCAACTGGTCAGTGCGGACCGCGTTCTGAGCGGATCGGCAGGTCTTGGCGGAGCTTCAGGAACCATTTCTCCCCAACTCTCCGCATCTCACTCCAACGACCTCCTACAACCTTTCAACATGCCTCGTGCCGTGCGAGGTTGGTCTCCCTGAAGATCTCAATTGCTCATTTCAAGTCTTGCTGACTTTGTTTCCTTTGACAGGTCTCCTCATCGAGTGCGATCCTTCGATCAAATCCATGATCCTCAAATACGACGAAGAGCGACATGACTACATAGTGGAGGACTTGGACGATGAAAATCATCTTGTCATCAAGGAGAGCCAGCTCGAGAATCTGAAGTATCGCTTGGATCGGGTATTTCACCTCCTTCGCGCTGCCCTCGCTATCACTAACCTGGTTGCCAGGACCTTGACGAGAAGATCATGCAGCTCGATGAGTCCGAGTCTGAATAAGTTGGAGATTGAGCTTTCCGTACGTCGAGATATACCCTACAAGCACAGAGCGCACCGCCGGACCAACGAGTTACCAGAACCGACCTACAAGCCAACTTATCAAACTACCCTGTTCCCACGTCACAACGGTCACGACCTCATCTGCGACCTGTTACGAACCCTGGCCGTCTGGGTATCGATCGATACCGTGCCGATTTCTATATTTTGGCATCCCGCCAATGTCCATGTTCTTTCTGTGTGTATACAGGATTTTGGCCACTCATCGAGCACGACCTCGATTGAAAACATTTGATGTCATTGGTCGCATTTGTAACTCGGTTCTTGGAGCAGGTTCTTCTTAGTGCTGTGTCGCCTCTTGGTTGGCTTGAGCAAGGTCGGGTTACACCTTACTATGCAGTGTTCCCTGGCTCCTGGGTAGGCTCGCTTTCATCTGCACAATGGCACAACACACTCTGGGACGTGGATCTTTCCAGAATCCTCTATTGAATCTCCGTGTCGAAAAGGCAAGGGTGTAACTTGTGGACTCCAAGAGAGTTGCTCTCCTCCCGGGGTGTTCAGTAATCAAATGTCACGTGATCGATATACTAGAACCATCCAGCACCTTAGAGAGGCGACGACAAGGTGCTAGAAGTGACACCCAACTTCTGGGTGTCGCTAGCACCTACGCGCTCTACTCGCATATTCTAGATGTTTTTGACACCAGCGTCTATAAAGTCCGCCTCCCTGCCAGTCTATCTTCTCTCATCCATCAGAAAACAAAATCATCTCAAGCTCTCCAAGAACTTCTCTCTTCAACAACACTACCAACTACTACTCTCAACATGTCTCTCTTCCGCACTAGCTTCCCTGGCTCCGGCGAGTTCTCGCCTCTCTTCCGTCTCCTTGACGACTATGACGTCCACCGTTCTGCTCGCAACCAGCCTGCAACTCAAACCTTCTCGCCTCGCTTTGATGTCCACGAGACGGAAGACTCCTACCACCTCGACGGTGAACTCCCTGGAATTGCCCAGAAGGATATCGACATCGAGTTCGCCGACCACCAAACCCTGGTCGTGAAGGGTCGCACCGAGTATGAGCGTCGTACCTCCGACCAGGACGCCGACGAAGACTCCCAGCAGACGGAGTCCGACTCTCAGGCCAAACCCACTCGTCGCTTCTGGGCCACTGAGCGCTCTGTTGGCGAGTTCCAGCGCACTTTCTCCTTCCCCAGCCGCGTTGACCAGGACAAGGTCAAGGCCAGCCTGAAGGACGGCATCCTTTCCATCGCGGTGCCCAAGGCCACTGCTGCCGCGACCAAGAAGATTACCATCGAGTAAGAATTCTGCGGTGACAACCTCTCGATGTCGCCCTCGCGGCTGCTCACGACTCATGAACTTTATCATTTGATTGCATTCTTGCCTGTGTGACGGACCGATCTCAGCTATCTGTCCTGATATGCCATTCTTTACATTATTAATCAATTCAAGTCTATTATCAATGTCAACTTAAGACCGTTCCAGTAAATTATGCGAATAATGTAGAACTTATGCTGGTAGATTTTGAGCCTCGGCACGTGAAGCTCAAGCAGATATTCCGGACTTTAGCTGGTAAACAGAGCTCACAATATAAACACCGCAAAATGCCGTCCCGAGACTACCAAGCCCCATTCTATATGGGGAGCATAACTATAACTTTACGTTTCTTTAATTGGAGAGAATAATTCCGAGAGGAGCTTCGGCCGATGGATCCAGGAGATGCTGATCTAACGTGCCGAGGTCCATCGATACCCACTCATACTCTCCTCTCCGCACTCGAACTTCAATCACTTCAACACACCTCTCACCATGTCTGATTACTCCTTTGAATATTTCACCGTGCGGTTTCCAACCGACCAACAATATGTCGCCCACGTGGAGATCAACCGTCCCGAGCGACTAAATGCTTTCATCGAGGTGTAAGTGCTCCGGACCTCGCATCGGATATCCACTAAATTATCCCAGCATGTGGCTGAACATGGCCAAAATCTTCAACAAACTATCTTCAGACCCTTCAGTCCGTGCGATCGTCCTCAGTGGCGCAGGCGAAAAAGCATTCACGGCCGGGTTAGACGTCAAAGCCGCGTCCGAGGGCCTACTATCCTCGGAAACAAGCACAGACCCAGCCCGCAAAGCAGCCTTTCTCCGCCGCCACATCCTCGAATTCCAAGAGTGTATCACCGCAGTCGAGCGCTGCGAAAAGCCTATTGTCGTTGCCATGCATGGATTCTCACTAGGCCTCGCTATCGACCTGTCCACAGCAACGGATGTGCGTTTATGTTCGCGCGACTCTAAATTCGCTGTTAAGGAAGTCGATATCGGCATTGCCGCGGATATCGGTACTCTGAGCCGTCTTCCTAAGGTCGTTGGGAGCTACGGGTGGGTCAAGGAGATTGCCTTGACCGCGCGCGAATTCGGAGCAGAGGAAGCGCTGCGTGTTGGATTCGTGAATGGGGTTTATGATTCTCGGGAAGCGACTGTCGCTGCGGCTCTTAAGCTTGCAAATCTCATGGCTAGTAAGAGCCCTGTTGCTGTGCAGGGTACCAAGGAGATTTTGAACTATTCGCGCGATCACTCGGTGCAGGATGGGTTGCGCTACACGAGTGTTTGGAATGGCGCGGCTTTGCAAACGCAGGATGTATCGGCTGCTTTGTTGTCGGGACTGCAGAAGCGTGTTCCCACTTTTGAAAAGCTGTAGATGGAAAGAGGTCTGCAAATTCGACGCTTTGCTCCTGTGGACTTTGTCCAAGTCATATAACGGTGCATATATTTCAATGCGATCAATGCGGATTATCCCTACTTTTGCCCAAAGTTCTTGACTTGAGAGTCGTATTCACATTTTCGATGCGCCCACTATTCCAGAAGCAGCGTGACGATGGCTGGAAGAAGAGCTGCCAAAAGCTTCATGTCGATGCGAGTGAGCTCCAAGTGTCGAGGTGATGAAAATATATGCAACAAAGATGAAGTATGAAAGATGATACTGCGGGCTCATGTCGTATTTATACCTATCCAATCTCCACTTGGCAAAAAATGGCCCCTTTCTACTCCGAATAAAACGCACGCTTTCAGGCAGTTGCTACTGCGGGTACCTGAGCTCACTGTCAGTTCTCTTTGCCTTGGCACGGGTGCAGTATCAAGGCTGTGGGGATGCATGATGGGGCGTGAACTAACCCATTGACAGCGCACCTTGCGAGAGCCAATAGAGCATCTGGATCACAACTTGATCAATCCATGGATGAAACATTCACTTCTCCCCCAAGCTAGTTTTACGAGCGATCCAATTCTCGAAATATAATCAGATCTAACCCTCTCCAGGGCTGGTCTAACAAGTATCCTACAGGCAGTAGACCGTATCTTTAAATGTGGTGCCCCAAGCGAAGAATCGTGACTAGAGACCAACACTACTCAAGTCCCTCCTAGTGCTTGGCCAAATGAGAGTAATTTAACAGTGATTTCACTTCAAAGGGGGCCACAATACGTACAGAGAAACGAGTCATTCGTATACTTCATAGTGCAGCAAGTCCTGCGCATCTGATTGGCTCTCGCAATCAGATCCATTTTAGGTTTAGCGCCATCTTTATTTGGCGTTGCTTGTGTTGGCAGAGTACGGAGTAGTAGTACGGCCAGTGTCGATCCTGCGCATTCCAAGTCAGCTCGTTTTCTTACAGATTACACATTGGCTTTTTCTATCCCGTCCATGAGTATTCCGCAATGCGGCCGGGATATGTTGAAAAGTATAGGCCAGACGTCCCACGCCTCCACGCAACGCCAACTCGATGAACTTCCCCTCTTGGTTTCATGCACTGTTGTCCTGACTGTCACCAATCTATCGTCATGGTGATCGGGAATTCAGACTCACTGAGCGATCTCAGCTACCTCGAATCTTTTTCGGGGTCTGAGAACCATTTCAAGACCCACCAGGGACTAGCTCATCTCCAGAATGACGCGCTCTGGGGTCTGTGGCCCTCTCCGTCGTGTTGACGCTCACTGAGCAACAGTATTCATTCTTGAGGATCACATCAACCGATGTATTTCAAGTCTCCTTATATGCGCCATCCAACATGCCTACACAATGGTCTCACATAAAACGCTCTCGCCCACGCTCAGATCCCACCCATACACCTTCTTAGCTTCTGAGGCAACAGTCCCCTATATATCTGGTTTGATATGACCAAAATCTGCAGATATTTCGGTCTTCATTGAGATGCTGGCCTTGGCCTCTTTGTGGATCCCCACAGAGCTGTCATTTATCCTAGCTGCACATCATGCACCACCATGTGGAGAGATGCCAACCCAGCCCCATGCTGGACTGCATGGTCAAACATGTCACTCCCAAGGTCACCTTCCAAGATTTTAGCTGATGTCTTCCTGGAGAACTCTTCGCTCGACGCATCCGATATCCCCGGTCTGCTTATTCTAGGTCCTTACGAGTATGCTACGATCAATATTTTGCCCCTTGTCTATTATTCACTGAGCGGCGTGGCTTCGAGCACACCCTCAGCTTGGAGCTCTACGACTTCTCTTGATGTGTCGCACGACAATGTCAACTCTAACCGCACTGTGTCTACCTAGGTAGATTTCTTCAAGTATAGCAAGCAAGACATGCCGTCTAAGATACCACATACTCAACCGCACCACTTCAGGCTTCAAGAGGTCGTCCCCCTTTAGGGCTGATCTCATTTCTAAGGTGAGACTTGACTCAAGAAGATACCTTGTGGGATTCGCGATCTCCGACCGCAGATATGCAAGAACTCCAACTCGTCGTATCCGCCCGTGCAACGAAGATTATGTTTGCTCGCATGACTTGTGACAATGCTCCTCTTTTTCTGGACGGGTCAAACGTTTGTGACAGATCGGCAAGTGGGCTCTGTCTAGTGGGGAACTCACTCTCCCGTTTGTCTCAGCTTCTGCCGCACCGATGGTTATACGAAGTAGCAATGTACGAGGCGGCCTGCTATGGCTCTTGGGCAATTGACAGCCATCACAGGCATGGAAATGCGATGACGCCCCAATTTTCGTGACCCATTCGACTTTTACTACTCTGCTGTCATTTTTCCTGGGTCCACTATGGTATCAAGGGTCTGATCAATTGGTTCTTATCTGATGGAAACATAATGCGGAGGTGGAAATGAGAAGTCCCTCTGACGAATGCTATTAATGGAATGTGACAGGGCCTGTCAAATTTGACGTCTCACGCTGAGTGCCGACACTTTAATTTAAACATCTGCATCGGACATCTCATTGGACTTGGGGGTCGTTGGTTGTTTCGAGCTTCAGATCCGAGGCAGATCCGAACCATCCCCGACAGCCCTACTTATGGCGTTTCATCACCAATCGCCCACATTTTGTCCGTTTCTGTATGTTTTCCGGTGTTCGTCCGTCATATATACCTTCTCCGTGGCCAAGAAGGATAGTGATCGCCAAAATGCAAATTCCATGAATCAACGACGTGCATGATCGGGACTCCGCACTTGCCAGACGCCCCCGTTTCGCCTTCGTCTTGGCCCCTGCATATCCCGCCATTAACGCCATGAAACTCGGAGAACTTCACATTTCGGAGAATATCCGGCTGGGCTTCTCTCCGTGGCTGTCACTATTTCCCACGTATCCAAGATGACCCTTGGCATGCTTTGGGGAGTATATAAGCCAAATTATGCCACTGGCTCTCTCCGTCTCAATACTACCAGTACACCTATACTCCCCTCATCATGAAGTCCGCAGTGCTCCTCTCAGCTCTTGTCCCCAGCGCGCTGGGCGCAACGATCTACATGGCTGGTGATTCGACTATGGCCAAGAATGGCGGTGGATCAGGCACGCAGGGTATGCTTTCGCTTGAACCTGCTCTGTCTAACCGATGCTAATACCTTCCTAGGCTGGGGTGAATACGTCTCCCCCTACACCTCCCTAACGGTATCAAACAAGGCCATTGGCGGCCGCAGTGCACGCTCATACACTCGCGAGGGCCGATTCGACGCCATTGCGGATGTCGTGCAATCCGGGGACTGGGTCGTCATTGAATTCGGCCACAACGACGGCGGTTCCCTAAGCAGCAGCGACAATGGACGAACCGACTGCCCCGGCACGGGAAGCGAAACATGCAGCACTACCTATGACGGGGTTGCGGAGACGGTTCTCACCTTCGGCGCCTATGTTGAAGCGGCTACAAAGAAGTACAAAGCCAAGGGCGCCAATGTGATCATCTCTTCCCAGACTCCCAACAATCTCTGGGAGACTGGATCGTTCGTCTACTCTGAGCCTCGGTTCGTGGGATATGCTGAGACGGCTGCGGCCAATGCTGGTGTTCCCTACATCAACCACTTTGCGTATGTCGCGGACCGCTTTGAGTCGCTGGGCGCTTCTACGGTGGACAGCTACTTCCCCAATGATCACACCCACACCAGTGCCGATGGTGCGTCTGTTGTGTCTCAGGCATTCTTCAAGGCTGTTGTCTGTGGAAATGTGGCGCTCAAGAGTTCTCTGACTACCACCTCTTTCCCTGGTTCTTGTCTATGATTGATTAGACACCCTTAACATAGCGTGTACATCAGAAGCAATGCACATAAGTTACAATTTCATACTTCTTCCAAAGCTTCAAATGTTCCAAGGTTGAAGTTCTCTTCGAATCAACGGGTATGAGGCCCATCAGAGGCCCCAGCCAAGACGGACCTTGGCCGGGCAAGTTTCAAGTACATTAGCGCTCCGGAATCCAGCCCTGGAAGGCTGTGAAGAACGCTCTTTGTAGGATCTTGGCACAGAAAGATTAATCTGGCCGGATTCGAAGTTGGCTATATTTGGCGTCCAGGGGAACGGGAAGTTTGAGCAAGACGACATCGGGAGTCTCCAAGGTTCTAAGGCTATACTCATACTGAAACAATCACAGCTTACAAGAAGCCAGAGTCATCTTGATTGGAGCTGTCAGGTGCAAGACTCAATTTCCCTGAATATGTTCATTGCTAAGCAGAAATGAAGTACAGTGAAACCAAACGCCCTCCGTGCCCTCCGTAATGGATATAGTACGCCTTGCGCATGAGCGCATCGGTGATCAAACCTCACGCTTCAAGTATAGACCTAACAATACCTCTGTTGGCAACTCGTTGTGCATACTGATTCAAACTGGGAAATCTTGAATTGAATGGGCCTTGCGTTTGTGATAGGATCTCCCGTAAAACCGGCCACAGAGCACAGTCGTCAATTGTAAAGGCACTCCCCCCTAGGTAGTGTTTTCCTTGTAGAACACGCTCCCAATCCTCGTACCCAAATTCAAACACGACGCGTGAGCCGGAGGCGCAATGTTCTCGCCAGCGCCTGAAGAATTCTTCGATGGCTGGTAAGTAGTCGCCTCCGGGCAGTACCTCCACGCCAGGCCGCGTGGAATCGAGAGGTCGCCGAGCCAGATGTAAGAGGATGGCACAGTCGCCTGCAACTGTGGATCCATTTGGTTCTTCATACACTGGTCCAGGCTGACCATTCTGGTTATTTTCTCGACCGGCCACTTCGTACCGAAGGCCATTCTCTCCAAGGGCGATGCAGACACGCAAATCAGCCACCGGGTCTCCACTGAGAATCACTCGTGCAGATGACGCAGTCACGAAGTTGACCACATCAAAACCACTTCCATAAACAGCGTCCCAGTCGAATTCGGTGGCACGGTTTTCTTGTCCAAAAGCGCCAATGAGGCGTTCGGTCTCTGCAGAATCTCCGTGTAGCACTGTGCCAGCCTGCTCGAACGTTTTACTGACAGCCCCTTGGCCCCAGATCTTGCTAGACGTGGGCTCAATGAAAGTTCCAATGTGTCGGAAAGTGAGAGAAATTCGTTGGCCTCCATATGCCTGCTCTTCAGTGGTCTTGGTTGTCTCGGGCCGTTTGTCCGCGCGAATTCCATGGAGCCATCGCATGTTAGTTTTCGGGCCTAGAACAAAGAGCGACTTGTGTGGCAGAGGCACGCGCTGTGATGTCCGGCCGGTCTCTTTTCCCTCTTGGGGCTCGGACGCCGAAGTTTTGGTGCGGAGGATCATGACGCGCTCAGCACCGAGACTGACATTGCAGATGAATGATCCTCGTACGATATCTAGGGTCTTGTCCGAGTGCTCAGATATGCGATCTTGACCGTCCCGGTAAAGTTGGATGAGCACGTGGTTCAGCGGATGTCCCAGAATCTTCTCAACAGCAACGCGCACCTCATCAACGGCGGGAGTGAACGGCTTAAAAGGTGGAGACTCATCTGCAGGATGCCGGTAGATTGGTATGGCACCATCAGGTCGGCTTTGACCCTGGACTGCGACCAAGCGTGGAACCTGGCCGGACAGATGATACATTTTTTGCCAATCCACCTCTGCTTTTATGCGCTCGAATGATTCATCTGAAATGGCAACATCATGTATAATGCTCGAGTCGCCCTCCCCAATATTTGTTTGAGCATTTTGTGTTGGCTGCGATGTGGTTTGTCGATCGGGCTCTACAGGGGATTGAGCTGTTGTCGGCTGCCCGGGTTCTCGGCGCTTCGGACGTCGAATCCGTGCACGCACCTGCTTCTTTTCTTCCGGTGGCCCTCGCGCTCGCTGCATGCGAGACATGGAAGCCAGTTTTGACAGTCCAAAATCATCCTGATCTTCCTTTTCGTCGGTCGGAGAAGCATCCACGGTGTTCCATACTTCGAGCCCATCCATGACTGACTCGATGCCTGCGGTTGCGGCGGACCTCTTTGGTTGCGGGGCACCCTGGCGCGCAATTGCCTCCGTCTCGTCCCAATCCAGCTCTTGGATAAGCTCGCGGGCGGTGATTCCAGTTGCGCCGAGTATGTCAGCCATCCGCCGCATTGCTTCCTGGTGGCGTTGGAAATCGCGGAATCCCAGGCAGTCTTCAACGAGAGTCACCGAAAATCCACTGCGGACGGCATCCAGGGCTGTCGCGAATACTGAGACATTGGAGAGCGATCCGCATAGATAAATGTGGGTGACGAAGCGTGTTCGAAAAGATAGCACCAGACCAGGTGACCCTAAAGCAGAGTATCCAGTTTTCTCCATCACAGTGTCCTTCTGTGGATCAATGGCGGACAGGACCGGTGCCGGGAACTGAACTCCCGGGGTCTGCGGGGAACAACATGTTGATGGATCTGCCGAAAGAAAAGCTTCTGGGTCTATAGGCTCTGGTGAATCGCGGTCCGATCCGACTTCAATGACATCTGAATGGGGAATTGACTTTTTCCGTGGTTTTTCACGAGCTAGAACGATGCGGTCCCCGAAGTCCCAATCAGAAATTGACTGAGGGCCTCCATACTGAGAGCGAACCCAGACGACATCTCCGACGCGACGGAAGGCCGATGCTAATTGCGGGAGATTTTCGATGATATCGGGGGTATTGGGGATATGCAACGCGCCCGATGGACGGACAAAATCATTTTGAAAGTCGAGCAATAGCAAGGCTTTGCGGGTTTGAATAGTGGGTAAATCCCCGAACGAGAAGACGCTCATCCTTCAGACATGGTAAGAAGAAGAGAGGTTCTGTTGACAGTGGGGTGGGGGCGGAGAGCGGCAGTACTTTTGTCGATACGAGAGGTGCGGAGTACCACGCCTGAGTACCAGGTACCTCGCAGCTGGGCTTATTAGTTATGATATCCAAAGTAGACGGTACATCTTTGGATCGACGTCTAGTATGGGGGTATCGCGGAGCTAAGATGGATATATTGTGCTCCCGCAACTCAATTGCATCCGGACTCTGAGTCCGTGTTCGAGCTAAGCATTCTGCATAGTACTCTTGTTGATTGGTAGCTCAAATATATACGTGCAGGTACGGTGATCGATATGACCTCGAGAACACCAAAATGACCACCTAAGCATTATTGGCCATAATCTAGAACCATACATGAGGCCATCGAGGAAAAGTTCACCGATCAACGCCTAAACCATGTTTCATTGTGATATTGCGGAGTAGATGTCGCAGATAGCCCTCCGCACAGTGGTAAATGACGAGTGCAACTCACGATCGTCCAGACTCATCCACTCCCGGAGTTGGGACCGACCTCCCCGAGACCGGAGGGCGGCCAGAGCTCCCCGGTAGCCCGGACAATGTCTTTCTCCGCTATGACTCGCCGATTGCGGACTCGCCATTTATAAAGCTTTCCCCAGAACGCTTTTCCCTCTTTTCCACTTCATCTCTCTCCACTCTCCTCTCCTCAATTCACAATGGCTTCCCGTGGTCTTCCCCGTGCCCTCCGCCTCGCCCGCGTGGCCGCCCCTCGCTCCGTGCTCGCCTCGGCTCTCCCTCGCCCTGCCGTTGCTGCTGCCGCTGCCCTTCCCCGTGTCTCCTCCGTCACCACCCCCGTCCGTGGTATCAAGACCATTGACTTCGCCGGTGTCAAGGAGGATGTCTACGAGCGTGCCGATTGGCCCCGTGAGAAGCTCCAGGAGTTCTTCAAGAACGACACCCTGGCTCTCATCGGTTACGGTTCCCAGGGTCACGGTCAGGGTCTGAACCTCCGTGACCAGGGCCTCAACGTCATTGTTGGTGTCCGCAAGGATGGTGCTTCCTGGAAGGAGGCCATCCAGGACGGCTGGGTTCCCGGCAAGAACCTCTTCGATGTTAACACCGCCATCGAGAAGGGTACCGTCATCATGAACCTCCTCTCCGACGCCGCCCAGTCCGAGACCTGGCCCACTATCAAGCCCCTCATCACCAAGGGCAAGACCCTCTACTTCTCCCACGGTTTCTCCCCCGTGTTCAAGGACCTCACCAAGGTCGAGGTCCCCAAGGACGTCGATGTCATCCTCGTTGCCCCCAAGGGTTCCGGACGTACCGTCCGCTCTCTCTTCCGTGAGGGCCGTGGTATCAACTCCTCCATTGCCGTCTTCCAGGACGTCACCGGCCAGGCTAAGGAGCGCGCCATCGCCATGGGTGTCGCTGTTGGCTCCGGCTACCTCTACGAGACCACCTTCGAGAAGGAGGTCTACTCCGACCTCTACGGTGAGCGTGGTTGCTTGATGGGTGGTATCCACGGTATGTTCCTCGCCCAGTACGAGGTTCTCCGTGAGCGTGGCCACTCCCCCTCCGAGGCCTTCAACGAGACCGTTGAGGAGGCCACCCAGTCCCTCTACCCCCTCATTGGTGGTATGGGTATGGACTGGATGTACGCTGCCTGCTCAACCACCGCCCGCCGCGGTGCCATTGACTGGTCCGGCCGCTTCAAGGACACCCTGAAGCCCGTCTTCAACGACCTCTACGACTCCGTCCACAACGGCACTGAGACCCAGCGCTCCCTCGACTACAACTCGCAGCCCGACTACCGCGAGAAGTACGAGAAGGAGATGGAGGAGATCCGCAACCTCGAGATCTGGCGCGCCGGAAAGGCCGTCCGCTCTCTGCGCCCCGAGAACCAGAAATAAATATAATACCTTGATACCCGTGGGGGTTCAAAAAGTGATGATGTACTATGAACTTGTTTGTTTTGGGTTTGTCGGAAATATTATTTGAGGCTTTCAATGCCATTCCCCAACTTTTTTCTCTTTTATAGCTCGTAGCTCGTACCTCGTAGAGCTTCATAGCTTGTGAATTAGCTCCGCATGCACCTGCAGCTAGCCGTGTCCCCGTGCGTCAGGCGGGGTAACCTCCAGGCCTTGGTAAGAGTCATCCGGCTCAATTCGCAACTCAAGTGTCACAATGACTTCTCCCGCCGTCGCTGCTCAATCACTGACGCCAGCCGCTGTGCAAGCGGCATATGGCCTGATTCAACCCCATGTGCACCGCACGCCGCTGCTGACCTGCAAAACACTGGATACTATCGCCTCAACGCCGCAGACCCCCGAAGCACTCGTCGGAACCCCATTCGAAGGCCAAACCCCGGCTCAACCCCAGATCAGATTCTTCTTCAAGTGCGAGAACCTGCAGCGCATCGGTGCCTTCAAGGCGCGAGGCGCATTCCATGCCTTGCTGCGTCTGTTGGAGGAACGCGGGGAAGAAGTGAAGCGGCGCGGAGTGATTACCCACAGCTCTGGTATTTCAAATCCAGCCAAAGCCCTGAGTTCGCTGGTCAAAAACTGACCATATTTTTAGGAAATCATGCTCAAGCTCTCGCTCTCGCTGCCTCGACCCTGGGCGTGCCGGCCTATATCGTGATGCCGCGGATCAGCACACCATCCAAGATCGCAGGCACGCAGTCCCACGGCGCGGAGGTCATCTTCAGTGGATCGACAAGTGTTGAACGTGAGGCTGTGGTTGCAGAGATTCAAGCGAAGACAGATGCCATTTTGGTGCCGCCTTATGATGACTTCAACATCATTTGCGGACAGGGTACTACGGCTCTAGAGCTGGAGGCCCAGCACGCTGAGATCCGATCCCAGCCACTAGATGCTGTTATCACCCCCATTGGTGGAGGTGGTCTCAATTCTGGTGTGGCGACCTGGTTTTCGGATAAGAAGACCCGTGTGTTTGGCGCAGAGCCTAGTTTCGAAGGCGCGGATGACTGTCGGCGTGGCCTGGCGGCCAAGAAGCGTGTTGAGGCAGTTGGTACGCTCACTATCGCAGATGGGCTTCGCACTCCGGTCGGATTGATTAATTGGGAGGTGATTTCTAATGAGAAGAGAGTCGAGGGAGTGTTTGCTGTGACTGAGGAACAGATCAAGTCAACTATGCGGCTGGTTCTGGAACGCATGAAGGTTGTTGTTGAGCCTAGTGCTGTTGTTGGCTTGGCTGTTTGTCTGTTCGACGAGGACTTCCGACGCCGCGTAGAAAAAGAGGGTGGCGCAAGCGGTTGGGACATTGGCGTTGTGTTCAGCGGTGGTAACACGACCGTTGAGGCCATTGCCAGGATATTTGCATAGACTTGTCACGTACGGAGTACAGAGTACAGGGATCATCAATGGCTAGACGAGGTATCATATTCAATCATCAGGATAATCAAACTCAACTCCTGTTTCAAGCACATAGAACGAAAAGCTTCCTCCGTTACTTGCCTCGACAGCTTCCACTACTCGACGAGGCCAACCATCACGGTCCCATTCATTCACCCAGGCGGCAATCTTGCCTTGTTGGACCACTTTTTGTCGCGAAGGAGCATCTTGGACCGCTGCATGAGGTGCCATACTAGGTGGGAAAGGACGAACAGTGGACCTGTGCAAAATCAAACGCAGTGTCGGCAAAGTGCCCCAGGGCGCAGGAAGAGCTGGCTTCAATGTCGAGAATCGAGATTGAGACTCATATAGATCACTAGCAGGTCGACCACCCGAAACCACTGACGTGTAAACTATCGAGCAGTGGAATTGGCTCTGGAGTTGCTTCAATTGCTTGGCCAGCTGCTCATACAGAACCGGCAATGAGAATCTGCACTGGTTCTCTCGGTCACTTTCAATCTCTTCTCGAGAACGCCCGATTTCCTCTGTGCGGGCCACTTCGTCCCGCAGCCGGTCTTGCCGGATGAATGCCGTAGTACTGTCAATGGCAATCATCTGTAGAGGGCGCGAAGAAGAGCGATGCCGAGACAGATCAAAAAGGTAAGGGCCGATCGAATGTAAGGTGGCTAGCAGAGCGGCTGAGGACTGTGGACGGAAAACATGAACATGCTGGAGAGATGAGACAAGCAGCGCTTCCTCGTCTTGATGACTTGGCCTCTCAGTCAACTGTTCTCGAACATTGGACGATATCACTGCCATGTGGTTCTGGAGTATACCTCGAGCTACGAGGCGTAGTCGTTCTGCATCGAACCGGTCATCGGTATCTATGAAGACTACAGCCGCCTCGTGGCCGCCGACTGCGAAGCCACCGTACTCTCGAGGCAGAATGGCAATAGCAGTTAAATAGTACAGCATTTGCGATTTTCCTGAAGAAGACCGACTGCTCGAAACCTCCAAAATCGGCGGTGAACGTTTCTCGGTCTCATCGTGCCCCGGGAACAATACATCGGCAGCGCTAGTATCATCTTGTCCGTGGGTGGCATTTGGTCCGTGGAATTCATCAGGTTCATTCTCATCCTGCATGAGCATCTCATCGTAAGCAGTAGCCTGATAATCTCTCAGTTGGTCCTGGTCGAAAGCTCTGCGACTTTGATATTGCGATTTCGAAGCTGCGAAGACCTCAAGTAATGAATCCAGAGCCGGGACCCTGAAGGAATGCGCATCATTATCACGCCCAGGATAGTAGTCGGTCAATTCAGAAAGAACCTACAGATCATCAGTCCCTTAATCTCGTGTATAACCTCGCAGGACTGCGATGTGCAATGATACCTGATCCAGTCCCTCCTGCTGTACACTAGCCAAAGCACTTTCCCCGAGGTTGGCAGCCATGGCAGAATAATTTCTTCATGAATCTGGCATCACGGAAGTCATTCGTTGAAAATCATAGTTGCGACAAGGTAGATGTCATGCGGTGAATGCGGACGCGGAAACGATAGCGCGGCCGAGCTTCCGCAGAACTTCGATTTCACACCTGCGACTCCCCACACCAGTCGTCCCCAATCCTCTTGATTCCCTCAATGGCACCACTCGTTCCCATCTTCTCGACCGAGTCGCTTCCCGACCATGTCAATACCGTGCGCCGCAACTTTCAAGACAAACGCCGCAAAGGCACCGCAGTGGACTTGAAGGAATGTCCACTATTGGAGATGACACAATACTCGTGCAACCCACCCCAAGACGGTGTTCCTGAGCCTGGAGTGGTGGTGTGCAAACCTATAGTGCGGTTATTCCGACGGTGAGTGTGGTTGAGCCTCAATTGAAGCATCTGCTGATTGTCATAGCTGCGCCGGAGGACTAATGGTCGAGACAACAACGTGGGAACCATACAGGTTGGCACAGGAGGCCAAGCAGGCGAAACAAGCGAAAGAGACTCCGGCGGTTGCGAGAGAATAAGATTTTCTACGGGCGTACATCTGCATTGGGCGGCGTTAGAGTGACAACTGCTAGGATTGAATGATAGAATATTTGATTAATGCAACTGCCATGGGGTATCTCCTCAGGTCATCTCCTGAACGTAAAAACAAGAACGCCATCCCAAGAAAACAGAACGCCGGGCCTATGTTATTGTAATTTACATGCCAGTGATTTCCATCGGCTCGACGCTGGAAGTAGGCTTGGGTGTTTTCTCCTCCGTACGTCGGGTATTTGATGTCGTCCGGCGCCAAGTATCTCGTTCGCAATTCACGATAGGCCCCATTTCCATATTCCAGGAAAGCTTGAGCTGAGCCTTCGTCTCGGCATCCACGGGGCCTGAATCGATATCCATTGCAGAGCCAAATGCACCAGACAACGCGTGGGTGTCTTTGCCGAGCTTCTTCGCCAGTCCCTTGGCCGTCTTGTCGAACATGCTTTCCATGCTGTCCGTTCTCCGACCCCAGAGCTTCTTATCGCGACCCGTAGATCCCGTTTGGTTGTCGCGGAACGCAGCACTCGCCAATTTACGCAAGGCTTCTTCGCCGTGTCGTCCATCCTCAGCTGCACGCTCACGGATTTTCCGAGGATCACCGTCGCGCTCGATGAAGACTGCAGTGGCAGAATAGGTGTGTTTGCTGGGGAAGCTAGGGAAGTGTTGCGGAATATAGGCGCGGGTTGCGCGGTCATCCTCACTGCTCAAAGCTGTGAGGAATGGTAGGCTTTTGGTCATTTCATTCTCGGGCGGGGGTGATGGTAGAAATTGGGGCGCAGGAACGTCTGAAGCAGCGGGTTTGAGGTGAGGTAGGAGATCGTCGAGATCGAGCCTGACACGCTTCATGGCATGTTCGAAATCGATTGGGATGGGCTGGATACGTCGGGAAGATAGCATGGACTGACGAACGAAGCCTGAGAGTCGTAGCATGTCTACAGGTGGCATCCGGTCAGTCGAGGTCTCAACAATAAGACAAGATATACATACACTCCTCAGTAGCACCACATAAGCCGGATAGCGCAGCAGGCTGGGCTACATCGAAGCCGGTTTCCTTCAGCGTCTGGCCAATGGCGCGAGTCATTAAATGGTCGATGTGGGCATCATCTTGCACGGCCGGCTCGGTTGCAGGCGTTAATGTGACAGGTTCTTGGAGGTGGTGATGGTGGTAGTAGGGACGCTTCAGACGCTTGATTTCAGGTGGTCCTTGCGATGAGGCAGGCCGTTTGATCTGGGTGCCTGATGCCATAGCCATGGTAATGATCCGAGGAAGTTGGCGCGAGGAGCTCTGCTGGGCTCGATTTGCCAGTCACGTGCTTGGGCGGTGGGTCTGTTGTCTCGATATACTTGGAGCTGCCACTTGGTTCTCACTCCAGGGATCCAAGGCTTGCGGACAGAATAATATAAATATCCGAATATCAGGTCCCAACTTAGACGATGTTGCTCGTGATATGGCTCACTGGTCGTCACTTCGGGACTGTGGTGGGAATGGCCATGGCTCAATTGAGACTCTGGAGCGCCGGACGCCTGATCATTGATTATAGAGAATTCGTGTTAAACTCCATAAATGACTGGATCAAACGATCCAGTTCACCTGTTGGGTCTAGAACAGACAATATCCAGGCCTAATTGCATGTCGTGGAAGGAATAGGGAATATTGAACATGCCATATATTGACCAATCCGGCGGCTCGCTTAGTCCGCTCCGAAGCTTCAACTTCATCTCACAAGCCTTTTGCTCCCACCCCCTCTCCTCTCCGCACCACAACCAAGACGGGTTCTAGTCTGTCTCCAATCTATCTCGTTTTTTCTCGAGTATTGATTGACGCTACGTATTCGTCACAATGCCCGCCGCCATCCCCCCCATCACCGGCGTACGTGCCCCTTCCATTACCGGTTTGACCCGGATCTTGACCAGGTCAATTCGATCTCGCGCAACCATTTACTGATATTCCGGCTCTTTTCAGATGCTCCGCCGCACTCTCGTCCTTGACCTGAGCACCGCTTTCGGTGAGTTTTGACCCAAGTCAAGTGGCATGATCGAACGCCAAGTTGGATGTCGCGATGTCGGGACCGACCGGATGGAAGACACACAGCACAGACAATGCAACAACAATTCAATGGAGAACAATCTCTGACCAGGCTCTCGCAGGTTTCGGCACCACCTTCGGCTACCTCTGGTGGTACGGTAAGTGGAACAACCGAAGTGCTCCACGCGACTGGCCCGGATACTAACTTAATTCTGTACAGGCTTCCACCTTCCCCGCGTCCGTGAGCGCGATGTCTACTACAGCCGCCTCGAGGCTGAGCGTGCCGCTCAGCGCGGTTAAATCGGTTCTCAGTCACCCCGACCGTCTGCTCGCCCGTTCGGCACCAATTATTTTCTTTGTCAAAGCGTTATCTAGAAATCGCCTATGCGGGCACATGCCTCGACGTGACCCATGGCGCTCGGTTGAATCGACGGGTCGTGTACGAATGGGATAGATTTGAGATCGATTGTACATATACGCCAGTGGACAACCAGTTGATTTGATTATGGATTATACTTCCTTTCTAGCTGCGCGTGTGAAGCGCAACTCTTTACTGGATGCTATGAGAACAGGGCATATCTTGTAAATTCGACAGCGACCAAGTTCTTCATCACGGCCCCTTCCTGACTCGGTCTTGCTACGTGCCCTCTGTAAAGTGAAAGTGAAACTGTATCTATTTTCTTCAAACGCTAAATACGCCGGAAATATGTACGTGCAAACCCCAGCGCCACATGGAATCGCCGACCAAATCTCCACCATGTTGTAAAGCCATAGATCATTTCGTATCGTGACTGCATGCTAATTTAGGAGAAGGGCGAAGTCGGGAAAGAACCGGAGACCGTAGTGTGAACTTGATCACCTAAGCACTCGCTGATATGATATGCCTCGGACGGTCCCGCCGATCATAGAGCTGCGCACGTTCTTCTTGAAGGCTTCGCGAGTGGTGCGGAGGTCCTCCGCAGCATCCTTATTGAGGGGGTCGGAGGCATTCGGCTCAAGGAACAGGAACTAGCAATGCGTCAGTTATGGAAGGCCATGCGCCCAAGATGCACTCACCTGCATGCCGACAATGACAGCGTTCAGGTTCAAAACGGGCTTCCAGTCTTCGCGCAGAATGTTCAAGCAAACATTCCCTTCCAGATCGATATTTGGATGGTAGATCTTCTGCAAGCATTTCACTTTCGGGGGATCGTGCGGGAAGTTCTGGTTGACGGCGAAAGAGAAGTTGAAGGTGCCATTTTTGTACATGCCCTCGTCGGGCTCGATGGTCAAGGTGAAATTGAGGATGTCGTCGGGGTTGGGGAAGGACATTTTCATCGTATTTCCCAAAGTGAGCTCTTGAAGATCTAGAAAAACATGTCAGATGGCTGCGCGCTGGGTGAAATGGACGACGGCTGCGATCTTGAAAAGAACCTACCCCGTTGGACACGAAGCTGTGCTGCGGTAACCTTCTTCTTCTTCTTTCCAGCAGCACCCTCGGCATTTTCTGCCTCTTGCTGCTTCTGCTTCTATTGGGCTGTTAGAGTTCGACTCATCGCATCGGTAGTGGAAGGCGTTACCATAGACCAGATTTTCAACATTTTCGCTGGGAGTCACCACTCCAGGTGAAGGCACGATATCAAAGGTACTGTGAGTGGCTGTGGAGGATTTTGACCAAGCCTCTTGGTTTTCAAATAGAGGTAGCAAAGATGCAAGATCGAGTTGAATGGAGGGAGGAAGTTCCCACGCCTGCGGGGGGTATCAGCAATCGGTCTTTATCAGTCATACCGCCTTCCTATCTTGGAAAGCGGGAGTGTTGAATATTGCCGATGCTCATATTTGGCGGTGAGGAAACTGCTGTAATGTCAAAAACTGTCCACGGGTGGCTTGAGTGACTACGGAGTGCCCATGTAGGTAATTTTAGTACTGCTTTTTGGGGTAGTACTAGTAGTATGTCACAACAGAAAATCGCTGTATCCAGCCAAGGAACCAGAAAGGTCCACACCTAGTGGAACAGCGAATTTTCTGTGTTTTTTTTTATTTTTCCTGGCAGGGTATAATGGTACTAGTATGAGGGTTTTGGGGCTCAAACGTATTAGGATATTGACGTATTTCGACCAGCCATATGTTGGAAGCATGCACCCAGGTGTGCTGACCACTAAGCCAAAGGGCATAATATAACAGAAGACCGTGTTCCATTATCCCTGGACCGCTACATATGCCACACCTGCTACAGGACCTCCAGTCCGTAACACCATAGTGCATTACACCAAATTTTCGCGTGTTTAAATTGATTATACTATATTAAGAGGCTGGATAGGTATATAAACCGTATTTTATAGAGTCAACGCCTCCCCAATGCTAGGATTCAAAATTGAATACCGTCTCTTTGCTCAATACATTTTCAACATCGGTCAAACATGTAAAATTACTTGAGCACGTTTTCATGCGCTCGGACAATACTGTAATAGTACTCCGTAGATAGGGTGATAATGGGTGAGCCGGAGTGAGAACTATATATGATCTACAAAGCGATCACTGCACTAGCCCCTATTAGTGAAGCAGGATTCAACTGTGATTGGGCCAAGGATAATCGGTTTTTTAGCATCCGAACCCTTTTTGTCTTCAAGGATATATGTAGGAAAGCAATTGCAGTTTTACCTTATATAACGCTTGGGAATATTTTTCTAAGAGCTCGGAATTTGAAGTATCCATTTCTGTTCATCAATCCAAAAGTCTTTCAATGTTGCAAATTTTCTCCATCGCTGAAATTGGCCATGGTGGGCTGTGTACGGAGTATGGTGGTACTTACTCCGTATCTCCACCGAATTTAGCTCAGTGAAGGAGTTCAACCTCGGGCTTAGTTCATAGACTAGTAAGCGATTTAACCTTCCAAGGTTCCAAGACTACCTGATAAGCTAGCAGTATCGTGACTATGTATGTCTGAATGCCTGCTGTTGTATATCCGTCTTCGTCTCTTTTTCTTTTGTTCGTTGCGGAAAGTGTCCTTGCCGCCCTACCACTTTGCGTTCTCATCACGACAGTACCCACCACAAAACTAGTTCCTAGGCCCAAGATCCATACAAAGCGCCTCATTTCTGTCCGAGTAGAATGGATCCACGTTTCACCTAAGCAGGCTGCAGGATTACGAGGTTCAGGAGGGGCATGGTCTCAGGTTAGCGATCAGGTGACTTTATTTGTGGTACCTAAGACAGCCCCTTTTCTATACAAAACCGTCAAGCCCACCACATCTTCCTCCATCTCACCTCTTCATCAATTTTCTCTTTCGAAGATACATACCGTCAAAATGTCCTTCCACGAGTCCTGCGAGCTTATTCGGATTGAAGTCCGCGGTGATGGTACATGGCTTCTTGCCGCCGCTGGAAATGGCGACGGCGACAACGTTCCCGCCGAGCTGAGACTTGACGACCATATCGGCAACTCGGATGGTAAGCCTCCTTTGCTTTCGGTATCAATATCAAGATGCTAATCTTGTATTTCTGTATGATCAGGTTACTTCACTTGGCAAGGTGAACGGTTCACCGAGTCCGCCGACAATATCGATTTAAGCTTCCGCGATGATGGTGTTTGGTTGGAGGCGGATCTACCCGAGTTTGACGGCGGGGAGAGAGGTCGCCAGGGAATCAACTTGTCTGACCACATTGAGAACCAGTGTGGTAACCTTGTGTTTGTTGGATTGTGAATGTGTCATGAAGCTGGGCTTCGATATGTACCTATAAATCCCCAGGTCATACAATGGGAACATCCATGGACTTGAATCTTGAACTTGGAAGTTTTGCAATAAAGTTCCAACCTTAAGCAAACCTTGACCTTAGGCTCATGAGGATAGGGCATCCCTCGCCCGCACTCTGTGGTTGTATTTGCCGGATTCTCAGTTGCGAAAATTCCATAAGTACACTAGCGGTTGTAGCCACAGCTTCGGAATGCTGAGCAAGTAATGCTATGAGCAGAAGTATTTTACTTTCGAATGGAAGACCAATATGTAGTAGATGAATGGATTTCTGGGCATGCTAATTCCGATCCAAATACTGTAGGGAGTACGGAGTGATCAGGGTCTGAACACATTGTTCTATTTCGGGAATAGTGCGCGGGAGAGCCACACGTCAAACCATGGAACCCCTGTAAATCAGGCAAACCATGCAAACTGACGTAATGACTGGCTGTCTGACCGATCAGGCTTCAACACATGTGCAACCCAATGTGCAAAATCGAGTTTGAGAACCTCGATGCAAACCATCAGGGGCAAAAGGTGAAAGAAATCTCCTGAGTATTACCAGGAAAGATCCCTAATGAAGACTTTTTCTTTCAGAGACGCCATGCACGCTACTCATTGAAGTCTTGAACAGATTCGATATAAACAAAGGAACCAAAAAACCAAAAAAACATACAACAGTGAGGATTCGCTGGTGGTCACCCACCCAACTACTAACTCACCGGCGTGTGGCTTAAGTACGGCTGAGCGGACGGGAAGCCCTGTTTTCCACACCCTGTGGTCGTATGTACTAATAATATGATTAGAGGAGGATATATACTTGCGGTTGATGCCCGATTCAAACTAGGCGTTGGATAACCTCCAGCTTGGAATAAAAAGACCGAAGTCACGTGGCCATACCCAGCTCGATTGATGAGAGGAAGGGGGAAATTTCGCAATGATCATCAGAAACGCAGTTTTTGTTTATTCACGCTCATGACCTCTAGTTCTATTGAGTTCTATTGGGCACTGTCTTCGATCTGCTAGACGCAGCATCGAGCATTGCTGTTAGTAAACATAGTTCAAAGACTCCCGAGGTCGTCGTGTACTCCCACCCCGTCTTTCCCGAGCCTCTTTCTTGAAACAGATCCGATTAAACAGCTGTAGTATGCCGCAGCGGTCCGTCCGCCTCCAGGGCCTGGATATATTCATTATCATGTGATCTACCATACACCGCCCCATTATTTATCCTGGCATTCTAGAACTGACGCTGCCAATACTCTCCTACCATAGCATTCCTTATAACCTTTTTAACTGGTTTGGTAACTTCGAAAACTCTGTCTATGCTCACAATGAAACTTTGGTTAATATTTCGCTGTCTCATGCCTGATTTTATATGGCCAGACAACGTTCGACCAATCTCTAACGACCGAATGCCATCAACTCCTCAGCCAACGCACCCACGACTGCTACAATTTTGGGGGTTTCTCCACAAATATCTGAGACGATTTTCTCGGTCGTATTGCAACTGGGTCGGAGTCTCTTACGATAATCAGATCGCTCAGTTTCCATTCGGATTGATCTTGAAATGGTCCGATGGTACTCGGATCGAGGAAGTTTTATCTATGTAGGTTGCACGAAGTGCAGGTCTGCCGGTTCCAAGGGTGATTTGCTATGGTGAGCACCCTGATACGCCCCATGTACCGGTCTCGATTCTTATGACTTGCGTGCCCGGTGAAGAATTGGGCCGAGTCTATGAAGCACTCAGCAACGAGGATCGAAATTCAGTTCTAGAAGAGCTTAAAGGCTATCTGAAGATTATACGAGGGTGGCCGAGTCCATAGGGCGGGCAGAGGATTTGTTCTCTTCAAGGTAACTCAATAAGGAGTGTCTGCCTCCCTGGTTATTTTGCCGGTCCGTTTGAGTCAGAAGAAGACTTTGATGAGTATCTCATACGGCCCGCTTGGTCAGATGGTTTCTCATCGGACATGGAATACAAAGATGCACTCAATCGCGCCAAAATGATGGGAAGCTTGCGTCATCGTATTGTCTTTACTCATGGAGATTTAAAGCACCATAACATTCTGGTGCAAGGGGGCAAGATCACTGGCTTTTTGGATTGGGAATCGGTAGGTTGGTACCCTGAATATTGGGACTTCACTACTGCATTGAGGTTCACGCAGGAAGACTTTTGGTGGTACGGCTTTGTGATCAAACTCGGTGGGGAATCATATCTAGCAGAGCTGGATTATGAGAACGCATTGACTTCTTTGACAGGTGCTTCCTATCATTGGTGAATATTACTGTCTTACAGGCTTCTTCTTATGTGGTTGTTTCGGAGTCACCCCAGTCTCGAGACTTCTCACCCATATCACCCGCACTCACCCTAGAGTGTCGCTTACGTGCTGAGGGCACATTTACTATTGACTGTGCAGAATACTTGGCTTAAGTACGGCTGAGCGGACGGGAAGCCCTGCTTTCCACACCCTGTGGTCGTATGTGCTTGAATACGCTTAAAGCGGAAACAGGTAGAGCGCTGTCAAGCTTCAATAGAAGAATTGGCTACCGAGTATACATACAACCCGAACACTGACAGCAGTTGACGGCGATGCTTTCCTCAATACTAGCACAATCCCACCAGAAGTATTTCCATGCGACAAATCTTCTTCAATTGCCATTCAGAAGCACTACCCAGCCAACATCAACCTCTGAAAGACTGTTTTCCTCTACTTTAATCCTGCAGTCAACTTTGCCCACTGGGAGCTTCCAAGGTTCACGCTTCCATGAAAAGACACCACCATCACTGCATTTTATCTCCTACCCAGCCGGTGCCCGCTCCATTTCCAAAAACATGACATGTTAACGTCTTTC